GATTGAGCTGTGAAGCAAAACGGCTTTAATCGCTGAGAACATTTTACTACTGCCAAGTTATGAAGGATAGCATCTAGATCGTACCATTTACTTCTTGTCTTGCTAAATATAAGAAACACAATGTGAAATATTATCATATATAGATTAAGAAAAGACATACTGCTATTATAAATATGTAGAAAGTCTATCAGGGGAATATAATTAACTAAAACAGTCTCGGCAGATACGTAATCAAAATGTTCCAAAAGTCGCAATATAGGTTGATCTGGCGCGGCCATGATCACGTGGCCACCGTTTGATGCATGACGTTCGCTCTATAGCTGTCCGACCTTTCGAGTAGCTCATCGTGCGATCCGCGATCAATGCATTTACCCCCCTCAATCAAGAAGATGACATCTGCTGCTCTAATGGTATGAAGACGATGGGCGATGGCAATGACAGTAATGCCCTTTGCGGCCTTTTCGAGCCCGTCTTGTAGTAGCTTCTCCGATTCAGCGTCCAAAGCGCTGGTCGATTCATCGAGAATCAGGAGCTTAGGCTTCCGAACAAGGGCCCGAGCAATAGACAATCTCTGCTTCTGACCTCCCGAGAACTGGCTACCATTAGGTCCGCAAAGAGTCTTGTAGCCCTCTGGCAGCCCTTCGATAACGTCGTGGATATTGGCAAGCTTGCATGCCTCCTTGATTTCCTCGATAGTCGCTTCATGCCCTGGCCTAGCACCAAGCCCGATGTTGAATTCGATACTGCCTTCGAAAAGCACGCTTTCTTGCGGTACCAGAGCGATCGAGTCGCGAAAGTCAACACCCCGGTGCTTGGTAACGTCGACGCCATCAATCACGATGGATCCGGTTTCGGGCGTGTACAACCGCTCAACCAGCGAAATAATAGTTGACTTACCAGCACCGCTTGGCCCAACAAGGGCACAGAATTGTCCGGGGCGAATGTCGACGTCCAAACCGTTTAGAACCTTTATGTCCGGCCGAGCGGGGTATGCGAAATGGATATTGCGAAGCTGCACGCTTGAGGCCTGGTTGTTGCCAGACACGTATGTCGACTTTGTTTCGGGAGTCTCAATGTCTTTTTCCTCGGAGGAAGATATAGCAGGTGAACGGGATGGTATGCGCCCTTGCATTTTGTCCGAGCCGATCTCGATCAGCCCCAAGATTCTTGCCATCGCCGCTCGGGCGGCGGAAAGCTCCGGTGCAAGGGCAAACATCTGACTCCAGAGCAGTGCGCTCACCAGGAGCGAGAATACTACAATCAGGAACTGTGTCTGGGTGTAGTTGCCATTGATGATTTGTTTGGAACCCCACCAATAGGCCAACGCATTGACGCAATTGCCAAGGAAGTAAGTCATTGCCTGCCAGAGACTTGCATGAAGAGTGACTTGGAAGGTTTCCTTGCGTGGTCCTTTTAGGGATCGTCTGTAAGTTCTCAGGGTTTCTTCTTCAAGAGAAAGGGACGCAATTGTCTTGATCGACGTGACTGCCTCTACACCAATATCGACTGACTTGGTGTATGCGTTCTCGTGGCGTTCCTCGAATTTGCCAAGTACGTGAAGCTCCATAAGACCGGCTCCAAGCAAAAGTGGTACCAGAGCTAGGCAAACTAAAGCGATTCTCCAAGCGATAATGTGGGTCAAAATGATTGCTGCAATAAGGTTGACAGTAATAGAGAACAAAGTTCCAATGACGGAGCCGCTCAGTCCCGCCAAGGCGTTGCCGTCTCGAGTAATGTAGGAGAGGAGCAAGGCAGGCGATCGGCCGTTAGATTGATGCCACTGAAGATCTTGCTCAAATAGTGAGCGGAATGACAAGACTCTAACTGTATAGACGATCTTCTCTGATACCCAACCAAACCCGGTCCAACTGACCAGGTTCGCGAAAAATTCGATAATGGCAAGTACAAAGAACATAAGTCCGAAAAAGTTTCCAGCGCTCCGAATATAGCTTTCACTGTGACAAGGATTCAGGCTTCCGACGGTGTTTCCGAATATCACGGCTTCACCAGAGAAGGCACCGCCGACAATGCTGGATCCGAGAAGGGCGAGGAAAATGAAAAGTAGATGTGGCCTCAGTGTTGGCGCATATCCTCGCAACAACGCCCACATAGATTTCTTGGGGGTCTCAGGCTCTTCTTCTTCTTCAGCAGATTCGGCAGGTTCGGGGACTGGGGCTGCACTCGCTGAGGCCTCTTTTTTCTCGGAGGTTCCTAGGCCATCGTTCGAGACACTACCTTCCTCGATACCAGCATCAGATAAAGAGCCCTGGTCAGATTTACTGGCATTGTCTGCGCTAGCTGTCTTTTCTTTCTTGCCGGAGGCGGATCCCAGAGTTTGCATATTCACCAGGTCAGCGTACGCTCCGTTCTTAGCCATCAATGTTGCATGATCTCCCTGTTCAACGATATGTCCCTTGTGCATAACGATGATATTATCGGCGCTGGTTATTGTAGACAGACGATGGGCAATTGTGATCATAGTTCTGCCACTGGCAATATTTGAGATGGCCCGCTGTATACGCTGCTCACTCCTTGAATCCAGAGACGCTGTGGCCTCATCCAATATAAGTACCGCAGGATCCTTGATGAGAGCCCTAGCAAGGGAGACTCGTTGTTTTTGACCGCCACTGATCAGTCGCCCACTCGAACCGACAAGCGTACCGTAACCATGCTGCAATGCATTGATGAAACCATCTGCATCAGCTAGCGTCGCAGCCTTCCGCACCAGGTTGACAATTTCAACAACTTCCGAGCTTCGCTTCTCTGCTGCAGCCATAAGATCCACACCTTCCCTGGCTTCCGCTGCCAGGTCTGTAAGGTCGGTACTAAGAAGTGTCGCCTTTAGATTAGCATGGCTGGGATTACTGGAATTGATCAGGCCATGTGCGATATTTTCCAAAAGTGACCGATCGAGCAGCGAGGGTTCCTGCTGCACCAAACTAAGGAAGCTTCTTAAATCACGGGTGTTGACCTCACGAAGGTCGTGGCCGTCAAACAGGACCTGGCCCTCTGTGGGATCGTACAGCCTCGTGACCAAGCCGGCAATAGTTGACTTGCCGCTTCCAGACAGTCCAACAAGGGCAGTGTGCTTGTTTGCAGGAATGGAAAGACTGATCTGGTCAAGGACCGTGATCTCAGGCCGGGAGGGATAAGTGAAGGAGACATTCTTAAGTTCAAAGCAACCTTCTGCCTGTGAGAGGCGAATACCTGATTCAGTGGTGGCATCGATTTGCGGCTGGCGATCGATGTCTGCGCGTAGCTTTTGGAACGAGGCAACAGCTGCCGTGAACAGGTGCAGGAATGGGGCAACCTGACTCAGAAGCAAGGTAGCCTCAACGAGGACGAAAATGACTGTAAATGTAGCACCAACGGTGGCACCAGCAGTGTCCGAGCCTACTGCATCCGCAACGCGTCTGCTACCTTGCCAGAATGCCAGACCATTCGCAGAATAGGCGATGAAATACAGAAATCCAGATTGTATACCTACGGCGGCAGCCTTCTTCAAGCCCTCCTGTTCTGAAGCCTTGAGCGCCTTGGAGAACTTATCTTCCAGCCGATAGCTTGCGCCGAAGGCCTGCACCACGACGGTATTGGAGAGTGCCTCGGAAGCGATTGATGCGGCGGAAGCGGAATAGTCCGACATACGCCCAGAGTATTTCTCGATATAATGACTTCCAATAAAGGACATCAGAAAATAGGCTGGAACCAATGAAATCAACATTGCTGCCAGCCTGTAGTCCTTGATGAAGGCAACAACATATGCCGTGATGAAAAAGGACAAGGTCGACAAGCATATCCCCACTTTCTCCGACGTGCCCGATCGAATCGCTTGGATATCACCATTAAGTCGAGATGCAAGTTCTCCCGGAGGTAGATCATCGAAGAATGATGGTTCCTGTCGAAGCAAGTTCTCTAGATACGTTTCCCGCAGTCTCTGCGCCAGCCGGGCGCCGTTCAAGCTCCAGCAGGAAAGATGCACATAAATCGCAACGAATTGAGCAATGGCCAGATACACGATGATCAGGATTTTGCCGTTAATGTCATGCTGGTAATCAGCATTGGAACCCGTCGATTCAGTTTCTTCACACGTTACGGCGTTGAAGTCGTCCAGCAGTTGACCGAACAGAATAGCGATTAGTGGGAAGGGGACACCGGACGCTGCTGAAGCTACTATGCCCAACAAAAGCCTGCCTATGTCGACTTTCGAAGGGTTGCCAGCCAACAGTAGACTGGGGTAGCCCACAAGCTTTTTGCCGAGCTTCATAGTGAGCTGGCGTGGACAATTTTCCTTGGCAACGTTTATGATCGTCGTTGTCGTGTACTTGGGTTGCTCGTTGGGGTCATTGATCTTTGGAGAGCTCGTTCGTCGACGAAGATGTAGGAGGGAGGAAATAGTTAAGTGGCCACGTAGAAAATGCACTCACACGTCAAAGAAATTGCATTTTAGTCCGAGGTCGCAAAGGAACAGTGATCACCGAGACAAGGTGATTTATTCCTGGTGATGCCTGAGGGCCTGAGGGGTGTCTTGTCAAGTGGGACCGGCGTATCGTTACGTAAGATTATCAGATTGATAAAAATTGTCAGAGAAAATTCCAACCACGGGTCAAAAGTCGGAGACATCCGGGATAGGAAATGAATCAACGACGCCGGTTTGGATCCACTCACTGTGTCGAGAACAAAAGGAAAAGAAAGAACTGAAAAATAAAAGATGAATTAATTTATCAATGATACGTAAGTCCGACCGTATCCTAACTTAACGGTGTTTATGGCCCAGGTATCAGTACAATACGGGCCCCCACAAGGCGTATCGTACGTATGGAATGTCATACGAGTCATGTAATACCCTAATGTATGTCTATTGACTAACGGATTACAGGATTGTATCGGCGATATTAAACAAGGCAATCGGGCGACTAGCTGTCTACGGAAAGTCTCGGTATCGGAAATTTTTGGTACAGCCGCCCTAGTAGCTAGAAAAAAGCTCTGCCAGCGTTTCCGCCCCCCTTTGCGTGCAAGGATATTGGCCAGTGGTTACGAATCTTTCCCACGCGGTCTTTGCCACAAACAATAGCTCCATCAAAGTGGATAAGGCATGGTCCGATCGTTCTCCGGTGTGGTCTGCTAGGTTTGCCTTAGTCGCGAAGAGATCCAACTTACAAAACGGCTCCTAGGAAGCTTGTCTCACGAAGATCTCACAACCTCTGTCTCAACCCGCGGCAATCTCTTTCTACCAGAGTGTAGTAGAGTACGTTCTCTACTCTCAACATGTTGAAGAAGTTCTTCGAGAAATCGGATGGCCCAACTGAGGCTAATCCGAACCCTCCGGAATATGGGACCAATGAAGATATTCATCCAGGCTCAAAACACCCAGAAGAAGTGGTCAACGATGATGTCTCAAGGGAAGATGTGCCTGATGATGCAGCTCAGGACGGTGTAGCACAAGCTGAAGCCATCACATTAACATGGAATAAATGGTCCCTGGGATCGGCCTATGTTCTGTGAGTTTTGAGCTCGACACCATTGAGAATACAGCAACTGATTCAGTGACAAACAGCATGTGGCTCTTGTACTTTGTGAATGCTTTTCAATCTTCGATCACTGGGAATCTATCAGCCTACGTGACTAGTGGATTTGAATCACACTCGCTGATCCCGACCATTAGTGTCGTCTCCAGCGTCATGTCAGCCGCAACTTATATGCCGCTTGCGAAAATTCTGAACCTGTGGGACCGCTCCATTGGATTCCTAGTCATGGTTCTGTTCTCCATCCTTGGCTTGGTATTGTCTGCAACATGCTCGAATATCGCAACGTACTGTGCAGCCCAGGTAGGCCAGTCTCTGATTTTCGCAGGCAACAAATGACTGACCACTCCGAAGGTTTTCTACAGTATCGGCTTTGCTGGTTTGATTTTCAGTATCGATGTTATCACCGCGGACACTTCATCGCTGCGCCATCGAGGACTTGCTTACGCATTTACTTCTTCTCCTTATATTATCACGGCATATGCAGGATCGGCTGCTTCTGAGCATTTCTACGAGTCAAACTGGCGATGGGCATACGGTTGTTTTGCCATTGTTCTGCCTGTTGTTGCCTTGCCGATGTTCTGTCTTCTTCGGTACAACCGCCACCTGGCAAAGAAGAACGGCCTTTTGAAACCAAGAGAGAAGAGCGGCAGGACGAAGATGCAGAGTATCATCCACTACATCATCGAGTTCGATCGTAAGTTTTCATACTCTGGCCAGGAAGGCCTTCAGCTAATGATTATAGTCCTGGGAACCTTCCTTCTCGCAGCCGGTCTCGTTCTTTTCCTCCTCCCTTTCACCATCGCCGGGTCTGCGGAAGATGACTGGGCATCTGCTCACATCATCGTTATGCTTGTTGTCGGTTTCGTTGTCTTGATCGCCTTCGGTCTTTCTGAGCGCTACCTCGCTCCAGTGCCCTTCCTCCCCTACGAGATCCTTCTCTCCAGAACGGTTTTGGGTGCTTGCCTTATCGACGTTACCTACCAAGTTGCATACTACTGCTGGTTCGACTACTTCACATCATACCTACAGGTTGTCTATGGCACCAGTATTGCAACTGCTGGATACATTAGCAGCATCTTTGACGTGGTTTCCGGAGTTTGGCTTTTCGTTGTCGGTTTCTTAATCATGAAAACGGGCCGTTTCCGGTGGCTGATCCAGGGCGCCGTGCCTCTTTATCTTCTTGGAGTGGGCCTGATGATTTACTTCCGCAACCCAAGCTGGTCAGTGGGCTACACGATTATGTGCCAGGTCTTCCTTGCCTTTGCCGGCGGTACGATGATTATTTGTCAACAGGTTGCCGTGCAGGCCGCTGCTGACCACAACCACGTCTCCTCGGCTCTTGCCTTCCTCAACTGCTTCGGTAACATCGGTGGTGCGATCGGTGGCAGTATCTCTGGTGCTATCTGGACTCACACCCTGCCTGACGCATTGAAACGTCTTCTGCCCGACTCTGTCAAGAGCGACTGGGAAACGATCTACGATGATCTTGACGTTCAACTGAGCTACGAAAGAGGCACACCCGAACGACAGGCAATTGCCCTTGCTTACGCTAGCTCGCAGAAGAATATGTTGATTGCTGGAACGGCTATCATGGCCCTGTCGCTTATCTGGATGTTCGTCCTGAGAGACATCAAGCTTACGAAGCAGCAATCCAAGGGTATTCTGTTCTAGATTATGCTTTGTGTTTGCCGACATCAGCAACAAAGCGATATACTCCCCATAAAAACAAATGCATGTTTGATGAGCATTTTTTTCGTACCGTGCATACGGACTACTGATTACTGAAAGATCCGGCTCTCTTGGAGGTTGAAGAGCGGATTATTTGAAATCTTCGGAATTATTCGTATAGGAGATACCAGTCTATCTAGCGGGCGAGGCGGTGGTAATTCCCAGCAGAGTTGAAGGGAATGAAGATATCCAAGGAGTACCGCCTATTAGTGATAGACATAGTTTAATGTAATACTGTGCGACGCCACTCATAGCTTTGATTATGTTCTCTCGCAGCCCTCTAATTGCTCCCAAGATCGGACATAAATCTCCAGCAATTACTATTAGGCTCCTAACGCATGTGGTATGCAGTACATGGTTTCTAGAAAACAGCAGAATAATGCTTCTCGTCTCCCCATTTGTACCTTGTTCTTATTTCCCGACAGCACTGCTGCCACACTCGTACCTGCATATTTGCGATGTACTCCAGAAGCCGATTCATCGCCAAGTCCCAATCTCCGATCAGCAGGGCTATCGAGCGCATGATTGATTGCCGTCGATATCGGTAATTGTTGGAAGGAGTGCATAGGGCCCACCATGATGGATTACGAGACCCAAGCTGGCGTATATACTCGGCGAAAATTAGTTCTTAATATACTGCTATAACTGCTTCGCTCACTGGCCCATCTTCGTTGGCGGCAAAATCGCTATATTGTCATCAAATCCTCTGTCTATGAACATTGTCATATCGACGTGGAATTCGAACCGGGTAAATCATTACTACAAGCGGAATGCGTTGCCGATTAGACAAGCAAACCAAGCAATCGAGGAACGGCGATGCCGAGATACTTAGTGTGGTGTCACGACTCTTAGCGCTACAATCTAACGAACAGAAATTACAGACCGAGAACCCATCGCACCCAAGACTTCTTAGTGACCGTTGGGAAAAGCTTCGGCTTTCGTGGAGCGTCATACAGAACGCATTCCGGTATACATGCCCAAGCTCAGCCTAAAAGGTCCATGAGGTCGACTAGCGTGCGATTGATAAACATCTGACTTGCACCACGTATATTAATTTATTCGGCTCAGTCTTCCTCGTGCGGTAAGGTGGCGGTCGGAAGCGATTGCTGTTAACCCTATCAGATGATCAGATAACTTTCATGGTTACATCCGCTTGAGCTGTACGACACGGTACGGAAAGGGACCCACCCGGTATTTTACGACGGGGCCATTCCCATTCTTAATCTTTCACGAGAATTCTTTTGCAAAAACATCAGTGGACCGACAATACTAGCGCTTTTTACAACGACACATGGATGCGCATGTCTCATTTTCCTTGGTACTAGTCTTGCGCCCTAAAGGAAATTATGTAACCTCCCTTGAGTTTTATTATATCCATAACGTTATGAATTGGCGTTTGTGGCCTTGGCCCACAGTTTTTTCTTCAGGCCTCACCCGGATGGTGACTTTACCGTTCTTTCATCTTATCAATCAGTTTCTAAAGAATGAAACCCCGACGGTTCCCCATTGAAGGATCCACTAGATGACGCAGTGGGCCTTCTTCACATGGGACGTTGCGGTCTGTGGCAGCCTGGCCGGCAGGTTTTTCAATGTCTCTTCCGTTGCAGATATTTGGTAATTATCTAGGAAAATCAATGCTGGTGTGGACGACAGATCATGGACAAAGGGTCAGAGATTCAAGTGAAATTGCCGGAGGTACACTGCAGTAGCTCTAGTTTCCGAACACCGGTTTCACATGGGGCACAAAAGGGTTACATATAACAGCATAGATATGTCACTGCTTACTCATTCCAGCGCCTATGGCTTTGCCACTACTATTCCAGCGGCTTTAGTTAGGGCCTTTAGTTGGTTGGACATTCTCTATGTGAACTAGAAGAAGTCATATCTTAACGATAGTATGAAAAAATAGATGAAATGGAGATATATGCTTCTAGAAATCGTAGGATTATTACTCTCCTGTCAGTGGTAGATAATTCCATACATTTCAGTTTTCCACCTCCAACAGACCGTCTTGACTGACACCAGAAATACCATCAATCTGCCTTGCCGTTGTACCTTTTGCTGTTAGACATTAATCAAACGAGACTTCTCTTAACAAGTGTTGTTTGTTATACGCAATAAAGGAGGCCACACTGGAAGATTCTGCGCATCAGATTAGCTGGTAGTAGTTCCTGGCCTTTGCATAAGATATCAACTAAGCCTGCCCGTTCGTTATTGCATTCGAAAGACCTTCAATTATCAAAAAACAGCGACTGTCTTTGGAGGCTGCTCAGTAGAGAACTGAACAAAATCTAGTTTGGTCATTAACAAGGCAGCATAATACTCACACGGATAAAACCGAACTATTTCATGTTGGAATCGCACAATACATTCCATGAACACTATGTGCTCATCTTAAAAGATATTCTGCAATTTGACGGATAATCTTTATTGACTAAGTTGTCACGATACCCGCAGTCATGTTGGCAACAGTAAGAAAGCTCTGCATCCCGTTTGGGACACCATGAGCTCACAAGCCAAGTTGTTAGATGCACCGCATGCCAGACTATGTTGGTTGTAATGAGTATCTTGACCGATGTTAGGGCACCGCCTCTTATCCGCGGGATAGTGACGTTTAGTAGTACCTATTGTCCATCGCACAGATCATAGGCGCCATTTTCTCCAAAGAGCAGTGTTTCGTCGTGTTCATTGCATATTTGAAAGATTATCAGCATAATATAGGCATGTACATAGTCCTCAAGCGGCTCAGGGTCAAGCTCCATCCCCGTAGGCTAGAAATTCCGGCTGTTGGAATAAAAGCTGGCCAGGCCAGCGCCCAAGCGTAAGGGATGACGGTAGGTCTTGTGCTTGCTTGCTCGCAAAACCAAAGATATTCCGCTTCTGGGCCTTCACACAGGCCTTCTGGAAATTATGAGTGGGGTGGATAATAAGACTTCAGGTTGGAAAGGGTATAGATAGTGCTACCAGCGGCGCCGGACAGTTTAGGGTGCATGGCCACATCTCTTACCATGTGCATATCGAATAGAAGCTACTGGTAGCCGCTGGGGAGTCGCTGCGCACAGTCAACACGTAGACCCAAGCGCATAGTCTCATTAGCCGTTCGAAAGGGGCTCAATGTGGTTGCAGCTTATCATCTAGCTCACGGGTTCTGCGCTCTCCTGCATTTGGATCGGCTCTATACCGTCCAAATTGAGGAAAAGCAAAGATTGTAATTTCTCTTAATAAGGTTGGATTCTTAGTAAACTACTTGTTATTTTATACAACAAGGTTTAGTTTTATTGCACAGAGATCCTACAATTATCTAGGCAAGGCCTCTACTACTATTTAGTATGTATTATAAAGCTCTTATTCTTGACTATCTAAGCTATCTAAACCTATGAAACTGTCTATTATAGGACCGCTTAAGCTGAAAGAACCATCATACCAGGCCTATCAGCAGCCAGACAGAACCCCCTATCCAACAGAAAATAAAGTGATTTATCATACTTTAGTGTCTCGACAGTAGACAGGGTAGCAGCAGACTGCAGATGTGTATAGTCGACGGCTGGCTTTCCAAGTAGGAAGCGACCGTGCAGTATTTCTCCATTTTTGATCATGTGCAGTGGAACCAACCGCCATCAGGCAAAGGCACAGGATCCAGGCAATGAAGGTCTTTGGTTCTTGGATATCCTGGTGGAGAAAAATGGAATTAGTGCGACAACAATGAGGGCATTATGCGTATTCGAATACTTCATTTGGCGATCGTTAATTGTAACTATTGGAAAGGTATATGAACATAAGTAAACAGAAGTAATGTACCTAGTCAGCAAGCGCCATATCGACTGCTGCTTCCGCACGTGCGATGGAAGTATCAATTAGTGGGACTGGACTGTCTTCGGCTTGAACCAGAATGCCAATCTCAGTGCATCCAAGAATAATTACTTCTGCACCACGCTTAGCCAAACCCGCTACTATAAGTTTGAACTGTGCCCTTGTCTCTGCAAGGAAAGTTCCTTGCACAAGCTCACCCATAATTGCGTCACAGACTTTGTCCTGCTCGCTTCCATGTGGAACCAAAAGATTGAAGTCGTGCTGTGAAGCGAGACGCTTTATATAATGGTCGCCAGTCATTGTACGTCGGCTACCAAGGAGGCCCACCGTTTTGTAACCGCCGTCAACAATTTTCCGAGCAGTTGCATCGGCTATATGCAGCATGGGTAATTTCATGCTGCTCCCGAGATGAGGAGCGACAAAATGGACCGTATTGCAGGTCAAAATAAAAAAGTCAGCACCGGCTGATTGGAGCTTATCGATTTGGATAGCAAGCGTGTCTGCGACTTTGCCCCATCGGCCGCTTTTCCCCCCAGCTTTTCAGTTCGTGGAAGTCGTCTTGCACCAGAACAATTTTAGCATTGTGTAGGTCACTGCCTCCTATCCGCTTGGCTATGAGCTCATTAATGGTGCGATAGTATGTTATTGTGCTTGGCCATCCCATGCCGCCGATGATACCGATCGTCTTCATGCTGGGCTTCAGTTGGTGAAGCTGAACAAGCAGTCTGCTAGGGGGTAGGGCCGAGACAAACAGAAAAATGAGCACAAAGATGCACCAACTGGGGTACGGCTGTAATAATATTCAAAGTGACCATGGACCATTCCCTACTACTGCTCTGCTGAGGTTCGAGCGCCAGAACTCTGTAAGATCTATCTTAAGTGGAATGTGACTTATGCTAGGAAGTTACGGAGACCAGGACAGGATTTTATTTTGGGCTGTCCCTTGCTCTACTTTGTTAAAAATACGTGCGAATCTTACGTTATGCCGCTTGCGCACCAGTCAAATCCCAGATGTGACAAAATTGCATAGCTAACATTCTCTATCCGCATTCGTACATCCACGTATTGATAGGGTGGAGAAATGTCATTCTCAGTTACATGCCAGCTTTTTATGTATGAGACGCCAAAGTACTTCTCGATGTTCTACCTTGACTATATATTATGCCGCCTGTGGAAGACATTCATGTGGTAATTTACCACTAAACTGACAATAATTCACGGATTTCACGATGCAGCAACCACATGTACATTGTTCGCTCTTTTCCGCTAAGAACGCGTCGCTAGTCCGTCCAGAAATAGTTATTCGAGAGGCTCGGCAGAAAAATACCGAGCTAAGATTCGTTCGATTCCAATGGCAGGATCATTCAGGAATCCTCCGAGGCCGAGTGGTCCCGATCGAGCGATGCCTACGGTTGGCAGTCGAGAAGAAACTTACCAGGTTGGACCGATCCCCTTTACCTTCATAATAAATAACACGGTTGTGACAGGCCTAGACCATACAGGGGTAGAATGGCTTGTCCCAGACTGGAGCAGCATGCGCACTGGCTCACCAAGCTGTGCTTCAGGAGCATGGTATGCCACTGTGATGTGTGGCGTAGTACGCACCATGCCCGACCAGCGAAGACCAAATTATGGTCTATATCCACGGTGTGCACTAGCAAGGGTCATGCGAAAGGCGGCACACGGTCATGACCTCAACCTTCTGGTGGGGTTCGAGGTAGAGTTCGAGATCATGAAGACCTCTGGCGACAATAGTATTATTCCACATATTAATAGCCTTGGTCGGTTTGCAATTGGGGGACTACGTGAACCATGGTTTGCACAGGTGGAAGAGTGCATTGATGAACTTCTAGATGCGGGTGTCGGTATCCAATCATTCCACACTGAGGGCCGTCGGGGGCAGTATGAGATATCTCTCGACCCACTTCCACCCTTGCAGGCGGTAGATGAGCTAGTGCTGGTGCACGATCGCATGAAAAGAGTGTTCAGTAGACATGGGTATATCGCCACTGTGTGTCCAAAGCCGGTGGCAGGCCGGCGGCAAGCCATTGGCCAGCATACACACATCTCTGTTCATCCGCCACATTGCGAAAGTTCCTTCCTCGCTGGTATGCTCAACCGACTGGGTTCACTCTGTGCGTTCAGCTTGCCATATGATATCTCCTATGAGCGCGTCTAGCCATACCTAGCCGGTGACCTCGTCGCCTGGGGTACCCAAGATCGGGAAGTTCCTATTCGCAAGATGAGCCCTGGACATTGGGAAATCAGATGCGTGGACGCAACTGCCAATATGTACCTAACATTGGCCTCCATCTTGAGTGCTGGTATCCTGGGCCTCATTGGCCAAGAACCCTTGGCTTGGCCAGATACATCACTCCTCCAAGAAGGCGTGAATATGTCTTATGCGGAGCCAGTTTACCTCCCTCGAACCCTGGACGTCGCTCTAGACCTGCTTGAAGCGAATGCAGATGAATTATAAGCGACTATGGAGAGTAAAATCGTGCGCCGTTATATTGCTATCAAAAGGCTCGAATCATCGAGAGTGAAACAGATGAGTCCCAAGGAAGCCAGGGAATTATTCATTGAAATTTTCTAGAACGAATCAGTTTCCCCACGTTCCGGCATGGCATTCCTATGTCCACATTATTGCGTTTTGGACAATGATATTATAAGTGTGCAATTGTCAGGATTCACTGCCATAAAATGAACAATTTTCCCAAATTATATCTCCTGTGACTAGTCTATATGGTCGGCCAGGCTGCTGATTTGCGATTCTTCAATCTGACCCGCCCAAGTTGACAACAAAATGTCGCTACCCCCTACACAAAGGCAGAACAGAACGTAGAATGCACTGTGAAATATGCTGATAGTAATTGAACGACTGGAATACTTGCTTGCCTGAGAGTGTAGAGGAACAGAAGGAATGAAACCCACATGCCGTTTTACATTGCTCACAGCGCGGCTCCCACTGATTTCAAGACCGCTTCGATTATGAATTCTCATCAACATTAGGGTCAAGATATATATATCTACTTTATTGGATAGATATCTTGGTATCTTCCAAAGAATGTTGGTTCCTCTTAGTATGATTGCGTTATGTCATTTGAACTGCAGAGGTATCACCACGAACGCAGATAATACCTCTTATATTCTCGCATTGGACATCTCCGTGTTGATTATTTATTCCTTGCTAATTATTCCAGATATTTTCATCAGCCTGGAAAGGTTTTGGTAGTTGGTTGGGCCCTCCTGCACTTAAAGTGTCGTATACAAGTAGACAAGAGCCGGCGTCATTTGCAGTGCTTGTCAAGCCTACCCCCCAGTCTCTACTGGTCAAGTTATGAAAACTGGCTCGTACGGAATAGATGCAACACCGACAGACCTTTCGCACTACTTTGAACTCTGCCATAGATCTATCATCAGATGTCGCACTCCCCAATCCGGCGGGCCCGGAGCAAGCCTGCCCAATGCAGATGCCCTACCCATAGATAGTGTGGTATTTAGAGTATCCACATCTATGCCGTGTAATCCAGTAAATACGGTGTTCTATACATGATCTGCAGCAGCGCTTCCCTATAAAGTAGTGCTCCTAGGCAAAAGCGCATAGCACTTTATGTCAAGTAGTCAAGGATTCAGAGCAATGTAACAGAAGTGTAGAATGTCTACAACCGCATGCAGAAGAAACACGTCTGGCGAAAGCGGATGTAGGAATCATCGAATAAACTACTCCGAACACGAAGCATCAGAACTGCGTAGCTCCCGGCTCTCGGGGCTATATTAATAGTACTGAATTCCAGCCTCTGTGTGACAGAAATGGCAGTGACGAAGTAAGAAGACACAACAGCTTAGCAATATGGCACCACTGAAGATCATTGGAGCAGGCTACGGCCGCACTGGGACGCTGAGTCTCTGTAGGGCTCTTGATATACTCGGGTACGTGGCTACACCAACAAACAACGCGAACGCAGGGGGCGCAGAGTGATGTCGCTACATTTTACACTAGAAGGTTAACCGGAAGAAATCCAGGTACTCCTGCCATCATATGGAAAAGATGCTTCTTGATGAGACCCAAGATCCAGTGTTATTCACGGAAGCGTATAAGTCGAGTTCTGGCGCAGACTGGGATCACATCTTCCGCGGATATGACGCGGCCGTGGACTGGCCTGCTGCGGCTTTCTGGGAAACTCTACTGAAGAAGTATCCAGATGCCAAGGTAATCCTGACAGTGAGGGATCCAGAATCCTGGTATAACTCTGTTGGAAAGACAATCCATGACTGGCCTATGAATGACGGGTCTGCATGGCCAGAGAAAATGCTGGCTTCACGGAAAATGGCACGGACGGTTGTTAAGGAAGGAGAGCTAAAGCTCTACTCAGATAAGACCGCCATGCTTGAGCATTATAAGGAGCATATTACCAATGTGCGTCGGGTGGTCCCAAAGGACCAATTGCTGGTATTCGAATCGCATCAGGGATGGGAGCCGTTGTGCAAATTCCTGGGCATCGATCCGCCATCAAACATCCCTTACCCCCACCTCAACAGAGGTAGCCTCTTCAGAGAACGGTTACTGCGGGTGAAGGAAAAGATTGAAGAGAGCATGCCACGAAAGTGGGTCCTACCACCCCGGTTAAGGATAATAAAAAGCAAGAAACTGCAGTACTAACGGTAAAAATGTCCACGAACAGGTCCTCTTACCACGATCATCCCTTCCCGCATGCGGCAGTCTCGGAAATTGCTGCCTGGGAGGAAGCATGTCAGCTCCTCTAACTATGTTTACAGAGCAACCACGTTAGAAAAAATACAAGTGCCTAATGCAGCGGGCTCACAGTGATGCAAGGGCTCTTCGGTCCGGTACTGTACTGTGGTAATAGTAGCATAGTTACAGTGTCAACGTCAACAACGACATATGTGAGGTGCCAATCCACGGACTCCAGGCCCACATACCAGGCCAGAACACTGGGTTCAGTGGACCTATTATCGTACTCAATGTTACCATCTGTCATTATCTCTCCCGAAAGTTATTCTATCTAATTTTAAGTCTCCTTCCTTCCAATAGACTATACCGTTCGTGAGATCGATGAGCTACCGTACTTAACCGCTGTTATTTACGAGGTCCTTCGTTTGTATCCGCCGATCAGCCAGCTAATCAACCGTATCACACTAGAGGCATTCGAGTTAGACAGCCAAATCATTATTCCAAAGGGGACTTGGGTAGGATGGAATTCGTATGGGGTACACACGAATCCGGAGTTCTGGGGGCATTGTCGAACGAGTTTCAGCCTTTGCGTTGGGGCTCATATATTGACTCCGTCAACAACCTCTTCCGTCTGTCTCAGGCTAAGGGGTATTTTATTCCATTTAACGCATATTCACGCCGATGTCCGGGGAGCAGCTTCGCTCTTATCCAGATGAAAGTGGCCCTGATGGAAATCTTGCGCAGAGTTTCTTGGACAAACGATCCAACGTACCTCTTCTCCATTACATCAGTATGTACATCTCCCGTTCCGAAATGCTTGATATAATTATTTCAATGCTCACAGACACATAGCGCTCTGTGCTAGCTCCCCAGAATTCTCGCATAATATTCAATCCCCGTTGATGGACCCACTACGATAGACAGAACTGTCTTTCCGCCCCATGAGGTAAGCCCAACTGCACGTTGCCTAATGACGATAGAATTTTAGGCCAATATGTCTATATTGGTCATCTGTAAGTAGACCTTGGACTGGGTCTTTGTTTGAATGGATGCAATACCAGCTCGTCATATGTTATACCGAGCCTCTGGCCTTTCCTATAGGGGAGTGCTTACTACCGCCAATATCATTTGAAAACTATAATACACTACAGAAGCTACGGATGCATAGGCGGCTGTTTTGGGGTCAGAGTGATCATATTTCAAGAGCTTACTCCACTTCGTATCATAAATTCCGAGCATGTAGACCTTGGCGAGCAGTAGAGACGAGACGGTCCCTTTCCGGGCCTTCCCAGATTGCATCTTTGCTCTACTCGGATACTCCTATTCTTCTGCTCCATGATGGGGATGAGAATAAGCTGTATATACTATTCTCCCATATAACATGGATAACCCTTCCAAGATATTTGTTATCGCATATCTTGTACCTTAGCTATTATGTTTCCCTGTCTACCTATCTGGGTGACTGGACATTTCACATAACTACCTACGCAGGCATGCCCGCACTAAACTGGATTCAGAAGGATGTATTCAGTATTCATCAAGTCATGCCGCCAATATAATACAACGATTGTACCACACTGACATTGAGCCTACATAGCCCTACTACAGAAGGGGTCCTGACTTGAAGGTTGGTTGATGTCCATACAAGTGGGTACACCATCGTTACTTTCCATGCGAGACTTAATTTCATTGTGCAGGGATCATGTGGTTGCCTAAGGCCTCTAGGCACCTACAGAAATGGCACCTTTTCTTGACCTCGATAAGATGATCGTAGATGCTATCTTTGATAGTGCGTAATGCACCATCATTATATTCCTTGTGAGACGGCCTCCCAAAGGACAATCAGAAAACGCCTCGGTTATACGTCCAATGAGACCTTGACTGGCAAGTCAGAGCAGCAACCCGACGCAGGAAACTCAAGAGCAGAGCGTTAACAGAATTTTCGTCTTCCCGGCCCATAAGCAAACGACGCTTCAAGGTGAACACGATGCAGAGCCCAGCCGTCGACATAAAAAGAAGCCGTGGGGTTTCAAACCCACGCCCAAGCCTCCTCCCTTTTCAACGGGGATATCATTTTTTTGGTAATTGGATGAGATACTTTCGCGCGAGAGTGGGGGAAATAAGTTTAAGACAGTATGTACTATAGAACCTCCTCGATAGTGATATTATCCAATAGTATAACCTTCACATCGATGCTTATAGCAAGCATTTAAAATCATCACGGTGAACCTGTTATATAACATGCCAATGACCTTTCCTCTGTGGACCTCCTATAGGTGACGATGAGCAAGACTGCATTACAAGCGTGACAAGGGCCAATATATCTTGATGATCACACAAGGAACAAAAAGGCGATGTGTAGCATTCGACCGCTCCTAGACTTTTGATAAGCGAGACTGCAAGAGGCGAAAAGAGAGGATCGGGTCGAAGAGTTAGAAGGGGGAAAAGAGGGAGGAGACAAGGAGACGATGGTGGCATAGAGTGAAGGAGTCGGTGCATCTTCACCATTTGCATATTTGGGTCCAAGGAATGAACGAATCTCTTAGCGATTATTATTATTACACCCGCTCCTCTAAGGACTCATTCACCCTAACTAAATCCCACGCAAATGTTTAGGAGAAAGCGTACAAAATACACACTGGTCATTATGATGCTGTTCGTTGGGCCAGTGAAAACTAAGTTGGACGTTGCGTCGCCAGGTCGTGTGACAGGGCATTGGCATCCAGGCATGGTGAGTGGCTTGCCTCAAGACGACATCACTATAAATCATTCAATGAGCGGTAAAGATAAAACGCTATACCGTCGTGATATCTGAATGCTAATGTACTACGCTAGAATCCCTTACAAAGGACACATGTAATGCGTCAACTACGTGCTTGAGCTCTCGAGCCATACGCACCCAGGCAAGAAGTCATGTAGTCAGCAGAGGAAGACATCTACCAGCCATTGCTAATGCCAAGTATAGAATAGACACCAAACTCCATATGCTAGAACCTTGATAGTACCTTGACCGTACGGAGTGATCAACCACGATATATTAATAGTACTTTGGGTTCTATAGCCCTTCAGTAGCCTTAAGCTTTGACGCATGATCTACTAGTCTTTCCGCCAATATGGCAAAGGTAGCACAAATCCTTATCCCAAGTCCAGTTAAATATCGTTTCTAAGTTTCCAAACAACTTCCTGGTCACGGCACGTAGTGTGCAGCGCATCTCGCTGCCGCCATACACTGAGATCTAAATGCAGGCCCAAATTAAACAAGCAATGTCTTGCGCGTGTAAAGGGCGATTTATCTAAATCGGAGTTGATAGTTTTGAATACAATACGAGGGACAGTCCCTTTTGTTGTAGGGATGGCTGTCAGCGATCAATGAATCGCAAAGCTGGAGGTGTTAAAGCTACCTAGCTTGTCGACATGTCCGGTGTCGCCATCTCCTTCCTTCTGGGGACTTTGTAGGAGTTTGAAACGCGTTGAGAATTAATTTATAGACCGATTTGCTTGCGAATCCATTCGTCCTCCGCAAGCTCTTTCGCAGAGCTACGCTTCTCTGGCTCCCACTGCAATATCCTTCGCATCATACGTAGAAAGCTCTCCTTATCCTCGCCTTCAAGGGTTGTTTCCCTCTGTTCGAGCGGAGTAAGATCTTGTAATAAAGTTGCCTCACGAAATTCACCCGATCCGGAGAAGAACTTTTGGCTTTGCTTGCCCCGGGCAAGAAGACTGGGTGGAGGAGGGCCAAGGAGATTTATCATCTCAGCAAGATGCGCTCTACTCCGGTATGTCTGGAATTCAGGATCATGGCCTGTGAATAAAGAGCCACCTTCGAAGATGTTCCAGATCTGTGACGAGATTAGAGGGGTCCGTCAATACCATTAGGCTGTTTGTTCTCTTACCATGCACCCTACATTCCAAATGTCAATACTGTAAGACCATGGAACTTCCAAAATTACCTCTGGCGCTCGGTAGATATCAGGCTGGACATCTTCTAAATGTTCTATATCACCCAACATAGCCGAGCCAAAGTCACATAGAACGGGGGCGCCTAGTTTTCCCGGAATCATTTCGAGCTCTCGGGAGAGGAAGATTGCTCTTCCATCTAGCTCCTTTCTTGGAGAAGGATCTTGGAGTTCGTCCTCTTCAAACTTGATGAAGACTGAATTGTCAGCGAGTTCAAACATGATGTTATTCGCCTTGATGTCTAATCCAAGTTAGTACACAACAAGAATAAAGGAATCCGGTTGTTGTATACCAGTATGGATAACCTGGCACTCTGTATGCAGATAGTCTAGCGCTAGAAACACCTGTCGAAGCGTAAAGGCTAGAACTGGTTTAGGCAACCTCTGAACGGGGTTACGATGGAGGAAGTCCCAGACACTCTCAAATAATGGGGGATGAACAAGACAATGATGCTTGTCTTCGGGGCCGTCAATATGAAAAGAGTCGAGCAGAGGCCTGATCGCGTTGCGACCTGGATGCTTTGAGGCTCTGTCAATCCGTTGATACATCTTGAGCTCATCATCCAGCTGTCGCCCCATGGAAGCAGCCTTGATAAATATTTTGAGAGTCACATAAGAGCGGCAACTGTTATTATCCTGCATAAGCAGGTGTATGTAGACTGCTGCTATGGGGCCCTTACTTCATATCTCGCGCAAGCCATACAGTTGAGGTGGCTCCATATCCCAATTTTCCGATGACTTGATATCGGTCCTTGATTACTTCGCCGATTCGAGTAGGATAGTAGCGTGCGGGAATATAATCGGGTAGGGCTTCCTCTTCAATTGTTTGACTTGGAGAGATACGGCCGAAATTCGCATTAGAGAAGTTGAGGGGCTTCCATGTTCGCCCAAGCGGGAGTCGAGGTAAAGACCGCGGAAGCCAAGAAAACATCTATCCAGAACAAGGGTGAAACATAAAACTGACGATGTTGACGTGAATTCTACGACTAAAAGCAGAGTTACAGAAGATGTAAAGAGGTTCTTAAGGATTCTTCACCGGGAATCAGTGTAGATTGACGCAATACATAGATATGTGAGAGCGGGAACAGGGGGATGGAGTTGATTAAACCGAGCGAAGTGAAGCTTGGGGGTTGGGATGCTTGGAAAATTACATAATCATCTCAACCGCAATATCGCTGCCTGAGGCGTCAGTTGCCTTATTCAACCGTCTAGCATTCCGTGATCTGAGGCGCTTTGGTTTTTTTTACCTCAGATCCGCAGCACGAAATTAGCCATTTTCAATGGCAACGCCCTCTTCGTAGGGGGTTTGGTAGGCGAACAATAGCCCTGCTACTCCCGCATTGGGCTCTCTGAGCGCCTCTCCTATTTGTAACCAAGTTTGCGCAAACGTGGAGTACGCAGATCAAGTGGTTGCTTATGGAAGATGTTTCACTTGCACAGATCTGCACATAATAAGTGGCCCTAGTGTCCCCTGCGCTTTTCGTTTGTCCTTATACTCTGGTACGAGGTAGCTTAATGTTTGGCAGTATGTGTTTTATCGATGACAGCTTAGAAATCTTATATTTGAATTTGGCATTGGTAAACATCGTGGGATGGTTATTAGGCGTGTTTGAAAAGCACGTTTCAGTTGGCCTAGAAATCGAGATTTCATGAATGCAACGCCAAATGAGTTGACTTATTATATATTTACAAATTGGCTTTTGAGATCGTGTTTGAAAGATTATCACAACTGCTTCAGGTTCTGATCTTACGATTTTATCAGCTTTCCACCATTCCAGACATGCGTGATATTCTTTGAGTTAGACAGAACTGCAATATTTCCCAGTGGATTCTCTCTCACTGCAATGATGTCTGCGTCAAACCCTTCCTTCAGCTGACCGCTCGGTGGCGCTTGGTAACCTAGAGTAAGCGGCCCATTCGCCGTGGCAGCTTCAATGGCCGCGAGAGGGGTTAAGCCGGCATCTACCGCATACCTCACTTCATGGCCATTGCGACCGTAGCCTATGATCGGATTATCTGAGCTGATAAACTGATCGGTACCAAGGGCTATGGTGACACCTCTTGAAACAGCAAGTTCGTACGCTTGTTTGTGTGCATCAGCGACTTCGAGGAGCTTCTGATAGGATGACGGGGTGAAAAGATCTTTCATTGCTAGTCCACTCTCAATGACACTGCGGGTGGCTACTAGAATCGCACCTTTCTCCTTCATCAGCTCAACAGCCTCTTCATCGAGGAAGCTGCCATGCTCGATCGTGCGACAGCCGGCGTGCAATGCATTCATAATCCCCGCTTTACCATGACAGTGAGCAGCGACGACCCGGCGTGCCCGCGCCGCTTCGTCAACGATTGCTTTCAGCTCCTCGAAGGAGAACTCCTGGTGGTGCGGGTCATCGATAGCGCTCACGACGCCTCCACTAGCACAGACCTTTATGACTTTTGCACCCCGGCGCAACTGCTTTCGCACAGCGAGCAGGCATTCAGGTACACCGTCAGCAATTGTCAATGGTAGGCCATGGGCGCACAGGTCAAGCAGCGAGTCCCTATGGACGCCGTGAACATCACCGTGTCCCGCAGTCATGCTTATGGCAGAATGACTTGAGTAAATATTCGGCCCACGGATTCGGCCCTCTGCTACGACCTTTGCAAGGTCACACCCATAGCCCCCGACCTCACGCACTGAGGTGAACCCGGCCATAACGGTGGCGTGCAGGTCCGGCACGCTCCGAGCACCTGCCAGAGCCTGTGACGTGTCGACGATTGCATTCATCGTTGCTGCTGTGGCGCCCAGGAAGTGGATGTGGCAATCCCACATCCCTGGCATTACGACAGGAACATGGGTGGTTGTGGCCCCTTGAAACTCTGCAGGGACCCCTGATTGGGGTCCAGCGTACCGAATGGTTTTGGATTGCCATATCACGGCGCCGTGGGGGATCGGATCCCCTTTTCCTGGTATGAGCAGGTCAGCATCGACCCGATGAAATCTGTCGTCTGTGAGCATCCTGTGCATGCTTCTCTCGTGGCAAACAAACTCGGGAGCCAGCAATATGATCGGATGGTGGTCTGAGTATCCCCTGCTCGGTTGTTTATGTGGACGGAGCCGAAGGATTCATTAAATAACTACCATGCTGACCCACATTTGCATGGCTATGGCCTGTAGGGGAAAGAACATTGATCATTTTCATTTACGATGTGGTTCGATTCAAGGTGGGACTGTAGTGTTCTTGCGTGCAGCCAAAGACATGCATCAAATACTTCATCCGACGCTATCACCTTTTCGGTCAGGTCGAAGCGAGCCCTTTCATTACCTGATCGGGTTTAGCCACACGGGTTGGAGTTTCGAAGGATGGCTTAAGACGTGACAGTATTACGCTTACATGCAGCTAAGAGCCACTAACAGGGTGGTGATGCATCTAGAGAAACAAGATACCTTCCATGTAGGCCTAGCTGGAGGTTAATTTATACGGTGTTAGTCGGTGCAGCTAGACTGCAAGAGAGGTCGTTCCGTCCGGGTGGCGGGGTCTTTAAGAAACTCATGGCTCCCGATAAGATTCATTTTCTGTCCTTGCTTTGCTTCCCTGTGTGAGAGAGGGTATTGTAGCGAGTCTTTTGTTTGGTCAGCTGGACTGATAATATGGCTATGTCGGACTACAGCAGTTCTCCCGGGTCGGAGCCTAAGGGCCCTAATGAGAGAGTTGATGAACATCAACCGCTGACGATGATGGAAGAAAAGGCGATCATACGTCGCATTGACCTCTGGTATATACATAGCACTTTGCCACCGTGAACTTGAAGTGCCCAAAGACAGGTAACATGGACTAACATCATTTAGTCTACTTCCTCTGATGTTTGTCTCGTACCTGCTACAGTATCTGGACAAGACCGCGATGTCGTATACCTCCATCCTTGGGCTGTTGTCTGGAACGGTACGCTGGTGTTACACCTTCTTTGGCATTCTACAAGCATCACAGTCTGACTGTAGTGATTCATATAGCACATGAACACCGACCAGTACTCATGGGCCTCCAGTGCGTTCTACTTCGGCTACATGGTGGCATCCTATCCTGTATCCATAGGATTTGTCAAGTTTCCCATTGGGAAATATCTCTCAATCATGATGTGAGCCCAGTGCATACCATCTCATCAGGCAGCAGCACCTAACTCCTCCAGGATCATTTGGGCGATCATCCTGACATGCCATGCGGCCGCCTCCAGCTTCGCAGGTATAACAACGCTGCGTGTCTTACTTGGCGTTTTTGAAAGTGCCATCAGCCCGGGTTTCACTATCGTGGTAGGCATGTGGTACACACCCTCCGAGCATGCTCTAAGAAGCTGCATCTGGTTCGCTGGCAACGGCGTTGCGTCTATCTTCGGAGGAGTTCTCTCCTATGCAATCGGCCACGTTCACAACCGCCTGGGTCCATGGCAGGTATATACAACAAGCTCCCAATACCACCCTACCAAAAGAAGCCATCAGACTAACCAGTGTACCAGTGGGTATTCATAATCTTCGGCATCATTACCCTCGTCTGGTCGATCTTCCAATTCTTCGTCCTACCCGACTCTCCATTGAATGCCAAATTCCTCTCCCCCTCGCAACGCGGCCCAGCCTACCGTCGCGCCCAAGCCTGCCAACAAACCTACCAAAGCCGCGAATGGAAGAAAGACCAATTTATCGAAGCCCTCATCGACCCCAAAACCTGGTTCCTCTTCACCTACAACTTTTTAGTTTCCCTCCCCAACGGCGGAATCACCAACGTAAGCACCCACCCAGACCAGCTGACTGAAACCATTACTAAATAAATGTACCCCAGTTCTCAAGTCTAGTAATCGCCTCGTTTGGCTTCGATACCTTCAACACCCTTCTCTACACCATCCCTATGGCAGCAGTAGCCCTGGTCTTCCTCCTCCTCAGCGCCCTCACCTGCAACCGCTTCCGCGGACTCCGCTGCTACTGGATGATCATTACCTTACTGATCAGCCTAATTGGAATTCTCCTCATGCGTCAACTTCCAGTCGAGAAGAAATGGGGCCGTCTCGTAGGCGTCTGGCTGGTCACTGTGTTTGGTGCCGGATTCCCCCTCAGCCTTAGTCTAGTCTCGAGTAACTTCGCAGGCTTCACGAAGAAGACGACCGTCACTGCGATCTTGTTTATTGGGTATTGTGTCGGGAATATTGCGGGTCCGCAGCTTTTTAAGAAGAATCAGGCGCCGCATTACTACGTGAGTTTTCTCTCTCTTTCTCTTCCTTCCTCCTTTTCTTTTAAGCTGGTTAGGGTTAGTGGGTGTATGCTGACAGATAGAATTAGTCTGCCTTTGCCGCCATTTTGGCTTGTTTTTGTATTGCTGTTCTTGATGTGGCTTTGCTACGTATTTACATGGTTTGGGAGAATAAAAGAAGGGATCGGAAGCAGGGCCGTGTTATTGAGCCCGAGACTCCGGATGCGGAGGGCTCGGAAGACTCGACTGCGAGGAGGGAAGTGGGTGATGTGTCGGATTGGCAGAACCAGAATTTTCGATTTTGTTTGTAGGGTATCATCTTCTCTTCTGTGACTCTACTTGACTTAGTGTATATAAATAATGGTAAGGTGGGGTGGATGATTTGGATAAACGTAATTCATCAAGGGTATATATATATAGCTAGCGTAATAGACGGAACAATATAGTACGATTAAGCAAAGCTCGTCTGCCAGCCAAGAGATTCCATCGCAGATTCCCATTCGAAACGACCGACTCGTAAACTGTTGTCTGACTCCGTCTGCATATCCCTGCGCTCCCAGAGTAGCTCCACTAATGTCTGAGCTCGCGGAATATTCTCATATGGGGCCTTGTCTCTGGCGGTACGAAATATTTGTAGCGCTCTACTCTCTTCGACCCGTGAGCAGCAACAAGAGGCAATGAACAGGGGCCATAGGGGCCAGGAGATGGGGAGATGATCCACCGATGATACCACGTAATTCGCCAGGTGAAAGATGCGGTCTACATATTGTGCCCTCTGAGCCGTATCCCTCAGTTCTTCAAGACTCTGGGTAGGAGCTGGGGTATACCCGAGGAAGTGAGGACTAACAGCCTCTGATAGGAGAAGATAGGCTGCCAGACGATAGGCCTCGCTTGTGCTTTTCAGTAAGCGAAATCCATGTCCATATTCGGCAGAGCTGCGGTTTTTATATAAGGAAACCGGGATTATTTGTGTTGTTGTAGCTAGACTTGTTTCCAAAGTTGTGATCTTATCCCTGATTTCTGCATGTTTCTGCTGCACTGCTAGCTGGGGAGTGGACGGGTCTGAGGATTGGTGGCGGAGTGCTTGAGCATCATGCTTAAGACTCAGAATTTCGTTAATGAGCAGCAGCATGTGGCTGCTGAGGCCATTCCACACGTCAATTTCATGGAATGTGTCCGCTGGCATCACCTTGACGAGATCCTTGGTAGTAGTCCAGGATACCTTGTCTGTGTTGGTCCAGTTGGGGTTAGACGGACTGGTTGGTATTTCACCGACAGGCAGTATGTCATCAATCGAGAACAGCGATTTGGCTAGGACAAGATGCGCGGAGAAGTAGCTGATGAAGAACTGTGGTACCGGAGGAGCGTTTCTGTGGCCATGGGCCATCTCCCTCACGATCAACTGGAAACAGGCGAGATGCTTTACCCAGGAGCCGTCGCAGCTATTAGAGATCTAATTTCAACATTAGTCGCAATCCTCTTACCGAATCATGAATGCTATCGCTGTCAGGGCATTCTAGTATATTGTGGAGCCTTCACATACCGCAGAAGAGCACAGAAAGATCGTCGGCACCAACAAATCCTCCCAATCCAAATCCTCTTTCATCAAGGCTCGCCGCAAGCCTCTAAGGACCCTCGAGCGGATTTGGATTTCCATTAATTCGAACCTACTCTCTACCGATCGCAGATAATGTGCACTGGCCATAAGAACGGCATAATAAGCTGTCTCGGTCCGAAACACGAGACGCATCACCGTGCTGCGAAGGGGGTTGAAGCGCTCATCATCGACGGTCACCCCAACAGCGCACATTACAGAATTGTAGAACGACAAACACACATCGTCCACGTCTGGCACGCCGAGACTCCATGGTAGCAGGGGCACTGGACGCGAAATAGTCGTGGCGCTCTTCCAGTTCTCGTAGTGAGTGTAATAGGCGACTCGGCTGCTCGGCGTGGCCGGTAGTGGGCTATTGGCATTGGGTGGAGAGCGGATCGCCACGGAACCAATATCGCGTTGCCGATGGGTCATGTCCTTGCGTCTGGCCCGTGTCAATAGTTGGAATTCTCCGTCGTTTGCCGGTGGGTGCTGCACGGAATGTCTCCTCGATTGAACGCCTGTTCGTCCGTGGCACTTCCCAGCTGTCCGCATCTCGTCCTCCCATTGCAGCTGGAGTTCGTAGCTACAGCGGTTCTTTGATCGCTGACAGCGTGTGCAGGCTGGACGACTCTCTATATCGATAGTGGATAAGCCTCTAACCTTTTATCCCATATTGGATAGATACGACAGCTCTAAACTGAACCTGGAATTTCGGAGACCGAGCCGGACCAAAAATGGTAGAACGGGATTGCACGTACCATCGCATTTCACCCGCCTCCTGCGGCAGGTATTGCAGCCGTTGCGGGTTCGGACTCTAGGTCTGAGCTCTTTGACCGACGATGTACTCGACGAGTCAGATCGTGGGGAGACCGGATCTGGCTTCATGGACCAAGTCATGAACATGTTGTGTTGTTGTTCCTTTAATGCAAGAAACTCGCGGGTCGTCTCTCTGCAGTCCCTCAGGAACCGTGGAAGTGGAGGGTTGGCCCAAATAACGAGAAGGAAGGAGCGGCACGAAGGTAAAACAAAGGATTTGAATTTAGGCTCTTGGCCTACGACGTGATATGGGAATACGTACGGGGGATCGAGGCAAGTGGGGAGAGAAAATGAGCTGATATGGAACATCACCACTCGTATTGTATGCCGAGAAGGATCGACCATCTGTGGTTATGGTTATTGGATAGTCGCTCATTCAGGTGTAGGCCCACCTGGGCCGCCATTGCGGACACTAGAGCAATAGTCAAAGCCTGTTGACGAGCTTGTCTCAGCCGTCACGCTCAAGTCCATGTTTTAAATGAGCGACTGTAACATTGGCTTGTTCTGTCTCGCAAGGCCTGGTATTTCAGTTTCAATCCATGCCAGGCTTTCTAGACCTTGTCGCTCTCGTGGGATTCAATTAGTCCAGGCGTGCAGACCCGCCTTGGAGGTGGATTAAAAAAGTTATGCAGCAGATTAGGAATCAACAGGACAGCTTTTTATGAATTTGATTGCATGATCTGAAGGATTCGGCCCCTGGAATAATACGATGAGAGCTAGAACCATGCAAACTCATATTAACGGCACTAGAAACGGACACAGTCCGTTAAAGTCCCCATGAAACCCCTTTGCCTTGTCTTTGTGGGCAGACGCCAACCGTCAGTGTCAGTTTAAGCAACACTGATGCTGTCGTCTCCGAAACAGAAGGGCGATATCCTACCGGACTTGTGTGCGTGTCAGGAACGTACCCCAACATGACGACCTGGGACGGAACCCCGTCGAGAGAGACATTGGTGATTGTGGGATACATAGTTCCCACGGTCTTGTTGGTCGCGAGCACGGTGCTGCGACTGTGTGCTAAAATATCGAAAGAGGGCCTTCATTTAGATGACCACCTAATCATCCTGGCAAGTGTCTGTCTCCCCACACACAAACTGGGTCCATGCGTATAATGGTGATCGCTGATCCTATATCAGGCCCTAGAAGTAGCATACTCGGTGACGATGCTGGTCTGCGGTACGTCCAATGGGTTCAGTGTCCCTCCCTTATTATTTTTTAGTCCCTGCTGATCCCAGCAGGTGTGGGCCATGGATTTGGTCATCACACCGCAACAGTCGACCTCAAGGACCTGGAAATATTCTTAAAGGTCAGAGCGCCTGTTGGTCCCTCCAAACCTCGGCCTGGCTTACAACAGACACAGGGAGAGTATATTGCCAGTCACCTTTACAACCTCTTTCTTGCGGCAACAAAGCTCGGGATCCTCGTCCTATACTACCGTATCTTCCCCATCCCCTGGTTCAGCAAGACCGTGATCGGGTGTTCGATATTTGTTCTGATATGGATAACCATCATCGAAGCATTTATGGGCGCACTGTGCCGCCCGCTGAACGCATTCTGGGATCGCACCGTCAAGGGTGAATGCTTCAACTCCACAGCCCTAACATACTTCGTCAACTCCTCCAACATGGTCACGGATCTCGTGCTTTTCGGTCTTCCCATCCCCGTCATCGTAGGAGTCCGCACAACGCGAAAGAAGAAGATCGCTCTTATTACAATCTTTTCCATTGGATTCATGTACAACAACCTCCTACAATCTTGAAGCCCAGACCTCGGCCCACCAGAACTAACAAAGAGTCAACAGAACGTGCGGCATAAGTGCCGCCCGCCTAGCCTACGTCGTTGCGCAAGGCTCAGCAGACATTACCTGTTAGCTCCATCTCCCCCAAGCTGAAATATATTCCAAAGATTAACACAAAAATAGGGGAAGGTGTGCCACTAGGAGTCCTATCCGCCTTTGAATCCCTCGGCGGGGTCCTCTGCGCCAACCTCCCGATAATCTACCGATTATTCAAAACCGCCGCACAGAAGATCACGAGCAGTGTGTCGGGTCAGAAAAGTAAGACCACGAATTTGCAATATGGGTACGATTCCAGGGCATACGGGTCTAGATCCCACGGACGCCAGCATCGACGCAGTACAGACAGTGAGAGGTGGATTCGGATGCCGAATGAGAGTGATTCTACCGAGGTGCAAACGAATGTGCATTGTACGAGCCCTGATGTAAAGCCTGATGGGTTTGAGATGGGGCCTATCCCTAGAGATGGAATTGCTGTTCAAAGGGAGTTTCATACGAGGGTTGAGGAGAGGGTTTAGTAGTTAGGGATTGGGGTGTATATATTGGATTAACATTTTAGGTTTGGGCGGTTACATTCTTTTTCTTTTGGTGATATCTAGGTTCAGTGGATAGGTATTTATTTTGGGGACTGGGAAAAGGTAATACGAACTGCTGTACACATGGGACTTTATGATTGATTTTAATATTCAGGATGTACATACTTTTCAGTGGCCGACGTCCATTGTGAAATACCATGTTGGCAGCCTGAGGCAGTCGATACGATAAGGCATCAAATAATTGGGGGCGAAATAGCAATCACTAATACTGCTGATTAGCACCGTGGCTGCATATCCACTAACCTGTCAGCCTAATCATTCCTCTCAAATACAATACCTTTATCTGAAATGAATAACCCCAGGAAAGCTCCCCGAATCTGCGGCAGCAAAGTAAACACAGGCTGCATAACCTGCAAGTGCGGAACCCTAACCACTTAACGTATTAAAAGTCAACAGTACTAACATAGCCCAGAAAGCGACACATAAAATGCGACGAAGCAAAGCCAAAATGCCAGAAATGCACCTCAACTGATCGCCCATGTAGTTACAAAATTCTTCAAAAGACGCAATCCCCTCCTAAATTACGGGTGGTAATCTACCGCGCACCGGAACCTAGGTTGTCATTTCTCGCATCCGACGAGGGAAGACAAGCATTTGACTTCTTCCTTCATCAAACGAGGTATCGCTTTCCAGCGGACTTCTCGGATCCAGTACTACGATCTACGAACAACGATGAAGCGCTTGCGCGCACGGTGGTCGCATGTGGGGCTCTGCAGCAGATCTATGAGCATGACGATGACCCTTTTCTTTTGAGTCCGCTGGGTCAGTTCGCTATGCGGGAGTATGGACGGGCACTAACGAATGTGAGGATTCGGCTTGCAAGTGATGGGAGGGATCTGACTCTGGTTTGCTGTTTACTTTTTGCCTGCTTTGAGTGTATGAGGGGCTGTCCAAGGGCGGCGGTTGTTCATATTAAATCCGGATTGGATATACTGCTCCGGTGTGGAGAGGAGCTGATGTGGAATATCGTATCGCGAGAAACGATGGTATATCTGTTCATGAGATTGGACAACCAGTTGGTCGGGTTGTTAGGTACATCGCTGTCTCGGACGTTGAGGCGGGATGGTGACCGAGGCTCGTCTATCTCGGCGAGGATTAACCTCGCATCTAGTCGCAACGATGCGGAGCGTTCCTTGGATGGTGTCCTGAATTCTATCTTCCATGACCGGCTAGATATGGCGCTTACTATGCAGAATCGACCGGGCTCTGCCCTTCCCCTTGACCCGGGACAGACATCGAGGTATTTGAATGAGTGGCACGCTAGATTTGTGGAGACTATACCGTCGACTGGGCTAACTGGTCAGTCCGAGAGGTCATATATATATGGTCAGGATACTGGCCTCACGCGTATTTGGTATCTCATTGCAAAGATGTATGTTGCTATCCCACCAGGCTCTCCAGAGAATGTGTGGGATCAGTTTCAAGAGGAATTCGAGACCGTTATTTCGCTTGCGGAGAATTACCTATTGCGCACAAGGTTGGTTATATTCTTCCAGGTTTAACTGGCCTAAATGGTATACTGAGCTTATAATAGGCAATTTTCTCAAAAGCGGACGTTTTCTTTCAATCTTGGCATTGTCTCCCCGTTGTATATTGTGGGCGTGCGCTGTCGAGAGATGAGAATTCGTCGTAGGGCGATCTGGCTCCTAGAGAGCTGCGAAAGACGGGAGGTATTATGGGATTCTACGCTGAGTGCAATGACAGCTAGGCGTGTCATGGAGTTTGAGGAGTCTCTTAATACTGGGCTGGAGTTATTTGGACGGAAAGTTAGGAATGTGACCGCTGTTTTAGACGATGATAATGGGGTCCGTGTGGAGTTTGAATAATTTTTCTATATCGCTAGTGTATATAATTAGAACGATTATGCCTATTTCGCTTAAGCTGTATCCCAGCCTTAATAAACGACACCCCACTAGCTACATCTAGGAGACAGGCCACTTGACCAGAAAGTCTTCCACAATGGCCGTACCATTTAGTAGTGTCGCCTTCTGATTGTCTGTACAGGTCGTAGGCATGTTGAGGGTGTAGCACACAGGGGCTGCTGGGGAAGGGAGCTTGTTCTTTCTGTCAAAACTAGAATGTGGGCCTCGGGTCCTGTAGGTCTCCCTGCGTTTGTCCGTCAAGGTAATATTTCCTGTTGCAATATCCTTCGTGTTTATGATCCGCGAGAACACGCGGAACATAGTCTCAGGTTGGAAGGCAGCAGCTGTAAAGTCAGCATACGCTCAACGAACCAGTCGACTCTCAAAACCTACCGGCATGCCCTGCATTAAAAACCCTTGTAAAGGAAAGATTCCCATGTTGTCGAACAACACCGCCCACGTAAGTTTGATTTGTGATGAGATCAGTATACCCGCTGGAGCTGAACGCCGCAGACTGGTCGTGCTTAATGGATAAGCTGACGTTCTCGCCGCCCATCCCTATTGTTATCGTAAGTTAGTATTCTAGTTGAACGAGTAAATCACTTACAATTGCAGAGATAGTCCCGATCCCCATAGATAAGATTAACTCTAACACCCCGTTCCATGATCGATGCAAAGTCGTCCATTGCTTTTCCACGGGTGATGAGCGCATTTCCGGTACTCCAGAATGCTACTATCATTAGCACTTATCGTGGGGGGAAAATTCCTATCTGAGAAAGATCACACCATTGTAAACAGCATTGGAATTCGCAGTGAAATTCACCGGAACACCCAAAGCGTGCTGCACCCATGCTCGATTAAAAAAACCATCCGAGTACGGCTGCGGCATAGTCGAGGTAGGAACCTCGGCCAGGTCATGAACATCGCGCTACAGCAGTTAACACACATTCATGAGACCATATTCAAGAACTCACCCTGGACAAGGCATAAACTCCTAACACGTTTTCATAGCAGTATTCATCAGCAGCAGAACACACAGCATTGACTTCCGCATTATTGCCGAAGTTATGCGGGTCCAGCTTCTGCGCGAGTGCCTGGCATTTCACAGCCCTATCCATACAGCCACCAGGACTGGTCAAATTATGTTTAGCTTCTTCGTACTGCGCCTCAGTGATGGCTTGTATGCCGTAGGTATTGTTATATGCGTATTCGGGGTAAAATGCACCCTGCGTGATGATGTCGCTACAGCCGTTGTGGATGCTAAGTGTGTCGATCTTGATTGGAGAAAGAGACGAAGTGTTGGTTACTTGGTTGTTGCGGATTTTCTCATTTTGGTCCAAGAAGTATGCGGCGTAGGATGGACCGTATCGTCCGCCGAACTGGAATATTCGTTAGCAGGCATTTGTAATAGAGAGGTAGACACGTACGGATTCTGTCCAAATGTGTATTTTCTTTTCCGGCGATCCATATTCGGGAAATCTGCCACTTAGTATCGACCTGAAAAGAAAAATGGGGACAATGACGAAGGTACTAACTCGTTAATCCAGACCTGCATGAAATCCCACAGCGCCCTCGCTCCATTCGTTGTCGAATTAACCGTTCCGTTCAAATCCTGGGACCCGAACACCCCAACTCCGAACGTATGGTTCGCCATCGTGACTCTGGGATTTAGGTCCATCGGAGTGATAGTGCTTGTTGAATAGTGAATTGTGGCATTTGTAAGCACATCATACGAGAATCCAGTTTGAACCGGCTGATCGATGAAGAGGATGTCGGACTCGCGAGTCCAGGACCAGGGATTCGGCGATGTACTATTCGAATTCGAGTTCACGGAGCAGGGTCCTATTTGAGTGACCATGGAGGACATGGAGCTTGCTCCAGGGCCACCCCCGAGGTAGATCGTCAGGGGAGCCGTCCCGTTTCTAGTGGATTTGGCGTGGTAGAAGAACAAGTTACTTGGGTGGGGATGTGCATCGTCTGCACGGGGGGGCAGATGGACATAGCCGCTGTAGGTATCGAGGTCCGGAGTTGAGCAGATCGGTGTCTTACTTCGTTAGAATATTAGAGGGACCAGCTGTGAATTACACCTACCTTCTTATATGATATGGATGCATCGTCAACATAGGGCGAAGAAACAGTCCAAAGCCCATGTGGCTGAGGTGGGAACCGATGGTCCGCAAGGGTAGCCGCGCTGCAAAAGAAAAGACTGAATACAAATTTTCCCATTGTTGGGAAGTACTATGTTGAAATGAAATAGCCTCTGGGGATGAGGACTGGGTTAAAGGCCATGCTTTATATCTCGGATGGGGGCTGCACCTCCCCGGGATTTATACCCGGTTTGATGTTTTGGGGCCATTTGGAATTAGGCAGAATTATATCTCAGCCTTGGATTGATATTCGACAGGTCAAACGATGTTCTTAATCAACTAGCCAATGTAAAGCTGTAGAAAGATGAACTACCAGGTATAAGGCTATTCGTCTTCATCGCCGCTCGTACGTAGTTAACCAAAGGCGGTTAGCATAAACACAATAGCCGTAGCCTAATACAGTTTAGGGTGACAACCGGCAATGTTGGAAGCTTCCAGAGCGCATCACAACTTACATCTTAGTAGGATCCGAATCTTTTTCCATAATTCCATAGGCCCACCACCCATAGGCAGTGTAAAACATATTAAATTAGTACTACAAACACATGAAACCTCGAAACCGGAAAGGAGTATACCCTCGCAGTAAACGGGAGACCCATCCACAAACAGTCTTACATACTAGTAGTATGTAATGGCTTACTGAGCGCAATGCTGGCGAATAAATCAAATGGTGCACTCTCCATGTGTTTGAAACTGTAAAGCCTTGACTGGCGAATGATGAGCTCGCCGTCCTCCATCTGTCCATGAAAGATCCGCCCGTGTTGTGGGCCCAGAAAAGACAAAACGATCACAGGGAAGTGCACTTCGTTCGGAAATTGTAACTTGTGCTGGGTGATCTCTTCTGGCGTATTAAAGAGGGACTCCTGATCTTCGTTGGATACCTCAGGCTGGCGTGCCCTGTTATACATAGCTGTGATCATTGGCGCCAATTCGCCGAAGAGCATTTGCCCTTCATGTCCATCGTAGGACTGGGATACGCCCAGTATCACGTGTGGAGAGACACAATTATTGACTGGTTCTGGCTCCAGCTTCAGGCCGGCTACCCACTCATCATGTATAGTCGGGTAAGCACCTCGTAGCGCACCCCCAAGAAGGAAAGGATTCGGCATGCTATGTAAGAGAATGAGTTAGTCTTGCTATGAACGATTCAAAGTGCGTAACCTCACTCACCTTATCCTGCTTAACTGACGCTTGTGGGCGATTGAACGCACACACAGCGGGAGGTCTCTCGGGAACCCCCCTAATAAGTAGTTGATGAAATAATCGAGAACAATGCGAGAGCATACACGTGGTTTCCAACAAGTGCTTTGGTGAGCGTCTGCATTTTGAGGGGGGTTATACTCCCGGAAGTACAGGTTTGATGCTTCTTCGTGGTCTAGCAGACCTGGACAAATCGGGTGGTTTTTGAGCTCTTCAATAGACATAGGCTCAAAGGACGGTAAAGCTCCATGATTATGATTACATAGGCTTTCTAGATCCATTCCAAGGTGTCGGACTCTAAACTCCTCTAAAACTTCATCGTTCACTTCACCTTGACTGTTCTTCAGCAGTGCTGTTGGCGGGTTTGCCACGAGACTTGTAAACAGGAGGTCAATCCTCCGAGACGCCCTACTTTTGGTGGACATGGTGAATAGACAAGAGAGAAAATAGAGACTTCAAGGTGACAGAAAACAGATACTTCCAGGTACCTTACTGATCGCCAGGGGACTGGTGGTGGTGGTCGCGGATGGGAGGAGGGGGAGAGGGGAGAATGGGGGGTGAAGTGGACAAGGAAATAGTCACATGTCTACCATTAGCAGTGTTGTTGAGGTAACAGGAGGTAAACACCGGATTTGCAAGCTCTATATTTACTTCATAGTGCCTATCTCTACTCCGGACGACAACTACTATTACACATATTGTATATATCCTTTCCTTTTAGACGATGTCCTGGACAGTGTGTATCCAAAGAACGGCGCTTTCTGATCTGCAGAGCTCAAAGAAGCCCCCAAGAAATAAGCATAGCGTCTTTTACGATGGTGGTACCTGTGCTCTAACCATTGTTAACCTGTTATATTCGGAAGTTTAACAACGCAAATCTAGTAGGCCAGGTCAAACCTACCTAGTGGATGCCTTCTCCCCTCCCTCCAACTCACTGTCAGTAAATGCTCACCCTCCTTCATCTCCTTATCTGCTGCCCCCCGTGATCTCTACGCGATTACACAAGGCACGGCCAGAACCCCCCCTCCGAGGATGGAAATCTATACTCGGGCTTAGCTTGCATGGGGTTATTTGTATATAGTAGATATGATGCTTTTGATCTTGTGCCAGACTTAAGTCCTTCAAAAGAACTGGCCAAATTGACATTGATCCACTTTGTGAATCCTAGGCTTTAGATTAGCAGCAGGATATGTAGTATATGTAGCGTAGGGGCATCCTAGCAAGGTATCAACGATATTTAGGTGATTGCCTGGCTGTCGGCATACATCCTGCGCGGGCGGGGTGTGTATTCAGAACCAGTTATATCAATTCTTAGATGCTCCAATGTCCCTGGTGTTATTGTGATAAGTAGAAAGGTACCAGGTTCCCCTCAGTAAATTTGCTTGAGTATGATTTCTGGTTCTCATGTCCAATGGAAAATAGGAAGTCTCTTACAGAACAGAAGTGGCCTCAGGACCGGCTTCGTCAATCGACTTTCTAACTCGTTCTGTTAGTCGCCCAGACACTGGCCAACAATCGATGATTTCCACACTTCTCAGTTTTAGCATTCTGGGTCTAGCCCTTCCCGAGTCTTTGTCCTATATCTCCTAGATGTTGTCAGGCGCCATCTTGCCATTCCCATTTGGAAGAGGTATGTTTGCCTTACCCCTAGAAGCTTTGTAGGTTCTTTCTAGCTACGGTTGAAAGTGCCTCCGGTGTCATACTTCGACTTGGTTGGTATATTGGCTGGAACAGAGGGTTAGGTCGGCGATTATGGCTGTTTACAATGTAGGAAGTCAAAAGGATGGGGAAACAGTGGGGAGATCTTTATGAAAGGCTCTACTAGCAGAAATAAAGCCATAAGCAAACATGTACGTAGATGGGGCTACGGTGTTCAGATAGTAGCCCAGAACAATACATACGAAGTTTCTACGAGGCTACTTTACACTCTTCCTTCGACACTGCCATAAAGAGTGGATCATAGTACAATGTATTAACTACACTGTCAATGTTGTAGAAATGGACAGAACTAATGTCTTCAGAAGTTATATCCCCCTAAACTGAAAAAGTTACCTCTACTTTGTACACCTAAGTTTGCCTACTTCACTTTTCGCACGACATAAACCTCGTGGAATGGTCTCCCAGCATGGTAAAAGTAACCTTAATTGTGAATGAATGAAACATAGGAATTGTGCTCGCTCTATTTAGTAAACACCATCATACTAGAGTATATTCATTACAGTGTGCTACTTAGTTTGTTTGCAAGAAATTGTTCTGGAGACTATGTCAACATCGTTCCCATTTTACATATTGACGGAGGTCCTATCTAACAAAACAGAGCTTGATTTAACAAGCAACTATGCCACAGTACTTCAACGAGATCCCAAGAGACCGCCAGGCCTGGCAAAACGCAACAGCTCGCGCTGGGGTGACCGATAAAACCCTACGAGGTTGCCAGGACTTAGGGCCAGGGTCTCAAATTACCGAGACACAATTCCTTTTGTTTCGTACTATCTGCCCTCCTTTGGTGGGCCCTCAACTGTTCAATCCCGATGCTATGGGATTGAATATCCAAGCAGCCCGTGTTATCTTGAACTCGGTGACTGACTTCCAGAACTATATTAATGTTGTCGGAACGAATCAGTGGCATGGCCTTGAGACGTTTCGCACTACGTTAATCCAACAATGGGAAGTTCTCCAAGGGGATCTACATAGACAGAATCCGCTGATAGCACATGACGAGAATAGCGTTAACAGCAGTCTCCTTTCTTTCCTGCAGGCCATTGTCTCGTTTGATCCCAACCGTCGCCGTATGTGGCGATCCAAACGATTGCGTCTAACAGGGAACTTTGGCACAGTAGCCAGTGGCGGAAAGATGGTAGAGCGAAAGTATGTCGCCATCACCGACGGTCAGCTACAGGAAATCACAAATTCTGCAATAAGTTCGATTGCGGAATGCAAGGTAAGCGACCGTTATAGCCATTCTCCAGCTGTTGATATGCAGGAGGTGGCACAGGTTGTCGCATGGGTCAATCAGTACCCTGATACCTCAAATGCCACAACCTATCGGTAAATTACCTCCTTCTACCTAACTTGCAACTCCGTTTAGCTAACATAGTAGTTAGGCGGGATCTCGTTTCGGCAGATGGACGAGACATCTTTATCAGCTTCGCCGAATATGACAGCAATTGGGCTTACTATATCCAAAGGTCTCGCGGAGTAGCGAATGCCGGCTTAATGAGAATGAGAAGGTTCGGTCCTTGGAAGATTGATGAGCCCCAGGACATGAGGCAGTTTGCCAAGATTGCCCTTGCGGTTGCCATGCGTCAATAGACCATGACATCGTGTTCCGAGTCGACAGAGACCGGACTTTTACTTGCAAACTCCCAGGTCGGCGGAGACCGGGCTGTTAATTTTATAACTGGTCGACGGAGACCGGTCCCCAGTGATCAGCCTGCACCTCAACGTGGTGCTGGGGTCTAGTAGCCAAGTTGGTGAAGCTAAGACAGGCGCTGTGCTTCGATTAAATTCGTAATCCTGTGTACTCCCAGGTTTCGATCTTGGGAAGCTTTTCTCTAACTAAAATTGTAAACCATGCTATGATGGCAAGGATGGGCACAAATATTTTCGAAGCTGGCCCTACAAACGTGATACGGGTCCGTTGGTAGGTCTCCATGGCATGGCCTTTATCAGATTCCCTCCTATCTGGTTTTCAAGGTGGATATGAGCAGTACAATTCCCTTGTTTCTCTGCATTGTGAGTATTATAAGTAGTGATGCTCTCTTGCTGTACGTTAAAGAGTTATACCTAAAATCGATATTCAAGGAACCCCCTTCCCCCCAATTTCTTAACAACAACTGTTCGTATTGATGTCAAAATACTTGTAGTATTGAATTAGTTGAGATAGCGAAATAGTAGATACAGATAGCTAGTCAAATTATGAAGCTTGGCTATATGTAGGGATGTCATAACTCAGCGCGCGGGGGCTGTACGCAGATCGCTACGGTATAATAAGTAGTTACTATAATCCAGATTCCTCGTTTTGACGCATAGGATAGGTGTCTTGATTTACCACAAGAGTGTCTTAATGTTTTATCTTCTAGCGCAATGGAAAGCTTTTACCGAATATGCTGAAGGTCTTTGATCATACTGCTCAGACCCGTTAACAATATCAAGCAGATCAAGAAGCGCAAGCAATCATAGAAATTACAAAAATTTATCATTCCTGAAAAGGAAATCTAAAAAGCCCTAAAAACTAAAAATAAAGGCAAAAGCATTAACACCGATACAGATTATCTTAGCATTACTAGGTAGCCTCCAGTAGCCGTGTTACGGCAAAACCTGGAGTTTTGCAATCGACCCAAATGTTTTTCATTTACTTAGTATTTACGCGGCTATGAAGAAGTGATTCTTGTGATAGCATTGATGAAGAATCTATCGCTTTACATATTCCCTATGCTCATGAGGTATAGAAATATCTACCGTTGGTCCATTTGACAGGCATACCAGAACTGAACTTAATTCACGCTACTTTCTATTCACTAGTCATTTGTAGTACCGGTTGCAAATATTAAATTCGTAGTAAACGCAGTGACTGTCTTGGATATTCACTTTGATTCCACCGGGGAGAGAGAGACAAAACTCAGAAGCCCTTGGAAGTAGTTATAGGTTCAACCGTTCAACTTTACTATTTCGTACATAGTGTCACATCGACAAGGACCGAGTATGGCCTCCGATTTGATGAAAAGCAAACACGCTCCAAAGCAGAGAGAGGGGGGCACAGGCGGGAAGAAGGGAGGAGGGGGGGCAGAGGCCGCGCTGCGGGCAACCGTGGCAATCGGGGTGGCCTTCACCGGGGCGGGGGCCACCACCATCTTCACCAAAATGCCCAGCCCCAGCCACAGCCGCAGCCACAGCCACAGCCACAGGACCAACAGCCCAAGCCCGAAGAGGAAGGGGTGGAAGACACGGAGATGAACGAGTGAGCATTTGCTGACAGTGAGTTGGCGGTCACCAAGACCTCACTGACATCTCATAGACTAGGGATTTGCAAGGCTTTTTCCTTTTATTTTCTTATGAGTATTCTAGAAAGTGGTAGGGAGTGTGGGTCTCGCTAGCAATTGAATGCATATTACTAATTGGTTTATTTTACAAAGTTAACCATTCATCATGATCTGTTCATAATAAATCACCCACAAACGCTAAACTATCCCTCCTCTCATCACACAGCCTGGCATACTCCAAGAGCAGCCGATAGACATAAAGCTGCATATCCTCCTGTCTGAGCACCTTCTCGGCCCAACTCTTCCCATTCAAGGCAATCTTCTCGGCCTGCCCATCATGTCCATTTCGTCCCTTATAGCCAATAAAATACTGAATAATGCCATAGATATCCATATACAATGAATCCATGGGCACGAAATGTGCCCACGGAATAAGCCTCGAATCATGCCACTCCTTATATACGGTCGCCTTGATGGGCAAAGAAGTCGACAACAAGAACGCGCGATAACGCCCACTAAACGAGTTCCCATCGATGTCGGGCAGATACTTGAACTGGTACATTTTCTTCATGGGCATGCCTTTCACGATCTCATAATGCGGGTCGGTGTATGAGCAGTGCTTGCCGTCTTCGACGGGAAAACAGCATAAATCCAGGAAGCCGAGGTCGCAGTGTTCGTTCAGATACTCGGGTAAAGTGCCGTCTAGCCCAGCCCAGATGTTGTAGTACTGGTAGTCCGGTTGACGGAAGTTGATACCGGCGGATTTGGAGCCGTTCGTCAGGGACACTTCGGTCCCGTTGAGCATGGAGACGAGTCGGTGACGCTGGTAGCCTGTCCAGGTGTCGACGCGGTTACGTCCGCCGCTGGCGATTCCGCGCCAGTACACGATGTCCTTTTTGTCGGACCAGGAGCCGCCTTGATTCTTCCATCCGCCTGAGTACCGTGGGTCGTCGTCCCAGTATACGGCTGGTGGGATAAGGATCTCGTTATTGACTGTTAGCTTCGAGCCACCGAATAGAGGGACGAGCTCGTGCGTGGTGGATGTGGATGTCGGCTCGATGAAACTGCCGTGGAGGGCTTGTAGCTCTGCGCGCCAGCATGGGTCCTTAGATCGCTCGAAATCCTCAATATACCCGGTCTTTGAGAAGTTGCGGTAATTGAAGAACTCGGGCGGCGGGTTCGCGAAATCCATGTGAGGGATATTGCTGTTTCGTCCCGGGCTTTCCGGGGGACATGCGTCGCGCATGATCTCCCAGAAAGGTTTGTCGGGGCCGTCAAACGGGGGTTTGAATGGTTCGTTCGGATGCGCCTCGTCGTACGCGGGCAGTGCCATGTACTGGTCGACGGCGGTGGCGGGGTCAAGCAGTTTCTGGCTTGCGCGGTCCTTTTCGCGGTACTCCGAGAGCTTGTCCCAGGGAATGATAATGCGGGGTTCGTCCATGCCGTTTAATGGGATATCCATGTCCGGGAGAAAGTCGGCAATGGTGGAGACGAGATCCATCCAGACCTCCAGCCAGTTGACGCCTGTGCGGCCGGTGGAGTTCAGTGTGTGGTTGCGCACGATGATGCGCGGCTCCCATTCCGATGCCTGTTTCTGCATGACCTTAGGGTCCAGGGCCCAGTATGGACTAAGGTCATCGTAGAGCTGATCGAATAGGTCTTCGATGAGAATCGCGTCTTTTTGCTGCGCGAGTTCCACCCATTTTTCGAACCCTGGGGGTGGGTGGCGACCGCGGCGCTCTCGATATTGTGCTGCTGCGTCGGTGAGGTTGTATACCTGCTTCGTGAGGAGGCGGTCCCATTCTTGCTCTGCGTTGCGGATTAACCCGTCGATCGGGTGCGGAACAGCTTCCGGGTCATCATGACCGTATCGCCCAGTTCCCTTTTGTTTCTCCTTGGAGCTGCTACTGTCCGCGCTGTTACCGCTTGGTCGGACAACCTGGGGGAGGGGATTAGAGTGGAAATAGAGACGGTATAATGTGGCGAGAAGGATGATTGCCGAGACAGCCAGAAGGCCGTACCGCCGCACCGGGGACTGTAGCAGCGAAATCATGGCGGCAGAGGGTTGGCCCTGAGGAACGGACGCGGCACTTGTCGGAAATTCAGAGCAGAAGAGACAGCAGGAGGTCAGACATAATCATGTAGCCTCAAACCCCCGGGGATTTGGCCGAGGAATGGTCATCGTGACTCTCTCAACACCCGTTGGGCTGAGGGGGGGTGTCGGCGAAATATAAGATCCCTGTGACGATGGGGGCCAATTATGGAAGCAGAATAGGAGCAGCCTGTTGGTCTTTTAATCCATGCAATTTAGTGCCTTGGTTGGAACCGGCGCCGGTCGAACTAGCCAGCAGGGTGTGATGGTCCATGCATTGGAATTACATAAAATGTCTTTGCCTGGAGGGTATCAACTCGAAGACTTCCATGATGGTGAGTCCTTCCTGAGGAGACCATTGCCTTCACAACTACGGAGTAGACTATTCTTCAATCGACCCAAGGCTGATATCTCCTTTGAGCGCAATCCCGCACACGGTGCTTTCCCAAGCACAGCGTGGTTAATTTCAGGAGAAAAAGGGGATCCAGCCGTCGCAGGTGAGAAGCAAGATTAATATCCGGAGTTATGCCATCCAATAAGGACGACGATGGCCGGTGAGGCTGTGGGCCAACGTGGGTCCTTCTTCGTATTAACCGAGACCCTACCTACAACCTTGGCTTAGGGCAGGCCCAATCTGGAGGGTTCTGACCATTGATTCCAGACACTTTTGAATCTTTAGAGGTTCAAATATATGTGGCGTTCCGACTAGCGAATCGGGTTTCATGGTTCGAGGCTGCTTCCAAAATATGTAAATGATACTTCGCTACCCTCGTGGTCACAAGAAGTCCATTCATGTATCCCTATCGGCCCGGACCGCAGTCCCTGAAAAAGCCGAACCTACAATTTTGTTGATAGTCTAGAATATGTAATTCTGAGCAACATGGCTCGGTCAAAGGAATATGCTCCATGATATTAGTTTGTTCAGCGGATGATGGTCGGATGCAAAAAGAATATTTATTAATAAATACAAACGAGTCGATCGCAGTTCACAGTTCGCATTCCGTCTTCTCCGGTCTGCCAGTACCTCGTCCGCGTCACCGTGCTCCCCTGGTACTTGCATTTATATTGCTTTGTGGCCCATGATCACTAGCTATGATATAGCCGCAGTAAAATGACCCTGTTACAAGGTGGAATACCACGGTTAAATAAACCCGCTCCAAGTCGGGATGACGGCAAGCACAGGCCAAGTTTCGGAGAGCGAAGGTGAACAAAGAAGTCTATTTTCCGAATGTTCAGAGTGGAGGAGTATTCCAGACAAGGCTACATGTAAATAATACTCTAATCATCAGTCCTTCGAGGGCCGATTAGTGTTGATATCTTTCAAAATCGCATCCGCGCCAGCTGTTACGAGCCTTGCCGCTAGCTCTTTCCCAAATGCAGTCGCTTCATCGTTGGTCCGCACTGTGGCATCAATGGTGTCTTGAACGCTTTGGGTGCCGTCGAGGCTGACCACGATAGCGCGCATTCTCAGAAGATATTGTGATTGATCGACCCACTCCGTCTCGACGCCAATTGGGACACTGCAACCACCTTCAAGGGTCCGCAGGAGGGCCCGCTCGGCCAGACAGGCGAGAGTAGACTTTTCATCGACCAGCTTATTAAGCAACTCTTGGGTACTGCTGTCTCCCTTGCGAGTTTCCAAGCCAAGTGCGCCCTGGCCGACAGCGTGGAAGATGCCACCATCTTTGGAGCCCAGGTACTGGTTGATGCGACCCTTGAGACCAATGCGCTCCAGGCCAGCGGCAGACATGATCATACAGGTATACTCACTCTCTGGATCGTCGACCTTGGCCAAGCGGGTCTCAACGTTGCCACGCAGATTGGCAAAGCGCAGATGGGGATAGAGACGGAGAAGCTGCGCCGAGCGCCGCACTGACGAAGTGCCAACGACTGCGCCTTCAGGGAGCGTCTGTAAACTGGTGTACGGCAGACCGGCCTTGATAATTAACGCATCACGCGGATCATCGCGGAGAGTGATTGTCGCAAGCTCACACGACTCGGGGAGTGTGGTTGGCATATCTAGTCAACGGTTATAAAACTGCGTATTGACATAAGGGGGAGCACCGTAGCGGATTTACCTTTCAAACAATGGACGATGACATCCAATTGACCAGAGGTAAGCTTTTCTTCCAACTCGCTGGTCCACAGGCTCTTTGCGCCGAAGTTGTAGAGGGCTGTAGACTTGTCTTTGTCACCAAGAGTGTGGAGTGTTTCAATCTCATAGGAACGATTTGGTGCAATCCTCTGCAGGCTATCACGAATACCCTCGGCTTGGACAATAGCCAAGTTTGATCGTCTGGTACCGATTCGCAGAGGCGGCTGGACCGCAGGAGAGCTCTGTGCCATAATTACAGTATTCAATAGAAGCACAGCAGAAGAGAAATGTACCGAGGCGGGCTATAGGAGCTGCATAACGTGTTTGGAGCCGGTCCAGCGTCTTATATGAAGTTGACCGGGCTTAGCCCCCACCTTTTCCCGAAACCCCCACCATTTTGAACTTTCCAATATTCCTTATCTTATCGGAACTTCCTCAGGCTCATCACTATCGCCACGTATTGTGCCATGGATCCGACTAGTGAACCATCTTTCGCCTTCATAATGTCCTTAAGTCTCTGAGGAAAGGTTTGTAGGTACGGATTCATTGAATAATGGCTGGTCGCTGTAATACTGAATGGCTCAGGGTGAAGACAACGAAGTCGATAATTTTGTCGCGTTGCAGTTGTGAAGCTTCACACAAAATATATACACATGGATATTCCAGGTAGTAGCGATCTAACTCGGCATTATTCTAATGAGTCACCTACGTACACGTAAAAAAAAAAAAAAAAAAAAAACAAAAAAAAAAAGGTTATGTCATCGCTAAAAGAATACATCGCTAATGTCATTGGCACTTATTGAAATCAATACTTTCCAGCCGTGGGAAGCAACCATGTAATTGACTGTGTAGTTTAGACTCGTCCGACGATAAACCCCCCATATCATCTAAAATGAGGCGTTTAAGCGTCTGTCGAGAATGACTGAGAATCTTGACAAGGTCAACCGCTCGTATCGACGTGAAGCATAAGGCAATCCTCTCTAGTGAGCTAGGGAGAGACGGAGATTGCGAAAGATGGGAGAAAAACTCGATTGCCAAATCCCGTGGCGCCAGACTGAGGTATATTTTGCGAAGGTTAGGGGCATGGAGAATCATATTCAAGATAAAAGAGTAATTGTATGGCGTAAGCTTGTGGTCCAGGTGAAGGTTCTCCAGTCGCCCCCATCCGGACTTGAAGGTGGGATTTGTAAAGAGATCCTTCGGTAATCGTTGAATATCCATAACATTTGAGGTGTAATTCACTCCTGTACCATACCAGAATAGCTTCATGGGCAGCGACGTATTGGCAATGATTTCCAATAGGACACCAGCAGCGTCGTCGGGATTGAAATGTTCATTATTGTTGACATCCTCCTCCTCGGGTACAAACTTGGTTCTGACAGGCGATATCACAAAAGATCGACAGTTCGTCAGCCTTTCAACGAGGTCATCTCGAAACCGTTGAATGACTGGTATTTGTAGCGGATTGTGTATGTGGCCTGCGACGCTTCGCTGCCACTGCAGGTCCCGGCCGAGATAAGGCTCCGGGGTCATCACGACCAGGCGATGAACCTGCTGTCGCATGACCTTGTTGTTGGCAATAGCATGGATATGATTAAAGCTGTCTTGCGAGAAGTCTAAGTGGATTTCTGTGTATCGCTGCGCCAAGCGATTTATCGTTCGGTGGTATGTGTCGCGGCAAGTCCCAACCAGCGACGCCAAGTCTCTCGTATCTAGTTCATCGCAAACCAGTTCGAGCAATTCCAACGGGATCTGATTTATCATAGTAGACATGTTTAAAAGAAATGAAGGGAGAATTGTGAGGAAGTCGTTTGAAAAGGGAGAGGAAGTTATCATTTGCGTCATCCTCTCTTATCGGCCGCAACCTCAAGGTCCCTGGAGTACCTTGGAGGCATTTTCCGAGTTTGATCGCCATGAGGATACCACCAATGTACTCACTCCAAGAATTGGTACTCCGAAAAGCTGGTTCCTGCATTTTACAGGAATGGATCAACATCAGGTCTTGGCGGGTTTTGTGTCTTAAGAATATTGTTAGATGTTTGATCTCCCGCTGTTAAACTTGGGTCCCGCACGTACATCCACATTAATAGCGACATGATGTTCATAATATTATCATTCTTCGTCTACCCTTGCAATTGAAAGATCTCCACTTTGCCAGGTGCAGCGCTGCTTAATGTTTGAGAGACATTCCATTTGCTGCCAGGACAACTGGTGCAGTATTTCTTGTTTTTTGAGGTATAACCTCTGATATAGATTCTGCAGATCATCAATAGTCTGTTGTATGGGTCTCGAAAGGCATAGGGCTGCTACCAGTGCTCCACCGGCAGATGCGCCAGATGGGAAATGGTCTAGCGTATCATTCTTGATGATTGCCGTTGATCTGAGGTTAGAGCCCTTAAGACGTTGTCATGTTAATCGGATTTCCTGCTAATGGATCTCCAACCATGTTTCCAAGGCCGGACATAGCTAGAAATAGCCCTGCAGCATTGGTAGAATGAAGCACGTTCAATACTAAACAGTAACAATGCAGAAAAATACACGTCAAATACAGCTTATGTGGAGCATGTTGTACCCTGCAGTCCAGGCTGGTATTAACATCGTGAAAGGAGAACAAATCAAGCATTTAGTCGGATGTCATTTCATGGTATAGGGCAGGGGTATCAGCCAATGACGTCGCTTCTCCACAGAGATCACCGGCTGAGATGAGATGAGATGCCTGGTCCTGACATGCTCGTTGTAAAGTCAGCTACCATTCATACTGTTTCTCCCAGACAATGCAAGAGAGACAAGGCAGACAGCCCCTAATTATCAGCCCATCCGGAAAAGTGACACATTCACACTACAGCTACTCATCCCTAGTCAAGTTGTGCATTAGCTTATTTGTCCATACCTTTTGTACTTAGCTTTACCTACTCTATATAATCAAACTCACCAATGGCGTCCCCTGCTACCGTTACATTCTAATATTCGCAGCTTCATTTATTTCTTATCACATCTTTCTTTTCTTTTCTTTTCTTTTCTTTTCTTTACGTTTTTTTCGTATTCGTTTTCGCTTTCTATTTCAAGCATCATACATCTGTAGACAATCAAATAAAACGACCACTAAACACAATATCACTGATCACCTACCTTTCTGCAACTCTCTGTCTCTGCCCGCTGTTGGATATAAATTGATTTAACCGACATACACTGGCAACTACCCCTCATCTCTCCACAACATTAACTAAACTAGAAACGTGCATAGAAACAAGACATAGAAAGAGCTGATTGATACTATCCACTAATCTAGAAAGCGGTTCCATTCACTTCCTCTCCGCAGGTTCCCGAGTGAGGGCGTGCACGGGCCCTTGGGTTGTTTGTTGCTCCTCTGGGAGAAAAGCAGGAGAGGAGGAGTTCGGTCTTGGTTGGTCGGTCAGATTTTAGTACACACTACACACATAGGCCGATCGATGAGCATTGGAGAATATCTATTGAGCTAGGTTTTGGCCCCCAATTTTGGGGCACGGACCGTAGCCCTAAACCCTGGCACATACGAAGCTAAATTATCGGTGTCTCGATGTCGGATCACACGAATGAAAACATGGTCTATTTTGTGTACGTAAGGAAAGAATGCAGGTTCATTGGATTACGAACAAGTATCTATATGACCTCTCATCTTGTATGAATTTCCCATTCTTGTTGATAGCATATATCTCAAAAATTGAACAATTACCATTCCCCCTCTGTTAGAGCTTTACTGTGCTTCTTTCTCAGCGGCCTCTCGCGCAATCTGCGCCTCGTACTCTTTGATATTGTTTATCCCCTTGGGCATGCCATTGGGCATCAAACCTTGATCATCCATGAGCTTCTCTTGCACCTCCATGCAGCGCTTCCATGAAGGTCGCACCACCATGCGGTTATGCCAGGCCTGCACATTGGGGTATTCTGCTAATGGGTCCTCGCCCGGGGGCGTCTGCAGCAGCATGTCAAGGCGACAGTTCCAGGGCATAAATGACAAATCGGCAAAGGTGCATTTATCGCCAACGAGCCAGGTTTTGCCTTCGAGACAAGTGTTTAATACGTCCAGGAAGCGGCGCACTTGGCCATTGTAGCGTTCTATGGCGGAGGGGATTTTTTCGTGGTGCAGAACGTTGAACCTGGTTTATTTAGAATATGAACGAAGAGCTCAGCATGTGGAAAAGAAGGAAAGATATGTGATCCAGGGTTGGTGGAGAGAGAAATTAGGGGAAATAGGGGCAGTCATACCATCCAGCCTGGCCATAGTAGGGCCCTTGTCCACTCATCTGGAAATGGAGGTACTGGTTCAGCAGCTGTCTTTCGTTAAGCGATTCATAAGTCAGCTTCTTCTCTGTGTCGTAGACCTCCTCCAGGTACTGGATAATGGCGCCGGATTCCCAGAGTGTCAGGTTAGTGTTGGGATCGACGATGGCTATTTGTTCCGCTTAGCATCTCCAATCCAAAAGCGAACGATTTCCAGTCTGGCTTTGGTAAACGTGGTACATACCTGGGACTCGACCGTTAGGGCAGATATCGGTGTAGGGCTTGTTCTTCACGTCGTTAAATCTGAAGGATTCAATCACGTAGGGAACCTGCAGTTCCTCAAGAACCAGGATGACCTGGATTTCCACCAGATGAAGTCAGCAAAACCTCCCCGCCGATCTTCATTGACTATCCACCGTGCCGTCGATTAGTGCTCATACCTTCCAAGGATTGGGTCCGGACGCTGCGATATCGAATTAATCAGTATCACTGCCTATGAAGCAGATATCCAACTCGGCTTACGGGTCAGCCAGACAGTAATTGGCTTTGTATTGAGCTCGGTCATAATGCCTATAGGAGTGGAAGGACGAGGTTCCTTGGTTGGTGTATGATCGAGATAAAACAAAATAGTAAGTGTTCCCTTAATATATTCTTGATTGACCTTAGATTTGGGGGCACGTCTCAACCCCACTCCTCTGTCAGGCGGCCCGTTGGTGGCCTAGGCGGCTCGTACACCTCGGGATGGCAGTCCTTGGTTAGTGCTTATATACTCTAAACGACGAGGCCAATTAACAAATGCATAAAGGCATGGGGCGGTCCACCACTGGACTTTCTCAGTATATCCACCCTTGGACAAAGTCTTATACTCATCGCGTCGTATTATCTCACGGGATCATTGCAGCCCTAAACACCGCCCGCAGGTAGGCGTTCCAGTCCATGGCCACTCCGCTATGCTGACACCCCAGTCAGACAATAAATAGCAGCATATACATCTCTTCATCTTCCATCTTCCATCTTCCATCAATTGGACTTGCTTTGCGAACCACCACCCTCATCACTGAAGCATTCATACGCATCAGTTGAGTTGTTTCCAAATGCTGTTTATTGGCATTACATCCGGATTTGGAGATCCGCATGATTGAAATAAACGTAAGTGTTATAGATCAACCCAGAGGTTAACCATCATTGGCAAACGCAGGATCTGACGGTCCCGCGTAGGCTTGCTCATCCATCAAGCACATAGACGCAACGTGGTCGTACGGGAAGCAACTACAGCCGCCGAGATGATTCCGAGTCCGACACATTTAGCACCTGCTCCATCGGTTTTGCATCTGCCCACACGTCGATATCCTGCAGAAAAGTAAACTAGTCCGTCTTGGTAGTATAGAAGTGCAGTAGAGAAGGGCTGGTTGCGCTTAGAATAATTGGTACGTGCAGAGTAGCCTGCAAAGCGACGCTAAATAGCCCCCAGGTGCCTCGTCATGGCGAAGGAATGGTATTGGCGAGGACTGCATGCCTTGGAAGCCTGTTGGGGTCACTAATGCATTCATGAGCGAGCACCACAGAATTGGAATTTCTGTGGGTAAGTTATAGGTTATCCCTTGCACCGAAAGAAGGCAAGGCACAATGCTAGCTGTGAGACATTTTATGCGACATATGCAGGGGAGCTTTCCACACCCTATATCTTTTCTAGGTACACGCCGGATTTCAACAACAGTAGAATCAAATGGAAGCGGCGTTAGATCTAGAGGAGAAGTGGACTTGAAAGTAAGAGGGTTATTCCCGAGTCTGTTAAAGCTATTCAGATAATACCTGGATATCAAATAACTCGTAAGGGGAGGAACTGGCCAACAAGGGATCCCATCATGCGGTCAGATTCCTCCGTGATCATTCAGATTCCATTTCATTAAGACCCGAGATATCAAGTAAGGCAGTGACAACTATTCTATGAGCAGCAAGAACCTCACCCGAGGGAAATGCAGTTTCTCCGGTGCTGGAGTCTCAGCAGTATACCGGACCTTTTGAGCGATTTGGTTACCGCTGAGCAAAAGGACATGTGACAGGCAATGTCTGTAAAAGTAATGCCACAGTTATGTACCCGACACTAGTATTATGACTCAAGGCAGTCTTCACACCTTCACACCGCTGCTCAGTTGCCCGGTAAGCGTGGGTGTCAGACAAAACCTTGTTGCATTAGCGCCAGGCAAAGGCCTCGTTTAGGGTTCTCGAACGACAATTCCATTGCCACGTGGATTACGGCTGACTTTTCTTCTCTTCCATATCTTCATCATGCATGTCATATTGGGGGCCATTTTCCGTTCAGTTTGGGCAGTTCTTCTGCTACCCTTTGGAGGGATAAGTCTGTCCCTGCTTAAATTGGCCCCAACTCTCCTCTTTTCTGCACAATCTTAGTGAAAAATCCCTGTAGATGTCAAAATATAATGTTACATCCCGGGTTCTCAGCCCCCCCCCCCCTCTTAAAAAGTCAGCCACAGAGACAGAATTCATTTCATTACTCTTTCCCCCCCTCATTCGGCCACATGTTGTCTCCCTGACCCTCTTTCTCTCCTTCAACGGCCCCAGCCATGGACGCTTCAATGTCCATCAATGTGACGCCGGTCGTCTCCGTTGCCCTTGTCGTTGTGTCAACCATATTTCCAATATTGTCTCTATTGTCGATCATTCTCCGGTTCCAAGCACGTCGAATAGGACGGTTCAAACTTGGAGCTGATGACTGGTGGATCTTGGCAGGGTGGGCATGTATTCTCAAGGTGATTGGAAACAAAACATAGAGCTAACGTTCCACAAGCTTCCTACTTTCGGGCTGAGCCTCACGGTTTGGATATTTGGCAGTATCACTGGTATCTCAAAATACAAAATCAGTATAACGTCGGGGATCCAGCGATCATTTCAATGCATTTTCATTTGCAGTGCCATCCTCCAAGTTAGCCTATCTGTCGTGAAGATTTCGATTTTACTATTCTATAAACGAACATTTTCGATCTCCAAGTCCCAGATCGCTGCATGTATTGCCATCGCGATTGTTGGATGTTGGGGGATCGCCTTCTTCTTCGTAAGTGGTTCCTACAGTCAACATACATCTCCCGCACAGACTCACAGACATAATGCAGTTGATTCTCTTAGAAGGCGATCCGATCAGTCGGCCATGGACTGGGAAGGGTCGCTTCAGATTCGATCAAGTTGCGATGGAGTTCGCTCAATCCGCCACCAGCATCGCATTAAATATCGCTGTTTTGCTGTTTCCCCTCCCCATGCTTTGGTTTCTACCCATGTCAACCCACAGGGTGTGGGATCTTATTCTCGTCTACGTGTTAGGAGCCCTGTAAGCTCTCGTCCCTGTCCCCGCGTTTCTCTATGCATGTACTCACCAGGACCTACGCAAATCCCAGTTGTTGCGCTGCTGCTATTGTTCGACTGGTTCTCCTCCATGCCTCCATAGCCAAAGAGCCGACTGACCTATCCGTAGTCCGTAAGTATATCTTTGCCGTCGTCCTAGTTCTAGTATTAGATCGGAGCACACATCTCACCCTGACATGCTTCCCTCCAGATATCCACTCCAAGCAGCTTGTCTTCATGATCGTCGAGACCAATTGTTCCATTATTGCCGCTTGTTTACCATGCTACGGCGCCCTTCTCCGTGGTGGACAGTCACTCGCATCGATTATCCGATCCTTTCTTGCCATCCACGGCAGGGCTAGCTCCCCGTCCGGTTCCAGTTTTGCTAGCCTTCATAGTGGCAAACACTACCCGATCCACGGAATCAGGGATTTGGACGCCGATACTGGCTCTCAGGTCGAACTCACGGGTCCTCCGGAGCGTTGGTCGCGAACGACGACACAGGTCACGATCAAAGTCAGCGGGAACCCGCATCAGAATGATGAGTGTCGCTCGCCAGGGATTGTGGTTCATACTGAACTCGACATTTCTACCAAAGGAATTGAGGTTTAACAAATTTTCATCAGTGGGTTTCTATATTGGATATCAGCCTGTCACCTCTACCACAAAGGTTTTATTATGCTTTCAATAAGTAGTCAGAGTAAAGTTAGCGTATTTGTAATATGATACCCACGAGTTGAGAAGTATATGTGAGACTTGTGTCATTCATTGGCTTGATAGCCCAGCAATCGTTTCTCCAGTGAGTAAGTATCGCTATAAGCCAAAGATAAATGAGCATCCACTTGTATTCGCGTGATATATATATTCATTCTCTGTAGGCTCTAGGTTGTTTTGCGTAAATGATACCATCCATTTTCACCATCGACCCGGTTAAGCGAAGCTAATTAGACATGGTTCGTAAAGAAACGTTTTGTATTTTCTATTTCGTAGTTACGTTTAATCTGATTCCAATATTGAGTATTGGAGATGAACCTCGATTATTTACAACCATGTCAGGCGGGCGACGTAAATGTCAATGGTGCAAATTGCACATTGCCTTACCGTTATGAGGTACAACAAAAGCAGTAACTCAAGATTTCCCGATGATCCAGTGAATATGGGGTTTGCCTGACGCGAGTCCATCTTTTTGGTTTGTGGGTTTCCCCTCTACGCACGCGACGAGTAGTGAAAGGGACTACGTTCAACCAGAATTCGTGTTGGAAGCAGAGAATCCTCATCCCTGCCAAAATGAACTACAACAAAACCGAGTGATGCACGTGATATATATACTTCATCGAGGTAGCTAATCAATACTATGGCAGCTTAAAACAAGCCGCATCTGCTAGACTTGATACTCTCTCCTCTGAAAAGACGAGAGTCTTTGAAGGCATATCCTCGGTAGAGTTGACATGACCTAAGAAAACAAAGAAGGTCGGTGGATTCATCTTCAAGTTCGAAACGATCGTCCTTCCTTGGGGTCTCCTCATAATCCATGATTAGGGCTATGGCTATGGAAGTATATAAGTGAGCGTTAGTGGAAGACAAATGCCGATGAGGTATTAATGGAGATTGCGATCTGCACAGGGGCGATGGAGAAGTAGTAAGTTCAAGGAGGATATATCCTAAATTTATCTTCTTCACACGAGAATAATCCAAATTGGGAGAGGGTGCATTCCATGAGGAGATTCATCGCACATTGTTCATGGAGGGAATGCTTGGCGATTGAGGCTGAGCGGGTATCCCTTGGCGTCGATCGTTGCCGCTCAAGCTTAAAGCTCAGGCATCATTTCTGCCTGACTGGCCCCATTGTGAATGTTACGATGGTCAGCAGTTGTATTTTCAATTCAGGTACGGAGGGGAAAGGGCTTATGACGACGAGTACAGTAGCTTGATTGATTCTGGACCGAAAGAATGTCAGGAGTGATTTTTTTTTTTTTTTCACATTCCGACATGTCGGACAGAGTAGTATTTGAAATGTTTTGGTTTCCCCATACTCCGGTACCTGAATAGGGGAGGGTATTTTTTGGCCAGAGGGGATACGGTACGATAACTCTAAAAATAACATAGATGTAATTTAATCTCCAGCCTCGTGTTACGCCCACCAATGACGAGGCACGTGTCCCACCTTTTCTCCTCTTCGTCGTCAGTCGGATTCTCCACTTACTGATTGAATCAATCCAACAACAACAACACAAACACTCTGTCCCTTGACTCCCGTCAAACTCGCGGAGAGAGAGAGAGAGAGAGAGAGACTGTTTCTCTCCCCTTCCTCACTTGTACAACTCACTCTCATTTTCATCCCCTTTTAACTTCCTCCCTTTTTTTCCTCCTTCCCACCTTCTTCCTTCCCCACTTTCCCCCCCTATTACTTCCTTCTCCATGCCCCTCTTTAAAAAAAAGTCCAAGACTCCTCCGACGACCAACTCTGCTGCATTCCGATCAGTCGAGCATCTCCCATCTTCGGTCGCATTCCCTGACGATCTTGACCGACGGTTTTCCGTCTCCACCAACGAACCGGTGCCACCACTTCCACCTCAACATCCTGCGCATTCCAACGTGGTTCATCGCTCGCAGAGTCACCGCCGTCCGAACAACTTTGCCAACCATTCGGTAGTCCCGCCCGCCGCTGCTGCGCCTCCGCGCATTGTCGATGCTGACCCTTCCGACCAGTTGTGGCCACACCCGCAGCCAGCAGAGAGACCAGAGGAACACGAAAACCCGCGACGGTCCAGAAGAAACCTCTTCTCCTTACACTCGCACTCTTCTTCCTCCCAAGCCCCTCGGGAGTCGACTGGGTTCTTGGAACGTAGTCGTTCCGTAAGGAAAACGTCTCCGGCCCCGCAACGACAGGAACAACGTCCCTTGTCGGTGGATACGGCCGCTGACCCCCACTCGCCGTCAAAATCGAGGGAGCATGTGGTAGACACAGCGCAAGACCCATCAAAGTCTCCCGTACGACAGGAACAAGGAATTCCCCACGACCCTCGATCTCGCCCGCCGCAGAACCCCTCGATACAGCGATCGAACACCGATTCATCGCTTCTCGAGCAGATCTACCGCCCGTCCCCGGTGGAGCCCAAGCATCCGGGCGAATTAGCTCCGGGCCCGGTCCAACAACCACAACCACAGCAACAGAATCAATTGGGTCTTCCTCGTCCGTCATCGCGACAGTCCCTAGGACCTCCCTCGCCGATACCACCTCCACCCGCTTACTCCGACCATTCTGCCTCACAGAGTGCCATGTCCGATCGTCCGCCCAGTGGCCAGCGCGCCCCAACGGCGACCCCACCACCAGGCGGCCATCCGTCCTACCCTCAGGGCAATAACAACCAGGATGCCACAGCGCGTGCCAATGCAGCCCAACCACCGGAACCGGGCCGTAGCACGCCCACGTCCACCCGCATTCGCGACGAAGGAGAGGTTGATGTGCGTACCTTAGTGCAGAAGCATGACGAACTTCGTAGGTCTTTCGACCCGCGCGCCAGATTTTATTCTTCTAAACTGACTTTCTCATTTAGAGGCGAAGTATTCCAAAGTGAAAAGATATTATTTTGAGAAGGAGGCTCAGGTGCAACAGCTACAGAATACCGTCGCCCATCAGCGCATGGCCGTGTCGCGTACAGTGTTGGACGACAACGAGTATGCCAACCGATTCGGTCGTCTGGACGGCGCCATCAAGGATTTGGCGTTTGCATTCCGGAAAGAGTGGAAAAGTCTTCCCAAGTGGTTGGCGGGTTACGTGAACGACGATGCGCATATCACCGGCACGAAGGAGATGACCGCGATTGGTCGTGCAGTCATTAGTCGGTGGCTTGTGGATGAGTTGTTTGAGCGTTTTTTCCACCCGGCACTGGATCCCACCTTCAGTCGACAGTTGAAGAGCATTGAGATGAACCTGCGCCGGCAGCAGGGCCATACTCTCACCGACGAGGACAAAGAGAACGCGATCGCACGCATTTCCAACTGGCGACGGACGACCTTGGATGGCCTCACAGATGCACTGCAGGGACCGGCTGCCGAAGAACACCGGGGCCAGCTGATTGACCATTTGGTTGATAGTCTGGTGGCCAACCTGGTGTCATATCTGGGTGATCCTCCGCCGCCCGGGCTGGACAACGGCGCACGCATGATTGTGGAGAATGCTGTAGGTATCGCGGACAAAGTCCCCTTGGAATCGCGCGACGTCTGTATTGAGTACATCCATCCCGGCACCCTCCTACACGAGCCGAACATGAAAGTCGAGACCGGCCTTCCACCACTCACCAACGTGAGTGCTGAATCCGCCGCGGCGCGAGGGTCCGGCGACCACGAACGCCTTGAAGGACCGCCTGACGAGGCCGACAGAGAGTCGTCCGGGTCAACGAGCCAAGAGGGCACGCCAGGGGGGTCGCATCCCGGACGCGAACCGCGCATGCGGTCCGTAATCAGCAAGGTAATGGGACGGAGACAAAACCAGGGCGCTGCTCCGAGCCCCGGTGGCAATGGGGACATGCGCCCTCCCACGGCTATGGAAGAACGGAGCAGCCTGGGAGCGGGACGGATTCGGTTTGCATCCTTCATTACTGCGGAAGTTAGAGGCCGAGGTCCGATGAATGTGTTGGTCAAGGCGCCTGTATATTTGATGGACTAATGATGATGTACATGTTTAGAGCTGCAATTATGATTCCTTTACGATAATAGCGCGCCGTCTATCTCAAGCGGTCTTATTCAAGCCGTGGCTTCAGTTGTTTATTCATTTCAATGCAAAACTACCGGGATATATGCTACAACTCTGGAATTGCGCTGTACATCAATAAACTCGGGGAAAGGGAGTATGACCTAACGGAAACCTGATCTAAATGCGGATATACGGATATATGTACTGTACATAATAAACTGAAACTTCTCAGTGTAGAGTATCCGTTTCATAGAATAGAATGGAAATCGTCAGGACTTTGCGTATAATAACACGGACACTGGGAAAGTGGCTACTGGCTACCCCCGATACGGAGCTTCCGGGTTGTTTCAATCCATCCTATATGGCCGGTATAGTGTAAAGTCGCATTTCAGGAAATCATGTCGAGGGGCAATGCAGTTCAGATACAGATACCTCTCTGTGAGGTAGTGCGCACAGCGCAGCTTCAGTCCTTGCACCTTATTCAAGGTGTCAATGGGGATGTCATCTTTTGTCGCGAGATTACGCGAAACTCAAGCGGTCCAGATCTAAAGGTTGTTCACTCTTGTTGCGTGCCACAGTTCCCTTTTGGCATAGTATTGACCTCTATCTTGAACTAAAATCTTGATAAATTAAGAGATATCTATATTAGAAGGTGCGCCATAACACAGCATTGAAGATTATATACAAACTGCCTTAAAATACACCTGATAACGCATCAAGATCTGGATAAAACCAAGACAACTTCATACATATCATTGGCTGTCTTTGGGAAATGCCTGGTGGTCCAGAACGAAGTTCCAAGAGACTGGAATGAAAGATTGGGATTACAGGAAGACATCAGTTTTTCGAAGCAAGGTACGTTGAAATACGTATATCTATGCAACCCCGTTCAACATCCCCCCTAACTCTCAGTCAGGTTTTAGATCCTCACTGACATGATTCTAAACCTCCAGCGATTGTTCTTCCCTAATTCGGCTTCTACCTCATCAAGACATCTCAACAATTCGTCATTCAACCTGGTAAGAAGATTCTGGACGTACTGAAAGCTACCGGCAGACTTCATTTGCGACAGTATAAATATCATGTGCTGTTCTTTAAGGGGAATATCCTTCGGGCGCTTGAACATGAGTCGATATACAGTCGTAGCGGCCGGGGAATTCTTCAAAAGATGTACAAGGAATAATGAGAACTTTCCCTCCGATAAGTGTTCACAGCAACCCCCTTCCGGGTCATGCACTATAGACAAGTTAGTTAATTATGGTATCCGACAAGGCCGACATGAATCATACCTCAAAGTCTGCTAGATCTCGGCAGTCATTTTGTCACTGAAAATATCTTCTCAGCACTGTAACTAGGTTGTGCAGCTTTGACAAGGGTGCTTTTATGCCAGCTTCAGCTTCCATGAGTCGAAGAGGGTATGGTAGAAGGCTGCTAGTTTTACCGTCAACCATACTGATGCTTTCATCGATGGTGGGACATTTGGTGTGCTCTTTCCAGTGAAACTCCAATGCCTGACCTCGAATGGCGCCCGGAAGAAGGTCTAGAGAAGGTTAGCTGCAGCCTCACTTGCATCGACAAATCTCTAACCAAATGGAATCTACATAATCCTTCCATCCGTATTGTCAGCTAGTCTGGCTGCTTTTATTATGCCAATATGTATAATGTTCATAGTCTGGCTTTCCCCGTACAATATGTGTGCTGCTGGTTACCCGCGTCGGACCTCGGTGCCATCCTGGATATCATCCGACCTTCGCATAATCAGCTAGTGCACACTGGCCTTGCATGGAATGCTTACATCACAACCGAAGCATATAGCCAATCTAAGATGTCGTTCAGGCGCTTCATTGACAGAAGCTGAAGCCAGACATTCATCGTTCTCACGAACTCACCCCAATACTTTCTTCCTAGAGCGCTGCTGGCGTATTCGTGCGGTTCCAGGAATATACCGTCGTCCTGAGGAGCATCGAACAGCTTGAAAAAGCACGACATATTGTGGAAGTGATGAGGGTCCGCGTCATTGCCAATTCCTGAGTCGGATAAAAGTTCTTCTTTACTGTTACCTGAGGGACCAAGGTCTCCTGACTGAGAAGGCTCTCTCTTTTGCACATATGGTGGTGGATATTTTGCTAGGGCCCAAGGAGGATGCAGACACTTGCCAACCAGCTGGGCCCGTTTCTCCTCAGTTGCCACCGCATTTCTTATGTTAAACTGAGGGGCCAAAGAAGCCCAGTGGTGCAGACCGCCGCACGCGAGGATATCAAGTGTCACTAAATTCCGTAGGCCTTCTGATCTCCGTTCAGAAGATCCCCAAGTACGAACCATTTCTATAATTTCCATTTCTTGTGTAAGAATTTCCTGCTTTAGGATATGAAATGCTTCTTCTTCAGAGTACATGTACTCGCACATTAAAATGCTAATGGCGTTACGTAGCTTGCACGTTTTGCCTGATCTCAAGGCATCGTCACATCCCTTATGAAATCTGTAGTAGTCAATCATAAGTCCAGAAATCAAGCTTCCCTTCTCGATATTTTGCTTGATAGTTGCCTCTTCCTCTTTCGATACCTTAATGGGATGGGCCGCACGGAGACATGGTATGATGATCCTGGTACTATTAGATATTATTCAAAGGTGCTAGGATAACCTTACATATTGCCGGAAGAAATGGCTCGCTGCTTCATGTAGGCCTCAAAGGTCATACCTATGTCCGGAGCCAACACCATCGCGACGGCTACATGTCTCCTGGAGACTGGTATAATCCCCATGGAAGAGCCGGAAACAGTCGTGAAGCTGGATGCACCAGCTGGTTTGGTTACTGTATATACCAACTGCAGCAACGGCAAATGCAAGAGAGTCAGATTTCACAACGTTCCGGCCTTTGCCTTTGCCCTTGATAAGGAGATCACGGTCCCAGGACTCGGTACTGTTAAGGTTGATATCGTTTACAGCGGCATGATCTTCGTTTTGGTAGATGCTGCTTCCGTGGGGATCAACATAAAGAGTTCGCAAGGAGCCAATATCGTTGAAGTTGGCGAGCGCATCAAGCGTGCTGTGGCAGAGCAGACCGACCCGGTCCACCCTGAAAATCCGCAAATCCGCGGTGCCACCATTCTGGAATTTACAGACCCCGTTACAAACTATACAGACGGGAAAGCCTCACTTAACACAGTTGTTGTATCGCCTGGACGACTTGATCGGAGCCCTTGCGGCACTGGCACTTGCGCCCGGTCAGCAGCTCTCCATGCAAGAGGCGAGTTAGCTGATGGCGAGCCCCTCTACCATTATGGCATTACTGGAACGGAGTTTATCGGCCGTATGCATGGAACCACCAAGGTCGGAAATTACGATGCCGTTTATCCTTCTGTGACAGGCAGTGCTTGGATTACAAGCTTCAAGCAGGTTGTTTTAGATGCGACGGATCCATTCCCAGAGGGGTTGCGGGTTGGAGACGTGTGGAAAATGGACTCCGAGGAATGACGAGGCAGACTCGAAAGTTATTGCTATATGTTGACAGCTCAATGCAATCCTCGCTGGAGATAGAGATGTCTATCATTCACTTCAAAATAATCATACATAAACTTGAAATATTCTCAGACTCAAGCCTGCCTGACCTGGGTGTATTGTATATTTGGCGACACCCCACAGTCCACGGGCCAAATAGATAGTGACCCATACAGGAAATCAGCTGACCCGAAACCTCTAGCCCTATTCAGCTGTCAAATTTACTTCATGAGACGAGAGAGTTCCCCATTGACAAATTGTCAGATTATTACACAAGGCGTGTCTTAAGAGGTGACATGCAACTGATACTAAAAAGCACTTTGCATGAAGGTTTGTATTCTCTGTAATCAGCCCCGAGCCTTGCTAACTAACACACTCACACCCTGTCAAATTTACAATCCATCCATAATACTCCCAATAGTCAGCGGAACCTTGGACGGAGTAGTAATTGAGTCAAAGTTTCGTGCAGCAAGAGCTCATGTTATTGGAGAGAATTGTTTCAGGATTTGGTGAAAACGTTGCCGCAAGCACCTCTACCACACCGCACCAGCGTACTCTTGGTCCGAAGGTATGCTTGGATGCCTTCCTGGCCATTCTCCAATCCTATGCCACTCATCTTCCAGCCACCGACAGGCATCTCTGCGGGGCTTTCACCCCACGTGTTGATCCAGGCTATTCCTGCATCTATTTGTTGAACAATACGTTGAGCAAATCCCACATCAGATGAGACAACACCTGCTGCAAGCCCCATCGGGGAGTTATTTGCCCGTCGTATCAGGTCATGTAGCCAATCCTCTTCCTCCTGAGGTTGAGCTTTATATGGTAGAATACTCATAACTGGACCAAAGATCTCCTCTTGGACAATGCGCATGTCGTCCGTGAAATCGGTAAAGATAACAGGGGGCACCCAGAAGCCTTCTTTTGATGGAAAGTCTTTCTGAGAATCAAGGGCACCATCATACAATACCCTTGCCCTATCAATCTCACGCCCATGCTTGATATACATATTGACTTTGTCCCTTTGAATATCGCTAACGACAGGACCAAAATTGGTGTTCCGGTCCGTCGGAAACCCCATACGGATCCCCTCGCGACAGCGCTTGATCAAGGCCCCCTCAAACCGGCTGAGAAGGGTTTCGGGCACGAAGACACGGGTTCCATTAGTACAAACCTGACCGCTTGAAAAGAAGTTGGCCATCATTGCAATATCAGCTGCCTCCTCAACGTCGGCATCTGGAAGTATCACCAGGGGGCTCTTCCCTCCGAGTTCCATCGTAATCCCCTTTAGGCCCTTGGCAGCCTCGCTAGCAACCTTACTGCCGGTGCTGACCTGGCCAGTAAAGCTCACCTTGGCGATACCTTCATGAGCCACCAATAGGGCTCCCACACTGGGTCCATCACCATGAACCACATTGAAGACTCCCGGTGGCAGTCCAGCTTCCATATAGATCAGAGCAAGGGTATTTGCATGGAGAGGTGTGACCTCACTCGGCTTATATACCATACAATTCCCCGCAGCAAGACAGGGAGCTGACTTCCAGAGAGCAATCTGAAGAGGATAGTTCCAGGCGCCTATTCCAGCACAAACACCCAGAGGCTCATGGCTCGTCGAGAAATACGCATCGGATGCCAAGCGTGTGTGTTGCCCTGGAAGGCCACCTAAAACGAGGTGTGCCTAGTACTCAAGGACGTCAGCACCGGTGCTAACGTCGACAGAAGACGTCTCCGACCATGCTTTCCCAGTGTCCACGGTTTCAGTAAGAGCTAGCTCGTCATTACGTTGTCTTAGAATCGCTGCAGCTCGTAGCAAGATAGCAGCTCGATGTGCTGGGGAAGTTTGCGACCATGATGGAAAGGCTTCTTCGGCAGATGCAATGGCGTTGTCGAGCTGCTGGGGCGTGGTGGGATGGATCGTAGCCAATGGCTCTGCAGTGCTGGGGTCAACTGTAGTGAATATGGATATGTTCGAGGAGGATTCAGGCTGTGGCCGACCCGAGTGAAAGGTATGTATTTCACTCTGTAATGTTGTTGTCTTCATAGCTACTGTAACTCAATACAAGGCTAACGCTTTCTTGGTGTTGATTATATCCTCGTAGTGGAATAAGGGTCAGTAGCGTCCGCCAAGTGGAGGTTTATCAACAGAATGATAATAGATTGAGGGAGAGTTCAGCAGGATATGGAGCTGAACGGAATACAGGAAACGCATTATAAGATCACGGTTTTTGTTAGAAATTTACATGGTAGACGCAATAGAGAACTCGGTATAAGCACCCAAGGGTCTCGGCTTTCGGGCCGTTCTCACAGAAGCCCTGCCCGACGCCTGGCACTTATGCTTTACTATATTGGTGCCGACGCCGCTCACGTGGGCGGATAACCCTCAGAGTAAACACAATCTCAATTTGACAACGACCTTTCTAGACAGGACATAAATAAAGCTGGGAATCCTCTCCGTGGCTCAATTCCCATTCAATGCAAAGCTAATAACTCCTTCCAAGCAAACATCTCGCCAATTCTACAGCTCCGGTCTCTCTATAGAACCGATCATCCACGAATTCCACCCGTCAACAATGGCAACCGAGTACGGTGTAATCGGTAAGAATCCAACAGAATAGATGAGACATTAGCACGGCTGACCCCAACAGGCTTGGGTATTATCGGGTATGGTATGGCCAGCAACTTACGCAAGAAGTTGCCATCCTCCCATACCCTTTACGTGTTTGATCTCAACCAAGACGTTATTCAGCGCCTAATTAACGAGTTCGGGCACTTTGGCAAGATCGAAGTCACGTCCTCGGCGAAGGAGCTGGCCACGAAGGTCAGAACCGTGTTGTCGAGTCTACCAGCCGGGCCTCAAGTAAGAAAGGTTTATCTAGACCCAGATAATGGTGTGATTGCGGCCACCAAGGACTCGGGTCGGCTTTTGATCGAATGCAGTACTATTGAGATTGAATCCACCCAGGAACTCGGAAAGACAATCTTTAACGCCGGGTTGGGTACGTTTGTCGATGCCACAGTCTCAGGTGGAATGTGGGGTGCAAATGCAGGAACCTTGTCCTTCATGGTCGGTCACGCAGAGCCCACAGAAACCGATTTGGTAGGCAAGCGTATCTTTGAGACCCTGTCGCTTGTCGGGGAAGCCAGCACGATCACTTTTTGTGGTGGACTTGGTATGGGGCAGGTGGCCAAGATTGCCCACAACTATATTACTCTAGCGAACAACCTTGTTGCTACTGAGGGTATGGCCATTGGCCTGAAGTATGGAATTGATAAGAACGCCCTCTTTAAGTGCATTAGGGAAGGTACTGCGAACTCGTGGGTGATGGGTCTGGAGCAACCAGTCCCTGGCCTTGTGCCCGATGCCCCATCCAGCAACAACTACAGAAGGGCATTTGCACCTGCGCTGAGTGTGAAGGATCTCACAATCGGCATTGACGCTGCAAAGAAGGTGGGGATCAGTCCAACTGCAGGCGAGGCCGCTATCAAAGCCTTCCGAGTAGTCGATGCCGACCCTCGCACACATGTGAGTCTTGCCCTCTTATCCAAGATCTCCTAATTGTTGAATGGACTTACTGACGTCATTGGAACCAGGATCTTGATCATACCTCTCTCTGGCTTCATGTTTATGGCAACTTGGATGAGTGGGCGAAGGAGCACCTGCAGAAGTAGATACACGAACAGCATATATAAACTGAGATGTAAATGAAGCACACGACGACTGATGTTAGAATTTGTCTGAAATCATGTTCAGGTAGTCTCGCATTGTACAGGTCCTAGCTTGCACTGCAACATCAGTAGCTATCATGACACATAGGATGGACGTTCATGGTTTTTTTCGTTTCTTGTTTCTATTTTTTATTTTTATTTGTTCGGAGCCTGGGTAGTACTGGAGTGGTATTGGTAGTTCCATGAATATCGTGTCCTCAAAATAGCTACCCATCAGTGCTGTTCCGATATTTGGTTCAAATCCGGAGTTTGGTGTAATACTGTCGCAATGAAGGTTACCCCGCGTGTTTTATTGGATTTCCACCATCCAGAGTCTTATGATACTTGTAGTCCAATTTTTATGTGTTAGTGTTGTAAACCTGATGTAGTCGCTTTCTCAACCATTTCAAATTCATTTGTCGGAAGTATAGGATGTGGGTGGAGAAGTTATAGCCTATTGAACTACAGCTATCCGAGAGAGGATCTTAACGATGTAAAAGAATCGAGACTCTCGATAAGTGGGGAAGTAAAGCCCTAGATTTATATGATATTCGCTCTTTGGTAATCAATCGCGGACTTTTAGTATTATTAAAAGGTCTTATAGTGGAGTATGAGCAAGGCTTGTCTTAGAATTAAAGGAAAAGTTAGCCAGCTCTCTTATAATTGTATAGTAGCTGTTAGCAGTGAAAGAAAGTAGATATTACTAATTACAGCAGTTGTATAATCTATATCAGTATACTGTACTATTATTAATATTATATACAGCTAGAAGCGGCTTTCTTAAGTATAAATAGAGATATTTAATCCAGTATTAAGAGTCCTTGACTCCTTATTATTTAGTAAAATACAAATCTTACCCACTCAAGTATTTCCAATAGTATTTAGATATTTTTTAAATATTATTTAGTTTTTTAATTTTAATAATATCTCCCGGTTCTAATCTAAATTGTGAGTGGGGAAGCGATCTTGTTTTTATCTAGAAGTTAAATCTACTATCTTCTCCTGTAAAATATCCTTTTATATAAGCAAATACCAATACAAGCGGGTATGTATTGTATGTAGAAGAGAGATGTATCTGCTGCTAACTGAAAATAGATGTAATTGTTTTGTGGAGATGTATTGGGGTCCGGAGGGTCCGAGAATATTTATATTATATTTCATGTGTTCAATATAGGGACAAACTCTGTGGTAATTAAGGCATACGTTGATCCTGAGAGGATGAGGATAAACCAGCATTTGCTGTTCACTGCGGAGACTTGGTCGATTGTACCGGGTTCGGGCGAAGCACACTTGAATAGCGGCGATCAGCCCTAACTAGATAGGCTTTGATTCATGCTATCTAACCCTTCTAAGTCAATGCGTTTTGCCAGCCAGTCTCTAGCTTGCTTGGTAAGAAGCAAAAAGAATACCAAAAAAGTTAACATACAACAGGAGGGATTCGCTGGTGGTCACCCACCCAACTACTAACCTCCCGGCGTGTGGCTTAAGTACGGCTGAGCGGACGGGAAGCCCTGTTCTCCACACCCTGTGGTCGTATGTACCAGGCTACTTTAAGTAACCGATTATATAGTGTATTATCTTTATTTCTCCATAGACCGATGCGTCTACACAGGATGAGTAATCTTCAAGACGGGTTCCCACCAAGGATTACACGGTAGGATGGATTTGTTCCCTGCCGCTGGAAATGGCTGCAGCCAAGTCAATGTTGGATTTAAATCATCCACAGCTGCCCCAATCCCCCGACGACCAGGTGAGATTTGTGGTCACACTTTCGTGATAGCGTGTCTGCCAGTCGGTGTGTACAGCACAAGCTCTGCGCCAAGTGTGGCCAAAGACATGCTATCCACGTACAAAACCATGCGATTTGGCCTAATGGTTAGCATAAGTGGAAGGGTTCCAAGTCAGGAGAACGATATACGCCTTGGCAATGTGGTGGTTAGCAAGCCGGTTGGCCCGTCCGGAGGCGTGGTACAGTATGACTACGGCAAGACCATGGCTGGCGGGAAGTTTGGACAGACGGGCACTTCGAATAAGCCCCCAGCTGTGGTCTTGACAGTGTTATGCAATGTGCAGTCTGAGGAGATGCTAGGCCGGAGTCGACTTAATAGTTACTTATCTGCAGTTATTGCTGAGTATCCGCCCTTGTCACGGTTTACCTACCCCGGAGAGGACCAAGGCCTCCTTTTCAAAGCAGATTACACTCATGATATCTCGACACTATCCTGTGGGTTGTGCGATATGAATATGACAATTCAACGGACGAAAAGGCCCACTACGGAGCCAAACGTTTTCTATGATCTGATTGCGTCTGCCAACCAGGTCATGAAAGATGCCATAACTCGGGATCGAATAGCAAGACAACATGGGGTCTTATGCTTTGAGATGGAAGCAGCAAGACTTTGGATCAATACTTATCCGAGGCATTTGCGATTATTCAGATTCACACAAAACGAAGCAAAGGCAAGAGTATGCGGCAGCAACAGCCGCGGCATATGCAAAGAATCTGTTGCTCATGACATCTGGCGTATTTATAGTCCCCCATGCCGTTGCCAAGACACGGCATCCGGCCCGAGCCATCTCTATAGAGCTGGACCCTTCGCATACTACCGATGATGGATCAGGATGCCTATTCCAGTCAAATGGGTATTACCAACACAAACTATTTCGACATACCGGTCACCTGAGCGGGCGACTCATCTTGGTGCTAAGTGGCTTGAACGTTATCAAACATCACATGCTATAGGGACAAATGGACGAGTTCAGTCCAGGTGTGGAAGTGACACGGTAGCAAGATCCGCCCCCATACTCCTAATCATGAGAAAAACTTCCTAGACTTAGAGCTTTCAAGATTGACTTCTCGGGTGGCTAGCCGATATAGCCCTCTGTTCGACCGTCCGACGTGAGCGTTAGGGCAGGCCATTTAAATGCGCCATTCATTCCTGGTCTAGGTTCCGTTCCTAAGTTACTCGCCCAACTCATCGTCGAGGTCCTGAAAGCCCATCTCCTCTTCCTTCTATTGAATATTAGTTATCGCTTTAAACTCGGTTTTCGCTTACATAAAATGCCGTTCAAACGCAGCTTCAATACCGTCGGTGTTCACTGTGCCGGGGAAACTTGTGATGTAGTCGTCGGTGTTCGAGATGTGCCCGGAAGAACCATGTATGAGAAAATGATGTACATGTGGAAGAACAACGACGAGCTTCGTAACCTTCTGCTCAACGAACCCCGCGGCTGCTCTGCCATGTGTCACAACCTTCTTCTCCCTCCGTACAATCCCGAAGCCGACATTGGGTTCATCATCATGGAGCATGAAGAATACCCTCCATCCACAGGAACACTCTGGGCCTCGGTGAACTCTTGAGCGCGAAGATAGATGTCATAGAGACAAGATGTGTCAAGACCTGTGAGACTTCGTACTGCAACCTCCAAACCCTCTAATCCAGGAATTGTGATAGGCGTCCCCAGCTTGAAGGAGGCGATAAGCGCAAGTTGTATATCGGCAGGCTGTCCGGTCATATTAGTGCAGGTTCGCTCCTCTAATGGTCGCAGTCCACTTACATTCACTGAACAGGCGGCTTCATTCCGATCTAAATTCACTCAAACTCATCATTGAGTGTTACAATTGGTGCTATCCCAAATATACCCGCGTAAGAAATGCCCACATCGTATATTTTGAGCATCCCTTCAACCCAATCTGGTGGAGATTCCGGCATCAGCCAATATATACAATGACCCCTTCCAGGGATAACATTTCCTCCCAGGTCCCCATCGCTATTTGTTGTATGTCGCTGGAGGAAATCATCCCGGAATTTGATGTGCGATACGGAAGCCGGCTAAAGAAACGCTCAGATGCAGGATGTTTAGGGTCTTGGGCATCCGAATATTTGAAGAGGTAATTGGCGAAGTCCAACATTTTTGATTGCTCTATTTCAGAATGGTGTAGAAGCACAAGATAAATTATCGGGGAAAAACTGGGGAAAATCTGTTCACGACAAGTTGGATATTCAAAAAACGGAAAACTCCTAAACGACCACTCGATTGCCTTAAATATGCAATGATTCTCTGTTCTTCATGGCTACTTGGTATCAGCCAAAAAGATAGCCAGTGACGCGTGGCCAGCATCGGTATGCTGCTGTTTCTGGCAAACTGAATCCGAAGAACCCAACGTCCCACTTTGCTGCAATGGAGCCCCACCACGACGACTATAAGAATACACTATGCAGGTCGGAACTAGCAGTAAACTTTGAATTGCTTTATCTTTGACAGGCGTCATAAGGTGGTATTACCATAGTATTTGTTCTTATTGATTGTGACCTGGCTAACCGGCTCCGGGGCACTTCATATACTTTCGTTATGATAATGGCCACATTGGGACACTCCACATTATTTTCAGAGTCGCCGAACTCATCATATGTCAATTTACTTCCAGCTCACCCTGTTCCAGTCCTGACCTTTCTGGTGCATATATCAGAGAAAGTACCATCATCCATCCTATTCCACTTAGAGCTCGAACCTGGAATATTTATGATTTATCAAAGTTGTGTACCTACCAATACGAGACTCGACTATTCGATAATATCGGTATCAATTCCCTCGATCAGCTTTATCGTGGATCCGATACAGGATCCTATACATAATCCCCGTGAGAACTACTGTATTCAAGGGACCCGTATTCGAGTAGTATGCCATCAGGGCACACGAAGAACAGAGATAGAGATAGCGGTGACAGTATCTGGGGAAGCAAGGCTATGTCGGAATTATGTCTGATCGACTACCACATCCACGAACTATTCATACCCCTGCATTGTTGCTTGGAGGCATTTACGGCGTAGGCGCACGTGATGTGTCAAACCCGATGTGCTGTGATGTGTCAAAAAAAAAAAAAAGGAAATTGGCTTCTATAGCGTCTGATATGGGTCTCATCGATTACTTGAAGCGGGAAAAGATCAACGCCGATTTAAAGCCACTATCTGCACGAGTGTCTGTGCCGAATTTGACAGGAAAGCACAACGCGCAACTTACCCACTAATTCAGATAAAGGTTTAAAAAATCATAACAATACTCGGCCTGCGCCAGTGATGCGGCGGTAAGTAAGAATTAAAATAGCAGGGTTTGAATTCATCAGGGATCTGCATCTTTTGACTTCCTCGGTCCGATAGTTCTGAGCGCATAAAGCCCCGGATTAGCAAGTATTACATGAAACGGAAGGATCACCGAGCCAGTACAAGTGGTGTAGACAGACCGGCCGACCTATGATGCCAGATGGATGGACCCTTACCAAATAATTGCCAGCCTATTGCTTTCAAAGTGGGCCAAATCCTAAGGATGAAAGTTGTCGAACCCAAAAGGTTCGATGTACAGAGCATACAATAAAGCAGCCTCCATTTGAAGTATGAATGAAATCCTGATTCCTAGAATACTCTGCCTATATGCTACCATGGGAGATTAGATGGGAAATGAAACGTTGAGAAATCCTCCAACACCACAAAGGCTGAACACGAAAGCATATAGTTGCTGTTTATATGTAGCCAAACAGAATAAAGAGGATGGATGTGCAAGGGATAGTGGGTGACATGTCTAAAGGGGAAATACGGCAGAAAATTCGCCTATGTTCAGTTTGAAAATAGGAGAAAGAATCTCCTTCAAGGAACGCGATAATTCATTAATTATATAGGGAGGGAGAGAGACAGGGCTGCACGGTAATTATCATCCTGTACTAAATCTAGGCTATGTATGATGTGAAATGTTTCGTATGCCAGCCACCTGCTTCATTCACTCCTTTCACCTATTTGGCATCTTTTCTGATAGCTTTAATAATAGAGAAATCATCAAGATTATGCCAGGCTTCTTTAGCAGCTTTGAGTTATAATTGCTTTGTCTTCTCCACATTAGGCGCGAACATTAATTCAGAATATAACGTATAGCTTTCACGCTTCAGTATAGTCCAAAGATTCTCAATTGAATTTAGGTCAGGCGAATCAGGCGGCCAAATCATAACTTGAATGCCAATATCATTGAAAACTTGGTGAATAATATAGGCTGGATGAGCGCGAGCATTATCATGTATAAAGATATCATTTGGCCGTAGAAGCTCCGGTAAAAACAACTCATAAAGAGACATTGTTACAGTAGCAGTAATATCACGTGTACAATCAGGGTCACCATTAAGAGAAACAAAACCAGTACGTAGGTTCTCGGCAAAAGTAGCCCAAAATATCTGTTTTATGGCTTGTCAGTAAGACGTTTTACGAACATCATGTTCCTGAAGTGATGAGATGGACGCGTAAGCTTTAGGATACACTGCATTTTTTCGCCTTAATCTGTGCCTGGATGCTGATGGCTTCCGGTCTTAGCGGCACATGTGTATTCCACTATACAAGCTATTCCTTATGTTAAACTAGTACATACGACCATAGGGTGTGGAGAGCAGGGCTTCCCGTCCGCTCAGCCGTACTTCGGCCATTGTGGATTTAAATACAACGAGGCTATTCCGGCTTGTTGAGTGGAGCAGGTCTCGAGATAGATCACTGCTAGCCTAAAAACAACGAATATTGGCAGTTCATCTCGGTTAATGACACCAATCATGTGTGCAAAATACGATGCCAGTCAATCTCTTGCAATAGTACCGCGTAACTCTACTGCCCCACCTGTACTTTATAGCCTAAAAGGGGCTGTATTCGATGACTAAAGTTCTGTTTATGAAGAAGAAACGAACATTTCAAAAGAGCGAAAATCCAACAGGATTAAAAATAGAGCGACTTCCCCCTTTCAAGCGTTTGGCTCATGGCCTTTCCAACGACCGCCTCCTAGTTCAACACCTCGCCTCTCATTCTCTGCTCCCTTAGTATCTTACTTCCGAAGAGTGAAATCAAGCTTTCCAGAGCCTTTGAATCCTTCCGCAGTGACCATCTGAAAGACAGGGTTACCGGGCTTGAGCCCCAGCTCCTCCCAACGCTTGAAATGAGCAGCAACGTCGACAGTACCGGTATGGCGAGCACCACGGCGAACAGACCACAACTGGTTAAAGTTCGTAACTCCATAGATCTCAGGGACATTCCTGTAGGGGAGCATATAGACATCGTAGACGCTGCCATCGGCTTCAACCTGGCCGAGGATATGGCCATTGCCCGGTGTCCCAGTTCCATGAGCTTCGACAACGTACCATTCGGTGACGGGGTCAGTGGTCCATCCATAGACCGCCAGGGTGAAATCACCTTCAGCCTGGAACTGACCGTCCCAAGACAGGGAGCTCAAAAGTGGGAGTTGCGTTAGTTTTGACTTGGAAAGACTAAATACAGATTGACTAAATGCTTACCGAGGACTTCCACCCTTGAAGCCCTTTCCTCCCAGAAACTCGCTGTTCGTGTTCCAGCTGAGCTTGAACTGCCCGCTATTTTCGAACTCGGAGTATTCGGCACCTGCGCCGTTGGCGTTGTAGAGAGAGTAGTAAAACCCTGCGGCGTCTACGCCGTCCTTGCTCGTTTTGAACGTCCCATCGCGTCTTTCAATGTTTTCGTCTCCGGTTGCGTTGGCGATGAGTGCTCCCATGTACTCGAGAAATTCAGGAGACCTAGCAACAGCTTGGGCTGTGGTGCTATCTGTGGGAGTTGCGAGCGCTCCTAAGAGAGGAAGAAAGAACAGCAAACGGCTGACTGACACCATGTTGGCAAAGAGGCTTATCAGAATGATTCTTTGGAATTGGAAACGTTGGTTTTGGGATCGGAGTCATGGACCCTTGAAGGTGCGAATTGTCTGCTTTAATACTTTTCGGATCCCAAGCTACTGAGACACGAAACTGGATGGAGGATTGGTCAAACTCCTGTCTGTGAGAAATTAACTACGTAGATTGGACTCTCTCACCTGAGAGATATTCGATTACATGACAGTTCAGTGGCTACATTGAAATGTGGGACTATTCTACCTAGCGGTCTGACATTCATGGTAGATCCCGTAGGGCCTTTCAGCCCTGCAGATCCTACCTGAAGATGGATAAATCGTTTACGCTTGCCTATTATGACAAGGAACAATTGCATGGTAGGCGATATCCCGCGGTTGAGGCACGATCTTTCTCCGCTGTTTCTTGATGAAACAGAGATCTGCGGTTCTAGAATTAGATCAGCAATACCTACGTTAAAAATGTAGGGCAACTCCGAAGGCTTACGAGCCGTGTATACATGCTCCATATTTAGAGTTGCAGTTGTATGGCCTAGACTTTGCTCTAGTTGACTGTTTCGTTCAAGGGGTACTATTATGTAAATTATTTGCCCGGTTAATACGGGGTTACCAAGCACTGGAGGCTATTTACACAAATTATCTGAACTCTAAGGGAACAGTATTCCTGAAGAGAGCATTCAGTGTACGTTTATACCCCTTAATCAACCATAAGAAAAATGAGCTCTTCACCCGAAATACCACACGTCTAGGATATATTGGACAATATAGCAAATTCAGTATCTTCTTTGCATTTACACATAGTAAATTTAAGATAGTAGAATAGGCCTCGTATCACGTATTCACCAAATCTAAGGTAGAGTTGGCAAAGTCCACCAGACGTTCACATCATTTTGACTATTGAGCCTAGAGAAGAATCCTCGTTTCAGAGCTTCATAATACTCATTCTGGGAACATCTATTTCTATACTTGTCCATAAGCTCAAAGGTTTCAGGGATCCAGAGCCCGCGTTTACATCTAGCATTAATATCCATATTGAGAGGAGAAAGGGAAAGCAAAGCAAAACATTCCCTGCAAACATTATGTACACAAAGGTATCTAGATATATTAAAGTCAGGCTGACAGTGGCCATAATTCCACACTTTGTTCGGATTTACGCTAAAGTGTTACCTAGGGCTATCACTCAATCCGGTAATACCGAGGGATGCCGCACATGGATGCTTATTTTGCTGTTTCTTTCAGCCTTCAAAGCTTTATAAACCCGCTATCCAAGCGTGGGAACTGCGATAGGACTACATATGATATTTCACCATCGATCATGTGAAAGTATAAGCATAAGACTTTGTTTCATTCTATCAGAATATAAATTGCGTAGTGGTCCCAATGGCTTACCGTACTCGTGCTCGGGACAATTTCCGCCTTTCCCAAAAGCACTAAATCTTCTTCGCATCAACTTCCGCTCAACTCAATGTAAACGTTAGGGAAATCCAAATTCAAGATATGTTCCGTTGTGCGCAGTGCGACAAATCATACCAGCGAAAAGCGCATTTACTTCGCCATGAGTTAACTCGTACGTTCAGGGAGGTATTCATCGTGCGGTGTTGCCAATTGACCATCTACTAGATTCCGGCCAGGCCGCTTCCACGTGCCCCTTTTGCAACAAATCTTTCTTGAAACCGTAAAGGCAACCACTCCTCCAGTTCTAAAACTGGATCTAATCCTTTGTTCGTACAGAGAGGTCGCCCGGCGACACAGTAAAGCATGTGCAATCAAATACAACCAACAGCCTGCCCCGGCAGCCAAGCCCGGGCGGAAAAGGCAGTCCTGCGATCAATGTTTCGCTACGAAAAGGGCGTGTGATAAAGGTTCACCGTGCTCTCGTTGTCGTTCGCTCGGACAGCAATGCACATTCGAGTCGCAGCAAGACCTTTCAATAGGAAGTCCCTGCTCCACTGACGTCTCACCATCGCCATCAGGGCACCCGTCTACTCCACCAAAGGAGGAATCGCAGTTTTCGTTCCTTCGGCATTTCACTGACCCCTGTGTGGAAAGAGACAGACTCGCAATCGGAACAACAGCAGAATGTTCTGTCCGGAGAAATCTCGAAAGCCTCTACTCCCACCTCGAGGATGCGCTAGTACCGCCTGATCCTATGGCGGCTACTTTCGGTGACATCCCAGGCACCGAACTGTTCTTCCGTCCTCCATTGATTACGGACGAATATTTCCCTACTGATCTTCTAAGCTATGGCCCTACAAAGCTCTCAGAGCAGCTGCACGAACTGATGATGGAACTGATTGAGACTTCAAAATCGATGAAACTTAATGACACTGAGGATCCACAGCTGCAACTCGATATCGCACAGTTGGCTCCACTATTCACAGTATCTAACGTTGCGATTTTTATCTCAGTATTTTTCCATTCTCTCTATTGGCATCTGCCGGTCGTCCACTTTCCAACATTCGACCCGGGCAACGTTTCCAACCCACTACTGCTCTCAATCTTTTTAACCGGTGCAACATATAGTAGTTCCTTAGATGAAGCATCATTATTACCCCGGGTTTTAGACGTGGCCGAAGAGCATGTATTCCGGAAGATCACAACCCTCTCAACACAGGTTGCCCCACCCACTCACGACCTTACCCGTCAAATACCTACCATCCAGCTCCTCCAGGCTGCGCTAATTATTGAAATGCTCCAATTTGGCCAAGAACGTGTTGAAACAAGACGCCGCATTCGTATCATCCGTCATCCCAGTCTGGTGTCTCTTATGCGTTGCTTGGGAATCTTCCAGCTCAAGCGGTCCACGTCTCCAACGGTCTGCCCTGGGGACGATAATACATGGAGAGCATTAGTGACAGAGGAAGTCTGTATACGACTGGCATCCTGGACCTTTCTCGCGGACGGTTTCCTTACGGTATGCTTCAAGAACCGACCCACCATATCGATCTTCGAGATGGAATGCCCCTTCCCATGGAGAACAGAGCTATGGGAAGCCGAAAATGCATCTGCCTTCAGTCGCATCGCGGCAACTGATGGAGCCAAGCTCCCAATGCCTTCCGTAAGGGAAGCAATCCGGCTGTTACTCGATAATTCCGAGCCCGGACCCGTACCGTCCAGTCTCCCGCTTTCCGCAGAGCATCTATTGATCATGATATACGGTATGTTCCGCGGCATCCCCACCATCCTCTTCCTTTATTCACTAAAACATAACCGCAGCATTGAATTCCCTTGCATTCCTAGCCAGAACCGACTTCTTCGGCTCCGTGCCACTGAAGAAAATAAAATCCGCCGCCAACAAATGGAAACAGATCTGGAACTCGGTATACCAGGATACAAACAACGACCAAATGCTCCTCCTGGGGTACCCCAAACACGCAGAAGAGCTTTGGCTCCTATTAACAGCGATGCTTGACATCGCCACCGAGAATTCCACAAAGCTCCCGTACCTGGACAACGCCGCGACAGATGATCTAGGCAAGCTGAACGAATTCATTCAATGGTGTTGTCGAGATACATAATACATGCATTGATTATTAGATTAAATTGCTAAAAATACATTAACGCCCCTCTCTTCAATCTTTCTTGAGAGCTTGAGCCTTGCGGTTCTCATTCTGGATGAATCCGTCCTCTTTCGGCTTGCGGTATGTCCCGTTCAACCTATCCCAGAACGTCAAAAATTGACCATAGTTATAGTTGAAGTACAAATGATGCATGGTATGACACGCTGCACCATTGACAACCACAGATTGCGAAAGATACTCGGCATCATCTACAACAATTAGCCCCTCCTCATATCCCATGACACAACACATCATGAATACAAAGGGAAAGAGAAGACTTACGAATAAAAACCGTCCACATAGTCACGAAGACAAAAAGCCCCAAATACGCACTCTTCTGCAACGGAAACAGCAACGGATACACATGGTACGGGATACTCTGCGACCAGCCATCAACCGGATGAAACGCATAGCTAGCAAACGGACTCGGCATAATCCATTTATGATGTGGCTTGTGCAACCACCGGTACACGGGCGGGTAATGCAGTCCCCGATGAATCCAGTAAATGCCACAGTCCGTGAAACATACAAACAGTGGATACTGCAGCCAGTTGTAGGCGCGGAAGGGGGCTTCATCGGCGAAATCGTATAGCTTGGTCCAGCCGCGTACCTCTGCGAGAAAGAACGGGGCCGTGAGCACGGCGATTACGGGGATGGACGTTATGCCTTGGCGGATCTCTTGGCGGATTTGGTGAGGGAGGAAATGTGGGTGTCGCATTAGGCGCTTGTCGAAGAGTGTGTGGTAGATGATTGTGCTGCCAATTAAGTACAAGGCCGTTGCGAAGATCCTGTGGAGGTTTAGAATTGGGTTTATTGGTGGGGGTGGGGGGGGGGGGGGGGTGTTTTTGCTAAGTCGTGAGATACATACCATCCAATTAGGAATAGAGATGTTGTTTGTCGAGCGACATCATCTCGCTTCCATCTGCTACTGTCTGCATATGGAGACGGTGGCAGTGGGTAATAGAGGTTAATGTGTTTGTTGTATGTTCCTGCAGGTGCCGGGACCGGATTCGTCGCTGGTAACACTGATGCATATAATCTGTCGAACACGAATGTGTCGAGGATGTCGAGAAGCACATCCATCGTGAAGTAATGACCGAATTGTCACGAATATAATATACAGAAAGGGGCGAAAAAAAAACACAAGAGTTTAATATCGAAAAAAAGATTGAACCATGAAACGATCCAAGGCCCCTTCTTATATTGGGAAATACCTACATGATCCATTGTTAGGGTTTGGCGATTTACCTACATGAGTGGATTTCATTCCCTACGGCGGAGAATACCTACCGTGGGGATTACCCACACACGGGCAATACCTACCAAACGCCCCCTTGACCTACGCGCTCGGCACTCCGGGGTCGTACGATATTTGAAACTCGGAACATTGATTGTTATCCTTCGGATAAAAAAAAATAAAACATCTCGGATATCCGGGGTACCCATGTGGATATCTAATCAGGTGAAAGTGGGATGTAGCATGCTACTCAGCTGATAATCGGTAAGTATAATTGCTTCGCTGGACCACACTACAACATATTCATTGTTCCCCGCGCCTCGGCCTACCACTGTTCTAGAATTCTGAATTCGAATACAGCCTACCGACGGGAGAGGTAAAGATCGAAGTAACTAAGGTAGGCATAGTATATGCAGGGATGCTGGCGAGGTTAGCGAATCACATGACAGGATTTCCCAACAACATCTCTGCCTATATCCACATCTCACGTAAACAAAGAAAAGGCGAGAAAAAAAAAAGGAAAAAGGGGTGGAGGGGGAGGTTAGAAATGAAATTAAAAGTAATCAATAGCAAAGGCAAATTAACCACTCAAGATTGATAAATAACCTCTACCTCCCCCAGACCAAATCCCCCCTCTCAGCAACCGTCCTGCGACACTTGTCTAAAATGGCCGCCTGCCTCGCCACCTCCGCCAAACCACCCAGGACCTTCCGATTCCCACCCACGAACCCATAAAGCGCATACGGGATACCCACATCCCGACAAAACTCCATAACCAACGCCTGCGTCCTGCGCAAATTATGGCGCGGCACGCGGGGGTACAAATGGTGGATGGCCTGGAACTGCAGTCCGCCGTGGACCCAGTCCAGCCAGGGCGGACAGTCGACGTCCATTGTTGTGCGGAGCATTTTCTGGGCGAAGGACTCGTTCGGTCCGAGGTCGGTTGTGGACATTGCAAAGTGGGAGACGGTGAATTGAACGTGGAGGGGCATTGTGGCCATGTGGCTGATCGAGACGAACGAGATGCGGGCAAGTGGTGTTGGAATGGATTTGTAGAGGATACCGTAGCCGAACCAGAGCCAGAAGATTAGATTTCCGCCGATCTCGAACCAGCGGTGCCATTGGGCGGGGCCCTTGCGAGGTCCTTGGCCTTTGAGGAGGAAGAGCCAGGATTGGACGTAGAGATTGAAGCGGCCGAAGAGCAGGACGATGTAGTAGAGGTAGGCTTGGTAGGGGACGAGGGCTTGGGCGACCTGGTCGTAAGCCAGAAGTCGTTCGTGGTAGGTGGAGAAGATGTTGCCGAGGAAGCGGTGGTTGACGGCTAGGAAGGGGAGGTGTTGATTGTCGGGGTCATGTTCGGGCGCGTTCGTGACGATATGATGGACGTTGTGGCTGCGTTTCCACCAGCCTAGGGAGAGGCCACCGATGGGTGCGGCGATCGTCATTCCGATTAGACTGTCGATCGTATAGTTCTGGGTGATTCCGATATGGCCAGCGTCGTGGGCGGCGAAGACCATTTGGGACCAGAACCAGGCTAGGAAGAGCGCACTGGTGTTGTACCAGCCGATGCGCAGGAAGAAGAGCATGGTCCCGAACAGGAGGGAGCAGCGGGCGAATTCCCAGACGTACGCTGTGTAGTGGCAGTTGTAGAGGCCTTCGTTGTGGATTTGCGTGTGCAGCAGTCGGTATTTGGCAATGATTTCGTCCTGAGTGGCAGAGTCCAAAGGTGGATATTTGGATAGGGTGAGTTTGATCTCTTCTTTTGTTTGCGTGTCGAGAAAGGTCATTCCGTCTTGAGGGACCATATTCTCCCCTGGCTCAGGCTGGCTGCATCTTTTGTGGATGTCCACATCAACAGTGGGGGCTTTGAGCCCAGTTGAGGAAGCATCTTGCTGTGCCTTGACTAAGATAGTCGATTCATCATCATCATTTCTTTCGTCGTCCGACCGAAAAACTCCCCCTTGAATTGGCGGCACGAAATTCGTCCATCGTCCCGCAATCCGCCCAATTTGATACCTCCCAATCATCTGTCGCGTCTCTTCACAGTGGAATCTACAGGCCGTCAGCATCGGACCCACAAACTCATTCGCGTTCAACCAGGATAGGGAATTCAGCGACCAACATAGTAAACTCATCCGTTGCATCCTTTCCAACAACATGCTGGATGACCTTCTGTCCGCCAGGATGATACGGAATCCAGGCATCCACCCGAAAGACCTTCTGGTTCACGATAATAATCGACTGGCCCTGTGCAATTAGGGTTTCGATGTGTCCACGGGAGAGAATCGTGTCTTTGGTAGACTGTTGTTGCATGATTCAACGCGGCGGCAACTAATTGGTATATGGGAGAGAGTTTGTACCACGGTTCATACGTCAGGTTTAAGCTTGGTTGGATCTCCGGGCCGAGAGATCAATATGGCGGACTAAATATAGCTTACGGACAAAAATAAAATCTGACCAAGTTGATACTTTCCTTTCGGGACCGGAGTCCGGATTATTTTCGGAGATTACGTTCCATGCCGTAAGATGCGGTGTTGGAGTTTCTTGTTTATGGGGTTAGTAAAGGAAAGTTCTTCTTTAGCACATCTTATGAGATTCGATTAAGTTTACCCAGACAAGTCGACTTTCAGTAATTCCCACTCCTGGCCGTGGATGTGGGCGGAACACTCACTCCAACCCCTTTGTGAACGACGAGTTTAAAGCTGAAATGGTGGAAGGGTCACGTGGCCGACTAGCAGGGCTTAGCTTATTACAACACGACAGCTGGGGATTTGATCTCACTTGTCTTTTATATCCTGCCGTGCAACCATCGAATAAAAGACATCCATGATATATCTTTCTTAATCAGTTCCCTTACAGTTCTAGAACTTTGCTAGGAGTGAGCCATTGAACCTTATCCTTCGAAAGAAACTATGAAGCAAATAAACTAGTGTTTCATGATCGCATGATGTCATTTTTTTGTTCTTTTTTTTTTTTTGATTATTATTTTGAAGGATGGCATACGTGAAAGGTTCCCAATTGCTATCTCACAAAATAGACATCTACATGAGCTCTGCGACAAATACAACCAATGAATATCTGAGGATATATGCTATGCAAGTAGGAAGTGTGAGGATAAACTCCAAAGAAATCATCGCCGGGCAATACTGCACATATATCTGCATAAAATCACTGGTAACCATGCCCAGCGCTATGAGTAGTCGCTATGTTCGAGATGTATAAGGAATTGCTAGGTGAACCATGCGTGGTTATGCGAGACTCCCCTCCACCAGCACGCATGGCTCGTTTTTACCAACCTTACATTCAATCCTAAGAATTCAGATCTACGATTATTGCGGAGAAACAATTTACAAAAATCAGAACATCCACACGGTGAAGTCATCGATGGTGAAAACCACAGGTTTTGCCTCAGTATCATTTAACTAAGCCTTAAGTATCGTGGTGGAGCCCTTGCGCTGGATAGAAACGAGGTGGACGTCGCTATTGATTGAAGTCAGCGTCACTTCCTTGAAACAAGAGCGTCGGGTAGATGAGAGACTTACAAGAGGAGGGTCGAGTTGGGGGGAATCAAACCGGGAAAACCCCTATTGTTGTTAGTATACCTTACACATCGAGAGAAGAGTACATCGAATTGGTCCCGTTGATCTATGGAGAAGGGAAGGGGGGGAACATACTGAGCTCCATAGCCGTAGTCCCTGTGCCGATGGTTAGTTAGTAAGCAACATTAGATAACGATAACGACGAGACGAGACTGCATGACATCATAGACTGATACTCACGGAGTGATGGTCAACAAAGCCTTCTCTCCCAGACTCATCTGAGGAACACCCTCATCCCAACCTACCAAATAGGTTTAGCAACTACGCAGTATACAAAGGGGGAAAGGCAGGGCAAACCTTTGATCAAACGTTTAATGCCAATACTCGCCTTCAACGGCTGACCCCTGTCATAGGAGCTATCGAACCTGTTGCGCCTTGATATCAGTCCTTGTCGACTAGTACGTCCCTCCAGGAGAGGACTTCAAACATACTTATTTCCCTTGCCCTCAGGCTTGCTGGGGTCGTACACCCATCCGGTATAGTGCATGGCGATTTCATCTCCCACATTGGGGTTGTCGGTACCGTTGCCAGGTGCGAGAATGTGCTTGGTGACGCCCATTGTGAGATGCGGTGATCGGGTGATCAATAGAAGAAGATAATGAGGGGATGAGGGGAAGAAAGAAAGAGTCCAGGGAACAAGACGCGAGGAAAAGAGGGGCAATTTTTATAATCGCGAAGTGGGGCTTCCGTCCCTGAATTGTGTATCGCGCCGGTATTCAGCGCGTTATTTTCGGTTCGGGTACGGGTGTTCTCGGTAAACGTGGTGTATTCCCCCAACGTTTCCTCTTTGGTTTGGGGGGCGCGCGTTTGATATAGTTGGAGCCTTATGGACCAGGCGGCGTTTTTAGCCTTTCCACAGCTATTGATCCGGCTGCTTTTGTGAGGATCTCATATTGAGTTGACGTTCTCATTTTCTGTGGGAATCGCGCCTCTCTTTTTTCTTGGCACCATTTCAGCAAGTTTTCCTGACGAAGTATTGAAGAAAAGAAAGGGGGAAAAAAATTCTACATTTATGGTATGAGTTCCATGAGACATGCTAGAGCTTCTAGAGAAATAGCAACTAGGTTCATTTTCCCATTGTAGCACGGTGGTAAAGGGGTTGGTTACAGAATCAGGATTCTCGGCTAACACAGAACCTCAAGAAATATATATCTCCCCCCGAGAGACTGATATTACTATTTTTAGCATGGTCATCCATATGAATATCCAGATTCCCCCACAAAGGTTTGAACTCTAGTAACATCGTATTCAAGAACAGCCAATCAGAAAAACTGCCAACCCCTTCCTTGCAGCAGATAGCTCTCCGTATATCCACACAAACTATAAGAGATTGATCCCTGGGAGATTATCAGGCTCCATTTCCAGAACCTAGGCCTTAATTCTCATTTCCATCGCAGGGATAAAACCATGAACGCATATTTGGGCCAGTATTCTCGTCTGCCCCAGGCCGCACCCACAAGGTGCATCTATACAAGGGACTGGGTTGCCTCATAATGGGCAGGGTTTAGACGGCTACAGGGCGTCAGCTCTGCTGGTCGCAGACTTCCACAAGTTTTGAACAGGCTCGTCCGTTGTTACTAGGGTGAGGGTGCCCTACTGTAGAAGGTGAATGGCGGGGAGAGAGACAGTATTTATCAGGAGACTAGTTGAGACATGGTTTTGATTGACACTAAGGACCTAAGGGAGACAGAATAAGGCAAGGCTAAGGGGACGGTGTGATAGGAATTATATTGTCACTTGCATGTTCGCGTGGATGGTGTACTTCCCAATTCGGGAAGCTCACAGTTACGCGCTCATCGAATCAACGTCTAATTGGATAGCAGAGAAAACAAGACGCCTAAAGGAAAAAGTGTAAGCTTCCACAAGCCATTGAGTATATTACATTAAGAGAAAGCTTGACTCTGTGTACGCTGATAATGGAATAGAAAGTCTGCTTTATGAAATGCTATATCACCATTAGTGTCACAGAGTCTTTGCGACAAAAATGAATTCTTCATTTGAACACGTTTCCATTTGGAAGCTGGTTTTACCTATGAGGCCGATATCCTATTCAAAAATCCAGTACTTTGTGTGCGACTTCTTGGGTTAAATCAAACTACTTCTATATAAGCTTAGAATCCTCGCATTGTGTACATTGAATGTCATAACTGGAAGTGTAATTCGATTACAGCTCTTACTGGCAGTGAACGAAACAATAGACTTATGCATTCCTTGGCCAGGAGTCTTTAGACGGCTCTATACTTGTAACTAATAGAGGCCCCGCAGGGCGGTGGATTAGCAACAGATGCGCAACGAGACAAGGAAAAGTAACTAAACTACTTCCCGTGGTGGGCCAGTCAAAACAATCAGGTCCCTTTTAATATCTGCTAATCAAATATAAGCAAATATAAGCAAATAAAGCGGAATGAAATCGGAGAACCCCACCCCCGAACCTGACTACCAGCAAGCGAGGCCGTAGCGAGCTGTAGAGTCATCCTATCCTTTCCTAACTGGGATATCACATGAACTTACCTAGTGGTTTCATGTATCCATACTACAACAACACAGTAACCGTAATAGAGCTTTTTCATTTACGGAGTAATTCTCGGTAGTGTAAAACGGGGCCAAATCGGCACCCCGTCCATATTCCACATCCCGATACACCTAGATCCCAATGCCCGATGAGCGCGTCGTCTTCCGATGCACTCCCACACCTCTAACCTCCCAAAGTCGTACCCCGATTCCTTATGCCGGTCAACCACATCGGATGGCGTGAAGAAGGGATTTTGGTATGTCCTACATAAACGTATCGTTGCTTGTCAAGGACATCTTCACCTTCTAGTTGTAGCTGACTCTTGGCGCGTGGGAAAGAAGGTCTTCACTATAGTACACTCAAGCTCTTTACCTGTCATGGGGCGCTGTTGCAGAGTTTCTATACGTGTCTCTCTGAGAAACCAGTAACTTGTTTGCTACCTTACAAAAGCGTAGCTATGGCCCGGAGACCACTTTAAATAGAGATGTCTGTATACACACGCATGCGGCTTAGTATAGAGCTCGAAGGTAATGTTCGTTATTCCTGATAGAATTTTCATTTATGAATCCGTCATTAAAGTTCCTTTGTGCTCCATATACATGGGATATAGACTATGAAGCTACTCCGCATCGTCCAGCTCCGGATACTGTCGGTAGATACCCATTGAGTATTTCTGTCTCCTCTCACTTGCGAGATACTCCTTGATGCGAGGCCGGTTCTTTACAGTTTCGTAGAGCTGGAATACATTCGAATATTCACCCGATTTCTCCAGTTTGCTCAGCGCTCGAGGGAACGCAAACTTGAGGCCATCAATGCACTGTAGTATGCGATTAGTAATAGGCCGAGCCAAATGTGGCTTTCATTAGGCACGTAGGAGCGTCCAATGCCCGGAGATGAATCTAGACGTACCTGGAAAAGAACAAGGTCCGCAAAGGTCAACGTCTCGCCATACAGCCACGGACGGCCTTGCGCCGCCTGGGGCTTCAGCACTCGCTCGAAGTACGAGAGGAACTTTGGCAGCCGATTCTTCCGGTACGATTCCGACTTCCGCTTGCTCTCCTCCAACTGATCCTCATAGTAGAGTTCCACGGCAACGGGGTGGTGAGTATCGTGAGGCTCATTACTCAATCCGTCTAAAGCGGTGAGAGCGAGCGAGTTGACGTGATAGATGGCGTCCCCATCTGGCGCCAGTCCGAGCCGTGGGGCCAGGTAGAGCAAAATATTGGGTGTCTGGCTGATGCGCAGATCGCCATGCTTGAGAATGGGCGGTGCAAACGGAGGGGGGCCAGACTGATCGCCCTCGTAGTGCTGATCAATGAGTGATAGTACGGTATTAATTCCATCCTCTTCATGTGCTGTGTCAGTATAGTCGGCCCCGGCTTCCTCCAGGGCCAGCCGTATGAATTCTCCCCGACCGGGTATCTTGGGCCAGTAGATGAGTCGATACGGACCGTTCGAGCGCTGCGACATTGTGATTGCTTTTCTTTACAAAATATAACTAGGTAGATATGGGGAAGTTCAATGGCTGAGGAAGGGTGAGAGGTTCATCAAGTCAAGTCAAAGTAACTTAACTAGTCAGCAAGAGCGGGTGACTTTGGTGCGGGGCATCATGCATGAAGTCATGGTGATGACGAAATCTATAAATAAAGGTCTGAGAGTCGCACGTTGCAGGAAATACGAGTTCGTATCAAACTTTAGTCCTGAGAAATATCATATACAAACGTACCTATAGGCAGCGTTAAATAAATTAAAGAAATTGGCAATTTGTAGTAATTGATACTAGGCTATGTCTCAAATGTTGTACGGGTTTTGAATCGGCTTTTGTAACGCATTGTTTTCATTCACCGAGATCCCACTGTTATGAGACCACTACAGACTGCCGGATTGCTCGTATGGTGCCATCAGGGAGTTCCCTAGCACCTTTGACGGGAAGGCTTCCTCCCCCAAAGTCGTGGTATGCGCCCACGGTTTAAGCCCGTTCTCCCGGCGGATAGTTGCTGCGAAGCAATTGCTCCATTGTTTGCGCGGGTAATGCCGTGACACGTCCTCAATGGTCGATTTATGAACGATGTCGGCATAAGCACCGGTGTTGTCTGTGTAGGTCAGGTTTATGTTACTCTGGCGGAAGTGGCCACAGTATTATGGGCTAGGACTTACCAAATATAGTGGCCAGTTGCAGCAATTGACCTACGGCAGTAATCTTGCCTTCTTCACACAGATCTTGATGCCGGATAATCGCTTCAGCGACACTCTCCGCCTGATCACGAGGAGCAACTGCATTTCCTGATGATCCAGTACGGTCCTGCAGGACGTCTAAAGCTAGAAATCCTCCGTAGAACTCGAAACTTAACTTCGTCTTCGTGAGGTTCTCTTCTGTCGACCCAATGTCATGTAACAAGCAGCAGAGAAAGTAGGTCTCATCGGTAAAAGACCAAGAAGGGAACACATATCGCTTAATCGCAAGACCGTAGTGATACACCCGTAGAGAGTGGTTGTAGGTAGGCTCAGGCAGATGGGAGCGTGCATACTGATTGATGCGCTGCGCCAAGGCAGTTTGGGGGACGGGAGTATCGGCTACGGAAATAAAAGGTGCTGGGCTGGATGGCTTCGCCGCGGAGAGGAGGGCTGATGCGGAAGAGATTACCGGAGTGAAGCCATATTCAATTTCTGAGTTTGAGGACATATTGAAAAGCTCTTTGGAGGTTGTGGAAAAATTGTCGTGCGTGTATCGAGGGCCGAGGCTCAATGAAATTCGCTCTGATTGATGAATGTTTCCATCCAACGGGGGTGATGCCGAATCCTTATATGTCCTTGATATTTCTCCAGCTGACAAATTACACTTGAGTGACTCACACAAATACCGTCTAAGGTATCCTTTCTGCGTTCATCATCGCCCGCGAACAAGCATTGATGTGGATGAGAGATAGGATATGGGGCGAAGATCTATGGACCAGTCTAGACCCACTCCAATTTACTGCCCAAAATGGATAGTCCGGGGCCGGAACATTGTTGGACCGCCATGACATCACGATCTATGCACCATATGCTGCTTACGTTACCTATGTTATTTATGCATGCCTTGACTGAGAGCCATGCTACCTCTATATGTTACATCAAAGCGAACCAACTGAAGAGGTTATATTTAATGATATGAGACTCAATCTGCACTGATTTGCAGGAATGTGAAGCTGGAAGCCTGACAAGACCCAAATTCTTGTTCATTATCATTTACACTCATGCAAGACAATTAAATTAGCAAGGAGCCTATCAGCGCAAGATAGATCGTATCATGTATTCGAAACGCTCGAGCTAAAGCCCACACGAAAGCCTATCACGAGTGCATCCTTGGTGTCAAGTCACATATGAACTCCTCTTGTTGCACAAACCATACATTTCTTGTCTTCCACGGCCTGTTCTGATGCAAGTGAATATCGAATTCGCGCAACAACTGAGGCAGAATTTTCCGCATTTCCATCAGAGAGATTGTCTTCCCAACACACGATCGCGAGCCTGCGCCGAAGTTGAGAAAGGCTTTCTCCATTTCTTTTAGCTTTTCGGGGGGGTTTTCCAGCCATCGCTCCGGGAGGAAGGAGTCCGGCCGAGGAAAGACAATCGGATCTCGGTGGACAACCCAGGGGTTGATACCAACCTTTGTACCGCCTGGGATGTGTTGGCCGCAAAGAGTGACGCCCTGCGGCGGCACATGACGCTCGAGGTTCCCTCCAACTGATGGGTGCAAGCGCATTGCCTCTTTCATAACCGCCCCAAAGTATGGAAGATGTGTAGTTGATTCGTGGTAGGAGATCGGATTACTGAGTTTACCCTCTCGGTCTGCTATGTCGATCTCCGCTCGCACTTTTGACATTTTGTCTGGGTGGCAGATGAGATAGTAGAGAATTGCGCGCAGGGCAATTGCAGTTGTATCAGATCCGGCGAAGACGTTTGCCGATAGGTGGACAATAAGGTCTCTTGTCGATAACCGTGTCGGGTCAGCGTTATGGATTGCCAGCCACCGAGACATCATGTCCTTTCCGCCAATTGCTTCGTCCATCTCGTCCTTTTTCAGATCCCCGTCGCGCTGTAGGGACGCTCGTCGATTGATTGCCTTCAGGGTGAATACGACCACTTGGTTCCATGTCTCCATTTGAGGGAGTAGAATAGGGAACAGAGGGTTCCCGAGGAGGACTTTGTGAGCCTCCGGGATCTGGCCGCATATCAACGCATATGTGAGCATTCCCTGGATTGCCTCAATCATATTGTCTACATCCTGGCCTTTCTCCAAGAAGCCTAGCTTCTGAGCGAAAGACAGCTCGCCAACAACGTCGAAGGCGTAGTATTGCAGCCATACCCCGAGGTCAATCGGCGCCTTTTCCGTCACCATCTTTCGGATCTGGGACAGAAACAGCTCGGTGCACGAGTCGACAGCAGACTCCATTTCGAGGATAGAGGTCATACTGTAAGCACCGGCAACAGGACGTTTCTGGTCACGATGGAAACGCTCGTCTCGAGTAGAAAAGAGGTTCATTTGAGGTTTCTTGTCCCACGATATGGATTGAATCGGATAGAAAGCCGTCTGGAGATGGTTACCTCTGGGATAGAAGGACTTGCAAACTGACCTACCTTGGTAAAGCCATTATTAATGCCATAGATGATCGGGATGGCCTTAGGGTCGCTCACTGAGATATGTCTGGGGCCGATTCGTACCAAAGAGCCATATTTCCGGTGAAGGTCAATCTCCGTGTGATGGTGGTCGCCCTTCCATGCCTTGTACAGCTTCCACAGTCGAGTGTAGGCTGCCAGCGAGGGGCCCGGAATTCCAGACAGACAGAATCGATTCGTGATAAGATGAGTAATAATCAACCCGACAATTAAGAGAACAACACTTCCGGCGTCAACCATTGTATATAACAATAGCCAGAATTCAATGCCTGGCGATAATAGAAAAGAATGAGAACGGTTCGGTCGGAGCCCGTGAAATCGCAGAGACAAAGCCTTTCACACCACCATCCTTACTCCACTTTTAGCCAGTGCCTGGAACAACTGGAGGTGACCCATTCGTACCCTTGCATAACCCCACTTGGCACTCTAAGATAGCACAATTGCGCTTTGCTGTGCGAGATCCTGCCAATGGGGGGCTTGGAATTACAACCCTTACGCAAACTTCTTAACATAGCACGGTCGCAGTAGTATGTGGAGTGGGCCACTCGAAGGGATCGATGGCCTGTCACTAAGCTGACTTAAACATCCTATTGCAGACTTGGCGACGAACAGTGCGCCTAAGATCCACATCCCCGACCATTCAGACGCTATGGTGTCCCACCAGCTGAAAAAGCCCCAAGAAGGGTGAAAAATGGATGGGCAGAGGTAAAGTGGCCATAGGGCAGGGGTGTCTGCGGGACGGCCCTTAGCCCTAACACCGGCACCTGCTACGTGGCCTTGCAGCACGATGTAACATGTTAAATGCAACAGACCACCATGTGATAGACCTTTAAGGGGATAGCAAATTGGAGCCCCTTCTGAGATATTAGTATTCTTTCATCGGTCGATACACACCATAATCAACGCCAATCTGAGTGTCGTTAGCTCGATTCCTAGCGCAGTATCGAGTCGATATGCACGCGACACAGTTTATCCTTGATACAGATTTCTAATTTTCACATCTATTTGTTTTTTAGACTCACTAAGGTGAGTTTAAACAGACTTAAAACCTCACCGATTGTGCCATGGGTCCTAATTGCCCGTTGTTGAGATGATATCGTTATTAATGGTTATCCACAAAGTCCTCCCGGGCTTGACACAAATGGCGTGAGCCCATGTTTATGTTGTTCTCATTTACTGATTTATTCTTTTATTCTGTTTTTGGTCCTGTATCTTTTGAATATGTATATGATTATTTTCCCTTCACTTTTCCTATTGGTCTCCAGACCCTGAATGTTGGACTGTTTGAAATGTTCCCTTCCGTCATCTGCAATCAGAGAATGTATTCCTCACCCAGAACACCGTGAATTTCCTCCAGTGTACAGCTGGGCCTGATTATTACGAGGGACACCCAAGCGGACACATTTCTTCTCTTTACCTTTGCATGGGCTTATCAGGAGAAACTGCTTTCACGGCGCATCTTTCAATTTACGAAGAAAGGTTGGTGTGGGGATCTGATGGACTTCACCCCCATGATGTCTCTCAAGAGCCAGCACTATGATATAATACAGAAAAAGATAAGAATAAGGAGCCAATGAGTCTTGTCGAAGATCAATCATGGATTCCAAAACGCTTTTGCAATGGAATGGAGTCGTTGATACTCACTCTTATAATATCCAATACCTCGTCTTTGGTCTTACGTATCAGCCAGTTTGAATCAAATTGAAATACACTCTATGACCCGGAATGGGAGTTCCGTATATTAGGCTACACCAGATGCGGAATGTCCAATTCGAAATTTCATAATAAGGAAGCATCATCAATATCCGGCGTCATATCTCCGATCCGACTCATCTCCGCCCAATTTAGATCCCGCTCAACATCACCTGCACCCTCAAAGCCCTTCTTCTCCCCCTTATCATGGTTCCCCAGATCCTCCAGCCCGAGATGCCTACTAATGGGCATCACCATCACCGGCAAAGTATGCTCCACCTTGGCCATCAACAACGGCAAAAACCTTTTCCTCCCACCGTGCAAAGAATGGACCAACGAGCACAAATGTTTCAAATAATCCTGCGGCCCCATCTCAAACCCGGAAGACCTCAACCCCGTCGAAGACAAACAAGCCATAACATCCGTTAAGGTACACGCCACTTCAAATATCTTCTCGATCAACCCGACCCCATGCGTCTCCATACTCTCCCGAGAAAGCTTCCATGTGGCCAAGGACAAGTCCCGGGCGATCTGGAGGGGATACCGGAAGTCGAGGCTTGGGTGGGTAGGCGTGCTGGATAGGAAGCCTGCCGTTGTGGCAAGTTGCCAGATCATTGTGCGGAGCCATTGCTGCGAGACACGGAGATCGGCGAGGAGGATATCCGGGATATCGAGGTCTGCCGGGACGGAGCGCTGAAGGTGCTCTTCCAGCTGGACTAGGGATTCCCGGGTGCAGATTGGTTGGTTACCGTTCCAGATTGCGAGGAAGGATTCGTCGAAAGGTCGGTAGAGGTCGACTAAATGGCTGAAGCCGACGGAGAAGGTGTCTAAGGGTGATGTGTTTAATGTTGGGCTAGTGCTTGTGATTTGCAGTGTTACTGGACGCCGCCGGCGGATTGCATGGGCACTATCTTACTATCAGAATATGTTGAACAATAGGTATGGTTATGAACTAACCGTTCAGATATTAATAACAACCAAAATAGCTTCCCCGAGAAACAAGGTTGGTCCTCATCGGGGGACTGGTCCAACATATCGGCCGTGTAAAACGTAGTGGCCTCGCGGAGGAAGTAATAAGCCTGACGCTGATTTCCGCATCCAATATGACACCCGTATAGAAGAAAAGCAATGGTAATACCAAGTTGAATAGGTGCAGAAAACGGATCCAAATGTCGCCGAGCAGCCATGGCTTCATCCAACAACGCGCGGCCCATATCCGGGCCCGTACCCTGATGGCAAGAAAGATATCCCGTCTGCGTCAACACGAAGGCACAAAACGCCACCACAAGGCAATACGCATGAGGGTACTCATTCATACGTTCCACCTGCTCTTGGAACTTATCGGGATGCAAAATCGGTACCGTCCCCAACATCCGAGAATAGAAGTACGCAGCACAGCTCTGCACGAGTCCATCATCCAACAATCCAGACCTTTTTACATATCCCGTCGTCGGTGTATCATTAGGCATTTCGGCAGGTGCAATACCACTCGATGAGGTCTCGTCAATTGCATCTGAATTTGTATTTGCCTTCAATTCGTACAATACATTAGCCGAACGTCCCTGTCGCCCTTTTTTGCGCCGAGAAGTAGTTGACCGGCAGTTCAGCCCTATTGATCGACAGGGACTACATGGGCGGTGTGGTGTGCATTTTACTTTGCGACGACGACAGGCGTCGCAAGCTTGAGGGATGGTTTCTCGCGGCATGGGTTTGAATGTGGTTGGTTAGGACTGGTTGGAACGGAACGGATGGTGAGTCGCAGCGCCAAGAAGTTTTTGGAACCGAGGTAATTTAATTGTGGTTGGATGGATGTTTGGGTTTGGTTTTAGGGTTTGATAGTGTGCATCTACATAACGATGCACAAATATTGATACTATGAGTATACGTAGAAAGATAAGTATTAATCATTGGTATAAGCTAGTGAGGCAGTTTAGTTGTCGTAATACAGCCTCATTGTCACTCGCATCCTCCCATCATTCATCCACAACTAACCGCATCCAATCAATGCATTAAGTGAAATATCTACGCCTGACGCACATATAATAGAAGAAAGATAGAAAATTGTATTCACTGATTTCAATATATACAAAACAGACAATATCACAAAGATGAAAAACACTACTCCTTAGCAGAATCAACCCTCACCTCAACAACATCCTCATAGGGATCCACAACCGTGTCTGCAAACTTGCGTGCAGAAACCCTCTTTTCAAAAAGCACGTCTAGCTCCTCATACGTCCGGCCCTTAGGCTCAGGCATTCTAAAGAAAGACCAAACCAGACAGACTAAACAGGTTCCGGCCCAGAAATACGCACTCCTCGAGCTCCAGTCCCAGGCCGTGTCATTGAGTTGATAGTTAGTCAGTACGTTGACGACGATGTTGCTTATATTGTAGCCTGCTCTTGCTAAGACGATGGTCTTGGCTTTGAGTCTTGTTGAGGATAGCTCTGAGACGAGACAGTATGTCACGGGCCCAATGGTAAAGTCGTAGCAGAATGTGAAGATGATAAGCATGACACCGATGGCCCACTTTGCGGAGTTGTTGGAGTCTGGTGCGAAGGAGAGACTTCCTGTTATTATGAGGAGGGTGAAAAGACTGGTTAAACCTGCGAGGTGGAGGGTTCGACGGCCTGCTATTGTCATTAGGTACCAAGAGCCTAGTGTACCTATGACACCGAGGGCGTATTGGACTAGAGAGAGGTCGAAGGAGCGGACAGTTGGGAGGCCGGCTTGTACGCAGAAGTAGGCGAAGTAGCCCATGAGGTTTTGGCCGCAGAGGGTTTGGACTAGCCAAACGCCGCAAACGACTTCTGTTCGCCGTAGGTTCACGCCCTTGAAACAATCTCTGTATCGCGTTCCCTCTGTTGCAGATTTCTCAAGTTCGTTCGTGTGCTGGATCATGGCTATTGTGGCATCTGGGTCGAAGGTTGGGTCGCTCGAGGTTAGCCGAAGTAGAGCGCGTTTGGCACCGGATATATTTCCGCGACGGACGTGCCACCAGGGTGATTCTGGGGCGAAGAGGCAGCCGATTAGAATGGGGACGGGCCAAGCCCATTGCACTGCAAATGGGATACGCCAGGCCCATTGATCCTCTCGTTGGATTGAGCCACGGTTTACACCGACAGCAACGAATTGACCAAAGACCCAGCACATGTTTATGAAGGTGGTTAGGTACGGTCGTAGCACCACAGGACAGACCTCCGACGCATATGCTGCGGGTAGAGTCTGGAACACACCCCATGGAATACCGGCGAGAATCTCAGCTGCTAGTAACATTTGGACGTTGACGGCGAAGAAGAACAAAAAGATCACACCGGTCATGGCTGTTAATGCGGAGACCATGGTCCAGCGGTAGCCGAGTCGTTCTGAGACCAGACCATTGATCAATAGGCCTATTACCTCACCAACCCGGGCTCCGTTGGATAGAGCGGACTGCCAAGAGGCTGGGACAGTCCATTTACCGTTGCCAGCCTGCCTTCCGAACTTCTGATTGAACGCTGGCGAGGCGTACATGGAGCTCAGTAGGGCTAGGTCGTAGCCTTCCATGATGAGGGTCGAGGATAACAGGACTGACCACCCGACAGCCTTGGGGTACAGACGAATTGCCTGCCATAGGGTCATAGATTGCTCTTGCTGAGCGGCCCGTTTTCCATGGACCAGCGAAGGCTTTCGCTGAGTACCATCGTTGGCTTCAATGGCGTCTAGGGTAGACATGGTGGGTGTCAGGTGAAAACGCAGTGTTCAGATGCTTTCCATTAGACAGGGACGTGAGCAAGCTTGGAGAACTTTCGAACATGGGTGAGGTAGGAAGTTATATGTTCTGCAGTTTATCAGATGACGAGAATCTAGCCCTGGAGAACTGGGGTACATGCGAAAAATGGAGAATCTGGGGATCCCCACCGAGCGCGGGAGTAAGGCCCTGATTGGTGGACGGAGGACATACCGGGCTCTAGTCGGAGGCAATACGGAGTCAGTACGGAAGCAAGTCGGAGGAAGCGGTATGTGGAATGCCGTATAAAGACGAGTTCGACGGCAGCAGAATCTATTTCGCACCACGTTCATACAGCCATCATGTCGCCTCACGCCGTACGTACAGTCCCTTCTGGAGAAAATAACTGGTGGAAGGAAGCCACCGTGTACCAGGTAATGACCTTCACCATTCGTCGACGAAAGGCGACACTCACCCACCGAATAGGTTTACCCCGCCTCATTTAAAGATTCCAATGGAGATGGCTGGGGGGATATTCCCGGTCTAATTTCCAAGGTCCCCTACCTACACTCACTAGGCGTGGATGTTGTCTGGCTATCGCCTATGTATGATTCTCCTATGCATGACATGGGCTATGATGTGTCCGACTATGAAAATGTATTGCCCGCTTATGGTACTGTCCAAGATGTCGAGAAACTTATAAACGCCTGCCATGAGCGGGGCATGAAATTGATCCTAGATCTGGTTATTAACCACACGAGCGATCAGCACAAATGGTTCCAAGAAAGTCGCAGCAGCAAAGATAGCGATAAGCGAGATTGGTACTTTTGGCGCCCACCTCGGTATGATGAAGATGGCAATCGATTGCCCCCCACTAACTACCGCGGATACTTCGCCGGTAGCACCTGTATGTATTCCTTTCCCCAGACTTCAAAGACGAATCCCGAGCTAACGAACTTCTAGGGACATGGGACGAACACACCCAGGAGTATTACCTCCACCTATACGCTAAAGAGCAACCCGATCTCAACTGGGACAACGAGGCAGCACGAAAGGCCATTTATGATAGTGCAGTCCGCTTCTGGTTGGACAAGGGCGTCGACGGATTCCGCGTGGACACCGTCAACAAGTACAGCAAGCACACGGACTTTCCTGACGCACAGGTTACTGATCCCAAAAGCTATATCCAACCAGCAATCGAGATGTGGTGCAACGGACCTCGTATCCATGAATTTCTGCGGGAGATGTATGACGATGCCCTGCAGCCGTACGGGGACGTGGTGACCATCGGCGAGCTGGCCAATACACCTGACCCAGCACATGTTTTGAAGTATGTGGGTGCGTCCGCTAAGCAGCTCAGCATGGTATTTCATCTAGATATTGGCCACATTGGTATGGGCAAAAGTTTGGAGGACAAGTACATTTTCAACCCGTGGCAGCTGACGGAGATGAAATCCATCGTGACCAAGTGGCAGTCCTTCATTGAGGGTACTGACGGGTGGACGACAGCGTTTTGCGAAAATCACGATAATGGTCGCTCAGTGTCTCGATTTGCGTCGGATGCCCCTGAACATCGCGAACGATCGGCCAAAATGCTTGCTCTGATGATGATGGCCATGACAGGGACATTGTTCCTTTATCAGGGCCAGGAAATCGGCATGATCAACGCCCCACGCGACTGGCCAGTCGAGGAGTACAAGGATATTGAGGGTCGCGGATACTACCAAGAAGCAGAGCGACAAGTTGCAGCAGGGGTTGATTCAACACGCAAAGATCGCATTATGAACGGATTGCGGATTCTGGCCCGTGATCATGCCAGACTGCCTATGCAGTGGGACGACTCACCCCATGCCGGTTTTACGACGGGGACGCCATGGATGCGCGCCCATGACATGTACCCTGAAATCAATGTGCAGAAACAGGCGGACGATCCGGAAAGCGTGCTGTCCTTCTGGAGGTCAGTCCTCCGGCTGCGTAAGGAGTACCGAGAATTGTTTATCCACGGAGCTTTTGAGGTTGTGGACTTTGACAATCAGCAGACTTTCTGCTTTTTCAAGTCAAGGGATGAGAAGAAAGCTCTGGTAGCGTTGAACTTCACGGCTGATAACCAGCCATTTACACAGGCCACAGCGACGGAAGAGATGAAGCTGCTGGTCAGCAACTATGCAGAGCTATTGCCTGAAACATTACGACCGTTTGAGGGTAGAATTTATATTTCACAATGATAGACTAGACAGCATAAGAGCCATTTACCTCAGAGCATAGATTCACCTTAGAGGAAAGCCAGGCCGAAAGTAGATTGACAGTGAACGGTGTTAAAAAGGAAAATATTGGGAAAGTTTTAACTGACTGTATGTTTTTATAGCTGCCTACCTGAACATGCTCCGCATATCAATGGAGATAATGATGATCGGCGAAGTAGATACAGAGAATACTCTAGTAATCATTATAACCTCTCTAATCAACTAGAACAAAGGCTGAAAGAGTTAGGAAAGCTTGTTGTAAGAATTGTCCATTACAGATAACTAAATTCCTGACAGATAAATAGAAATTCTACTTACTAGTCATTACTATAACTTCAAAAAGAAAAATAGAAAAATACAATACAGGACCTTTCCTCTATCTATAAAATATATTAAATAGTCCCCTGGATATTATTGGTGATGGTAGACATGTGACTGTCTTCTTTTCCACTTCTCCCCCCAAAATTCTCACATTCGCTCCCTCTCCCCCTCTCCCAGCCACCACCACCACCAGTGTCCTGGCGGTATCAGTAAGATAGCTGGAAGTCTCTGTTTTCTCTATCCTCTATTCACCATGCCCACCAACAGTAGGGCGTCTCGCAGGGTGGAGCTCCTGTTCGAAAGTTTGGTCGTAAAACAACCAGAAGCTCTCCTGAACGGAAACGAAGTCAACGACACTGTTTTAAAAGACTTCAAAGTTAGACGTATTGGATTTGATCCTGAAAGCTCGGATGAAGAAGCTTTAGGCTTTTTCACGTCCATGCCCCTCGAAGATCTGCGAAAGTATCCAGTTTGTCCAGATCTCCTCCTCCCTGAAGAGCTCCCAAATCTCGACTTCAGAGATTATGACCCACCGGCAGACGCACAGGCCGATGACAACGGTTACTGGGATACAGGCCTATGCACAGAGATCGTAGCTCAGTATTTCAAAAGCTACATTCTGGGAGGGCTTCCGAGAGCGTTGCCGCCTGGCATATTTAGTTCAGCTCATATGCGCCAGCTAAACTGGATAAGGTGAGTAGACTTACGCCTTTGGTATTTCAAATGAGAATACTCACTGACACTGATATATAGCGCGCCTCATCCGTTTCTCCTAGGGCTGGCCTTCACTGCTACTATCCGAGCAGTCCTAACTTCTGGTCTGCAGGGCCAATACTCGAGCCAGAATCATTTGGGGACCACGTATATTCGCATACCACGCTCGTACTGGTCCAGACCTGCGAAGGGGGCAATGATTCGATGCTATTCGGCGAGCTGGCACCAATAATATCTTCCATGTATAACAGGGCCCGCCAGCCCCAGGTGCCACGCGAATATCAGCAGTCTTTGTTTGATACACCAGAGAAAATCGCCCAGTGTGGTCTACAATTTCCTAATGAGTATCATTTCCCAGTGCTCGTTTTGTCTTTTCTTGGCCCGCAGCACGGGCGAATATTCCACAGTCATATAGATGGCCAAGAACTCGTCATTCGTCAGTCAAGAAGTTACAGTTTCGAACGGAAGGAAAAGGCACCGTTCGACCTTTTCGCAAGCATTGCGCTGAGTAAGCCCTCACATACTATGTGAGACTGTTTGTTTGTGGATGCCATTTTCGGCTTCAATGTCACCGGTCCTCGGATTCTATATGTAATTAACTGCGTATAGGCTGTGCAAGGTGCGGCCCTTACTACTTGTTTCTTATACTTGAAATCTTGCTTTGTTAAGTTAGATCACTCTTCGCTATACTTGACAGCGAAGTTATTATTATACTAGTTGGGATTCAGCCCAAGAAGCTGTACGTATATTTTCTGCACAGTACTATTAAGAGTGGTCTTGTATTGCTTTGTTGAAGCTCCGATGCTGGAATAGCTAAGTTAGGGGCTATGCCGTTCATTATGTAGTTGTAGGAGTATATTTCTCGGATGCCTGACATCCATTCTAGGTAGTAGATCTGTCGGGTCGCTTACTTTCTAAGCCAGTTCATAAATCCGATAGGTGTTTCAGGGGCTATATGCTGTTGATAAAGTGGCTGGATAACAATATTTCCGGGATGTCAGGTCCTATCTTCAATGTATATCGACTGCCGGGCATTGTCCAGCGAATTGAAACCAGGTCGTCTTGCAAACGCGCCGGATATAGCTACAGTGCTTAGAACAGCTTAAGTTGTAGATCCGGTATTATTCATGCGGCTAATCTGGGGTGCGGGGCCACGGCAAGCCATTGCGGCCAACGTGCATTAATTCATTTTCCTACATTTTAAACGTGTTTCTGCCGGCAGAATAGTCTACTATACTGAATCTACTTAAATTACTTGGTCTGCTTAATCAGCTTAACCTGCTTAACCTGCTCAATCTGCTCCATCTGCGTAGTCTATTTTGTCTGCGTAGCCTATATAGTTACGCAGTAGTCTATGTAGTCTATATATATAGTCACATGACAGCGAACTACTGGGTCAATTAGGATTTAGAACTAGTATTAACTAATCAAGGGCGGCCAGATAAGCGGTAAAAGAACTCGACAAAAAGAGGAAAGAAACCCTAAAAATTATAGGAAAATGAATTAATGCGCGTTGGCCGCGATGGCTTGCCGTAGCGGGGCTAAGAGAGAGAAGCATATTAGACTTTAGATAAGACCAAGGAGTCGTGCTTATCATGGAGAGTCTCCGTCAAAGCAACCAAGCACATTATTCGTCATCTGATAACCCCAGGAGAGGCTTCGTTGAAATTCGCCTAGCCTAACTAACTGATGAGCTATCAGAACCCTCTTGTCGTTTCGATCGAATTCTAGCCAGCAACAAGGCGAACACGTCATTGTCTTATATTGTCTTATCGCTTACCTACTTGGAAATTACATTTCTGGGTGATCTGGCAGGACTAGGGGGTCTGGCAGCATTGGTGCAAAGAAGGCTGTGCTTGTGCCATAGAGCCCTGACTCTGGTAGGCGAAGATAATTATTGTCGGTTTCCCGGATTTGCACTATGTATATGAATCTCTCACATCTTATTTTTTTCTTCACCTCCATTTAAACCTGACTCTCCCAATCACAATACGCGAACAGGGGGTTGCCAAGGATTGAAATCACAGTTCAGAGGCATTTTCTGTCTATCGGCTCGTATTAGCCCACTTAAGTTGGACAAAAATGATATGGAGGGTGTTGATCTTTACTACATGGAATTAGGTTCCGCTCAAGCCCCAACATCGTATTTAACTGCGCCGCCCAAACTGCAGATCGCTCCAAGCACAGCTGCGCAGGAGTGGGAAAGTGGCATGGCTCATAAAACGATCGTGAGTGAAGGCGCAGCTCGAACATATTTTTCTTGCCTGCACCTGCTCTACTATCAAATGCTTCGCATCTTCACATAAGTTGCCATTCGCAGACCATGTCCACCCCACCTGCGGACAAACCTCGAGGGGTTCAAGCCATTCTCTGGCTCGAGAAATACATGCCCATTATATTTCTCGTGCTGTTCATAACGCTAGCCTGCCTATCCGGTGCCTATCACCATAGAGTCTATTCACATCCGGAGCTTTTCGAGCCTCCATATAGCCCCTATATCAAGCCCGGTACAGACGGGCCGTTAATAACTGCATGTCTTCTTGTTCGGATCGCGAAAAGAAAAAGCCACTAACTGGGAATCTAGACATGTATCGGGGTGGCAGTGTTCCTCCTGTCTATCTTTATACCACATAGTGGACTATGGTGGTTCGCTTGTGTCGTTACTCGCTTCAGTCTTGCTACGGGTCTCATCGCTTCTGCCGTCCTTCAATCGCGATATATGCCGCTTCCTCTCGGATCATGCGAAAATGATAACATTTGGCGAGACCCAACTGGTATCACAGAAGGAACACCCACAATGTTCGAGGTACTACCGATTCAATCGGGCAAGAGTAAATTTGGTAGGCGTTATAAAAATCGGCCATGTGATGCACTAGTCACTGTTTGGAGATTCGAGATTGCCTTAGCGTGAGCATACCTTTTGCGTTTGCCTCGCATATTCTTTCCACGAATCTAACAACACTACAGGGTATTGACCGTACTCTGTGGTCTATATGCCTGCTTCCTCGTTGCGTATGCAGTGATCGCGGATAATCCAGTGACATCGGCGCCTGTGGGTGCGGCGCTTCAGTGGCTTGGGAAACCTTTCAAGTCTGTAGCGGGCTGGGGCAAGGGCAGACGTAGCAAGGAAAGGAAAGAAGATGAGGCAAAACTCCTTGCTACCGATCCTGAAGGCTTGGGATATGTCGATCACGAAATGGGCATCAGAGCCCGTCCGATATGAATTGATTGTTATTTGAGGATCTCCTGTGCTATCAACCGGCCGCCAACTATCTAAGTTGTTGGTGAAATTTAACCCGATATCGACCGCGAATGTACGATGAGATAGTGCAGATTTGAATCTATGAATACACAACTTTGTCTGTCATAATACTAATCATGATCCTAACTATAATTTTAAATAGTGCTGACTCCGTATAGTTGATACTGATCAGTTCTAAAGCTGAGGTTCTATAGTTTTACTAACTTATATCCAAAATCTATAGAACTCAATAGAGAATGATGGGCCGAGCAGGTCGCTCAGACATCACAATCTAGATTCTCGTCTCGAAATTTTTCATAGTTGTCACGGATATCGTCATTATATAGTTATATAATAGTTATATTATATTGAAATTCGAGCAGGACAGTTGCCACCAAAGCTGTTGATAACGTCCGTTCCACGGGCAAGATCCATCAATATCAGATTATACTATATGTCTCATACCGGTGAACCACGAGCATTCCCACCAGATACACACATATAACAATGGTAACACTTCCACGGAGAGTCAGACAAAAGGCTGAACCACAACAGGCCGAGACCCTGGGTAGGCAGCTGTGTCGTGGAAAAGGGAAACGGGCTCGAGACGAACTAATTGGTCCAGCAAAAATTACAAAATGAATATCATGTCACTGCCATCGCTCATCCCCCACCAGGTGCTCATCACTATTCTGTCTTACAACGTTATGGTCCGAGCCCTGAGACTTGTGTCTGCCATCGACCATATACTCCAGTTGAACACTATTCGTGACCAGTATCCCTTCATTGAAAGGCAGTTGACGTGAGCCACCCACCCGTCCCTCAGACGCACCGTGGCTGTAGTATGTGGGGTAGCTCTTCTCGGCTCTTCGTCGCAGGGTATATAACGTAGGCACATTAGCGACGAATGCAGCGAGAAATTCCTCCACGGAGCCCCAGGTGTTTCGGTTCAGCTGGGAGGTATTATCATCGAATGATGGAAGGCGTACGATAGCTATCGCAATGAGTAATAGCCCGATTGCAAACAGTCCAACGAGTTGGAGACGGCTAGACATTTGATTAGAGAATACTTTTAACATTAGATAATGATTACCTACCGCATCCGAGATGTCTTTACCCTGAGTATCCATGGCATGGGTAGTATCATCAACATGGTGTCAGTCGAGATGTTCATAGAAATAAGAGTGACGAGTTGGGTGTGGGCTTCGATGCATGACCCTGTACACGATGTCAACGACTGCTTATTATCCGACCTTGAATATAATGCTTGGTTTTGTACGCACCTGGGTCAGGCATGACTTGCCAGTACAGGTGCAGAGGTCGACAGTCAACAAAGGTAGTGATCTGAACTGCTGCAAAGCTGGCAACGAGCAAGGTCCAGCATGCTTTGATTATTCGTTCCGGCCATGGAAGACCAGCGAGGATTCGTTGACAGAGAAGCAGGACCACAGCCTTTTGCAGCCAAAGACTGAGGATGTTAACGCATGATTTAAGAGTGAAAGCGAGCTAGACATACTAAACGTTGTATACCAGACGGTTAACTAACGTCAGCTTGCTACCGACCTGGCGACGGTAGATCTCAGTCGAGCTTATATCTGTAACCGATCGATCCATATGGTTATTTCCCCAGACCAAGATGACTGTCGCGAATGCAGAACGGGCAAGAACTAGGCCAATGCAAGCGATAGTGAGATAGTCACTAAGAATCAAATGTTGACCGCGACATCTCCGCATCACCAGGCGCAAAAGCATCAACGCCTCGCTCAGCGCACCAAACACACCCACCAGAACGATGGCTGCCGTTGAATCCATAGACATCTCGACGTTTGACTGTAGCCATCTTTGGCTTGGGGGCGTGAGAAGCGAAAGAAAAGAGAAGAAATTTTTTCTTATCCCTGCCGGTTATTTGTTCCACGACATGCATCATCGAGGGTTAATTGTCATTACAGTTCTTAAAGGATCACGATCCCTGACATTGGGGTTTCGATTCTAATCCGGAGGAAGTTAGCTGACAGGGCCAACTGACTCGAAACTCGTATACCGTCAACCCTATCGGTTGCTGGTTTCCGAAGCGAGCCCACTTTGGACTACCCCATGAATCGAGCCACCAGATCTCATGATGCAATTTTTCGATTATCTTTATCTAGTCATGTATGCTAGAGTGTTAGCTTTTCATAAGACAAAAAAAGGTCAAAGAAGAGAGACAAAGAAAGAAATCACGATCATCCAAACGTTACAATTTTCGTCTTTATCTCAATGACCGATCCCTGCCCCTAAAGCCTTGAACTTATTTAAATTAGGGCATGGAAATTCTAGACTCGCATTCGGAGCCTCTGACCAACAAAAACCGTCGCTTCCATTGGTGGGTCGACAGGCATCGGGGCCAAGATGCCGTTAACGAGAGAAAGAGTGGAGGATCGGCGTCGACGGTCTGACATTAGTGTGGCATCCCCCTAGTCCTTCCCCGGTATTCAATTATATTTGGAACCGTTCTCTTCCGCCCCGTAGACACGACCACCCAACGGGGCTCCGTTCTAGATGACGCCCCTTTTCCCACGTTTCCCCTTTGTTCGTTGGTTGTCGAACTCGCTTGCCATGCCACATGTTTGCCAAGCATTCACAGCCGTTGTCTTGGCCTCAATGCTTCTTCTGTCACATGTCGTACATGGCGTTCCAGGATTCTCCGGTGCGGCGCCTCATTTCAGGGATTACTTCTATATTGGTGGGCAGTATGTTCAGTTCAACAGTAGTAATGGTGGTGGGAGCTATTTCCATAACCAAATGTATGTCGAGAAGTTGTCCCCTGTCCGTGAGCGTGTGCAACCGTATCCGATTGTTTTTGTTCACGGTGGTGGTCAGACCGGGACGGTGAGCTTTGTGCTCTTCCAATAGCAACTCAGTCGTAAGGGGCAGGACAACCTCTAACAAAATTAGAATCTCCTCAATAAACCTGACGGGAATCCAGGATGGGCATCTTGGTTCCTGAACCACGGCTATGTCGTGTATCTCCTCGACCGAACGTTGACCGGTCGATCCCCGATATTGCCAGAGGATGACCTGAGCCAGACTGCCTTCTCGGCGGAGTTCATCTCACAAAGATTCACCGCCGTGCAGAAGTATCCCCTATGGCCCCAAGCCAAACTTCATACCCAATGGCCGGGTGTAAGTGCTCACAGAAAATTGTACGTTTCATTCGTCCCACATTAACATGCGCGAGCGTAGACGGGCGAAATGGGTGACCCATTCTTCGACGCATACTACATGAGCACCATCCAATCCATCTCCGACAGTCGAGCCCAAGAGGAAACCATGAAAGCCGCCGGTGAGAGCCTTCTCGACCGCATTGGCCCGGCAATAGTCATCACGCATTCCCAAGGCGGCCTCTATGGGTGGTCATGGGCAGACAGTCGTCCGGGCCTGATCAAGGCGCTGATCCAAATCGAGCCAAAGGGCCCTCCATTCCGAGAGGTCATATTTTCAAGTGATTACAGTCGTCCTTGGGGACTGACGTCTATTCCCTTAACATATGACCCATCACCCACTAATGTCTCATCGCCCCTAGCTATGAAGACTGTTCCAACACATTCATCTGACTTGCTTCCATGCATCATCCAAGATGAACCTGCCAGAAAATTGCCTAAGTTAGCACGGGTTCCGATTTTGATCAGTACTGGAGAGGCATCATACCATGCTCAGTATGATTATTGTTTTATCAAGTTCCTGCACCAGGCGGGGGTTCCCGCGGAGCATTTGGAGTTAGGTCGTGTTGGGTTGCATGGAAATGGGCATTTGCAGTTCATGGAAAGGAATAGTGACGATATAGCTCAAGCCCTGCATGAGTGGATGGTGATAAAAGTGAACGGCACGTTTTGAGATCATAAACATATAGACTGGCTGGGTTGGATATCATAGACATTGGTAGTGACTTGGATGGGCCGGTTGCTTAACTGATGAGTCACGAGGATGGGCTAACCAAACCAAGAGCTGTCCAGTAACACTGATTGCTTGGAATCCATATTGATAAAATGTTATGATACTTTACATGGACTGAGCAGTCTATGGCCTCCAGGTTTAGGTTATAATAATATAAGAAGTTGTCTTGATAATCCACAGAGTGATTGCATTTTCTAAACACACGAGATAACAAGCATCCTACCATGGGCTACTAATACCTACATACCGTGAATGCATCAGAGAGCATTGGTCTGACTGATCAGCATAGACAATACCGCCAAATAAGAACATATTCTCAAACTATCGTTGCCCGACACTACGGTTTCCATAGATTTCACATGGTGAAGCAATTCTTCGGATCAGCCTTGTCGCGATGATCCAACTCGGCTAACAGTGCACAGGCTGCGACAACTCTGAAGCTCTTGAGCTCACCGTATATGTCCTTGCGGTAACCGGAAATACTCCCTTGGATCCCATGATAAAGACACGCCATGGATAGCTCTAAGCCATTAGGATCGGGGTCCTCGATCTCCTGCCGGCGCATAATGCTCGTGATCCACGTAGCAATTCGGTCAAACTCCTCCTGTAGTTTATTTGATCGGTCACGTTGGCGTCGGGTCTGTACACCCCTTCTGTTAATGATGGACCCGATGAAGACCTCTAACTCGCTGATAGGCTTAGTTGGATGGTCAGAGTAGGCGTCCATGGCAGAAATGATCGCGTCTTCGTATCTTTTGTAGAATATGAACTTTATCAGCAGTGTGATTCAATTCTACTAATAGCCAAAATTGTATCTTACGCTGCTCGAATTCGCTTTGCTTCGCCAAGATGTTCCTCCCTCGGGGTTCGTGACAATGACTTGCACCTCCTGAGGCAGTCCTCAATCACACTATTCCAAAAGGATTCCTCGTCTGTGTCAGACATAGAAAGAACGTGTTTGCGCCAGATCTTTTGCTCATCGATGGCCCTGTATAACTTTCCAAGGATCTTCTCTGACTTATAGTAGCGGTATGGCTCTTCTGCGTCTGCGTCATCATTATCGTCATAGTTGGCATGTGAAACATGCTGCTCAAGCCCAATCTTGGATTTATTATAGAGGCGTGTTTGAGGTCCTGGCGCCAAACTAGGTGTTTCAATCATTAGACCCGAGACAAGGATTACTGAATAGAAAGGAGACCTACAAGTCCGGTCGATAACGGTTCACTCTAGGCATATCCATCATGTTGACGGGAATTCCAGTTTTGGAAAAGTCCACGGCCTTCGAGTGTAGTTCAGCCAGAATGCGGCATGAGGGATCCCTGGTTCCCGAAGCAGCTTGATCTGCCATGATCATATGGCGGATAGCAATCATACCAAGAATATCAGACCGCATGAATTCCACAAAGAATGCAGCCATGTCATCTTTCATCACCACACGCCCTATGTCAATAGATGTGGGACGCGGGTAATCTGCGGGAGCAAATGTCTCAACGCTCTCTAGGTCAGGATCCCAGATGACATGATACAAATCACCATCAAGATCACCTCCACTCAACTTACTTGGCAGGTCCCGACTTCCTCTCTGACTGAATACAATGCAATTACGATGGAACCTTAAAGGATGACCCTCTGGGGGTATGACGTTTTGGGCACGTTGAATGTCACCACAGTGAAGCGCAGGCGAGCGAGTCACCAAGATATGCCCAGACCCAGGAGGTGCCGCATATCTCCCTTCCATACGATCAAATGTCACATAAACCTCACCTTCTTGAAGGAAGCCTGTCTCATCTATGATCCCGTATAGTGTCATGCCTTTCTTCACCGGGATGCGCGCTTTATGCTTCAGGAGCCGGAGCTCTCTGAGAACCACCGCCTCAACAATGGCACGGAGGAAACCATCCTTCTTATAGTTCAGCCGCGTCCAGTAACATTGGCGGTAGAGTCGGTAAAGTCCAATGCACCCAGCAACTGACTTGTCTTTGAGAAACCTTGCTGTCTTATCTGTGCTGACAGTAATGGATTGAAGACGCGTCAGCTCTTCATTCTGCATTTGAAAGAACCAATTCTGGGGGGCACCCATATCCTCCAAGATCTTAATCACCTGACGATTTAATACCATGGGATAAGGTCTGGATGCCATATTGCAGATCTCCAGGTTTTGCATATCCTCACTATCGAACTTGACCATTGATGGGCGGATCTGAATGACCGCATTGGGTAACCGGGTATCAGCAGCAAGCATGCCTTTCGCCCCACCCAAACGGATCTGAAAGCATGTAGGATTACCCCTGTTTAGTGGTATGTCGGCCCAAATACTTTCCACCACCTCTCGTGAAATAGCTCCGACCCCATCACTGAACACCCGTGAACCGTCCGGCGATGTGAGGTCCGAAGTCGTTGAGACTAACACCCCATGCTTTTCTAGCGGGACCATGAATGGCGTCTCGGTGAAAGCCTGGCCAATTCTCGCTGCGCACCGTGCCGGTGACGTTATATGTGAGAATTGACCGATTGCATTGATGATCGAGAAGTGTGTCTGCATATGGCCATTATCGTCAATAAAGGGAGAAGAGAACTGTCAGCTATGTCAGTCTTATTTGCTATGAAATTGCTTCATAGACAGGGTTATTACCCAAACAGTGTGAGATCTCAATGAGGAATGCGAAAACCCGAGGAAACTATATGTGCGACCGGCGATCTGGATCCCCTTTGTCATAATGTCTTTGAATCGCGCAAAAATGACCTTGTAGTCCACCCCTGCATTGAAAAGCAAATCTCCTCCATTCTCATCACAGAACTGTACACGGATGAAGTACTCGTGATGGTTGGGAAACTTGCGTAGAATCCGATTTAGAGGTTCCATTTCGGGCCCATGAAGTGTGATTCGGGTGGGGGTCACATTGACCCTATAGACTTTTGTCATGTTAGCTGTGTTCTCATGAAGTCCTTCCCGATAGGCGAAGCCGTCTTGTATCTCTCTGTGGTTCTCCTCAAGCGTCGCCACGAGAGAGTCTACCTCATAGCCCCACGGGTCATCTCCAGGAAATGGCCAGCCGATCATATTAAATAACTTTCTTATTGCGTCCACGGTGATAGAATCCCGTCCGGCTGCCTTATCCTCAGCGAGCCTTTTGCATAACCTTTCGGTCAATTGACGGATAGTGGTGGGATGCAGGTATGCATTTTGTGCCAAGGCCTGAAGCTGGAAAAGAATCTCAAACGGCACAGATTTCTTGCGCGTGCATTCTGCTAGCCCATTCAGCAGTTTGTGAAACTCAACCAAGACTGTCTGTGACGATAATAGGGACCTTGCTGTGGACAGGTCGTAACGATAGATGGTGATCTCCCAATCTTTGAGCCTTTCTATCTTTGCCCTAAAGTCCACCACAGAAACTTTAAACTGATAAACCAAGCACTGCCCAACTATCTGGTCGTGTCCGTTCCCTAGACTTGACAAACGTACCCGACTGGACGGTATCCCCACCGGGTTGTAGGAAGTTCCCATTACCTTGAAGAAGAAGGGCACATCAGAGAGGGTAAATGTGAGGGTACCGTCAATCGAGAATATCAAGCTAACAATGGTGGCAAGAGGTATTCGAATTCGAAACTCAGGAATTATGTTGACGATCATAGATCGCGTCTTGAACTTGACAGTTCCTCCTGCTGACCGTTGAACCTCAGGACTGTATGTCAACTGGTCCCCAAGAAAGTCGCATCTTCCACAGCTGTATTGCTGCATTTCAAAAACGACGGACTCCTCTGGTCTCTCCCGGTAACCCTTTGTCCTTTCTTGAGCCTCGTGTTCCAACGTCCGCAAAGCGAAAGGCTTTGGTGGATATCTGCTTGGTTTGCAATATACAGCAACTCCCAAAAGATTCAGATTTGACTTCAGTACCCCAGGGAGAGGACCATGCGGGCTTTGCTTTTCTCCATGCGTCTGCAGAAATCTTTCTCCGTCGCTGACATGCAGAAGAGTAATAGTGCCAAAAGGTTTCTTCCTAGGCTTCTCACAAATAAAATCTTGGATTCGGAGGTTTTCCATGAAAGGCTGAAGTTCGCGTTTGAAACCATGCCGATTGAGATCCGCCGGGACGCGGTAAAGAAAGACTTCCATATTGAATATAATATCATACAAAAGAATTTCCAAATGAAGATATGGCAGGGAAGGCACGGATAATAAACAAGCTTGGTTGAGTAGTAATATTAATTAAGCAGTTGTGGGATCGAAAGGAAATGAGGGGAGGCCATGAGGAGCAAAGAGATGATCGGACCTCCTATTGGTGGCTGTGGAACACAGGGTACATTCATAAATTGAATGCATCTCTAACCTTATCTTCATTAGTGGTCTGATCCATCTCACCTTTACCAGCCGTGATAGTATTTCAACCGGCGTTCTCCCTCCCAATGTCTATTCCGTAGACAAGACTATCGATAGGTCCACTGGAGCCAAACCTGCGATAATCAAGAGTCGTCTCTTGGAACACGATTAGTATTTCGCCTCAAATCACGAAAGCCGACGAAGATATCTGTCACCCATCATGTCACTTTGGCCCTATGGACCATAGCAGTGAATGGTGAGCAGAGGTCAGCGGACCTTTGGTGAATGAAACACATCTCCAGCCTCTCATTGTTTCGGATAAGACGGCTGGGCCATCCTAGGTCAGGGAAGGCCAAAGGGACACAAGGTAGAAGTCGGCGAACGCAATAGTGGGTTCTCGAAACTTTCTATAACACCTGATTTGGCATGTGACGTGCCTTATTGGTACTTTTGATTTATGCTTACTAGTAGTAAGTAGCGTAGGTACCTACGAGTCTCTTTTTACCTGCCCCGCTCTTTTGCATTTCGGTTTCTCGGGGATGGGCGCACTATAGTACCACTTACTATTTAAAGTAGTGGCAAACATACTCTGCAGCGCAGTCTCGATCCTCAGAAAACCATGCAGCATATAACTCATGATATGATGCTTGCAAATGGGCACTGCAAGCACTCGTACCGTTTTATTTCAGCAGCCATTTTTCAGTTATACTATTTCTTATTCCGTATAATCTCATTGAATGCCTCAGTACTAGACTAGTCATATGAGTTTGCATCTACTTTAGTGGGTGCCTCTTGTTGAAGTCCCATGTTAGTTTTTGTTGTTTTTGTGTTCTCCTCAGCACCCAAGATAGCTTCTGGCACAAGGAGGGTAACATCGCTGTTTCTTTCCAGATATTCTTCACACATTCGATTCTTCTCATTTCTTACTAGTCCTTTACACTAATCCTTCTAAATTCATTGTCAGCGTTTACCATCGTCACATCCAATGCGAGCCGAAGCTTACCATTCAAGCACTGTATAGATGTCTAGCTTAAGCCATATATGGGCTTTGGGGGCCTGAAAACTCGTAATATATTATGCCTCATACTCGGGCTTTTTGAGCCAATTGTTCAACAACATCTATTCTGCTTCTACAATACAGTATGCTGCGTCGTACCTCTGCACCTGCTCTGGGATGTGGTCATGATTGCTTCGTTTGTGACACGGCGACACAATACGTACAGTCAGCACTTGGACAATAATCAAATTTCACGTCTCACAGTACAAGAAGCATAAGCTTATGTGGTCTGAATACAACAATAGTATCAGGATACACAGTCTATCCAGGTGCGAAATGGATAGTAAAAGGGACCTGGATAGCAAGAATAGATAACGTTAAAAGAAAAGAAAAAACGAAAAGCAAAAACAAAAAAAAAGAAAAAAGAAAAAAGAAAAAAGAAAAAAGAAAATTCCAGGAACGCTAATGAAACAGGGAATGGCAGCACAAAGGCGCCATGGGTGTTTTGTTTTCCTAGCCTCTTGGAAACCACAAGGGCTCCCTGATCATTGACGATTTGGCAAGATTCCCCTGACGGAAGGCAGATAGTCTAGAAAAACGTTGCCCAAGGATTTGTATCCAAGTGTCTCGCATCTGCAAAGCTTCAACCTGCAGAAGCCTCCATATAACATAATATGCATCACAAAGTGTCGTTGACAAAAGCACGGACAGAATGAAGATATGTGCCGAGGTGTATCCGAGGAGATCCAGTACACATAAAAATGATGCGATACAAAGAGCGACCAACATCATAGCCAAAGCACATTCTTCGTGTTTTCGGCAAAAGGCAGATTTAGAATCTTCTACCATTCTATATAGTTTCACGAGAGCTGGCGGTGGAGGGAAGCTATCCATGATGAGGATGGCAAGATTGACTGCATAATCATGACAGTTCCAGAAGATTGTACGATATCGTGGGAGTGCATCTGTGGATCGGTCCACTCGATGAAGCTCTTGCGCTTTTATCAGGAGTTTTTAGTCAGACTTTAGCTCCTGAGGGCAACAATGAGGACATGGTACTCTAAAGAAGAAATCGGAAGTCATCTTACATATGTAATCTAGCTCACATAGACACATGCTTGTCTTTCCAATGAACTCCAAGGCGCGAATTATCTTCAATTCAGACTTTGGTATTTTCCTTCCAGGTCCAGAAATGGCCAGTACAGAGTATGTTCCTTTATGGTTGTAGATAGTGCCTTCAGCCAATTTGTCGATCAGCGTTCGAGACTCATCCGAGCAAACACTGGAAGGAATAACGATTACACCCATATGCTGGATAATTTGAAAAGGCCTGTTTGAGATTTTGGGAATGACAGGAGCATCCAGACTCTTCCGGTAGTCCCAAGCCACCTGAGCCGGTCGTATGTCAATTAAGCTGTTCGTAAAGATAAATACATCCTGCGTTCCTGCCAGTCAAACATCGTATTAGAGACCCTTCCTACACTGCTGGTTCCAGCCGCACCTGGGATGTGGCCTGTAATATGTTGACCACCTGATCCGAGCCGTGCAGGACAACAGCAGCAAGTTGTCCAGCAACCGGTACTATCAATCATCATTGCCACTCAAAAGACATCTTCCATGGGGCCTTGGCTAGTAAAAGTAGAGAAAATGATGAGGATCTCTCTCAAATGGACAAAAGTCAACCTGGGACATGCATTATCTACTTTAATCATTTAGGGGCATTTGTTGTGAAACCTTCATGCATCGTCTACTCACATGCAATCTTCGCTCTGTAATGAGCTACATGTCGGCCGGCATGATTTCCATACTTTGAGAAAGTTGACACTGATGCCGGCGGGCCTCCACTTTTCTCTACAAGCACCCTATCGAACATGCAGAGAATGTCTGAGATGTCTCTCTCTGTGTGTGTTGCAGGACTAATGTCCCACTCATTTACAACAGGCTTGCACTTATAAAGATATCTACAGTACAATAGTTCGCTAATCATGCTGGTGAAGGCATCAAATTGGAACTTAAAAGAAAACAATTGGTGGCCCTAACTAATGCTCTTTCTCCCCTCTACCAGATATACCCGAGAACCATGTGTCAAGTATCGGATTTGCACCGGTCTTTCCCGTATGTTCCTCCAAGCCGCAACATACTACGTAACTATCGAAACAGCAGATTGGTGCATTTCATACTAAAGCGCCAGGACTACTGAACATTTCATGGTTGGACGTGTCAGGGAACACAGTATTACAATTAACTACAACCGTGCCAGTGTTGGTTGGCACACAGTATATAACTACGACGGAGACCATCATAGACGGAGAGGCAAATGTGACAGGAGCTACATAGTTTGCGTACTTGGTTTATTATTGGCGATGGAGAGTAGTTGTGATTTGATTCGTAGTTTTTATCGCGAATACCTACATAAAACCCTCCAAGTCGCAGTCCAACGCTTGGTGGGCCTTAGGAAAGTCCGTGCATGACCAAATATTTATTAAAATTGTAACACAAGGACATCAAATCGGTCAGGTAATAAGTTAGTAAGTCGATTGAAACTTTCTTCGTCCCTTTGGCTATTTTACATTTGGTCTACTACTGCTCAAAACTAAATGAAGGATTTTCAGATATATATAAAGTAGTCGAGCTGGATGATTCAAGAGACGTATGACAACTACATAACCCCGAGTTACAAGCTACATATAAAAGGGTTTGGAGAGTGGACACCTTGCGACCGGTATTGAGCACATCGCACGTTATACAGTCCATGAAAAGTTCATGCAGTTTAAAATTGTCACTTGTGTACTAGTTTTGGGCAGCTCTTGGTTCAAGAGCCTGGAGCCTAAGGCAGTTAAAGATATACGCGGTACCACGTGACGCTTCCGTGTGACGTCACGCGTTCACATCAACGGGGTTATAGATCCTGAGCTTGCATTCTCCCGGACATCATTGAGTACTACCGATGCTATTGTACATATGATCTGCATCTAGGGCTATCACACTCTTATTTGATTGACTATTATTGTCTCATGAAAAAGAGAATTGATAATATTGCGTCATGAACTGGGCACAGCAATTCGGTTACCTCATCGCCCCCTGATGTGTGACATTGGAAGTTGCATTCTGCTGTGACTCGGGAAATTCATCCAACACCTTCTCCTCTCCACTAACTGTAAATGTGGCCGTCGGGAAGTCCTGCCCGACATCTACCTCCAGCTTATAAGACCCCGGATACAGCACCAAGTCTCCGTTCTCAGCAGTCCTTGCAACGGAACCCACCGAAACATCCAACTTCACTTGCTGGCTTTGTCCGGGTTGGATTCCCTTCGCGCGACTGTATCCCACCAGTGTCTTGATAGGGTAAGGCTCAGGTCCGACCCCATCAGCGGTCAGGAATAACAAAGCAATGTAATCCGATGTCACCTTCCCGGTATTCGTCACCGTGATAGAGAATGTATCAAAAAGCTCCGTATCAACCGGTGCATCAGTAGTACCACTGGCTACAGAATCCGTGTTGTACGGACCATAACCATCGTGATCCCATGACATATTGAACGTTGTATAGTGGAGACCAAAGCCGAAGGGCAACACCGCCTTGTCATACCATCGGTAGGTTCTTCCTGGGTTGTTGGACCCTGGACGAAGGGTCATGTCTGTCATGGGGACTTCATCCACATAGCTGGCTGGGTATTGTGTTACCGGGAGACGTCCGGCAGGTGCTGATTTGCCAGTTAGAATATCGAATATGGCTGTTCCACCCGCTTGACTTGGATAACCAGCCCAGAGGAGTGCCCCGACACCATCATTTGCAAGAAGGGAGGAGTCGTCCACTTGCCCACCGCCGAACTGCACTACTATTAATGGCTTCTTCAGGTCGGACAACTGTTCGATCAAATCTAGCTGATTTCCGGGCCACACAATAGTTGTGCGGTCCTGCGACTCTTTCTCAATTGTATTGTCTATGCCGCCCGCATAGATCACAATATCTGCATCTTTGGCGGCGGAGATGGCTTCTTCGAACCCGGCTGAGCTGTTTGAGTTGATATCTGTGCCTTGAGAGAATCTAACTTTGAACCCCTTGTGTGCGGCTGCCCATATCAACGTCCTAATGTATTTTGGAGGTCCCTCGTAGTTTCCCTGCAGTTGGGTGGTTGCGTTCGCAAATGGGCCAATTATTGCTACTGTCCCATTGCTCTTCAGCGGGAGAGTTCCATCGTTCTTGAGCATGACGATTCCTTCGACCGTTGCTTTATGGGCAAGTTCCTCGGCGGCCGGAGTGAACACCTCGTTCCACCCGATCGATCGGTAAGGTTGGCCATCTGCAGGGTCGAAATACCCGAGCTTTACAAGGGATGAATATAGTCTGACGAGTGCCTTATCCAATGTCTGGTTCCTATACAGTCCCTGCTGGAGCGCACTGCCCAAATATTCCGGGAAGACGGACCCGCAGTCCAGGTCCGTTCCGGCGTTCAGAGCAGCGGCGGCGGCATGGGCACCATCGGCGACATAATGATGGTCAGCGTAGATGTTGTCAATTGCGCCACAATCACCTGTGACCCAGTGGCCAGTTTGCTCCCATCCCCAGTGCTCACGGAGGAGAGTCTGCAGCAGCCAGTGATCTGCGCATGCGGGGATGCCGTTTAAGGAATTGTAACTGCACATCACGGCGTCGACTTTTGCATCGCGCGTGCATGTCTTGAATGGGGGCAGATAGTACTCAGATAAATCCTGAGAGGACACAACGGCATCAAATGCATATCGCTCGATACCTTCCCAGTTTTCCAAATCATACGCTGCGAAATGCTTGCACGTTGCGACTACCTTGGGTCTCTCTGGTCCAATACCATCTTGAAGTCCATCCACCAGATGGTAGACATACCGAGAAAGATGCAGCGGATCTTCTCCGGGAGTTTCCTGACCTCGGCCCCATCGCGGGTCACGGAATGGATTAATATTGGGTGTCCAATAGTCGAGACCCGCGTGGCCACCATTGGCGAACGCTCGAGCCTCAGTGCTGATGACAGTGGCGACTTGCTTCACAAGATCATCATCGAAAGCAGCTCCGAGGAGGATGGGCATTGGGAAGGAAGTTGCGTAGCTGAAGTTGCCCCCGTCGGTAAACGACACACCATGACCCTCGGCTACGCCATGGAGGGCTTCATTCCACCAGTTATAGGCAGGTAGGCCCAGTCTGGGCGCCCCGGACGAGTCGTACTTGGTGTTGTTGATTTTCTCCTCAAGAGTCATGGCTGCCACGAGCGATTTGGCACGAGATACGGGATCGAGTGAAGTGTCGCAGACATTATTCTTGCTTAATGGGCCAGTGCTACAATCTGGAAAGATGCTCTCAGTCGAAGCTAGGGAGGTAAAGAACGAGAATGCGGCGAGAGGCCGCAAGACGGGATAGAGGTGCACCATCTTACTGAGTGCCTAGTTTGACAACCTCTGGCCAAGACATGGCGATAGGAGGCAAGGTCGCCTTTATATGCCTGCAAACCGAGGGCACTCTCGTCAATTGAATTTACCGCCGTTGGGACACGAAGGATCATGCAATGCTCTCTAACACAAAACCGGCTGATATCCATGCTCACATAATAGTAGTTAAGTATCGCTCTGGCGATGGACAAATTCTTCGTCTGGAGAGCTGTTTGTCCTTCCACCAATCGCACAGCGTCGATGGCTAACCGATAACCTTGTTATCATGCAAGCAATTAGCCTGAATGTCAACCCCTTGCGGGGAATGCAGATCATGGTGCGGAGATATTGCGGCAATGACTGCGAGTTGGTTGTATTTTGCGTATTAGGCGGAAATGAACGTTAGCCGACCATGCCCCTCCTCTTCTGATGTTTTAATTGCGATCTTCTTTCTAATGCGCAGATCCGCTATATATTCATTCATATGTCATGTCACATCCATTATTATGTTGGTGCTATATATATACAATGTCAGAGAATGTCAAATCGCATACCGAAACTCGGGATTCTCCCGATCGGTTAGGTCCAAAAACTCATGATTCTGCGGCACGATATACGCATCGCCAAGCGCCTCCTTTTCTTGGTCTCTCCGGCGATTCTCCCGGATCGACAGCCAGCGAATTAGGCAAAGATCCAGCGTGACAAGAACGTATAAAATGACGATTGAGATCTTGGCAGGCAGATACTGCGGGGCATCCTTCGCCTGGAAAGTCTGGGGCGAAATAATATTTCCGACCGTGTATGCGATCGTTTGGATACATGAGACAGTGATCTTCTTCGTTGACCCAGCGATGTTGGTACTTGTTAGGCCCAGGATAGTGGTCCACCCGATTGGAATGCCGCCGGTGAGATAGTAGCCGACAAGGGCGGGGGCCTTGTCTGTGGTTGCCATGAGGATTGCACCCACGATCGAGGGGATGTGACCAATTATGCACCAGAGGAGTCGTTGTTCGGTTTTCATAGCGAGGTAGGTCAGCCCGACGAGGGCAACAACTTCGTAGGCACCTAAAGGTGTCACTAGCAGGAGACTCTGCGTCTGCGAATAGCCCATGCCCGACACGAGAATGTTCCCGAAACTAGTCGCGATAGAATTCGGTACATTGGCAGCCAAAACCCAGAAGGAATACAGCCATGTGTTCGGGTCTTTAAGAGCTTCATACACTTGGGCTTTCTTGAACACGTTACTGCCGATGCCCTGGACGTTGCTTCGCAGGCGCTCTGCATGCAGGGCCTTCTCTTCTGGTGATAGAAACCGAGCAGTCACAGGCGAGTCCGGCAGGATGAAGAAGAACAAGATGCCAATCACGACAGTGAACAAGCCTAAGATGAGGAAAATTACCTGCCATCCGCGGAGCGAAGCAGTAGGATCGCCGCCGATATGGATGGCTACACCGTATGCAATATACCCTCCGAACATTTGCGCAAAGCCACACATGGAGAACCACAATCCAACTCGAAAAGCCTGTTCCTCCTTGCGATACCATTGTGACGTGAACACTACCCAAGCCGGCACCACTGCGGCTTCGGCAGCGCCAAGCAACGTACGGCATATCATCAATGCCGCAAAGGAATGGCACGCGGCCATGCATGCTAGTATCGTGCCCCAGACTGTCACATTGAAGGCGACGTATCGAGCAAGGGGAAATGCCTGGATGAGACGGGTCGTCGGGAATTGAAACGCCAACTGTCCGAAGAAAAACATGCTGGAGACCCAGTTGAACTGGTTCCCATGAAGATTGGCCGACTCCCGAAGACCCGTCACACTGGCATAACTGATGGCGATTTTATCCAGATATTGTAGAAAATACACGATGCAGATCAGCGGCATCACGTAAAGATCGATCTTGCGGACTAGTCGGTGTGAGGCCTCGGGGTCAAGTGTGCCAGCTTCACCACCGGCCGCGAGAAGCTGGAGCGCGCCATCGCCCTTGACGGTTGATGAACTAGCGGTCGCTGCTGATTTGATGTCGACATGTTTCTCGTCCGCGGAAGCAGCCGTGGACAATGCCATTGTCACGGATATTTCCTCTCAATACGCCGGAGAATGAAAGCAGAAACCGTACGTAAGTTTTCCAGGGCAAATATGGAGCGATACGACGCTTTTAAATCGGCATCTGGAATTTCTTGGCTCTAGGGTCGTATTTCGATGAGCATTCGTGGGGCGAAAAGCACGCCATCGTATAGACTCTTATCACATTGATAATAACAACTACCCGCTCTGACTCACTGATGGCTTCCATGACATGAGGTTATTAACAACATATCCATCTTTAGGGATGATTTTCCACGCCCAAAAGACTAGGGAAATTTGACCTAATCTAAAATCGGTCAGCATTGCACGGACCGCTGCCTACCTCACATACGCATAGACCACTATGCATGAAATAAGTTTCGTTCTATGTCACGGGGCTCACAATTAAGTAAAAGATTTAATTAACGTCAGCGCCAATGAAGTATATTGTTGAATGCGCGCGCACTCTAATTCGACTTGGACCGTTTCTGTTCGCAGGCATATATGTCCACTCAGAGGGGCCTGTTGCAGCCTGCAATATATTCATGCTATGCCCAATTGCTCGTTTGGGTCGGCTCTAGTATCGAAAAGCAGCTCAACGGCCGAAGTATGGCCTCCTTAAGTCATTGCTCTAGATCCCTTAGCACAAAAGACTGAAAACCAACATCTGCCTCCTATTTCTTCCTCGACGTGAAATGGAACAGTCAGTATGACAACCACGGATCGCTGAATCCAATATCGTCCCCTAATCTGCATCTTGATCATTGTTCCGTCAGTCTTTATTTTAATTTTTTTTTTTAGCAGAAGATCAACGGTTCCCGTGTGGGAGCCTGTAGCAGCTACATGGAAAGCTGTTCTGTTTGGAAAATGCTCGCCATGAGCATGCTAATAAGCGGGCGATGACACTGTCGACATGCCGAGCATTATCCCAGGCTCGGCTTGATTCCCTCCCGCGCGAGGAATTTCCTAATTCCATAAGGGCCATAATACCTCCCATCCTGACGTATGGCATCCCATAATTTGGACAGGATAGATATTAGACTAGTACAGACAGGAAGCTTGTTTTCCATGGTCATAAAAGTAGCAATATAGTCACTCTGCTCTTCCTGGACGGTAATACACGATCCAATGTGAAACAGTGACCAAAGAAGTGTTCCCCATGCATAACTCGACGGCGATATGGTTTTTAATAGTCGCCTGGCCTCAGATACACAACACCAGATCTGATCTCGAATGGGTGGTGACGGCACCCCTGGACCATTTAGTGCACACCGCAGCGTTATAAGTAAGGCCATCTGCTGAAAGATCGCAGCAGCTATCTCGTCTGCGTCAGGCCCATTGGGGAGACTTTGCCCATCCCATGGTGCTGGTACTGCCCATAGTAGGACTTGCTGTTCGAGGGAGTGGAACTCCCCAATGATATCTGGATCACGGTGTCGGGGAGAAGACATGGTTGGTTTCTCGGCGAAAGCAGCAATTGGTGGGATCATTTCAAATAGTTCGTACGCGCACCCGGAACATCGGCCGCGATAATAAGCTCGGTATGAAAGTGGTGAAAGATCTAAACTTTGGCTCTCGGTGGGTCTCGAGCTGCTGGCTTTTATGGGGCCAAGACCGATATGACTATTGACATTACTGAGAAACATATACTGCTCTGCGATGAAACATGCGCAATCTTCATCGACTGTGTCTAAGAGGTTATCCTGTGACGCCAACAGGGCACAACATGGTAGTAAATGTTGCATCACGGTGCCCTTTGTGTCTCCGTCTATTATCTGGAGCCCTTGTTAATACACAATACTTTAAAACTCTGCCACGTGCTGAGTGCAAGCGCTTCTCAAACGTTACATTAGTTGTTGGATGAAGAGGAGCTCACCTCAAAAGTACACAACGCTAGTAGCAACATTACTATCACCATGGGGTTACGATTGTACCCACTTCCATACTCTGTGATAAGATATTTGACTGCCCGTAGCGCAACCCCATAATGGGAAAGCGCGACAATGTGTGATTGTTGATCATCATAAGACAGGTGAGAAGCACTTATGGCAAAGACGGCATGAAGGAACCCGTCATTTTGCTGCGCCAAAGGCAGCATATAGGTAAGAAAGGGGTTTTTGATGACATCTCTTATTACTAGCCTCTGTGCTGACCTCTCGATGTAATGCTGAAGTAGCCTTTGTTCGCCCGACCGCCCATTGAGCCGAGGCCAAAGCGATAGTGCACGGTTCGGGGAGAGACGACGCAGTGATGTTGCATTCTGAGACTGCTCGGGGCGGCCGGATCCCGCGGACGCCGAAGTAATGATCGTCTTTCCCGAGTTGGGCCAGGTACAGAGCAAATGATTGCGCACACAGCCGCCGCAGATTGGTTTAGTCTCATCGCATTTGGTGTGCCGAACCCGACAGCTTAGGCACCCGGATTTAGTCCTCTTGGCATTCCTTCGTCGGTAAGGACGGAAAGACCCCTCTCCGTTGGTGCTCTTGAATTGGAGTACCCCATGCATGGTAGCTTCTGGCCAATCCTTTGTTTAATGGCAGTGGAGGGAGGATACAAGGGATGTCGTTGGATCCGATGTCCATGTTAATGGAATGGTGAGTATGGATCACATTGAGCTATTCCCTATATGGTTAGGCAGTGGGTCCACAGATAACGTCGGTTATCCTTTTCTGGCATAGCCTCAGCTGCCCGCGATCAAGTAATAGGCAAAGAAGGAGTTGATGAGCAGCTTGATACTGAGTACTACACAGTAGATCATTATTGATACACTATACGCTGAAACAGCGAGAATCAATTGGTACGTGTCAAGTGGGTCTCAGGGCCCAGGCACACCAGGTCCTTGTTCCGCCAAAATGGCGAATATATAAACAAGCCAAACCTAATTCCGTCACTCTCTATCGGCCATTCTACGTTTCGGAGAGAGTGCCAGAGCTTGAGCTCTCCTTCAGTCACCATGTCACAAAAGCACCCCGAGTCTCCTCCCTTTTTTGACTTCATTGTGACCCCAGAGACCACACAAACCCCCCCAAAACAAGACTGTGGAGTTCGGACGACAACGGTAAGCTCAAATTCATTGCCCAAAAACGCGAAACAAGAAAGGAGAGACGGGCTCAATATCGAGCAATTGTAATAACACGACTTATCCTTACAGTCACCTGCTATTAAAAATGCCCCTCTCCCCGCTGACGGCGCTGGAAATGACTCATGGTCCAATCTCCTTCTCTTTTCCCTATTGATCGGTGTGCCGTGGTTTATATCCTACCAATTGGGCGGTGGACTCTACTTTACAGTTTTCATTGCAGTATGCACCGCGATCCCCATCCTCATGGCTTTCTGGACGATCCTCTCCTCCATGTCCCCCCGTATGAACGAGAAGGCTAAGCTTCCGGGTCGGCCTGTGGAATACTATCTCAATTTCCACAAAGAGAGCGATCGGGCCCGGTACAACGGCAAGAAGAAGATCCCCATTGAGGTCTTCTACGAGAAGTATTTCCGTGGTGAGGTGGAGTTCAACAATGGAGATTGTCTGGAGAACCTCGAGTACCGCCACGATTGGGCTAGTTTCAGCTTCTCATGGGGCGTATTTAAGCATTTCCTGTTTGGCTTTGTTCCTGAACTCATCGTTCACTCTCGCTCTCAAGGTACAGATAAATCCCTTGTATATCAATTTCATGGCTTTTCCTTGAACGAGAGGTCAATCACATGGGATGTCCAGCTAACGCATGAATAGACGAGGAACAGGTGAGCGGCAACTACGATCGCGGCGACGACTTCTATGCATGGTTTCTAGGGCCCCGCATGATTTATACCTCTGGACTTATTGGCGATATCAACAAGGAAGAATCCCTCGAACAGCTTCAGGACAACAAACTTACCGTAGTCTGCGAGAAGATCGATTTGCAACCGGGTGACACCATGCTAGATATCGGCTGTGGCTGGGGAACCCTAGCTACCTTTGCCAGTGTTCACTACAAGGCCCATGTCACCGGTATCACTTTGGGTCGCAACCAGACAAAATGGGGCAATACCACCCTTCGCAACGCTGGTATCCCTGAATCTCAAAGCAAAATTCATCGTCTGGATTACCGTGACTCTCCTCGGGTCCCAGGAGGATACAAAAAGATTACTAGTCTTGAAATGTCGGAACATGTGGGCGTTCGCCATTTCCGCGGCTTTTTGAAACAGGTTCATGATATGTTAGATGATGACGGTGTCTTCTATTTGCAATACTCCGGTCTTCGGAAATACTGGCAGTATGAGGACTTGATTTGGGGCTTGTTTATGAACAAATACGTTTTCCCTGGAGCAGACGCAAGCACGCCCCTCGGATGGGTCATTGATCAACTTGAGGGAACGGGCTTCGAAATCAAGGGTGTTGACACGGTCGGTGTTCATTACTCTGCTACCCTTTGGCGGTGGTATCGCAATTGGGTTGCCAACCGTGAACATGTGGAGGCTAAGTACGGCCCGAAGTGGTATCGGGTAAGTATTTGCTTTGTCTTTGCTTTCTTAATTTTTTTTTTTTCTGATCAATTTTAGACCTGGGAGTGGTTCCTTTCCTGGGCCACTATCGTCTCTCGCCAGGGAGGTGCAACATGCTACCAGATCGTCCTGGTTAAGAACATCAATTCTACCCACCGGGTGGATGGTATCCCCAGTCAGTTTGGAATTTCCGGTGCTATTAGATCGGCGATTGAGAAGCTTGGAAAGATGCCCAGTGCATTTATTCCTTAATCTGCTGTCTGGAAATAGTACAACTGCTAGGTGGTTCCTCGCCTTGGATATTCGCCTGGGACATGAATAGAAGAAGGTTGGTACGCGGTGATGTATGACGCATTGATGGGAGTATAACTGTTATTTGATAATGAAGCTGAGTCTTAATAACGACGCTGTACTTTTGTCATGTACTATCACTCTAGAAAGCTATGACAATATGTTGTTTCCCGAAATCAAAAGTGCAATCTCCTAATGGCTACACTAGGAATGATCTTTAAGTGCTTTCTGTCGTTGTCGCTGGTCAAGGTCGGCGAATACCGACGGAACTATCAAACGTTCACCTCAATTCTTTCACAATGATGAATCTTAGATAATGTTGATAAGTATTGCGTCGAACAGGGTCGGCACTCACATTTTAGCTTAATCCTGCCTGATTAAATCAGAAAATGTCCCCATTAATGTAGCCGCTTAGGGTAGTAGAGGGTAGCTTCGCCCTCATCGCTACAGTTGGGGTAGTAAGGAATGGTCTTGCTCTCCTTGCCCTGTGCATACAACAGTTTACTAACAGTACATGCAACTGGAATACATCAAGGAGCACCCACGCCATGTCTTCTACACTGATGCAGGACAATATGGAAGGTTCTTTTTCTTGTTATGAGCACTGATAAGGACAGGCGCAGCAAAGCCAACTCTAGGAGAGAGGAGAAAGGAAAAGGAAGGGAAAGAAGGGGGGATTTATGTACTCCGGCGAACTTCCAGCGGAGCCTGGACGCCTGAAGCCAATTCTAATTTGCCCTGAAAAGGTAACCCAAAAGCTCTAGGTCATTAGGAATACGCAACCGACTAATTCATTCACAGCTAGCATGCTAATATACTTTTGGATGGCACATCTGAAAGCAAAATAATCGACCTAGTCATTCGAAGACTAAATTCCCATTCTTGCTCAATCTTAAACATGGTACCGACGCTCTTCCTCATCAACAATAGCCCTTATGTAGCAAGTGCCTCAACAACCTCCTTAGCACCTCGATCTCCCGACCTCACTGCACCCTCCATATACCCCTTCCAATGCAATGCAGTCTCCGTCCCCACAAAATGCACGCTTCCAAACGGCTTCCTCACGGCATCCTTACCAGCCCGAGAAATCACACCAGGCGGTGTACCCGGCTCAGGCCCGCCCTGGAAAAAGTCCTGCTTGGTCCACTCATACTCGAGCACATTGATGGGCTCAGGGACCTGCATCCTTTCTCCGGATGGTAGGTCGGTGTTCTCAAGCGCGGAGCGGAGCTGTTCCCACGCTGTCCGACGTCTTTCGTCCTGCGAGAGCTGGGACCATTCACGTCCACGGCGTCCCACTGTAAAGCAGGCGATAGACCACTGCTCGTCATCGGGGAAGCTGTTGTCCATGGTGAAAGTGAAGGGTCCTGTCTGTGATTGAATGGCGCCGGTGAGGCCGGCGGTTCGCCAGAAGGGTTTGTCAAAGACGAAGATGATTTTGCTGTAGTAGCCTAATTTATTTTCTCTTGCCAGAAGCTGTTTGTATTCAGGGAGGGGTGGGTCAAATGTAATCTTCTTGTAGAGAGGAGTTGCAACGGACAGGATGACTTTCTTTGCGTGGAAGGTCGTGTTGTTTGCTGTGTGGACGGTACAGGTTCCTGTGGCTGGGTACTGTTTAATTTCGGTTACTGGACTTGAGAGGTAGATAGAACCTGGCTTTAGTTCCGCCGCCATGTTCTGGGAGATGATTTGGTTGCCTTTTAGATTGGTGTTAGCATCGTAGGAATCATGTACAGTATATGGCGGGTGTGCTCGATTCCTTACCCTGTCGGACACGGAGCTGCTGTCCTCCATCTTTACCGTCCGATGTTATAGCCTCGAATCCGGTCCCGGCCTTCATAGAGTGCAAGAAAGCCAGCAAACTCATATCCTTGGCTTCCACGCCAATTAGAGATTGGATGATGGTATCGAAGAGACCCGCAATCAACTCAGATTGGAAAGCCTGGATGCAGTATTCCTGCAGACTGATGCTGTCCAACTCCTTCGCGTTGGGTCCTGAACCGGGGTCTTCCACATTGACGTTAGTAACGAGCTCATTGAAATGCGCCAGCACTTGAGACAATGCTTCCTTCTCTTCCTCGCTCACCTAGAAACACGTGTATACTGATTAGTACTGAGCAGCCACATATACTTGCCGAAGAACCGGGGGGGGATCCTACTGGAAGTTCACCATGTTTAAACAAAACACAGCCCTCTGGGCTTTGGAAGATATCATGGCCTGGGATAGCTTGGGTCTCCACTTGCAGTCCATACTTCTGGACCAGTTTATAAATCTCGCTTTGCGTGGTGTCATTGATCCAAGCGGCGCCGACATCGTTGACACCGGGGCCACTTTGCTTGGACGGCACGGTCAATGTCTTACCCCCTACGCGATCAATAGCTTCAACAACTGCATAGGAGAGCCCGGCTGCCTGCACACCCAAAGCGGCCCGTAGCCCGCTGAGTCCAGCGCCGATGACTACCACGTCAACGGACTTAGGAGAACCGATAGGTGACTGAGAAGCCATTCTGATAATATCCGGATAGTATGATGCGTATAGAAAAGAATGAGCAGATTTCAACAGTACGACCATCAGTCAACAGCATCAACATTGACTTTATATACGTCTAGTCCAACTGACGTAGGCTACCCAAATAGGAAAGACATGCGCCGAAGGCGATAAGATAGCGCGATAAGGATAAACGAGCTTATCGATAAGATCGGGTCCCGCGGCTTCCTTCCTATCACAGCACACCACGACAGGAAGATCTACATATTAGAGGTCTAGGCAATTGATCAGCAGGCTGTATTCATTCAGCACGTTGATGACAAAACAAAAAATTGAGAGCTGGACCATTCTGTTTAGAAATGCTAAAAGGAGATACAGTTGCCTCGAAGACTCGGTTACTGCGGGCTGCATAAAGGCAGCACGTGATGACAAAGCAGGATACCATTGAGACGTTTTCAAGCGCCATGCAGCCCTGAGATCTTACTTCTGCCATCTAAGGTGAAAGTGATGCCTTCCAATATATATCCTCGTCATTTACCTACAAAAGGAAACTCTCTGGATCGTGCGCGGCTGCAGCTCTCTGTCAATGGGAGGTTGCAGCTCGTAAACATCTGACGCGAGCTCATAAGGGTTATAACGCAAATCTTAGTAAGGAATCCATGAAGATGAGATAGAATTCCCTCAGAATGTTGATCCGAGGTGGGTGTTGTGTTTTGTTGGAGAGTGAACAAGTACTTCTGAGCAGCTGCTGTGATGGAATCATTGCGATTGGCCTATCCTTGAGCACATATGGTGAATGAGGTTCAGTGGGCGGCTTTGTTCATACCCTTCGCAGCTATCAGCATATATTAGAAACATGTTGAAGCAACCTTCGTTGTATATTGTCCCCCTTTGTGTGAGGGTATCTTTGTATAAGGATGTTTCGAGCATCACCACAGCTTCAAGCAGCAATTTTGCATCCTGACCCGGTAGTAAAGATTGAGTAAGGCTCACCGCAGGCGTGTTGCTTGCCGCGTAGAAGAACCATATTAGCTCTATGTGAGCCCGTGTTACCATCACGGCGACAAGTCCGAGATCGAGCTCTGTGGGTATATAAAGCCCAAGGTGGCCAATTGTATTGGGGTATGTATTAATATTAACTATGTTACACTGTAAATATACTCGTCAGATAGCGTCGATATCCATCATAACCTTCGCGTCACACGTGTTCATCCACCAGGATAATACCCTTAGCCCAAACCTTACATAGATCATAATGCTCAGCATATTCATTCCCGAAGGCAACAATAGCCGGATGCACGATAATCAAAGCATGCTTGCCATCTAATTTTGCATCGTTCCCGTGTTGACGATGAAGGGCGTGGGCACTCATTACCGGGTGCTCTGCCCGAAAGACAGGGAGCTCATCCAGACAGTAACACCTCATGAAGGATCGTTGCGTCCACAGGGAGATGGCCAATTCGCCAGCCGTGTGGTAAAGCTGATAGAGTTCCTGGTTACGCTGGATCGCCCACGAATCACTTCGGTCTCGGAAGAGTAACTGAACAGGACCAGCGAGGAATTCAACCGCCAGCTCACTAGTAATAGCTTCCACCTTCGCACGCAATAGTGCATTGTGCACAGAGTTCGGGGGAGGTGTGGCCAGAAGCCGGAGAGTTTGCGAACGCCAGATGTGGGCTTCTTCCTTGTTGACTACGTTTGATTAGAATTCAGTAGGCAGTTTCCCTGGTAGCTCAAGGGACATACCATCTAGCATGGATGCGTATAAATAAGATAATGTTTGGGCCGAGTGCGCCGTTGAGGGTTCTTTAGACTCTCCGAAGGCAAAGAAGGGGTTGGCGAAGATGGATCCAAAGATATCCTTGGCCAGCAGAGCCTGCATAAGAAGGGCTGGGATGTTATTTGCCATCGTTGGCACTTTCTTGATTAGTGTCCTCCAATCCACTGGCGCGCAATATCCACTCAACCGTTCCAGGATGGCGTCCTTCTCCTCGATCGGCAAGCTATCGAGCGCACGTATCTCACCGACACTATAATTTTCTGCCCATTGTCGCATTGCTGCCTCCAGACTCGACAGCTCTTCGCGTATTTGCCGGCTGCTTTTGGTGACCCAAGAGCCGCTCCGTGCAGAGCGAACTTGCGCCTGCAGTCGTTTTCGATCATTATCCAACTCGGTAATGCCTCTCGCCAAAGCGACGATATGGCTCTCCATTTGCTTCACTTTACCGTCACGCGGTCGAGGATTCTGGGCGGGTTCGATCTTGGCTGACGAATGGAGACCTTCCGGGTCCCCTAGCTCGGTGGGATTGCGCTCTGGGTGCTCGTCCATCATCTGGCTCGGTTTCATGGGCGGCGAACCCCCCGATTTTGACTTATTTTTTCGATGCGTTGCGTGCTCCGAATTGGACTCGGAATCTTGCTCGGAACGGGGACCTTGACTCTGATTAAATGTGCGCTGTTCCACTCGAGTCAGGACCGTGCGACCGGGCGTAAACAGAGTTTATACATACCGCTACGAAACCGCATCCCAGGAGAGATTTTTTCGTATGGATACGCGTGGCCGACCTTGCGATCATCCCCCGTCCGCTTCCATGCTCCTTGTGAGCGTGTTCGGCGTCGTAGTCATGGCTGGACTGTTTCTAAGGCGGAAAGAACGTTGCGATCAGCATTTTCCGTGTTTCCGAGCAACCATACGGGTTCGGCCTACCTTTTCACCGGCTTCCATGTGCTCTCTCTTATCGACTGTGTGCTGAGCCATATTCTGCGATCTGCGATCATATAATGCGCTGAGTTTTGAGATCAATGTGACGAGAGAAAGATTGGGGGTGGGGGGGGAAGTGCTCTCTCATCAGCATGGAAATCCTGGAGAAAAGCGACATCCGTTGGGATGTCGTCATTGGTCGCCCCAAAAGGGGGGGGAAAGGAATCAGGGGAGAGACGAAGAATGGTCGGCGCATCATCGGCCTAGTTCGGGGTCTGTGGACGACTAAAAACAAAGGACAGGCTTTTAGGAGCAGCAGGGCGTCACCAGTCATAGCCGGCGTGTTTTATTCGGCGGCAATGTAGCACAGTGAAGGTAATAATTCTATAACACTAATGGGTGGGGACCAGGATCACAAAGTGGCCCGAAGATCAGTTCTGTCGCCGTTAGGGCAGCTTATTCGGGCCTATCAGTCTGGCCAGCTGCACCGTCAGCCGGTCGAGGCCAATGAATGGTCCAGTCTGCACAAGGTTTCTGCTCCCTGTCCATTTTTGGTGACTCTTGAGCTGACGAGGGCGCAGGAATCGAAGGAATCACATCCAGCGATCCAACTGGAGTTGGACAATTGCCAAGTCGGTGCGTCCAGGTTGTATGTAATCAAGAAAAGAAGAGTTCAAAAGTGGAAACAGAAAAATATCCGATGTTTTGCGAGTCAGGCACGCTAAACCCGTTGCGGGAGGTCTCGCGTCAATCCTCCCGCCATGACTTCGGCGGCAACTGCCGACCATGGACAACTTTAACGTCTAGACTGCAGAGAACTTGTTGTTTTTTTTTTTTTTTTTTTTTTTTTTTTTTTTTTTTTTTTTTTGTTTTTTTTTTTTTTTTATAGGGAGTAGCTTCTGGCGCTTATTGCCCTCTCGCTGTACCTTTTTCGATCTAGCATGGTTCTAAAGGAATTCGATCAGACGCATGGTCATCCACGCCATGTCCTATTATATATAAACAGCGCGTGATACCTATACGATCTCCGACATAGGATATAGTATTTATAATCAACTTCGGTCACCGGGTCCCTTGAATATTGTGCCAACCATAAAGTAAATCATGTGAGCATACGCCGCACTCGATTGATGCACATGTAGAAGCCTCAACCCTTTTCAGGGTTTGATTCTGGTTGTAGTTTTGACCTCTCCTCGAGTCCTGTTTACTGGAAATATATCGAACGAATATATACCAATTTTCAATTTCCCGCACTTAAAAAAGTAGACCGAGTATTTTTAGATTAACTATTGTCAATTAAGAGAATATTAATATTATACCTATGGCGCATGAATGTGGCGGTGTTATAGAGCACAATGTAATGCCTGAGGCAGGAATAATTTCTAGTGAAGAGCTGTTATTTAGCCTTTTTTTTGTCTACTGTCAAGAACAGTACCTACTACCCACAGCCCCTAACCCGCATCTTCTTAACTAATTCTATGTACTACTCCGAAGTATATTAATCACGTCCTTAACAACCACATAGTTTGATTCGAATATTCTCATGGCTATTAGTATCAATACCTTCAACGGTAAACCCTCAATGTGGCCGGAATCAGAATTGCAGTCCATGTTCAGGCGATTATGTGAGACTTGAAGATACCACGGCAGACCGGGGAGGTCAACATTGGTCCATAGCTCTATCAGCTACAATGAGTAAACATAGATAGATACAAACCTAGGCGGAGCGACCCAGCTTGCATATGTGCACAGCCTACTACCCAATCTGCTCACGGTGCAGATATGATTTAGTCTTGGTGCCTGTTCAGTAACAAACTGCATAGACACCTTTCTGTTCACTGATCTATACCTAGGAAATTTACTCCGTAGTATACGGGATATAAGTGAGTAAAGTGGTCCCCACAGTACGTCATGAATAAGACCAATACTTCTCCATGGGTGAGCCGCCGCCTCCGCGGGGACATCAACACGCTAATGCGAGGTGAGCCTCTAACGCAATGCACTGATCTACGATCGCAAGAGTCGCCGCAATCACCTCGCTTGTTATCTGTCAATGTCGATAAGGAGTCAGTCATAGGTACACTTGCCTAAATGGAGTGTTGTTGAAGTCCAGCGAGGTTCATTTTTTTTTTCTTTTTCTTGTAAACGACTTCATACGGATCTAAGTGAAGCCAATCTTACGTAGGTGCCCTCAGTGTATCTGGGGGAGTGCTACCTCGGCCCAGGACATGTGGGAGGCAAGCTACTATGATAGGGTGTGAAAGGCTGTTAGTGGGTTTGCGAAACAGTTCGTTGAGTCAAGGTATTCGGTTCAATTTTCTTTTTTCTTATGGCAGGCTTAAGAATAGAAAACGATAGACACAAAAAAGTTATGGTCACTGAATATGGCGTTGGATAGCCTCATATAATTACTGGAGTAGGAAGCGGTATAGGACTGGCCACAGTGATCTTGTTCATTCTACGGAGTACCAAAGTTCCATTCGCACTCTACCACAGTATGGACTTTACAGTTAATTAACTCCCAGACAAGATTATCATCCCCAATGTTTACTATCATTCCTTTGTCTTTCGCAATTGTTGAATTTTATGTTCCATAGAGGGAAGATGATCTCACAGGACACTGACCAACCACGCCCCTAGACAACCGAATCCAGAACAGTAAGTATCGAACATGAATAAACCAAAATACCCGAGGTATAAATGACTCTACAAATACAAATCCAAGAGAGCCCTTCCTACAGTAACGTCGACGCCGAACAATCGATCCCGTGCGTCCTACAAATGACACCCTGTGAGGAACGTAGTATTGTTCTTCACTGCGGGTTAAGGATTGTGGGGATTGAGTTTGATCTATTTATATAACTATAGTATTCTTGTACTATCACTCAAACTGGGGCCGGGGCAACTTGGGCCGTTAATAAGGTTCTCATTTCTTTGTCTCAACCAAGACTCCGTAGCCGTCAGTTAGGAACAAGGACGAAAGCATAATCGGCCAAGCAACGGGGCAAGCCTCAAGGGTTGCCGAACAAAGAACCTGAAACTACTAGTTATGGATCTGAGTCTATGGATAATTTCGATTTTCTTGTTATGGTTCTTCGTCCACTTTTGTGGCTAAGCTGGAACTTCATGCATTGGGTGAACAAAGGATGGGAGTTGAATAAGGTGTAACTGAGTGACTGGAGGCGATACATGGTGTTATCCAAATAGCAATGACATCGAGGATCGTAAAGACAGGTACAGTCGCGGAAACTGTTGTTTTGCATATAGATATTCTTCACTCTACGTCTGTATGTTATGGCATCGTGCTATATGCAGTGCATATCATAATCTTGTTGGTCACGATGTATGCACTCAGAGTGGGCCTGAGCTATGCTTTACCTTGGTAGATCCATTAGTGTGGCCATCTATTGCCCTGCCCAGGCCGCCACGGGGCAAGGAGTCCCACCGTGAGATAGTGTATAGTTAATACTGGTCAAGAAGGTTTGGCTGGTCTGAATGCACCCGTCAACCAGTGAATTATTGTACGGTCATCTGGCAGATGCTATCAAGGGAATAGCCCTAAACTGTGGGGAGGCATTCCAAATGTATTGGCTCAATCAACGTAAAAGTGGATACAATTGTCAATCAACCCCAGAGAAGGTGACCCCGGAAAGCCTCTCGTTCTTTCACTGACATCATTCGGCCAAAGTACTCTCTAGATGCAGGTTATAAAGCCTCCATCATGCCCCGTTGAGTTGTCCCCTTTCTGTACAACTCATCCTCTTAATTGGGATCTATTCCACAGCGCCATTTTTCTTCAACAGCTTATGACACCTTACGTTCTCACGAGCTTCTCACGATGAAAGCCTCAACTATCCTTCTCTGTGTCTTCGCCGCTTTCGGGGCCGCCACTGAGGGCGATCCCACAGTGGTTGACAACAGTCCTACACCCACTCAAGGTTAGTGTCTCCCAGTTCCAGTACACGTATACTTGACACAATGCTATGGGCCCTGCCCCTTCTTCCGTCCACAATGACTTACCCCGATTATAGCCCAGCGCACAGTCGCCCCTACACATCCTATCAAATTCTCCGACCTCACCCAGGAGGAGGCGCAATTTGTCTTCCAGTACATGAGAGAGCATCTACACCCACCATTCCCGGGTACAGAAATGCCCGGAGGTTGGAAGTGGCCCGCGAAGCGCGACGGTCCCTCTCAGCCTGGGAGCGAATTTGACCCTGAGCTGTCGAAGCTCATCCACACAATCGAAACCTTGCCCAGGCCCCAAGGAAAGCTCAACCATTACATTGGGGTAAAATTGGAAGACAAGGACCACTCGAATGAGGATGAGGACGACAGCACTGATGTTGAGGGCACCTCTCCTGCTACCCCCCTCGAGAGGAGGAAGCAAAACCCCTGCAAGCGTGGATGCAGAGCTGATTTTCATTGCTGCCCTGGCGACAGGTGCTTCTATGGAGTTTGCCTGGGCCCTCAGAAGCCGCCTCGTGATGCCAAGCGTGAGATCTACGAACGGTATGCACCTGCGGATGAGACGACGAAGTCAGAAGAGGATGATGAGAATGTGGATGGTACCCGTTTTGAAGGCGAACGGGACAACCGATGCGCTCGTCACTGTGAGAACGACAGCACCTGTTGCAAGAGCGATAAATGCGTAATGGGTGTTTGCTTGGGTGCTGGCCAATTTCCCTGAGTTGCAAAGGCCTAGTTTCTGACATGACGAACATAACGAGGTGGTGGATAGTCTGCTTGTGCTGGAGAAGGATGACTGGAAACAGGGACTCTGTTGCTTGCCGGCAAGAATAGGAAATCTCTTTAGTGCATTTCATCATTTTTTGATTCTTCTTGAACCCAGAGAATGTCATCATTATTCTATCTTTAACTCTGTAGAATTGTTGGACTGCCAGCCTTTACAATGCGTGGAAAAGATTAATCTACGTTGGAAACAGAGACTAGGTATGCGTCGTAGCTGAGCTCCGAAAGAAAAGTGATATACGGGCTAATCTTTAGAAAAAGGTGGCTGTATTTCGATTCAAGATATGTCTCTACATTAAAGGACATATCGACTACCAAAAGTTCTATGGTTAGTGAAGTAGAAAACGAATCGGAGGGAGCACATACAAGGAAAGGTTTTCACGATCCGTCAAGTCCAGTTGGTTCTTGTCCACCAGACGGGCGTGTTTGGTACCATCACTGTCGACCTCTTCAACCACACCCGTGTCTTCGACGAGTGCTTCACTCTGCAACAGATCACGGCGCTTATTTTCCCTCGAGAGGTACCATCGCAGATATATAATGATGAGTGATGGTAGGATGCAGGCGACCTTTAACAGTAAGTATGTAACTTAATGAAATGCTGATTCAAAGACTTACAACTAATATAATGGTCCAAGTGGGATAATACCGCGGCTATCATTTGCTTCATTAGCCAAAAATAAAAGTAGCGCACAGCAGGATCAGAGTCACTTCTGCATACCTTCCATCGCGGCTGGAATAGCTGTGGTGAGAGGATATTTCCTAGTCCATATCCAATATGATACATGGCTATCACAGTGGTCTTCTTAGTATGTCCAGCAGATGCGTTAGCAGCCCAGATCATGACAACTGCATATGGAATGCCGACAGTTGAGCGGATCCATATCCCTGTGATTAGGCCCCATCGATTAGACCAGGGTAAACTTAGCAGCAGGATGCTAGATATCGCTCCAGGAATGTATGCGACGAGGGAAATCCAAGCCCTGCAGTTCTAGTAAGTCCCCGTTAGCCTGGTCGAAGGTGGTTAACTGGTCTCCATTCTCTGGCCAAACCTACTGTTGTCTTCGCTAGAACCACTGCCGCTGAGGTAAGCGAGAAGAAACTGACTATCCCAGTTACACATCCCAGTAGAGTAGTCTGAAGTACAGTGAACCCAAATGAGTTAATGATTAGTGAGTATTGGTTGGTCATTCCGTTGGCCATTTCCTGAGACCAGGCATGTAGGAAGAACAGCCATGACTTTGGATCTTTAACTGCCTCGATAAATCTAAGGAATATCAGTTCCTGAGCAAGACTGACGCTATCTATGTCAATGTCAAGGTTACAGTGGTATCGTACTGGTACTTCTTGAAATGCTTCTGCTCGATTCCCGAATGGTTATCCTTTATCCGAAGGATTGCCTGAGCGCGCTCTTCTGGGGAAAGGAAGCTGGCACACAGAGGATTGTCAGGGAAGAAGAGCCATACTGCCAATCCAAACACAACGGTCACTCCACCAGTGATAACTGCAAATAGATAAGTGTCTAGATCGATTGCTTGCTCATCATGTGAGGGACATACCCATAAACCATTTCCATGGGGCAAAGGTTCCGGTCTTGATCCATAGAACTCCATAAGACAGTAGACCAGACGTGATAGGACTTGCGTTTCCAATCGACCACATGATGGGCATTAGAACGGCCTGCTCCTGATACGTGAAGAACATAGACAAGATCAACAGAAAAGCAGGTACGATAGATGCCTCTGCTACGCCTAGAAAGAAACGAACGACGAACAAGGTGGCGAAGCTATTGCATGGTATATGAAGGAGCGTAATACCTCCCCTGATAAAGTTAGCAAAATTTCAATGAGGAAAATAAGAGAATAGCTGGTTTTTACCACACGACAAGATTTCCTGCCAGCCATTTGGCGACAGGGAAGCGTTGTAGGGCCCAGTTTTGTGGCCACTCCGCAAGAAGGTAACCAAAGTAGAAGATTGACGATAGCCAATTGTACTGAGTCGAATTGAGATGTGCATCATCCATAATGCCGAGGATGGCTGAGTTTCCCAGCTACAGAAAGGACGGATGTCAAACATTGCTGGTACAATTCTGTAAGGGGATACGTACCGTCTGCTTGTCGACATACATGATATGATACCCTAAGCAAAGAAAGGGCAAGATCCGCCATAAACATTTGTTCCTAATTTTTAATGCCTCCTCTGGGGTTGGGTCTGCCACAGAAACTTTTGAAAAGAGCTTATAGCTCTCATCAGCATATCGTTGACTGAGCTTTGGTGGCTGAGCAGCATCGTTGACGGTGCGGACTGACTCTGAGGCCGTTGTTTTCGACATTGCCGCTTCAAAATCGAGTAACCGGTCGATTGTGTCAATGAAAGCTGGGCTACTTTTGGAACTCTGGCGATGGGGTGGCTTTTGTTCTACATATCGCGATGTATACGAATACTCCAGCAGGATAGACTATCCTCTGCCCAGACATGAAGGGCTTGCGGAACTCGCCCGAATCCTTGCAGGCTTTGGCTTAGACTCCGGATAAGCTGTGAACTAAATGTTTCAAGCCAATCAGACTGACACGTTGGCAAAGCACACGATTCGCTCTATTGGCGTCATATCACGCAAAGTTCGGCAATGAATAGCAAACCACGGCGCCGCTATCGGCCAACGAGTTTATTCCACAACATGATCAAATGCACCAACCGTTCTTCTAATTTGTATTGGGTCTAGTAACGGCTATCAAGATGCGGGGATGGGCAAGTCGGGGCGAATCCCGCTAACTTAGTGCCTTACTCACAGCCTTGCATGATATATGCACGGCTTGCGTGCTTTCACTCCTATATAACGATTGCAAACATCAGATAAGGACTACTGCCGAAAGTACTTGTCCTTGGCTTTTACTTATAGGTACAACCCCGATGTAAAGCTGTATAAAAAGCAACGATCTCCTGCATGTCGTTGTCGTATTCTATCACCTGTAGGGATCACATACAACAAAATGTCGCAACCGGTAAAAGTTATGATTGCCGGAGCTGGAATTGCTGGCCTCTCCGTAGCTGTCGCATTAAGACGTCTTCCGTATATTGAGGTTGAATTGTTTGAACAAGCGACCGAGCTTCGAGAAATCGGCGCCAGCATTGCCATAAGCCCCAATGTAAGACTGCAATCGCAAAGTTGTTACTCAACTGACAATGGTGTTCAAGGGCCTTCGCTCACTCGAGAAGCTCGGTGTACTAAATGCTCTCGACGAAGATGTTGCGTTTCGTGGTCCTTCTGCTATTCCTATGATTTACAGGTAGCGGGCCCGGGTTACGTTTCTACCATACCAAATGCTCAGCGAAACTTACGATATCAATTCAATTAGACATTGGAAGACAAATGAAGTTATACACCAGGACTACTTCGATAATGTTACCGTCCGTCGCCATGAAACAGCAAGATTCCATCGTGGACATTTGCATGCAGCACTCCTGGAACATGTCCCCTCGGAACGTATTCATCTCAGCAAAACGGTGGTTTCCGCGGAAGCATCTCACGACAAAGTAACACTTCACTTTGTGGACGGAACATCCGCGCAAGGCGATATTTTAATCGGCGCGGATGGAATCCATTCGGTATGTACATTCGTCATGTGGAATATCTAGCCAAAGGCAGGTAGCTCATAGTAGACTAGAAGGTGAGGAAATCGTTCGTCCCTGACCATCAATTGTTTTCCACCGGAAAGGTCTTTCTACGATCAACATTCGACGCATCTCTTGTGGCACACATTCGGGATCTTCCGTTAGATTCCACGCATTGGGTAGGCATATATCGTGCAACATATCAGGTTCGTAGAGCTTACCAGATTGAAACAGTGGGGGCCAAAGGAGAACTTTTTCGCCTCTCGACTTGGTATCGGCCCGTTATCCTGACTAGTTTCAAAAGATGTAGCTTACCATGCGGCAGGGAAGAACCAGTATACCACTGTCGGTAATTTCGATATACCAGTAAGCACGGACGGGAGGGTCAGGAATGTACAATGGGATGACGAGGAAAGCGTTGAAGTACTGCGACAGCGCTACAAGGTATTTGCCTCTAGGATCTTAGAAGGAAATGGTTGCTAACGAGCAATTATTACTAACCAGGATTGGAATCCCTTGGTCAAAGCCTTAGTAGATGCAACGCCCTACACGCGCATTTATCCGAATCACGCGGGTCAGCCTCTCTCAACTTGGGTGCTTGACTCACGAGTGACCTTGGTCGGTGATGCGGCGCATACTCACGGTGGTGCCTTCGCCGCGGGAGGCTCGCTAGCCATTGACGACGCTTATGCACTGTTTCTTGCCTTTCGACATGTTTTGGGCTCGTCCCGAGCTCAGAAGCCAAAGGCATATGAGGTCAGAGATGCGCTCGCCTTGTACGATGAGACGCGGCGTCCGCATACTGAAAGGCTCTTGAAAATTGTTCTCCACGGTATCGGAGCCCAGGCAACAAACACAGACTCCGACGAGATTTTAGTAGAAAGAGTTCGGAACAAACCAAACACAATATGGCTTTCAGAGCACGATGTGGAGAAAGCATTTCAACGCATCTTACAAAACAGATCTACGACTGAGGATAATTCGGTAGAGCAAGCTACAATAAGTAAGCTCTAAAATGTTTGTGGTATGAGATGGGTATTCTGTGGTTGTTTTAGTAGCGATCAGGTATCTGCCGGAACTTGCTGACTACCGACTATAGTCATAGGTCACTCAATAGACAAATACTATTCTTGTTACCAATTAGACTAAGATAAGCCACTGTCAAGCCGGTACTCAATAATACAGGCACACGTCGAGTGGCTGGAGCACACGTCTATAGGGTAGGAAGTTGACATTGAAACCTGCCATACACCCTTCGGAAACTAATCACTGTCGCCGTCCAATTAAGGAGGGGTATTTATAACAACCAAGCCGAAAATCGGGTCCAGTGATGGTGAGCCCTAGTGCCGATGGCATCATAGGATACCTCAATGTCACAATTCCCCATTGCGGGTGGCTCGACCGCGCCTCAATTAATCACCCTAAATGGTCATATCCTCGCTTACCTCCACAATCCATTATTATCGATCTAACCGAGCTGACCATTATCGCCGATTTCCGTCGCTCGCCAAGGGAGCCTATGTACTACTTGTTCCAAAAGATGTGAGCGATTGCCCACGGTGGGATTGACCTCTGCCCGGACTAGATCGTCCCCAGCCAGGAGTAGTTTGGGTCTTCAGAGTCCAAGCCAAAGAATATATAGTCCTATAGTGATTTCCTAGGTCATGCATTTATTACTATGCTTCTGGGACCAGGAGAGCTATATCCTACTCGTTCAAGATGCCTGTAGTTCATCTCCCCGGCACAACGAAGACCACCAGTGACACTGTCTCAGCAGTACAAAATGAGACAGACTCATCTAGTGACCGTAAAATAGCGCACCTAGGCGAGTCATCCAGCGGGCGGAGATTTTGGTTTAAAAAGGGTCGAAAATACGACCCCGACGCAATTGCAACTCAGCCGTCGGTCTATGATAACCCAATAACTGCACTAGAATATAAGCCAGTTGACCTGGGCAGCAATGTTCACTCAGTCCTGGGCCCTGCCATTCGTGATCTACCTCTATGTCGTCGATATAAATAGTATCAATAAGTAGGTTGCATGGGATATTTTGACTATTTTCCTATCCACTCCATCTGGTATGTTCACTCTTCCCAATCCTTACATATGAATATGACGAACTAACCAAGGATAAAAAGCACATCCAATTCAAGTCGCCTGGAACTCCCGGTACTCGAACACCGTCCGCTCGCGCACGGTGTCTACTGCTGTATACAATATGTGCGTGCAGGCGTCTGGGATCATTGCCTCAAATATTTACCGCAAAGGTATGCCTCTTCCCCTTCCATTCTATTATGGTATCCAATCTGACTGGGGATAGACGATGTGCCTCGCCATAAGAGGGAAAATCGTGTTCTTGTTGGCTTGGTGGCTTCGAATATTTTTATCTATATGCTTACCAAGGCGTACTATGTTTGGCATACTGCAAGTCGGGATAGGAAATGGAATGCTATGTCGGAGGGGAAGAGGGCTTATTTAGCTACGACTAAGGATGAGGGGAATAAGGGGTTGGATTTTAGGTTTGCGCATTAGTATATTCGAATATTGATGGATATACCAGGTATTTGTGGGAGTTATAGGGGGGGATGGGGGGGGGCTGATGTAGGGGGTTCATAAATCAGAACTTTACAGGTTGCCTTAATGATTATATTATAATGCGAGATTGTATACGATTTAATAGTAGTATTGAAAGTCTGTACAGTTTGTTCATTTCAGCGAGAACATAAAGAATGTAGTTTTTGTGTATTGCTGCCTAGCCTTGGTACTAATATCTAGAAAAGACCCTTATGCTGATTTATTCATTATCATACTTAAACTACCCCAGATATCGGATACAAAGATTCCCCTAATCCAAACTTATGCCAGATTATACATTTTGAACTACGTATTCACACGCTAATACAAACAAAGAATGACGATCCTGCATGATGCTATCCAACATCCGGCTGATGTGCTTAACCGCCAAGCACTCGCTTACACTAACCCGGCACGAGCAAGGAATGACCACGAGGCCGAGATCGCAGCCTGTGTCTAGATTCATAGCTCTTCCTCTTGTATGCCGCTTATATAGCCTTATCGTTATCAGTGTATGATTGGTAGTGACTAGGTGGCGTAACCAACGTGTCAAATGACTCCATCGCTATCCGGTCTATGGCCGTGCTTACTGTCCTATACACTCAGTTTACTCCCAGAGATCAACATGAGATGGCGAGATATTGCATGATCCCCTGAGGGTATTGTGAATCTCTGGAGAAATAGTCTTATCGATGGATTTGAGCGATGTCAATGGTTCTTTTGTCTTGTGCCTGGAACCGATAGTGATGTTTGAGATGCGGGGTTCGGGAAAGCGGCATAGTTGAGATGTCACCATCATGGTGATATGGGACGTATAAAGAGGTAGGTTGTCGTAACCCATCTGCTTTCTCATAGATGTAGATTCTCTGAGACAAACGAAGTGCAAAAGACACCGAAAATCATTATCAAATGGCTCCCTCCGTCGCTGACAGCACCACAACCCCGGTGGTCCCCATTGTGGAAGGAGATGTACCAGCCGCAAAGACTCTCCAAAAGGCGCCCTTGAAGCTTAGCGGGGTTCTTGACTCCTTCGATTCCTTCGATGTTACCCCCGTCATTGGCCGGGAGTTCCCAACGGCTAACTTGGCTGAGTGGCTGCGGGCTCCCAACTCGGATGAGCTGCTCCGCGATCTTGCTATAACCAGTAAGGATATATTAGTGTCGTATCGGTGGGGTTGTGGCTAAGGGATTGTTATTAGTCTCACAACGCGGCGTCGTTTTCTTTCGCAAACAAGACGGACTAGACGATGATCTGCAGAAAGAGCTAATCCAGCGATTGGGCCTCCTTGCCGGCAAGCCCAGTACATCTGGTCTTCATGTGCACCCTATTCATAATGCGGGACGCGAGCACAATGTCAAAGATAACGAGATCAGCGTCATCACCTCCAAGAACCATGACCAGCTGTACAAGGGACGTTTGCATCCGAAGAAGCAAAGCGCTAGAAGGGAGTGGCATAGTGATATTACCTTCGAGCCGATTCCCAGTGACTACACCGTTCTCCGATTGACAGAGCTTCCCAAGACTGGCGGTGGTGAGTCAATAATGCAACGAAGCTGAAGCTGTACAAGAAGGTTAACCAGTCGGTACAGACACACTCTGGGCATCCGGCTACGAAGTCTACGACCGAATCTCCAAGCCTTACCAACAGTTCCTGGATGGCTTGACTGCGACATATGCCCAGCCTGGGTTCAACAGGGTTGCTAAGGAAAATGACTTTGAGATCTTTACTGGCCCTCGGGGTGCTCCAGAGAATGTTGGTGATGAATTGAAGGCCATTCACCCTGTTATTCGGACGAACCCAGTAACCGGGTGGAAGAGCGTCTTTGCCGTGGGCGCTCACGTTGCGAGAGTCAATGACCTCTCTGATGAAGAAAGTGACCATCTGCTGAAATGGTTTGTCTCTTTGATCGTTGAGAACCATGATCTTCAAGTGCGTCTGAGATGGGAGAACCCCAATGACTTAGGTAAGTAAACCACCTACTGTATCCCAGCGCAGGGAGAGAAGTATTGTATCTGACGTGGTGCCATTATAAAGCTATCTGGGACAACCGCAGTGTCTATCATGCGGCGACGTACGACTACAAGGAGAAGGGCTTTGGTCCACGGACGGGCCATCGTGTTGTTGGTCTAGGAGAGCGGCCTTACTTTGACCCAAAGAGCAGAAGTCGGCGTGAAGCCTTGGAAGCTGAATCGGAATAGATATATTAGCGAGCTGCGCAGTGTAAGCGACCAAGGTAACGTCGTCATTGTTTAAAGGCTATTCGGACGAACGCCAAATACAATCAAATGTTGATCAAACATGCCCAATTAATCTTGTCTGCCCATGTTGTTAGTGACACTGGCAAAGCAAAAAACCTGCGTTAATCAAGTCAGGTGTTGGCATAGCCCGGTGGCCTAGTGTATTCTTGTTTCATACTTTTAAACTATGGCTGATCGGCCTCAACAGGCCATCTCTATGCTAACAGTGTCTGAAAGAACACAGGTCGTCGTGAAGCATTGGAAACGGAATCGGCATAAATAGTGATGTTGTCAGTTTGCCAAGTTGCTTTAGGCTTTACACGTAAGATTATATTCCTCGATGAGAACAGCTGCACATGTTGCTCCCACAAGATAAGCTGTTACCTGCGTGTGGTTGTTTGTCAAGACAGGCACCACACTCATGTCTGCCACCCGTAGTCCCTCTACGTTCCGGACTCGGAATGAGCTGTCCACAGCTGCGTCTGGATCATCTGATCTCCCCATCTTCACAGTCCCAGCCATGTGCCAGGTGGAACTGACAAATTGCTTCCAAAATTCAAGGATAGCCTCGTCACTGTCCCCCTGTGGTCGAATCAAGTCCCCTATGGTATCCTTAGAGAAGGAGGGGTAGGCGCTTAGTTTTAGAAGCTCGCGGTAGCTTTCAATCGCGACACGGCGATCATACGGATGTGACAGAAATTTAGGGTTGAACAAAAGAGGAACCGTCGGGTCGGCAGACTGTAATTTCACCTCGCCACGGCTTTGAGGGTTCATCAAGAAGGCTACAAGACATACATAGCTAAAGTCCTCTGAGACTCCTGGACTGAGCAGGTGGAAAGGGAAATGCGAAACTAGTTCATAATGGGGAACTGTCTCGCCCTTGAGGAATTCTTGCTCAGCCCGTGGAAGCTGGTTGAACTCGGCAGAGTCTATGACCGAGGAGGATTTCACCCAGCCACCCACGGCCTGGCAACCAAAAATGGACCACGGCCCGGTTCCGTCATTCTTCCAGGCCTCCAGGGCTTCCTGCGATGCGGTTGGCTCTCCATAGAATAAATGTCGGTCGTTGCTTTCTTTGCTTCGTCTAAATGCAAGTGGAACATGGCAGTGATCTTTCAGGTTCTGACCAATGGCAGGAAGGTCACAGATTATAGGAATCCCATGTTTGTCCAACTGTGATCTCGGTCCAATACCGGAAAGCATTAATAGCTTCGGTGTGTCGAGGCTACCTGCAGAGAGAATAACCTCTTTGGAAGCAAAATCTGAAGAATAAAGATGTTAGTCCACTGCTGAACAATCAGAATAGGCTACAACCATGAATTACTTACAACGAGTCCCTGTAGCTTCAACCCCGATGACACGGTTCCCTTCAAAGACCAGTCTCTCAACTGAGCACTCGGTTATAATAGTGAGATTGTCGCCACTATCTTGGAGCAAAGTGGCTGCGGTCGTTCGTCGACCTTGGTAGAAAGAATTGATCACGGGCCCTATGCCTAATGGATTTCCGCTGTTAAGGTCCCGGGTCATTGGAAAGCCGGCATCACGAAAAATATCCAACATAGGCACAATATCCCGTTCCCATATTTTGGGATATCCTACCTTGAGTGGCCCGTGTTGGCCGTGGTCTTCGGGTCGAGGAGCGACGTAGTCACCGTACCTGGCCTCAGTGTCCTCTGTCTGGAATGACTCGAGGGCTTTGAATCGCGCTTGCATATGTGGCCAATCAAAGCGAGGATCATCGACGAGGTCCGCCCAGCGATCGTAGTCTCCGCGACACCCAACGGCCCAGAAGCCAAAGTTTATCGCAGTACTACCTCCCAAACCCCGTCCCCGACTGTAATCGAGTTGGCGGCCGTTGCAGTGTTCCTGCGACACCGTGCTGTAACCCCAATTCATCCCCGGTTGCTGTAGCGTGATCCATCTCTGCCCATCGACCAAGAGATCTTCCGAGTCATTGTACTTTCCAGCTTCTAATAGAAGAACCCTGGGTTTCTCTGAACAGGATGCGAGTCGTGACGCAATAATACATCCTGCAGGACCGCCTGTGAGGTTGTAAGCGTGAGCCCGTAGCTTGCATCTACAAAAGCTCTGAGCACGAACCTCCAACGATAATGAAATCAAACTCCTTGGCATCATCGCCCATGGTTGCATGCACTGGGCCACTGGAAATGAGAATAGGATAGAGTCGATAGTATCGACTAGTCCCGGGGCTGTTGAGGAGAAGTGCTCTGTGATATGAAGAACACCAGCAGACTCAGTTTCTATTCGCAGTTTATTAAACGATGCACCAATAACCATATCCATTCGGCCTCACTCTGTAAGACGAACCGACAGCGTTTCGATCGCTGCCAATCAGCGAGCATAGTTAAAGCCTGTAGGGCCTCGGGCGTCAGCTAAGAAGAGAATTTGGTCTCCCAATTAAGCCTCGTGCTCTAGACCACTACCAAGTGGAACATTTCCACGCAATATAAATTGTGCGTTTGACCACTGACAGCTCAGTACAAACGGAGTAGCATGGATACTGAACTGCTCGAGCGGAGTGAGGAATGAAGATATGCCAGAGAGGAATCGTGGGGGCTGTGACATCAACATTTATTCATAGGCAATACAGCCACTGCTCCGGATTGAGCTAGATTGATCCGTAGAACCTAAAGTACTATTTCAAAGTTAGCCTCCAACCCAGCAAATCTCATCTCTGAGAGATCAGGGTAGGATTACCAGACTATTGAGACGCATTCGCAGTGAAGTGGCCAACTGTGAGGTTGTGCCAGTGCTGTGGGAGGGAAGACCGATGCGGAGATGTATTGACCATTGTGGAAGTTGGCCGGTGGTCTCGCTAGGATCTCAAGGAATTTATTCCGGATTTGACCAGTAGTACGTCAGACGCATCTTTGGTACGCATGGCACGTGTGGCACGTGCTGGACCAGAGGATTTGGCTCAAAAACAAATGCCGAAGCCAAGACTGCCAAGATGGTCCACCGTACCACAGTGGGACTCAGCAAATGCAGCACATGTGGAAATCCTTTCCTCTCTTGTGTTTGTAGTGATCGTCCGATGATCTACATTATGTCGTAGAGTTGTGGCTAGACTGATAAGATTCGAATGTCATCCGAGAGGAGGATAGTTCAAGTCTCTCTCTCGGTTGTAATGAATAGCAGGCTCCCTATATACAATGCCTCACTGTGTTCATCACGAATACCCGCAAATACCCCAAGCGCTGATATAATACTCATATACAGAAAATGATAATATGGGAAACAACGGTCAGAATAGTAAAAGCCAAAAGCTCAGGTTCCGAGGACCATAAAGGCAACCAAACCACCCCATACACCAACAAATGCAATCGTGACAATACTAGCTCCCGCCTTGTCACCGGTCGTGATCGGTTTTAACTGGCTCTTATCAGAGCTGCTGCCATCGTTGCTACCCGCGTTTGGGTTGCTGGTACTGTTTCCGCCTGTCGACGAGGTCAAGGGGCCGCTCCATTTCTTTTCCGTGACCAAGACCGAACTCAGCACATCGGTGGCGCTGATCTGCTCTTCCATACCAACCCAGCCATCCCACTTCGATTCATGCCAGCGCACCCCACATGTGTTGTTGCTCATCCCACTGCACGACGCGGCAGCCCCTTGCGCGGACGCTTGCAACTTGGGGAGAATCTCGTCATAAGTGGACGGGACCAGCAAGGCAACGAAAGCAAGCCACCCAGTGACAAGGCCCTTGAACAGGATTTCATTATCATTACAAACCTCGTTCGGCTCGCAGAGGACCTCGGACATAATATAATTGAAGGATTTCGGGAAAAACGTGTTCAGTGTAACTCCCAAAAGGCCGTCAACCGCTGTCTTCCATGTCTCCTTCTCGGTCTGAAGTACAGGTATTAGCTTTGGGAGTCTAGAAGGCAACCTCAGAATTTCCCCACGGAAAGAACTGGACCCTTACCATGTTATACATGTACGCCGCACCGATTAGGTACGTGCCATAATTGTACGACCATTGGTTGTTTCCCTGGGATTTACATCCGCCTGCTATATCGGTGGAGTCCGCGACATTCCATGTTTTATTATTTAGCAGCGGCGAAGACACACTCCAATCCCAAACCTTTTCAGCCCATTCCGTATACGTCTGGTTGTTGGTATACCGAGCGAGACGTGCTGCCAGCTGGAACAACAAACCGTTCGAAATCGAGTTCTTCATGGCGTAGCCCGCTTGGTATGGGAAGATCTGCCAGCGCAGACCACCACCACAATTGCTGCTATCCCACCGGGCCACTTGCGTGTTGAAAACACCCTGCGCGAGGGACAGCCACGAGTATCCGTTATCAACGTCGGGGAAACCGATCTCGGCAGCTGTCATGGCGGCAATCCCCCAAAAGCCTTGGTCATCGTTACCCTGGGCCACTGGTCAGAAAGGCTGGATTGGATGGAGTTGACTGTCCATACCAAGTAGCTACTATAATTGGCTGGCATGTAGTCTCCATTGCCAGCCTGCCACTCCATACCCTGACTGACTTCAGCATTGTAGGTGGTATCGCCAGTATAATGCCAATAATATAGCAAGCTTAAGAACAAAGCACTGCCTTCCCACCACTTGTCTGGAAACGCTCCCGGGATCTGACCCGTTTCATTGCCGGAATACCATAACATCGAACCGTAGGCGGTCTGGCTGGCTGCACTTTTGATAGAGTCTGTGATAAGACCAGGATTATCCATTAGTATTCCGCACACCGTCCTTCACAAACTTGCCGTGACGTACCTGCATCATTGATATCGATACTCAGTGCCTCGACAACACGACCAATCCCTGTGAGGAAAAGGATGGTCCCATGAAGCCCACCGCGGGGCACACGCATTTTCGAATAACGTCCGAGTACGCAGCGCCGTAACGAGCCGGCTGACCTAGAATCTGGGGTGATGCGAGGATGTCGTCGTCCAGTGGGCTCTAGGTGGGAAAGGTTTGGAAAACGGACCGGAGCAAAACAGTCGGCAACATCGGCACCATTTCTTTTATTAGCTACCACCAACCAGGCCCGTGCTGCTGGGAATAACTCGCGGATTGGGAAGCCTATAGCATTCCCCCTAATCACCCGGCGGCATAATTAGTGGGATTGCGTGTCGGTCCAAACCCTAGAGAGTATGGTTCCAATTGTTTGGAGCAATCACCGGTAGTGAAAAGTACCAGGCACCGGCGAAAAAGTCATCTCTCATACGTATGCGGTGGAGCCGATGGAGCCAATCTTCTCGCTTCTCCGCGGTAGTGGCCGACCAAGCTTTTGCCCAGGAGACGCGGCGCGAAATCAAGACTCGGAGACTCGGAAGCGGATCATTAAAACTTCTTCAGTCGAGAACACACAGGTCTAACACAAGATGTCTGGCTCATGGCTCATGACATGTCAAAAGGTTTTCGTTTGCTTCAAAGATATCCTGAACCACCTTGGAATCTGAGCATTTGGTGCTCGACCTCACGTGACCGGAACCCCTGAAAGACCGGAGACTTTCGGCTTATCCTTTTCCATCCCCACTTCCGCAAACTACTGGAGACCAGCTCAACCAAACGCGTCGTTCGCTTCTGTTATCCACTTCCAGGCTTAAGTCCGAGCATAACACCGAGCGGATACTGAGTATATACAGTACAAACTTGATAGAATTATAATTTTCTATGGTCACTCCTATGGCAGGCCAACGTTACCAATCCGCATCAAATCATTTTTCTATAAGTTTTGGTCAGGTAGCCTGATTACCTGGTTGCCTAGGCTTCTTCAAGCCCATCCCGGCCCAGGCCCAAATCTAGAATCTATTATAGATTTTAGACTCGGTATAATAATCTATAATAAATTATGAATTAAGGAGAGAGTAAAAGATAGTATATATAAAAGAAGAACTAACTCCGAATACTACTGAGAATATATCTTTTGGCTATCGGGTTGTAGAAGTATAGATAGAGGGCTAAAGGGGCCTTAAATTTGTTGTAGATATTAGTTGTCGGGTCTTAATCTTGTAGGTTATACGACTGTGGTGTTCGCATCTACCTGGCCAGGCACCCACGACATGAGGCACTAGGCAATACGTCATCAAGCTCGCGTCCCCTATCTTACTACCCTAGTTATCTGTCCTTGGGCATACCCCCTGGTCCGCTGTGCCTGTCCAAATGTGAGTTAGGATCCCTTCCCAACTATGACTTTAACAACTACCATTGAGTTTAAACATGAATGACAGCCCATATCTCGTTGACTGCATCTCTATGCTTGTTCATCACTTAGACCCCGACAAGACAGAGACATGGTAAGACGAGTAATTATTCACGCACTCGGTGTACTTATGCCCTGGCCGGAAGTTGGTTGCCCTATAGCGGCAACCGACATGACTGAAGCTTTTGAGGGACTCAGACATTTGCAAATTCAGCTTATCCCTGTCTAAACCACCAAGACCAAAGGCCACACTTAGGGCTGTACTAGAATTGAACTCACAATCCTGTCTTTTCCGTGACTTTTGGAGCGGCGTAATCTCTGTTTCTTCCTTGGCTCACACATGGCGACGGAGACGTGACTACGCTCGATTACCTTGTCCAATATCGTTAGTATATTAGCCTGATTCTGAATGGCAATCTTAAATCAATAGGATAATGGCATAGTATTTGCTGAAGCTTCTGCGGATTTTCTGATACTCGCCCACCCGTCCATGGAGGGGCTTTGTGGCAGCTAAGCACGGCTGGAAGACCCAATTATCATCCAAAGTAGAAGATATTGTACTAGTATTCGTCTTTCTTTAACTAAGTGCATCATTTAGATACCAATTAGGCCGTATCCGGGGACTCACTATATACATCAGTGTCAGGGCTGCCACCAGTGCCAATGATGCATCTGAAATATGCGCCTTGACATATTGAAATCCAGAAAGGTCATTGTCAATTGACAGTACACCTCTCTGTAATGTCATCCGCTTCTTGTGGTCCCCGATCCTCCGAGTCAATGAAATTCATTCTGGTAATGTAGCTGGCGACTCATCCAAGTTGAGTCGGCGTCTAACCCTGTTAAAGTGCCGCTCGATAAGTGGCAAGACAATACATAGCCACAAAATCAAGACAATGACCCATGCGACCCCGAACGCGTATCCATGGGTCCTCTGGAATCGTGGGGCCTCTGAAGTAGGGAACATAAATTGTTGAGAGACAGTTCCAACGGCACTGATTAACTCTGTCAATTGGTGATACCGACCGGTAGTTCTGAGCCAGCTAGAGTAGAGAACTTACTATCCAAGCGACATCATGAGAGAAGTCGTTAGAGCACGAAGCTGTTTGTCACCGCCACAGCTCGAATTTAACCAAGCGCTTATCAGAGGTCCCATTGCACCATATGCACTGCAGAGGTAGTAGGCCGCCATCATGAGACTGTTGTTGCTCGACCACACTAGGAACACAATGTAAGAAAATAATTGAACAACACCGAGTCCAAAGAGACCTAGAGAAGGGTTATGCGTCCGGTCTACTACAAGGGCGCTGAGAAGCATCCAGGCCAATTCCTAAGAGACCCAAGTCAGTCAAGGGAAGAAGTACGGTTGCGGTTGCTGGTAGGATACTTGCAGTACACCCAACAACAGTGGGCAGGTTATTAATGTCCTCGATGCTGTACTTATGGTACCCATTAGCATTGAGCGATTTGAGATACAAGGCCATCCATCGCTGTAAGTTCACCCCGCCGGTGCATTCCATAGCCCTGTCACCAGTTAGAAACTTCCGTTCTTCGATCCTTCTTGGCGAGTGTTTCTTACCCCCAGGCAATGCAAAATGAATAGAGCTGCCAGGAAGATAAGACTCTCTTAACGCTGTGGAGATCCCATGTGGCTCTGATGGCATCGCGATGCTCATCTGCAAGACGCTCAATGCTCATTTGGCGCTCGTTTTCGGTCATCCACCACATCCTTGGAGATTTTGGTTCATCTGATTATCAAACAGCGTTTCGTTTAGCTCTCATAGTTCTACATATGCATATATGCCAGACAAGATAGCTAGGAGGAAAATGGTAAAGTCGGTCGTACCAGGACAACACAAGAGCCCAAACACTGCAATAGGGATACCAATGAGGCAGTCAAATATGAAAACCCAGCGCCAAGCAGCTAAACCTAGGCGATTGTTCATATTACGATATCTTGGTAAATGTATCAGCATCCTCCCTCTTGATGAAGGTCTGTTGGGTGGACTCTGACAGGCCTGATTGGATGTATCCCGAAAACATCTGGCCACCAGCTGAGGAGAACATGAAGATTGTAGAACGCCGATAGATCTCTGAGAGCCGATACCAGCTTCCAATCTGCAGTACTTGAGTGATCAGTGGATATCTTGCAGGCGGTTCAGGTTCATACAATATAAAAAGCACCAGGCATGGCGCCAGACTCAAAGAAACCAGCAAAGAACCTGGCAGCCATCAGCTCAAGTGTAATTTCCCCTTATCTTTCTCGTCGGGTTCATCATTAGAAAGCTTACCGCAATATATAGATGGTATTGACAGATTCTGCCTTGTACATGAACAAGACCAATAATGACCAGATCAAGGTACATGTTGGTAGCCAATAACGAGGATGAATGACTGTAAGACCCGCAGTGAAGAATGGGGCACCGATGATGATCCCGATATTGAAAAAAGTGGTGAACCAATTCAATTCGTTTCCCCCTGCATTTACGACTGCTGAGCAACTCGATGGAAAGGGAGCAGTCATGATTCACTCACTAAGATTCAAATCCTCTTTCATGCCAGAGACATAGGCATTTGTGACATTTGTTTGGTCCTTGCGGTGATATCAGCATTGGCAGACTAAGGACTGGGACGTATTGATAAGCACCAGGTATTTCACAAACGACGTCTGATTTGTACAATACATTAGCATAAACGCTCTGGTCAGGGGGCACATTGCTGTGAGAGAGACCTACTAAACAGGTATAAAGCAAGATGAAAAAATCAAGTTTGAAAATTAGCCACTTTTCCTCCTTCGTTGTGTTGGGCTCATGCCAGCTGAACCAGCGGCGTATACAACTTGCAGATATACAATGGGTCTCTGTACTTATGCCTATATTGGCTGCAGTATTAGTGGTTCTTTCGGTCACAGCCATGGCCGCGGCGTAAGACTAAAAGTAAATAGAGCACAAGCAATATTTACACGGATTTCTGTTCCAAGACGAATATTGAGTGGCTGAAACAACCTTATAAATTATTCGCAATTGACCTCGGCGAAATGTTACACAGGGAGATATAAGAGGGTCTAGGCCAGATAACCGCTATATTGAGGACCTTGAAGGAAAACTGTAACCTAGTGCGTATATCTGTGAGACACAATTAAGAAAAGTATCCACGTAAGGCCCACAACCCAGCCCTACACGCCGGGCACCGCAAGGGTCAGAGATGCAGTTGCCATACTGTAAAGATAATAGAAACAGGTACAGTCAGTAATCTGAGGTTTACCCACCAACATCACTGGAAAGAATATCTATTTATGCTCCTCTCCACTCAACGTAATCAAGTGTACATAAACATGTTGTTTCACCCCCAGAGCAAAAGGTACTCATTTCCTTCTGCTACCGTCCTATGGCTTTTAGGCATCACTATTCTACTACTAAAACTATCCACTCTTGTGGAACCGGCTCCGACTTAAGCGTGCCATTGATTGAACTCTTCGATTTAGGTACATGTACACCTCATCTCAGTTCACTGAATTACTTCTCAGCGCAAGCCTGACAAGAATCGTGAATAACCTAGCAGATCTGTCCTATACGCGCCATAAGAGGAACACAATTCCATACCAAGTAAATTTGAAAGCACTGAAGTTGATTTAATTTATTTTGGTTCCTAGTTGCGGCGCTAATCGAGGCGAATTAATCGAGTGTCGAGCTGCAGCCCGTACTTTTGGTCATAGACCCCAGCAGCCTCAACCTGTTTACCTAATTCAATGTTGGTCCAAAACGAGGTCCAACCACTCTTCGCTCAGCTTATACCGTACACCTTGAGTATGTTATAGTAAGAATTTCGCTCACATCCGTGCACTCCACTGCAAATGTTCTTGTTCCCTTGACCGACGAATTGTTCCACCACTGTCTTCTCAAACCAGGACAAAATGCCGTCCCAGAACCTATCTATGTTCAGCAAGACGATGCCCTTTGTCATGAATCCCTAGCTGATTCCAAATAATCAATTCTGCCACTTCTTCTAGAGTCCCATGGCCCCCTGGTAGATCAACGAAACCAGACCCGAGACCCCCATCGAGCCCTTGTTCTACCATAAACCTCTTGCGGGTATGCATGACTCCCTCGACAGTAACCCTTCCAAAGTCAATTTGAACATTATCGTTAGCAACCATCTGTTCCCCTTTTTTCCGAGTATTGTGCTGAGGACACTCTGGCATCGGGATATTTTGCGACTGGTGCTTTAGGTATGAAACCTTGCACGGCGATGACCCACAGAGAGACCAATTCACGCCCTATTTCCTCCTTCAAGCCTCTCGCCCTCCGCAACAATAGACGAGCTTCTCGTTTGCTTGTGGAGCTGTTGGGCAAGATCTCGCGCTGCAGCGAGGTACTCTGAAGATGCACCTGATTGGGCACCGCAGCTGCATACCACTAAGTAGCAGGATTGGCGTGGATACTGTCCTTTTGAGGCAATCACAAAACGCAAATGACAAGCTGCGCCATATCTGTGTACGCACATACCTTGGGAGAAAAGCAAGATCTACAGAGATGCTCTGTCGGAGTTGAAGAAAATACAGCTTTTGTGTAGCACATGTCGTGATATGAGCATGTTGCTGTTCAGGAATGAAGCCGCAGCATCGGACATTATTCCTCCTTGATGTATAGGAAGAGCCAAGTTAATTTCCAGTTAACTTGGACTTGATGTCCTATATATAGACTCATGTATTCCCACGAGAATAATAATTAAGCTTCTGTTTGCAATACAACAGGTCTGGCCTTCTACCACAACGTATGAGCTGCCTTCCTTATCCTTGACGGACTTTAGGCGCGTATCGCCAGGCTGACAGGATCAAATCTAATTAGAAGTATTTCGAGTATTCTTCAGCACGCCACACGTTATAAGGCAAATATCCGAGGCTCTCGAGTCGACTTCTAATTGGCCAAATCCATCCAGAGCCCAGTGGAAGACAAAAGTCGCCGAAGTGCCCCATCGCTCGGGGCAATGGTGCTGCCGAGCGCAACCAAATCATTGGCCTGGACAGTCCTTTTGGGGGACATCTCCGAAACCAAAACCGGCGGCCTGTTGTCGGCGGCAGCCCAGATTAGCAGAGACAGATACATCGGCTGGTGGCGGAAACTTTTCAGGAGTTCGTTCAGTAACCGGGAAAGACCCCCTTGATCCACTGATCGGAATGTCATCCTGGTGTTAAGGCGGCTTCGATCCTTCCCTTGATAAAAGCCGAGACACGGAGGAGGTACAGATGACATTGCGCAGGAATATTAGCCCGTACCTTATTTCGTGGATAAGGGTTTTGAGCTCTGACGAAGTTTCTGTTCCTAGCCGACAATACACCAATCCTCGCCTTGCGGCCGCAGAGTAACATTGGTAAGCTTCCCGGTCAGCCCCAATCTCAGAATTGTGCACGAGTAAGTATTCTCTTGTGAATGGAATAGATTTTCTTAAGGTCCCAGAGTGCCACTTTTTCCATATTATGATCCCGTTGGGGGCCCGTAGGTAGCCCTAGCTACAGTACCACTCCATTCTGCCATCGCACCTAATAACTTTACATAACTCACAAACTTTACGTTGCGTTAGACAGTATTAGTGGAACCGGAATTTCCTACACTGTTAATTTTGATTTCTAATCAACAGCCGAGCCACTACCTACCAGTCAACTCAGAATCTCGAATTATATAACCTTGCTCACTCCACTCTTCAGGTAGTTGCAATCATCCTCAGTCCTCAGAATCCAGTACAACATCTTTCAGAATGTCATCCGAGCAGATCTTTGTCCAAGTTGTCTATCCCACGTCAGCCGCATCTACCTTCAATATGGAGTATTACCTCAACCACCATATCCCACTGGTCAAGAAACGCTGGGGACCACAAGGCTTACAAAGCTGCTCCGTCGTCACCGGAGACAAGGATGCAGGGTACCACGTGCAAGCCACGATGGTTTGGAAGAACCGGGCATCATATGGAAACATGACGGGTGTGGAGGAAGTGAGGGGAGACGTCAAGAACTTTACCGATGTGGCGCCGTATCGATGGGTTGGCTCTATTGTTTACCAGGAAGTATTGACGGAGTCGGAAACCAGGGGACTTTGAGATCCCAGTTCTGGCACAAAGTGTTGGAAATTGCTCCTTAGGAGTTCCGTGACAGCGTTCGTGCAGTTGGCCTCCAGGACCGCCAAAAAGAGAAATTAGAATTTCGCGCACTCAGATCTGTCTTACCTCTTCAATAATATGTTCCTCATTGCGAGGTATATGTTACGGGCTCGGGTCCTGTATTGACTATTCTATTCTCATACACTATATTAGTTGAATCCCTTGACAACCTGGCTCGTTCATCTATGCATGACGATGGAGACAACAGATTTGCCTCAAATTTTTTACACCAGTATATGACGTTATAGTTTCTTCTGGTAAGCATGGATAGGTGGAATTATGAGTCGAGTCCCGTAGAGAAAATGGAATCCCATTTAACGTTATGTTACTTGCACAATAAAACACCTATCCTTTGATTTCGCTTTCTTGTCACGTCGTGATGTTGCAGCAACTGATGGCACATGCCCTTCCCGTTGCGGAGCTCGATAACGGGCACATTTTTGCCTAGTCGGAAAACCCCCACAGGAGTCGGGCTTATTAGTGATCCCAACTTTCACTGTACTGAAGATTGTTATAAAGCCTCACTCCCGGATGGTCTTTGGCGACTTGATTGCTTGTTATTTGCGGCCCGGTCGTCCCTGCTACTTTCACACCAACGAGACTGAAGACACTGGGAATACAAAATGGGGGGTTACGAACTTCAGGTCCTGGACAAACAAGACTTTTCGCAGCAGTATATCTTATCTTTGCCAATCAATCACCCATTCCCAGCTTTACCCCAATCGTCAGTGAGGGTAAGATCGGAAATATTATCCCTGACAGTCAACAATACAACATATGCGAAGCTGGGCAGTTTCTTTGGCTGGTGGGATGTCCATCCGTTACCGAATGGGATACCGGAGAGTTTCAGTGACTCGCAACGGTATGGAAGGATATCGGCGTGGGGATTCGGCCGGGTAATCGAAAGTAATTACAGCCCACTGCCTATGAATAGTGTGGTTTTTGGTTACCTTCCCATTGCAAGTCTTCCCGTCGATTTGTCACTTGTCCAGTCCAAGGACACAAAGCAGGCACTGGAAGTCAGTCGCTATCGTGCTCGATTGCTGCCAATATACAATCGCTATTTATTATTCTCCGCCTCTGAAATGGAGGGCTTTTCCAGAGACTTCCTTGGATGGAGTTCCCTGATGCGAGTACTGTTCCAGACATCATGGATGCTTAACAAGTTCCTTTTTGCTTGGGATGAGACAGTACTGGCCAAACCATCTAATGGAGCTTCTCATTGGACTATGAATGATGCCAATGTTACAAACGCTGTTGTCATACTGCTTTGTGCTTCTGGAAAGACCGCATTGTCTTTGGCACATCAATTCCGGCAAAATCGCCCACGGACCGCACAACCGAGAATGATTCTCGGAGTCACGTCTGCAGAATCCAAAGCTTTCACCAAAGCTACGGGGTTTCACGATGATGTTGTTCAGTACAACGCGATATCTCCTAGTCTCATCAGCAGTCTCAGAATTGATGACGGCACTAAGGTGGTACTCTGTGACTTCGGTGCCCGGGGTGAAACCTTCCAATCTTGGTTCAACACCCTGAAGCCGGTTTGCAAGACTCTCGTTCCACTTGGAATCGGCGACACACCGCAAACAGAGTCGCCAGAGGATCTACGTACTAGATTCGCCCAAAGCGCTTCTTTGGGTAAGGAGCAGGTCAACGCTTCTGATCTCTCAACGGTGGCAATGGCATCAATCGGGGAGGAAAAGTATCGTCAAGAACTCGAAGAGGCCTGGGGAGCATTTTTGGGGTCTGGAGCACTTCCCAGGGTATCTCTCGAATGGGGTGCTGGAATGAGCGCAGTTGAGAAGGTGTGGGACATGTTTTGTCGTGATAGGATTGAAAGCAGGAAAGGCTATATCTTCCAGATATAGATTCAGATATTGTTTGACACACTCGCTTGGAAGGGGGTGAATGTCAATGTCTTGTATTTTTATCCTCGTCTAGATACAAGCAAAAATAAATACAGCAATTTCTATGAACGATACTTATTGTGTCAATTGGTTCATTCTTTTCACCGCCACTAGGTGAGGCAGCTCTATCTTCTTTTCACCGGTCCAGTGAGAGATGCTTTGGAACTCCTTCAGTCACATAAAAGCCGTAATCGTGGCTTACCAGCCCACCCACAACGTAGAAAGTCGGCCCTTCTATCAATTACCATTTATCATAAACCCCCGCAGAAAGTCCACCAAACGAACGTACTGTATCATGGTGGACTGATGGTTACGGGCATGTGCAGATATTGAAGCATCCCATTGGAATATAATGATATGGGTAATCTAGCTGGATTTCCCTAGTAGAGCATTCTCAGATATTAGGAGTCGCTGGACTATTAATTTAATTGTTACACTGTATCATATTGGTGTAGATATCGAACAAAACTTTGAAGAGTACTTCTTACTGTTTGCTACTGGTAATATATAACTTCTTCTACACGACCTCGAGATGTGTTATTGATATCCAAGATAAGGGGCCACTGTATGTAGATTGCTTTAGGACAGTAATCGTAAAAATGGCGTTACAGTCTTAACAGCCACTTTTGTTAGAGATAACACACTTTCGTCACGTATCTTGTGTATGAGCTGCCTCATGAAACAGCATGCTTATAAAAGCCTCCAAATTAACTGGCAGCCTTGCTCCGAGAGTAAATCATTGATTGGGTAAGGTCATTCGCTGGAAATGCCGCGTTCAGTGCCGATTAACGTCGTTCCCTGCCATCTCGTACTACCGATTTACTCTGAGTATAGATAAATTCATACAATTTATATATTATCATAAATGTTCTACCAAGAAACCAAGTAGTATTATGTTCTCGTTGTTCATATATACCCACTTGAAGTATCGATATCACAGTTATTATGGTGTTTGGGGTGTATGGGACCGCCGGGTGTACGAGACGACCGGATGATTATTGATCTTATTAAGTATGTCTCCGAGCTGTTTACCTCAACGTGCACCATTACCAATCATACCTCTGGTGGAGATACCCTAGTTCCCGCGCACCTCTCACAAACAAACCGATGATGACTCTAACGGGTTCATATAATGTTCTGGCTACAGGTCTACACTATATAAAGGCACTCAGTGGACCTGATCTTGCTGCCCGCATTAACAAATATTTCTGGCGTCCAAAAGAAAATGGCTCCCAAAGTTCTCATTGTGCTAACCTCGCAGGACAAAATTCCTGCTACTAGGCACCCTACTGGATGGTTCTTGGTATGTATCACACAGGACGATCACCCTCTGTTTTCATAAAGAGACTAACAACCACAGCCTGAGTTTGCTCACCCGTGGGAGGTCCTTCACCAGAAGGTTGATGTCGTTATCGCCTCGCCGAACGGAGGTGAGGCACCTCTTGACCCTGGCTCGATCACAATGTTCGAGGAAGATGCTGTATCAGTTAAATTTCTGAAAGAGCAAAAGAGTCTTTGGCAACGTACTGTCAAGCTTTCAGATGTCTTGCCCAGAGTCTCTGGTTTTGACGCTCTCTTCTACGTTGGCGGTCATGGACGTGGGTAATTCTCCGAAATTGGTTACTACTAGATGATAACTTGATCAGCTATGTTCGACCTTCACTATGACCAAACCTCTCTTGCTTTGATTCAAGCTTTCAGCGCAGCTAAGAGACCTGTATCTGCGGTCTGCCATGGTCCCACTGTATTTGTCAAGGCCACAACCCGCTCTGGAGAGCCGTTACTTTCGCACGCCACTGTCACTGGCTTTTCCAATGTCGAGGAAGACCAGGCAGCCATGACGGAGTTCATGCCTTATTCGCTTGAGGACGAGTTGAACAAGGTCAGCGGAGGTGGGTATGTCAAGGCTGACAAGCCATGGGCAGAGAAGGTGGTCGTTTCCAAAACTGTGGATGGAGCCATCTTGATCACTGGTCAAAACCCTGCCAGTGGGGCGCGTGTGGGTGAGGCGATTTTGGAGGCATTGAAAATCTAAGTTTATTGCCGCACCATGAAGTTCTTTCCCCTTGAGCTATTTGTGGAAGTACTGTCCGCATGCGTGTGAAAAACGAGGGCCTCCCCGGCTTCGGTTTTCATGAAGCAGCATTTGGTCCCGCTTTTCAATCAAGTGAATACGATTGCAGCATTCTGGTGGGAGTTCTGAACTTCGTGTCTCGACCATTGTGCTGTACCGGTGAAAACGATATCTATATATGTAGTTAGAAAACAGAGACTTTAGATACTATCTCCCACATCATTCAGCACCTATACAGGTGAACTGGTTAATAGATTTGATACGATATTGTTACTCACTAGCAAGATGTAGGGAACAGCGATACTAATCTATGTCCAGGTAAACATAGTAAAGGACGGTGGTAGATAAATACATGGTTTATTATAACCCACACGACCCAGAATCACCATCGCATGTTCTGGTTTCCGTTTGGAGTGGGCTCGACTATGACGTGATTCGTGATTCTATATTCATTGTGGAGGCCACAACGAGTACTCGGGTTAAGCAATACCCAGCTAATAAGACTTAGTGTTAAGTTGTAGGGGAGACTACAGCTCGCCTCCCTTCATACGCATTGCAAGAGAATTGGCCTGTCACGATAATCCCCATGGCACACCCAGTATTTCGATATACGATGCAACATAGGAAGAAGAACGCGACAGGGGTAGTGGCGCATTATGGGTTGAACTCTGCGAGTCATAGAAGAGAGGTGATAATTAAGAACATACTGTCTTAGCAATCGCGGGGAGTAGGACGAGGTCTCGATGACCGTACCACTCGACGAAGGGGACCGCTGATAATGGATACGCTATCGATTAAGGATCTCATCTGATTAGCAAACCTGAGGAAATGACAAGGGTTTCCCGTTTCCCTACATCCGGGGATAGAGCTTCTAAGTCTAGACAGTCTGGAGAATAAACCGTTACGGAAATTTTCTGACCATCTGCACATCTCCACGCAATTCCATCCCGGAAGTGGGTTGAGGATCAGATTATTGCACTCGTCACACGTGGGGGGAAAGTCTTCCTACGCGGATACAAAATGGCCATAATCATACGCATAGGTCATAGCCGCAATAGTGGACAACCAGGGGTCAGGGCATCAAGTGTTTATCATTGTTATGTTATTCTGAAACTCGTAAACGGCGACTTTATTTCAAGTCGTCGTGGGGTACTTCACATGAGCACTTCTTCTTATCAACAAGCTCGATGACTCCGTGGTCTTCCAGCAGTTTCAAGCCACCCTCGTAGTAAAACTGCAAGCCATAACCTGGTTGCCCAAAGTAAGGTGCGATTGGCCCACCCGTAACGTTAAAGCTTGTGACGACCCTCCATACCCAGTAGTTGTACTCCGGACTGTTGGGATACTTGTTCAAGTTGCTTGGCGGAATGGATCTCCAGGCGAAAGGAGTACCCCTTGGTGCTAAGTAGCCTCCATATTGAGTTCCGAACCGATCAAGCTCCATTCCTTCCTCAAGGGTGTATTCTGTCGTAACGGGGACGCCAACCGAGTCCAACAGTGCACCGTCCTTCTCGGGATAATCGTATTGCTTGCCACTAGGCGCAAATTCTAGGAGGAAGTCCTTCGGGCAGTAATTCCCAAGAGGATTATATCCGTGGAACATCTCAGACCACTCGGGGTCTTCCACTGCCGTAAGGATCTTAGGCCCCAGGAATTTGTTATTGCACAGCGCATCGGGGGTGCCGGTGCTAGGAACGCCTTTGCAAGGAGTTCTACCGCATCTTCTCCCAAGAGAAGACTAGCAAGGTCAGTATCTCAGCTATGGAAGCTATTAACACTCGTGATTTCTGGTGGGAGTACCTCGACTGTTTGTGCAGAATCTTCAAACGGCAATGATAAAGCTCCAAATGGGAGCAAAAGTAGTGCTAGCGAGGCATACATCTTGTTCGAGTTTGAGTGTTCACGGGGATACGACCACAACAGTGAAAAACTAAGGGCGTTCTCAGGTCTGGCGGTGGACGCCGGACAGATTTATAACCCACGACCATGCGAGTTCGGCCAATGTTTCGCCCGTAGTGGGACTGGGTATCGTGTAAGCTGTTCCGTGCAAGGCAAGGAGTCGCCTGGGCGATGACGCCCTGTCAAGCTGTCTCGACTTTCCCCACACGTGTTCTGGATGCCAACCGAGTAGCCGAAATTCATTGGATCATTTGGATCATTGAATGGAACCATACATGACTAAGGGTTGTGCCGGCCCATGCGACTTCTCCAATCAACATTTCCACTTCTCCCAGCGGAGTTGGGCGCACGAACACGATGAGCAGCTCAGAATCAATAGTTCTGCAGCCAAGACTACTGATCAGCGAACCGCCAAGGGCAAAGCTCCAGCCCTGCCCTGCCAAGCAAATCGTGAGACGTGTCGACACCGTCGGTTTTCTAACCCCAGGGATAACTCAGCTTTGGGACGAAGAGCATGCTGTGATAGGCGGTATAGTACATAGCTGTCTGGTTGTCTGGTTGCAATGTCAACTCTCACTTTCTCCGTCAAGATAGAGAACACCTGCCGATCACCAGAGTCTTCCCGAAAACAAATCTCGAAGTGGATCCGTAAGTTCGATTTCGCGGTCTCCACAGTTCAGCTGTCCCTCATTTTTCCTTTTTTGGGTTCGTTTATCTTCATTTCCCGCCAGGCAGTGGAGATGCCAATCCACTACTCCGTGTTTTGTCCACTATTTCTCACACCGCTTGTAAATCTGCAGATTCTGTTCATACTTACTCGATCTGTCGATGCCCCTTTTCGGCTGGTCATTGTTTTTCTTCCTGTCCAGTTTTTATTAGTGATTCCATAACATCAAAGCTGAAAATTAGACTTTCCGAGAAGGTCAAAGTGCATCTTTCGTGGTTCCATACAATCCACCTGCGGCAATTGTCCGGGATAATTGAACACGCCCAGAGTCCGGCGGTTTTCATTGCCGAGCATGGAGTACTATAATCATAGACACCGCGACTACTGACTCCTGACACGAAGGGGGGAAATTTTATGAAAGATGGGAACCCACATAACTGCAAAAGATCGACGATTACCAAGCCCACCGATGCGATAACTATCCCGACGGGTCTCAAATCCCCTCGTATCCTGTAAGCATGCAATACCTGGGAAATTGGGAATGCAACACAAGCACTCCGTCTATGGAGTATGCCCCGCATTCTTTAAATATATCAAGCTAAAGTCGAACTGTCACAAAATGTCAGTATGCAGGTACAACATTTTCATCACACTCGACGGAGAATGGGTGGAGTCACTCCGTGGATCGTCGTACCTCCTCAGCTGCTACGTAGCACACAAACTATGCAATAGCAACCCACCTATGATATTCCACTGTCGTAGTAGTTAAGAGCATTGTATGAGTAATCGGGACGTATCTGCCCTTCTCATATGCTCACTACCTACATGATTATCGTTATCATAGCTACTATCACTTGCTAACCTTCATAACCAACAAAAGTTGGCCATGATGTATGCCAGTAGCGAACATATGTACGCTGATTGGACAGTATGCTCTGTTAGCCCCTCACCACTGGCGCTTAGAACCTGTGGGACACGGAGATGAATGTGTCCCGCATATACTCTGTATAATATGGGGTCTCTTTTTGTAAGCTGGATCCGTGTTGCAAGGTAAACAATGATACTAATATTCCAAAGAGTACCTAGAAAACTACACCAATCCTAATACCTCTACGTAAACAAAGTAGCTCCTGAGCGAGATCTGCCAGGTTTCCTATGGAGATGACCTACACGATGAACAGTGTCGTGAGGAAGAAATCGTTGTAGGAAGGTGCTAGACCCATGTGAGCACAATATTTGACACTAACTATAGACGTAGAATATGGATTAATCAGTGCGCTTTATTGGTGTGTTTCTGTTTATAGCCACTGAGATTAACATGTTTGTTCATTGGAAGCTTCACTGTTCCCCAGATACAAGAGAACAAATATGCTTTCCGGCCTAAATGAGAGTCTAGACATGTTTTAAAGATGTATGTTAAGTTGCTTACTACTATCAAGTAAGTAAATAGACAAGACCAAGACAAGATATTTTCGAGCTTTTCAGACCGCTCTCTTTACGAACTATGTAGCCTATGCATAATTACAACAGCACATATTGATGGCCACGGATGGTATACACAAAAACCTCTCCATCTTGTTCTACTATCAACCACAAAGATAACGTCACTGGTAAAATGGCTTCTGCCGAATCAACGCGGTCCCAACCTCAAAGTCATGACCAAAGATGAGTGTAGCCGAGTATAGCCTCTGCAACCGCCGGACAAAATTCGTACTATCCATCCAGCTCTTGTGGTCACGTAGCAACCATCCTTGCGCATGATTATTTTCGTAGTTCTCCCGCACATGGAACTGGTCCGTGGTCCAGATAAATGTTCCGTCCTGCGGCAAGTTGACCTGCATGATACACAGACCCGGCGTATGGCCCGGGCATAGATGCAGAGTTATTCCTGTGCACAGATCTAACTGCGAGTCGTTGAAGGTTTGCCAATTCAGGGACCCGTCTAGTGGGAGATAGTCCGGACTAGAGTTTGTCAGTATATCGGGACGTAACAGAGCAGATATGCAAGAGAGGAATAACGGACAGGTAGGAACCCCCTTCTGCCTTCGTCCCTGCTCCCCAGCAAGCATGTTTGAACTCTCCCTCGTGTACGTAAATCGGGACATCCGTGTTGAGGAAATGTTCCAGGCCGCCGGCGTGGTCGAGATGTAAATGCCCCATAATGACTGCTTTGACATCTTTAATATCGTACCCGGCTGCTTTGATGGCAGCCGGAAGACGATGGTGAGGCTCATAACGTGTGCGGGGAAAGACGTCCGCACTCGCAGGGTTCCATTTCTGTTATACTCCTTAGCATCTTCCCAAAATCTGTCTCAAAACCATGCATACAATCTCAATATCTTCTGCACATCCTGTCTCGAACAGAATCAGCCCCATTTCCGGGTGATCAATGAGACCCGCAAGCATCATCAAATCTCGCCATTTCCGGGGCGGTTGGGGATTGCTGGCAGTGGCCGAGCCCCCTGCCATGAACAGCCTGATTCTATTATTAGCCTTCGTCGAGTCTGGAGGGGTCTGTGTGCACTCACCATCCCTCGTCACAGCTGTGTGACCCTAAGTCCAGGAGATGCATTTTTGTTCCCTCCGGACAGGTATAGGCGGGGATGGCCGCCTTGGCCAGTTGCCTAGAACTCATCGCAGAGATTGAGGTCTGCTGTACCGGTGCTAGCAGTTTGTTGGGATTTGTGTGTATGTGACTTGGGGTCAATTTAACCGCTTGCTTGGTGCGGGGTAAATGTCGCTCAATAGCCGTAATATTGCGTTGTTCGACCCCGAGTGGAGTCGTCCTTTCTCTTCCTCCCGCTGTGATGATGCATGTAATCTTGTTATCTCCAATCAAATAGTACCTATTTATACAATGTACTGTTGCTGGTCCTGTCTTCCAACTCAATTCGTTCCACTTGCCGGAAAACGATTCCAAATCATGTGGTGTTTTGTTGGATACTTCCGGACATTCTGTCCCTGTGAATTTTTCAAGTTTTATATCAGCAACCATTTGGGGCGAATCAGGCACAATTATCAGAAAATTACCATTTATGCTAGCGATGCCTTTTCCGGCTTAATTATATATGTTTGATGTACTCTGAGATGAACTGGTTGAAATGCTGTTGGTTCGTGTACATACTCCTTCAACTTTATTCGGCCTCTGTCCAGGACCAGGATTAAAATGTGCAGCACAAGGTGATGGCATTGCCGTAATCACTTTTCACTGCCATTGGATATTCGAGACAGCTACTTTGGAGGGTAGAAGACTATGTGCCACAGAATATCCTTCGCGACTAAAGATATCATTGTAGGGACGCCCTTAGCCTACAGCCAGAACAGTGAGATGGACTGCACTACCTTTCCGTCAAAGCTCCTGACCAACTCAAGGCTTAGAACCGAAGGTAGAGGCCAATGGATCATACCTTGCAGACTTGAAGACAGCCTCGGTCTGCGTTCTCCTCACACCAACATTGCCCTCATCAAATATAGGCAGGCACACAACATCATTGAGCAGCACCCCATATTGAGATTTTGCCTGGTATGCTTGAATCCCAACGGCATTCATGCCTTCCACACTGCACGGCATTTTCGGAGCAAAATATCTTGGCTAGATGCGCCGCTTCGGCCGCTTCAGGCAGTCGCCCCAAGGCAGAGCAAGCTTTCCAAGTCAAAGTTCTACCAGCTTCACAGCGCACTTTCATCTTGATCAGCAAGTCAGCAGCGCTTTGCTTGTTGATGATAGGCTCTGAGCCGTTCCTCGTATCCGACTTGACAAACTGAAGTGTCATCTCAAAGCAGTGTCTCATTAATGCTACAGCCATTACTCCAACTAAGGCCGCCGAAGCAGTGGAAGCCACTTCAATGACCTCTACCCCAGTGCCGGGCATTTCAATGACCTTTTTAGCAACGAAGTTCCGGAATCGGATATACGGGCCAGACACAGCGCGGTGACCGATAGTTTCGGGGTGAGACAGAACCGCATACGCATCGGGGGAATTAGCTGCAACATCTTCTCTCGTCACTCAGAGAACCATCGTTTGCCCTTTGGCATCTGCCGTTGCGTATGGAACACCTTCACACCGACACGTAACGCACTGGATGTCAGCACCGCAGTCGTCCCACCCGGTGCAATTGGTTGCCCATAGCTGTTCATCGGCATTAACAAGTGCTTTAAAACAGATACTACTCTGTTCATCGCGTTACCTTCTCTCCATTGATAACCCATCTATTCTCAACCTTCCTCGCTGTAGTCCTTAGCCCCGTCGTCCCGTAATTAGCCGTCCCGCCCGGCTCAGAATGTACCAAACTCGCCAACGGCACCCCCCTTCCCGTCCGTAAATGGACTCAAATATCTTCTCTTCTGCGCATCTGTTCCCCCAATAAGGAGCGGGGATAAACCAAGCCCGGTTGCGAGGATAGTCAACGCCACGCTGACGTCAGTCGTATACAGCTCCTCGGTTAGTCAACGAGGCCGCACCCTAGGCCATTGTATTCAGCTGGCACCTGTGCTTGAACTAACCCCACCTTGACGGCTTCTTGGCAGAGGGGCCTGATGGCAGAGAACCTCGCTTGAGAAGTCGCATACAGGTTGCGGGCAGTTCCGAGATGCTTTGTAGCGAAGGAGCGCGCATGATCCCGGACTTTGGTCTGCGTATCAGATAACTCGAAGTCAATCATTCCGAGAGAGAGTTTAGTAGGATGTAGATTTAGTTGAATATGGGATGAGTTATAGGAAGTACAGATGGGATTAAATAAGCGCGATCTTGAGAAAGATCTGTTAGAAGAAAGTGTCCGTTTGGTTTAACGCTGGGAAAATGGCATCGGGGCTTTTGTGGCTGCATTCATGGACAGCTACTGGTATGTACGAATCGGAATTTGTCCCGTTGGCGCCTTGCTCTTTGTGGAGCAGATTAGCCCTCGTGCATGAAGTACTCGTAGGGGAGAAAAGATGATACGAACCGATGGACTTGGAGATCATTCCTTAAGGAAGAAGAATAGAGATCGTATAGGTTGGTGCTGTTTTCTTCTATGGAAGTAGCGCTCACCACTATTTACAACCGTCTTACGTTACTTTATAAATCTACCGTTGTTTATCTGTCACGCTATTCTTAGAACTGGATGGAAGACCTGCCCGGTTACCAGGTTCATTGCATGGTTACAACAATCATTCCGTAGACAAAATATCTTTGCATATTGGCTATTCAGCCAGACACCATAACTAGCCCATAGTCTTTCGGGGCTTGACTTGCAGAGGTCTATTTGCCCGCTTCAAAAATGATCTTCTGGGATTTCATCTGGTTGAAATCATCATACCTATAATCTGTCAGTGAACCGTCAGGTACCATGGGTCTAAGACCTACGCCTGAATCGCCTGCGACAAAGGCCGAATATCACCAACCATGAAGCTACAGAAACGTTAGCCATACCACCATTCAAGCGAAGCCAAGACCCTACCTCAAAGAGTCCTGCTTCCGAATCAGAAACTCCAAAGCATCCTCAAAGATACCTAATCACCAGTCAACATAACTCTACACTGAAAGGGCGGATACATACTGCGAACAGGACACCGTCCCATCTGAATCTGCAGATTCTTCCCGTACGCCTCATTGCCCGTCCAGGGAATCTCCCCATTATGAACACCAATGCTCGAGATGCGACCCCACGGCCTTAGGTTGTCAAACGCCATACGCAAAGCATCACTATGCCCAACGACTTCAATGGCAACATCTGCCCCACGACCCTCGGTAAGATCCTTCACTCGCTGCTTCAAACCCTCAGCATCAGTCTGGAAGTTCCACGGCTCGGCCCCCAAACTCTTCGCCAACTCCAGCCGGGACGGAACACTATCAACCGCAATTACATGCTTCGGCCGATAATCCAGCGCACTGATCAACGCACAAAGTCCCACCGGTCCACAACCAAATAACAAGACCGTACTTTCTTCAATCGTCGCCTGATCCATTCCCTTGAACGCATTCCTGGCCGCGAAGAACCCCGTTGGCAGGATATCCGCCATCAGGACAAGTTTCTTCTCATCTACGGCCGCGGGAGCCGCGACAAGGGTTGAATCCGCGGACGGAACACGCGCGTAATCAGCCTGTCCGCCGTCCAGCATCGCCGAGCCGTAGAGCTTGCCTTTTGCGCAGCGCGAGGAGCATTTTCGGGCACAGTAGAAGCATTCGCCACAGTTGACGGTGAACGGGGAGACGACGAGGTCGCCGACTTTAAAGCCGCGGACCGCGGAGCCGACTTCGACGATTTCGCCGGTGAATTCATGGCCCATTACGAACCCCGTGCCGGATGGTTGGTGGCCGCGGAAAACATGGAGCTCACTGTTGTTATCTTAAGTTTTGGTCCCTTTGATAAGGAAATACATGGGGCTTACCTGCCGCATAGCGCCGTATAGCGTACTTTGACGATAACGTCGGTGGGTTCCTGGATCTGTGGGACGGGCCGCTGCTCTAGAGCGACCTGGAGAGGACCTTGGAAGACTACAGCCTGCATGGTGGATATTGTGTGGTTCGTTGTGTGGTACTAGAGATTGTGGTGTTGGGAGTTGGGAGTCTAGTGTGAGATGAACAACTACTTACTCCTCCTCTCGATCACCCCACTTGAGGGGGCACAACAGCCTCGGCTGTGACATCCGCATGTTCACTGTGTCACGCCTGTTTGTTTGCAGTGTTTTCCTAGAACCAGGCTTCGTCTGATTGTTCGGAGAATATTGTATTGGTGGGTTATTGTCTTTTCTTCGTGTCCAGGCTTTGATGCTTTGATAGCCATACCTACTACTACATAGCATGTATTTTAGCGCTGACTTAATCTCTTTCACTCTTAAGTGTTATAATACGTATATCATTCTCTTCGTTCCGTTTTCTTTTTCCTTTTCTGCTTTCAGGTTCATAAGTAATAATGCTCCCGATACTTTATCAATATATAGTATGCACGCAAAATAAATAGTAATAACAAACACCTTACCTGATAATATAATCCAACCTAGATCAACCTTCAAAATATATAGGAATCAACCCACCACTAGCACAAATAGACTTAATACCCAAATTCTATGCATAATCCCTCTCTAATACAAGATAAGTAAAAGTCCATTAAACAACAGTTCCAAAATAGAACCAAATCCAGAACCAAATCTTCACTCAAACAATCTTCGTTCGGACCGGGGTAGATCTCCGATCTACCACATGTGATTGGCCAACGGCCCTCCTCGCCTCGGCATTGAACAGCTTCCATGCGGGGACCTCGATCCGAACGGGGCCCCGAAACATCAACCCATATAGAGTAACTTTTAATTATTATATCCAACCCACAATCCACTTCTCACTGAACCCAACCTATATCATCTCTCACCATACTGTTTATAGACAATAATAAATCAATCCAATAGAAGGGAAGAAAAGAGAGAAAAGGAGGAAAAAAAATGTCCCCCACCAACTCCCCCAACCCCATCCCCTTCTCCGAACCTCCCTACCTCCGCAACCTCCCAAGCCCTTACTACACAGAAGGCCATCTGCGGTTCCAAAAAGCCTGCCGTGCATTCCTGTGGGAGAACCTGATCTCGCACGCCGCAGAATGGGAGAAGGATGGTCACGTTCCCGAGCATGTCTTCGAGACCTTCTGCAAGCATAACATGTTGCTGCCAAATCTGCCGGCGCCGTTGCCTGTCGATTGGTTGAAGAGATTGGGCATTCATGATATTTTGGGTGTTAGGGTTGAGGATTGGGATTATCTTTATACGGGCATTTACTGTGATGAGGTTTGTTCTCTTTTTTTTTTTTGTTTTTGGTTCTTCTCTTCCATTTCTGTGGTGTATGCGCATGGAGAAACATTCCACTACGTTGTCCCTTCCATGAAAAGATCCAATACTAATGAGAAAAACAGATGGCCCGATCAGGTCTTGCAGGCCCAGGCACGAGTCTAAGTGCCGGCTTCGCGTTCGGAATCCCGCCCGTCCTCAAATACGGGAGTCGGGAACTGCAAGAGCGTGTGCTGCCTGACATGCTCACCGGCCGGAAGCGCACCTGTATAGCCATTACCGAGCCCGAGGCGGGTAGTGACGTGGCTAATATTACGACCACGGCGACTAAGTCTGCTGATGGGAAATTTTATATCATTAATGGGGCGAAGAAGTGGTATGTTTCTTTTCCTTTTTTTTTTTTTTTTTTTTTTTTTTTTTTTTTTTTTTTTTTTTTTTTTTTGATTCTTTGCTTCCTGGTTTTATGTGGTCTGTAGTGTGGAAAATCAGATATTAACTGAGAGATAGGATCACAAACGGTATCTGGTCCGATTACACCACGATGGCCGTGCGCACCGGCGGACCCGGCGCCTCGGGCCTGTCCGTGATGGTTGTACCCTTGAAGGGCTACCCCGGGGTGACCATGCGCCGAATTCACGTGTCGGGCACCAAAACCGCCGGAACAACCTACATCGAACTCGACGATGTCAAAGTGCCCGTAGGAAACCTGATCGGTCGCGAAGGCGACGGTATGCGAACCATCATGACGAACTTCAATCACGAGCGCCTGACCATCTCCGTGCAATGCACGCGACAAGCCCGTGTGGCGCTCTCCGCGGCCTTTGGGTACTGCATGAAGCGGGAGGCGTTTGGGAAGACGCTGATGGATCAGCCGGTTGTCCGACATCGGTTGGCGAAGGCCGGGGCGGAGTTGGAGACGGTGTCGGCGTGGATTGAGCAGATCCTGTATCAGCTGTGTAAGTTGGAGAAGGTGGAGGCGGATCGGTTGCTCGGGGGGGGTGACGGCGTTGGCCAAGGCGAAGGCGGCGATGGTGTTGAATGAGTGTGCGCAGTGTGCGGTTCTCTTGTTTGGAGGTGCTGGCTTGACGCAGGGCGGACAGGGTGAAATTGTTGAAGGTATGTTCTTTCTTTTTCTCTATTTTTTTTCCGCATCGGTTGGAGTTGATCGAGAATGGTTGACTGACTGGAACAGCTATTATGAGGGATGTCCCTGTGGCCAGGATTCCAGGTGGTTCGGAGGATGTTCTGCTGGACTTGTCTGTGAGGCAGCTTGTGAAGATTTACCAGACCCAGGAGAAGAAGTTGGGCCAGGCGAAGATTTAAGATGCTTGTATCACTTTTGTATCAGTTATGTTTATGTTATTTGGTATAGTTTCAGGTTATACATACAGAGATAACAGCTAGAAGCAAGATGGCAGTAGACAAGTGAAGTAGATACACTTATATTCACGTATCGAAACCACAGGATGTTGCCGAGTAATGGCATACTACGAATTGTCTACGGCGCACTTGAAAACAGACCATGCTCATCACAGCGCTTCTCACGTATCGGGAATGACAGCTCAACGGTGATCCTTGATAGGGAGATGGCGAATATAGTACTGCCTCGGCTTGCGTAATCACGGAAAACACCGTCATGATAAGTAGGGAGTAACACATCGCGCAATCGGACAGCGATCGACGATTCGAGTCATCCGGCTCTTGGCTGAGTCCACGGTGTGAATCCACAATACTATGGACAACACCAAAGCAAAATGCGACAGCCGTAACTAGCTTCCGATCCGGATAGATAAAGGCATGGCGGGGTGACTATCGACTATGCTCCAGACGCGTCAAATTGAGCGATGTGCGTGTCCTCTCGACCGAATGCTGCGATACCGATGAAAACCGGCCGAGTCGCATCGTCGAGAATCTCTACCCCGAGATTTGACCGAAACGCGCACTGGATCCGCCTGAAATCAACCATATCCCGCATTTGACCTGTCGCCGTGACCCAGCGAATACTTCTTGTAATGCATAGCGTGCCCATGAGGACCAAATTTCGGTTGGAATGATTGCGATCGACTGAGACAGCGACGAAGAAGGCAGTTGCAATGGCCAAGGCAGGATTTCGAAAGGATCGCGAAATATGTTGACCACTGTTTCATCAGACGGAAGGGATCTGCCATTAGTCATGCGAGAAGAAAGGGAGCCAGTCGAAAGTCACATGATCAGTGTATTGGTAACATGGAAATGTATAGTTAAAGAAGCTGTAGAGCATTAAGAATGTAAACATCAAGCCATCACGTCGAAGCGATTCGCGTCAGAAAACCAATGAATCACAAAGAAGAGCCAAATTCCATCGCTAACACCCACAACACAAGCACTCGACACACTCAATACAGCATTCGCAGGTCTCCTCACAGAGGAAGCAACAGCACATGGCCATCAGACTGTCACTGTCAGTTTCTCTTTCTTGATCTGCGCGGACATCAGTCGGTGATCCTTACCAGGCGGTCAGACAACCACGATCCTTCTTCTCCTCCTGGGGTGGGGGTTGCTGGTACTGCATCGGCTGGGGAGGAGGATATTGGCCGCCAGGGGGAGGGTAGCTATGCGATGCGTTAGCGGCGATGTCGTCAAACCATAGAAAGCCAATGAAACTGAAATGAAAAACAGCCGAAGAACCAAATACTTACTATCCCTGGGGAGGAGGAGGCTGCTGGTAAGGTTGCTGGTAAGACATGTTGTATCTAGGGAGGGAACGACGGTGGTATGACGGAGGGAGATGAAGGGAACGGAGGTCAAACCAACGTAAATAAAAGAAAAGAGAGAGAGAGAGAGAGAGAGAGAGTATGGGGCAAAGTAACGGGTCAGGAGGTTGTTTAAGACTTAAGTAACAGTGAACTTCTCAAGCCGGGGGACCAGACAAACAGGCAGAACTAATAGCGGTGATTTCAGCCCTGTTGGTAGACGCATCGGTTCTCTTGGCCCTGCAATTGACGCCTGGGGTCCACCTCCACCAGCACGATTGGGCCTGGCGATGGAATTTTCATTGACAACTAATTATTGAGCGGGTTAGCAGTCCCCCTTGTACGACGGAGTCTTGGCTCTGACCCTTTGTTACTACTAAGTGCGTTCAAGTATCATCTGGCCAGGGAATGCTGGCGCCTAATCGTTGGACTTGCAATGTGGACCGCGAACCATGGGCAACAACACATCGACGTCTTGTTCATCGGTGAGGCCCTGAGGTGGTGTGGCTGAGACGGGAAAAAAAAAAAAAAAAAAAAAAAAAACGATGCATGTTCAACTCCAGTACTACTATATTACTTACATACAAACAATACATCCTTCAACATACCATGAAGACTGCCAAGCGCTACTTATTGACCACTAGAACCTCCCAAGGCAGCCCCTTAAGGCTGGAACTCCGCTGCCAAGCCCCAATCATGATGACGGACGGCCCTACTTGATCTCCACTGCCCCTGAATCATGATTGGATCAGAATGGTGTTGCCTAATGACAGTTTAATTTCATTCTGCTGTTCTTCCCTGGTTATGAATGAACACACTGTCATGAACATAACTTGTACAAGGACGAGTCAAATTTGTTTCATGGGGTGTGGCTGGAGTCAACGGATCGTGTTCTAAAGGGCGACCAAGTGCACATGCCATCCATACCTATCAACGGTGCAGGACTTTCCTCTTCTGGTACAACGGCGCTAATGAACAGGATCTCCCTATCCACATCTATTAATATATTTGGTCGTGCAGGGTTCATGCCTGGTGCGACATCCTAGGTTTCTCCGTGTAAGACAAATAAACGAGGCAATCATTCCCCGCCAATAGTGCGTTGGTCAGGGGAGAGGTCCAGAAAAGAGATACGGAGTAGGATAGTATACAGTAAGGACGGAGTAATGAATATCAGACTATCAATACAGCGAGTACTTTGACTTTGGAGTAGTTCTTTGCGAGCCCATCACGTGACTGTCAAGCCACCCATGTTGGGGGCCAATCGGGTGGAGCCAATCCCTAATTCCGCCCACGGAACTTTCAAACATTTTGATGTTATTGTGTTCGTGTTTCACATTGAACAACAGTCGAATCATGTGCCGAACAAACAGGACATACGGACAGTACCTCCAAAAAATTGACCCGAGGTGAATGAGTCCAAGGCATCCCTGATGTCGGCTGGTATGTGTTCTCATGCTGATCACAGTACCAACCAATCAAATGCGCACGACACATGCAATGCTCCGAACCTGAGAAATGCGATCTACAGCGCACAATTTCGCCAATGTATCTTAAGGTTTATTGTCAATAACCCCTGGCATCGTAGGTCGTATTGCCGCAACCTAATATGCGAGACAATGACGTTTCTTGAGGACTACCCCGTTGGCCATGTATCACAGTAAAGCCCGGGGGAGGGTATAGCGTGAAAAAGTACTATACTGGCCACCTGGCAGATCTCCATAGTTTCCAATGCTGTAACTCGAAAGGGATGCCTTGTCTTCTTTGTAGGCTCAGTGATGGGCACGGAACACTGGACAGGGGGTTCCCTTAAAGTTACTCACAATGCGATGATACTCTTTATAAATTGAACCGGGCACGTTGCCACGTGCATTTGGTCCTACTAAACCTCTGGCACGGCCTCGAACTCGAGAGCCAAAGCCGGGCACCAATGGAATCTATGTCCATTCTAAACAAGCAATGGGGCTGCTTTGGATTTCTGGCTCTGTGTCACGCCAAGCCAGGTATCCACTGAGCCAAGGGATATATACGCTGGTCATATAGCGTCGTAGAACGTATTCAAAGGGGTTTTTGAAGAGAGACTACTTGAACAAAAGGATACAGTTCTTTGATAATGATATTTATTAACTATCTCGCCTAAGTCGGTTAATTTGAGTGGTACCCGCAAGAAGTAGTGGTAGACTGACGAGTGAATATTCTGCGAGGCCGGATATCGATTGTGATGAGCCTAAATAAAGAAGTGGTAAGAAAAGGAAAAGACAGGAGATAGACGCTCAGAACAGTGGAACAGCTGGATTTCATACTACAGTGATAAATCAGTAGAAAATTCAATAACGGGAGTGCCAGTCAGTCGCAACAGTAAATCAGCTTTTGCGTGGACTATGCGAAGAGAAACCCATGGAGAGGCGGTTCACAACTTAATCTTCCTCGGCCCAATCCATGTCAATCTCGATGTCTTCAGGGTTTACACTTCCTTGCATGCCTCGTGCGGCAAACTCCGCATCAAGAGCTTTAAACGCCCTGGTTAGATATATTTTCTCACCAGGGAGCTCAATGCCTATCCTCATCCCTTTGAACACCGCCTCTTCAAAGCAACCCCTGGCCAGCTTGGCAACCTGTTCGTTTCCACAATGATAAATGTGCTTGCAGCGCTTTCTCCAGAACACCCATCTAGCATTACCGAAGCCGCTACACGGAAACTCGGACTTGGGAGCGAGGTCAGGCATCCTCAAACTCCTGCACAAAATAGGAGAGGTCAATCCACAGACGCTGTCCATTTGGTAAAAATATCTCTTCCGGTTCCTCATCTATAGAGGGGTCTGTTTTCTTGTGCGTGACCGGCCCGCACTCTCGAACTTCCAGAATCAGTGTAACGAGTCGGTCGTGTTCGGCACTGTCAGCGGGATGTCTTTTTGCTACGTGAATGAGCTCATCTCATAGGTCGTGCAAGTCTTCTTCAACAAATGAGATATCCCACGTATGATCAATGTATCTCTGACTGAAGTTGAGCATTTCCATCGGAAGTCTTGCCAGGTCTTCTGGGGATTTGCGGGGTCGTGTGTAAACTTCTGACGCTTGTGTTCGCGGTTAAGAATTCGCACGCCGCAATTACCAGTTGGGTGATCGGCCATAATTGTGAGATAGGATAGTAATTGAGAGAAGGAAAGGGATGATATTGTGAGGCTGGGAGAGAGGGGTGGTGATAGCAGTGAGGTCAGGGGTTGTCGCTGGAGAGCATATAAGTAACTCGAAGTTAGATGCCTGACCTTGTACACTTCGTAGTGGCCAATCAAAGTCAGTTTAGCGTATTACAGATGAGGGATTTTCCCGTTGTCATACTGAATGGAGGTCAGTACGTATAAAGGTGCTCTTTGTGCGAGGAATTGAGACAGACATTCTTTCTTTACTGTGTGGATGTGGGAAAGACGATAAATTTCACTCAGTACACTCGGGAGCCTTCCTATCGATTTCAGGCATGAAAAACAAATATATTGTCTATGACTATGTGGTGACGATGAAACGGACATCCAACCGGTTGGTATTCTAGTAATACATTCTTTAGATGATGCGACTCGATCACCACCTGCTATCCACTATTCCATTCGATCATTAGTTTCTGGGAGGCTCAGGTCCTGACAGCTATCACAAGTAGACTGGAGGAATCGAGCAAATTAGAAAAAAGAAACACAGAAACTGAGCTTACATTCGAGATTTCCTTCGCCGGTCTGTCAAAACATACGTTGGGACGCTACACACAGAACGCCCATCCGCCCGCTCGCTTATAATGTTACCCTGAGGCCAGGAAAGTGTGACTGGAAGCTACTTGGTTACATCGACATTGTGCAGTGAATATCGTAGCCATGGTATTCGTGTCGAAAGTATTCAATTCTCACCGAATAGGATATGAATATGATAAACCTGCCCTCCAAATCTTACACTCTCTTGAAACTGAAATCTCGAAGCTCACATCCTTCGACCCCTTCAGTTAAATCATAAGTTGATTGAGTCTTCCCAGACCAGGTACTATCCTCTTACCCTAAGTATAAAGCTTATCTCGAATATTATCCTCCCCGCAGCTCTCGCTGGTCCTCTTATTGCCACCACCATCTTCGAGCCAAGAATTTAGTTTACATGCTATAGTTAAATATCAGTTTACTAGAGTATCCATGTTGCAGCTGAAGATGACTGTATGTCCTGGGTGATACAAGATGTGACTCGGATTCATCTTCGTGGAAAGGGATTAGTATATAACTTTTGCTGCTGTTCATAGACTAAAACCAGAGAAGAAGAGAAAGGAAAAGCTCCCCAAAGCGATAAACACGCAATCAATGCGGCCCAGATGACAACTCGAGATTTCCCCTCCCCGCTCTAGCCTCCTATGCCGGAGCCTCTTGTGCCCCATCGAAGTCGCATCAACAATCTTATGACCGGACGGATGGAACGGGTAATTGAGCCCCGGTAGCTTCCGCACGTCCTTGAAGCTCAATCTCATTGACAGCTAAGAGGTCTTTTTCCTCCCAACCCTCACGCTCGTCCTTGACTAGCCTTACGAAACAAACATCTAGAATCAGTGCCACCGCACTGATGGCAACACCAAAGTATAGGGCTGCTCGATATCCCGTGATCTGGCTGTGGAAACGCCGAGCAACTTGGACCTCAATGGTCGACGCAAACCCGAGTCCCAGACTGTTACCGTACAGATTTAGCGTTCCAATAATAGAACCTGCGATACCCTGCTGGTGCCTTCGAACGGAATTACTCGCAATAATCTGGCCCGCCGTATAGACAAAGTCTGGACAGAACGAGAAAAGAACTACAGATGGAAAGATCTGGGCCCAGTACGATTGTTGCAGAGGCACGGTGGCCATCAGGGCATTGGAGACTAGAATTGTGACTGTGCCTATAGCCAGGATCCACTGCGCCGCGAGACGAGGGATTAACCAGGCAGCAAGGGATGCTGCGGCCGTTGCACAGACGACAAACGGGGTCCACCCGACAGCGAAGTGCAGAGGGGACCAATGCCAGACCTCCTGTAGCCAGAGCACCTGGTACCAGATCAGTGTACCCACTGCCATGTAATTTAGGAGGATGACGAGGAGCAGGGTCAGGAAGGATGGTGCTTTGAAGATTTCCAGTGGCATGATTGGTTGCGCAGCGAATCTTTTTTCCCAGACTAGAAAGCTACCGAAGAGTATCAGTGATATGGGGAGGAGGGCAATTTCATAAGGGGTGGACCACCCAACACTGGGTGCCTGACTGTGAGAGTAAATCAGCTCGTCATCCGCATCTTGCCTCGCTCGGGGTTCGCCTACTTCCAAACAAAGTTAAAGAGGATCAGGGAGCTGGTGCCTAAAGCGGAGCCGATCCAATCTATCTTTCCGTGGCGGTCGACCGGTGGTTCGTATGGAGCTAGAGCCCACAGAGCGACGAAGGTCACTGCGCTGAGACAAGCTCTATAATCTGTGAGCATCAAGCGTTTTCTATCTCCCCGATTGCGACGTACATGAACACGAAGAACCACTTCCAGTCCGTGTTTTCAAGGAAGGCGCCCAAGAGTATCGCTCCACAGTAGCCTCCCAATGGTGCCGATGCTGCAAAGAAACCCAAACTCAAGTTTCGGAGGCGTCCCGGCGGGTTCGTGGACGATATCATGGCTACAGCGTTCGGCATAATGAGAGCACCGCCAACACCAGCCAGGGCACGCATCGTGACAAAGGCAAAGAAGTTATTACAAAAGGCCCCAACCAGGACGCACAGACTCAGCCATGCTCCACCGATCAGGAGCAATTTCCGGTGCCCAAATACGTCGCCTAAGCGACCACTCATCAAGACAAAGGTTCCTTGTGTGAGTCTATACGTAATCAGTCACTATGCCCAGCTTGAAGTAGGATGAGGCTCACGCATAACTGGCTCCAATCCAGGAAGCATATGTGCCCCCGACACCCATTGCATTGGTCAACGTACTACCACCAGCTATCCCAGCAAAGTTCACTGTCATCTGGTCCCATCAACTTTATTCCATCTGTGAACAAGGTTGGATTAGGACATACCTGTACGAGGTTCGCCAGAATGAGCAGCACGGTGACCGTTAACCTTCGGGCCTGCGTGGTGCCATGGGAAGGCACACGCTCGAAAATTGGCTGACTAGTTTCTGGCGGCGGGTCGCCATTGAGTGAAACTCGCCGACTCTCTGTCTGCTGTCCCAACTCTTCAGAATAGATATTGGGCGGGGAAGGGAGGGCGGGCGCCGAAACTCGTTTTTCCGGCTGGATCTCGCAATGGAGAGCCTGTATCAGCGACATGACGGCTCGTCAAGATCCTCCTGTCGGTCGATTATTGCAGCAAGAGGATCAATGAGGGTAGGAGATACAAGTGACTGTCTAGTATCCTGGCTACACTTCTGGCGTAAAATACCGGAGATGTCTTCAGGCCAAAGAGAAGTCGGAGGAAAGCAGGGAAATAGACTTCCGATCAACGGTATCGGCGACTCGTCGTTCAATTCCACCTCGCCTATCCTCTCTACGGTCCCTAGCGCACCGATTGGTTTCCTTAGATGATGGGTATTTCTTATAAATCCGAGTCGAATCCGATTGACCCATTAATTCCGCTGTCATAGTGGATGACTCACCGCTGCTCTTGGCTTCTTGATAAACCAGAATCTTTCTACTCAGAAACCCATCCGAAAAGTAGTAGTTGCTTTCCGACTAATTGGAAATTAGCGAGTATAGGTTCTATTTCGAAGATTGAGTATAGCGTGATCGACGAGTGTGTTAAAATTATGTCTTGATTGAAGATCTTCTTCAGCGTACTGTACTTGCAGGCCTAGATCAAGGGACGGTTTGCCCTGCGGTACATCATAACATACACAGCAACTCACATTAGATACAATTAAGAGCCAGGTTTGTTGCTGGTCTTTGGACCACAATCTCCATCCCCGGTCGAATTTCACCTCCTTTCTCGACAACACTCATGACACCAGCCATGTATCCGATCACCACGCCCCGACTATCCTTCACCAAGAAGCGGTCCTTCAGCCCCTGCTTCATAGCATCAAGCTGGGGACCGGGGTTGCGCAAACCAGTCAGCCTCAGAGTTGGTGCGTCCTGCCGGGGTGTTTTGCCGTCTACAAACAGCAACTTTGTATCCTTGGGCAATGAGAGCAGATCAATACCTTGGGTTGTGATGTTCTCGCCCAATTGTCCTGGTTTGAGGGTGATGTCCTTCGCTCCGGTCGCAGGGTCTTTACACACTTTCTGAAGGATCTCAGCGTGCATCAGGTGTACCTGGCGCAGGTTTGCATCGGCCGGCCTGGTATTTCGTAAGGGTCGGTGCTGGACCGTTGGTCCCGCATGGGCGTCGCCTTTGACACCATGATTTGGGATGAGTGTTATACTGGGCACGGCAGTCTTCGAGATAGAATGTGAGCCCGAAAGGGAGACGCTGTTGACAGACATGATCTTGATTTCTTTTTGATTCTGCGAACGCGTGGCTCTAGGTTCGTAGTGAAATGGTAGACCTCTGATCTATCTATCCTAATTCATCTTCTTGCTATATTTTTCCCCCATCAAGATAACAATTATTTATCTACCCATTTACCCCACTCTCTATAATGGTGTGCGGGTGATGGATGGATGCATTGAATCTACCCCGCGGGAGATGAGCTTTGGATTCGTCAATCGCATTGTGCTACTGCAAGTCCACAGACGTGGTGATCGTTCATTTGTCCGACAAACCACCATGGTATGTCATGCGATGTTTTAAGTTCATTGATCATGTTATCACTGTCATATATGGCTCTCTGAGTCTCTGTCACCAGTTGAACTCTAATCAAAATCTGACAGATGCAGCTGCACTAATATGAAATAGAAAGATTGCCTGTGACCATGATTATATATCGCCTTGCAAAAACGAAATAAGTATAATAGCTTTAGTATGTCCTCAGGGTCGGTTAGAGAAAGCGAGGCTCTAGTAGTTGGCATATATGAGTATAGATTACTAGTACACACTGGTTTGCCTGCCGATTTAATTCGCGAGGCTGAGCATGGAAGAGAGAAGAGTATCTGCTCCACTTTTTGGACCCTATTCGTAGAACTCATCGGGCTGAAAATTGTTATCTAATTTTACCCTGCAGCCCCAAACTGTTTCTATGCATCTTAAGCATAGTTCAAATCACTGCAACGTGACTTTGAAGTAGGTATTCGTCGACCCAAGCAAGTACACCGTCGGCTGGATCTGCGCGATCACTACAGAATACGTCGCTTCCCAGGCATTTCTTGACGAAAAGCACGAAAACCTAGCATGGTTGTCCCCACAAGATAAGAATGACTACACATTAGGCCGAATCGCGAACCATAACGTGGTTATCGCTGTACTACCAATCGGCGAATATGGCACCTCATCAGCAGGGCAGAAATCATGCCGCACAGCTTTCCGAACGTGCGAATTGGCTTGATGGTCGGCATCGTTGGGGGTGCGCCAAGTGCAGACCATTATATTCGACTTGGGGACGTTGTCGTCAGTACCCCTTCGAATAGCCATGGGGGTGTATTTCAATATGACTGCGGCAAGACCATCTAAGGTCAAACGTTTTGTCCGACAGGCTATCTAGACCAGCCGCCCACAGTTCTGCGCACAGCTGTCAATGGGCTTCAGGCGCGATATGAAATCGAAGGTCATCATTTAGCAGATGATATTGATCACGTCCTGGAAGGAAACCCCAGATTGCGGGGGAAATACGGATGACCGGGTCCCGCCAGTGATCGGCTGTACCAAAGCCATATTGTTCATCCTCCAAACAACAAATTTAATTGTACTATAAGTTGTGGGGATGAGCCCTCTATCCTCGTGCTGCGGAACTCTCGTACAGAAGATGAAGACCATCTGATGGTTCATTATGGGTTGACCGCTTCCGCGAATCAGTTAATAAAAGATGCCTACATTAGAGATAAGCTGATCATAGAGAAGGATATTCTGTGTTTCGAAATAGAGGCAGCGGGGCTGATAAATCACTTTCCCTGCCTAATTATTCGTGGTATTTGTGACTATTCAGACTCCCATAAAAATAAGGCATGGCAAGGGTATGCGACAATAGCAGCGGCTGCTTACACGAAAGACCTATTGTGTCGGATCTCTCCTCAACATGTGCAGGCAGAACAGAAGATCATGGTGATTCTCTCTACTGGTGAGCTTAACAAGCCTCTTTTTACTGATCAACCATACTAATCATTCTTCAGTGCAAACGATCCATGAGACCACCCAAGATATCGATCGTGGGGTCAAAAGGCTACGCCAGCTCGGTGATGACCAAGAGTACCAAGCTGTTGTTGATTGGCTTACACCGGTGAATTACACTCTCTAACAGAATGATTTTATTGCCCAGCGGCAGGAGGGAACTGGGGAGTGGTTTCTGAATTCAACTGAATTCAAGCAATGGCTAAGCCAAAGCAAACAGACCCTATTCTGTCCCGGTATACCTGGAGCAGGTAAAACTATGATCACTGCAACTACTATCGATTATCTTTACCGTGAATACCGGAATAAGCCTATGACTAGCATCACCTATATCTTTGCAATCTCCGACAGCAGCACGAACAGCGGTACACCGACCTTCTTCGAAGCCTGTTGAAGCAGTCTGTTCAATGACAGCCATTTATTCCCAATGCTGTGAGAATACTGTACGATGAATGCAGGCGAGGAGAAAATTGACCGACTCACGAAGGAATTCTAAGCACCCTGTACAGTGTCGCTGGTTCTTACTCAAAAGTTTTCATCGTCATCGACGCGCTGGACGAATGTCAGGTCTCCAATGAAGATCGGGCAAGATTTCTCCACTACTGTGGGCGGCCATTCAGGGCCACGAAGCAGCAGTAAAGCTACTTCTAGAAAATGGTGCAAACGTCAATTCAGCAGATACATGGGGCATGACATCGCTATCCCGGGCAGCAAATGGGGGCCATGAGGCTGTGGTTAAGCTCCTGCTGGAATGGAATGCTGGTACCGAGGAAAAGTCTCGTAAGGGTGATACACCTCTTATTATGGCCGCTGACAACGGCCATGAGGCAGTGGTACGAGCTCTACTAGGCAGGAATGCTAGTGTTGAAGCAAAGAACAATTCCGCTTACACTGCGCTTCTATTGGCAGTTCAAAATGGGTATAAGGCGGTTGCCAGTCTCCTGCTGGAGAAGGGCGCCAATACTTAAATCAAGTGGTATCTTGGCAGAACTCCATTACTCATAGCCGTTGAAAATCGGAATGACGCAATGGTAAGGCTGTTGCTGAAGAGGAACCCCAATATAGAGGCAAGAGATTCGGAAGGCCTGACTGCGCTCTCATTAGCCTCTTGGAGCTGTGATGAGGCGGTGGTAAAACGTCTGCTGAAGAGGAATGCCAATATAAAGTCGAAGTGCGATAGGGGCTTTACTGCGTCTTATTTAGCAGCTCACGGTGGTCATAAAGCTGTGGCAGATCTTCTCAAAGAGGCAGGAGCATCATAGGTTGTTTTACGATTGTATGCAATTATATAGGACAAAACATGAATCCCCCGACCATATTTCAATGAGATATGCGCCATCCAGCATAGCCTATAATTCCAAGTGCAGTCACAGCCAGCGCTCCCACTTTCAATGCAGCTCGTTGGACTCTGGGCTTCAGGGTGTCTTCTAACAGTTTTTGAAACTTTTCAGGCTCGTTTCCCCGTGGATATTTCTCATCAGGGATTGGTAGGTCCAAGAACGGACAGATCTGCTCCCAGCCGAGACCCTCCTCGAGTTTAATCAACAAAAGCCTCTCCCTGGGGAGTGTGCTTTTCGCGAATTTAATACTATTGTTGTCAGGTTATATGGATCTTAAAGCTTAATCTTCACATATAGATGAGGAGGGGGGTATAGCATTGTCACTTACTATTCAACATAGTTTCTACGCAGCGCGGCCTCATTGTTCGGGTCCCCGGGATTTGTTCCGTCAGATATAGCCCAGAACATGACTTGATTAAGACGGAAGAAGCTTTTGAGGATGATATCGAAGTGTTTCAAGATATTCATGGGGAACGAAGTTGCCATTCTCACTACATTGGCGACGGTGTTGTTCATTGATGTCACCCATTTGTCCGGGTCACGGTGTGTTAGAATGAACTTGACATCCGGGTCTTCGGCATATACTTCCAGAGCCTGTGCGCCCAAATAGCTGGGAAGCTCAATGAAGCACTGCTACCTGATTAGCTATCATCTGCTAAGACCATCCACAAACGAAGGTTTGTAGCCCACATACGTCATATTGACTCAGCCACTTGTCGAATTCAGCCCTTTCGTATCGTTTGATACCTGAGAAGCGATTATGCTGTGCAATCACGGCTTCCTCTAGTATCTTCATATGCAGTGGGCCACTAAAACAAGCCTCGGTCATGTGGTACGGACTGAAACCTAATATCCTCATGGCGGCGAGGAGGCCTAAAGTACCCGATCTATAGCTAATCAGACATCCTGTGGTAGTATACTTGTACCGTAGTTGGATATAACTAGAGGTACAGAACGACTGGGAAGATTGTTCCTCACCTGCTGCAGCTGGCGATAATGACTTTCATCTTCTTTTTGTTAGCTGGTTGAGCCAGCCTGTCAATTTGGCGAGACATTTTGAATATCGTGTGCTATCCGGATATGAGTACGAAAACAACTGAATTCTGGGGCCCTGACTCTCATTTATAGGTAGAGAACGAGGATCGAGCACTGCCTGTTCATGAGAGATCCACCTTGGCAAAGCCTACCCAATCGAAGTTTTACCGTCGATGCTGTGTATTGCCTGGCCAAATGCACGGACCGCATTATCCAATATAGGTCCATTGATAGGGAATATTTCATGCTAGCTCTACTGCGGCTAGCCAGCCTTATGCTAGCTTCTTTTCAGTAGACCCTTCTTTAAACAACATGTAAGCACTAGCACTTTCTAGCCTACGGGTGTAGAACAGGTAGTACATACACCTTTCTAACTCCTGTAATTACAATGGCTTTACGGCTTTGCCGTTATGCTATCGGTACAATGCAGTATCCTCGCAGTATATGAAAAGTGTGCCATAATTGGACAGCTTGATTTAGTGTATATTCTAGAAGAAGCAACTGGCACACATGTATTGATAGATGAGATGGTCTTTGCCGGCTTGTCTGGACTTGGGGGCCAAATGTGACGGTGTGCGCTAGGACCTAGCTAAGAGACGACACGGCGAATGACAGTCAGTAGAGCATTTAAATAGAACCCCACCTCAGCACAAGTCTTATCCTTCTCTGTATTCCCCACTTTCCCATCGGTGTCAATACCTAATAAATTGATTGTAGAACTAAGAGCATTGCGCCCTGTTCAATAGAACCACATACTCTCATAACAAGTGGGTTCCATAAACTGACATTAAGTACCTCCCAATAGCCTACGAGAGGTTACAGGTAAACATATTTTCTACTGGCAACATAGTCCATCTCTCCGTCTCTTGGCATGTACATGTCGGAACTTAAAAGTCACGTACACCGATGAGTTCAAGGAGAGATTTGTACCTCGAATAGGATACTAACCATCAAGACAATCCTGGCAGAATGTCTGGGCTTTATCTTTCATTTCACTGGATGATCCATTTCCTGGTAATAGCAACTTGCTTTTGGCACGTGCAATGTCGTGCCCTGGATATACCTACGTCAGACTCCACCTGCCAAGTCACTATTTTACACTTTAAACTTTAGAAAGCTTGGCCTATTTCTTGATTTCTCATTTTGGTTACTCTGCACATTGCCCTATATATGACGTGGGGTGTCACAGCACACCGATGTAGAGGATTCGAAATTCACAGCAAGATACTCAGGGCAGCTGGCGAGCAGGATTATATATATATTCTTTGAGGTAGTCAATATACTTCAGTGATGCATACTACACTATGGCAAATGCACTCATTGTTGTTCTAGTACACTTCATCAAGATTTTGAAGCTAATCCATTAGATGAATATTCTAGTCATTTTCTCTATATTTAAGCTTTCATCTTGCCTTTCTCGTTCATTCCTACTGACGTCTGTTATGCTGCATGCACAAACGCGACTCAGAACCAATGTTCATATATGACAAGAATAACTATGGCTCGGGGAAAGGTTGATAGAAGAAACCCGTCTTGTCTCTGAATCCTTCCGTTCGCCACGCTTTGTGAAATTTTTTACAAACTATTCGATTCCCGACATAGCCATAGAATACAAGTATAGGGGCCTGGCCCATCCTGCTGTTCCGTTAAGTTTTCCAGATATCAGCATATGACGAGGTGGCATGGTTTTTGGGTGGTAACTCTAAGAACAATCCAGTTAGCTCCGTGGGCATCCCATCCGTTTATAAAGGTAGTTGTCCAGGACCCTTGGACTCCCCACAGACCGTGGGGGTTCCAATTCCGTGGGGGAAGCCGAGGGCCATTCGTCCGAAGTGCGGGTTATGCTTTTGCGGGGATCGTATCGGATCCACTCAAGCTTCCAATTTGAGTAATTGGTTGGATAACGGCAAAAGATCCCAGAATCAAGTTCTCCATATTACGCTAAACTTATCTTGTAACGAATCTGGGGTTGAGTAAGGGCGTGGGGGTGCTCAACGCTGGCCACCTGCGGGGAATATGCCATATATAAACGGCGATAGGAAAACTCATCCCCAACTTCTACCTTGTCACCCAAGGCTGTTGTGAAGGCCATCTTGTTTTATTATAGCTCCCTACTATATCACCAACCATGGATCCAAAGCCGCAAGGGTCTCACCATGAAGATCCGGTCAAACCCGCGAACATGGACCACATCAACGTCGTGCGGGTTCCCCTGACCGAAGAAGATAGCAAGCGGATTCGAAATAAGACCGATAGGACCATTCTGATAATCCTGATGTGGGGTTACTTCCTGCAAATTCTCGACAAGACGGTTCTGGGATATGGTGCCACGTTCGGCCTAAAGGAGGACGCGCACCTCTCCGGCAATGAGTATTCCTTGGTCGGTTCTATCGCTCCAATCGCCCAGCTGGCCTGGCAGCCATTCTCCTCATTCTTGATTGTCAAAGTACCACACAGGATTCTGCTTCCTGCTCTGGTCGCCGGATGGGGCGTGGCACAGGCGGCAATGGCCGCTTGCCACAACTTCGGCGGGTTAATGGCCACCCGGTTCTTTCTTGGTCTCTTCGAGGCAGGCTGTCTACCTCTGTTCAGTATCATCACTGCTCAGTGGTACCGTCGTGCGGAGCAGCCACTGCGAGTGGCGGCTTGGTACAGCACCAATGGTCTTGCGACTATCATTGCTGCGGCCCTCAGTTATGGGCTGGGACATATCCAGTCTGGTGTGCTTAAAGAATGGCAGATGTAAGTTTTTTATGCCTCGCTTCGATCAGAGGTCTCCATAATATCGACCCAAGACATTAACTGACCTTTGTCACCAATAGCATCTTTCTCGTGGTCGGCCTTATTACCATTATCTCATCGCCGTTCCTCTATTGGAAGCTCGACAACGATATTGCTTCAGCCCGATTCCTAAACGACCAGGAAAAGCTTCAGGCCATGGAGCGCCTCCGAGCCAACCAAACCGGAGCCGGAAGCCGAGAATTCAAGATGCATCACGTTATAGAGGCCGGACTAGAGCCGAAAACATACATCTGGGTGGGAATGGCATTTTTACTCAACGTTGGCGCGTCGGTGACGAATGTCTTCGGTCCTCTGATCCTATCAGGGCTCGGCTTTGATAAGTTCAAGACAACATTACTCAACATGCCCTTCGGTGCCCTTCAATTCATCATCATTCTCCTTGCCAGTTATCTCGCACAAAAAGCCCGCCTCAAGGCCGTCGTTCTCGCTTCCTTCATGCTGCCTGTCGTGGCAGGTCTTGCGGTCTTGTACGCTCTCCCACGGGATGACTCCGTCCAAGGTGCACTAATGGCCGGATACTATCTGCTTTCGTTCTTGTTCGGTGGCAACCCTCTCATCGTCTCGTGGATTGTGGCAAACACTGCAGGACAAACGAAGAAGTCCATCGTCATGAGTCTGTACAATGCCGCTTCTTCGGCGGGAAACATTGTTGGACCGCTCCTGTTCAATGAGAATGATGCCCCCGCATATCAACCTGGACTCCGGGCCTGTCTGGGTATCTTTGTAGCCATGGCTGCTATTGTGTTGATTCAATGGGCCAATCTGTATGTGCTCAACAAAATGCAGGAGCGTCGGCGTGTGGCGAATGGGAAGCCAGCCAAGATTGTCGATCGGTCCATGGAGAATAATTATCAGGTTACCGAGGAGGATGCTGAAGTTGAGGCTGTTGAGACAGATAACCAAGTGGGCAATAGTGCTTTCCTTGATTTGACGGATCGGGAGAACGATGAGTTTGTGTATATTTATTAGAAGTAATCTCTCTGGAATATGAGTTATGATGAGTTATGAAACCTTACATGCATTGGGCGTTTACCTGGACACAATATATGATTGTAGCTACGTACAGCCTCTGTATGGGCCCGAATTGGCACCCCACAGTCTTTTTCGAAATTCAAAAGACACCCTATATTGGGCGGGTAAATATACTGCTTTTGTGGACAACGCAAGTATCTCCATCAGGACCCATATCCTAGACATAGGGTTGAGCCAACCAATTGAACACAGCTCATACCCCGAACAATTCCCACGAGTATAACCACCAGGGGACACGACCGTATCGCGCGCCCTAGGCCGTGAGGTCTCAAAGACCTCAAAGGCCAATGCACCTCAACAAAAAAAGTCAATAGCCTGGTGAGTACCAATTGTGACAGGGAATCTCACCGCTACACGTCTGTGTCACGGAGCGATTGCAATCTGGCCAGCTCACGGAAACCGAGTTCTTAACTTGCACCCACTCACTGATCATCAAGGCGGGCTGAACACGGGCTCCGGCGTCAATTGCATGATTTCTCCCTATAGCTGAAAGAACTATGCATTACACTTGCGTCCTCAAAAGGATACTCAATATGATTTGAGAAAACACATAAATAAGGGCCAATTGTCTGCTGCAATTGAGATATCTGCGCTAGCAACAATTCCCAATTCCCCATACCCCATACAAAACCAGTCCCGTGACCCCGAGCCCCACCACCTGAACTTAACATTCAATGTCAATCCCACTCGACCAAAATGCCATGGACATCAAGGTCGGGCCTTGAACGCTTGATTCCTCAACATTAAATAGATTCAATTGAACGTGTGCTATAATCACCCCGCACAGGTCATCATTACTATCCATTCAGAAAGCAATGGAGAAACCCGAATTGGTAAAAGAGCTGCAGCGCGATCTTGCGCGCAAATATCAGCTCCACGGACCAAAGATCGAGGGAATATGGCATTCCCTGGGCAAGGGACAACGAGAGAGGGTCATGAGAGCCGGTGCCGCCGAAGGCCAAATGCTAAAGTCGCCTATCGATAGATCTTTAGGCGATGTTTTCAAGTTCATCCCTGACTGGAATCTGCGAGACATCGCCAATCCGGATTCTGACTATCTGCTCGATTGCCTGAAACATCGCGCGACGAAGTCTTTATCTGAGCAGTACATCGAGAGTGTCGACGGTGGCCCCGGTGATGCAGCGGTCATATTAAGGGGCATGCAGGTCCATGGTCTTAAACATGTTGATCCGTTTCGCTATAGCTTCACGTTGTTCATGGACGAAGAACGATATGGTCAGTCCTTCACAGTCTCTGACCAGGAGAAGTACAAAGAAACAATGGCTGCGTTGAAAGTTGGGGTGGATGCTGGATTGATTGTGCCTCAGTCGACGGGCGAACTTATCTTGGAAAGACAGTCTATCCTATTAACGTCCATGAACATCGTAATCCAGGACATCCTTGAAGCGGGTTCTACCGTTGAGGCGAAAGGGCGCTCCAAAAAGTCAGAGAAGGCTGCGCGGGAGGCTATGTCCAAACTTACAATTGACCAGAAGCCAGAAAAGCTCTCCTTGGAAGACCTAGCTGCTCTTTCTCTTGACCAGAAGTCAGCTCTGGAGGACTATGTACTTCTTTGTCGGACTGAGCCGGAGTTCCTTGCTCATGCTGTCAACGCTTGGTTCTTCAGTCGACCCGAGCTGGTCGCGGACGAGAAAGGCCGAAGATTGCCCTTGATTACAGATAAATATATTAACATCGCATTTTTCGAGATGATTCACAATGCCGTGGTTGGTGCTGCAGTCTGGGGGTATATCCATCAACTTCTCCAGGCTCTGGTAACCGGACCCAACGACCGGACCTACAAAAGTGCCTTTCTCCAGGAGCTGGCAAACGTTTGTCATTTCGAGTACCAGCGAGGTCAGCGGCTTTTTAAGCGCCACGTACAAATGGCTTCTGGAGATAAACATTTCAAGCGCGTCTCTGGCGTATATGATAATGACACCGCGCGGGTAACAATGAAAACCAAGCCGGACACCCTTACCAGAACCGATCCGCAACTCCATTATATACTTCGCCTCTGCCAGACAGACACAAATGTCTCCAATGCAGTCGAATGGGTTCGAAAGTTAGATGACTTCCACCAAACACATCCTGCTGAGCAGGACAAGATGGGGAGAGCGAATTTGACGCTTTCGGGGATCTTGCTGTGACAATCAATTTCGTCCAGTGTCTCTCGACGTCCCTTCCCATGCCACCAATGAATCCGAAGAAGGGACAAACTTATATCTCTCGGCTAAAGGCACTGGGGTCCGAGCTTGACCCGTTAAAGTCCGAGGTTGACTTGTCAGCTTTTGCAGTGCCCATCGATAATCTCATGGAGCCGGGAATGGCTCAAGGTGCGCTGACCACGCTTGATGAGTTCATTTCCAACAAAACAGGCGCAGATATTGGATTCCTCTATCAGGATTTGAACGACGAATGCTTGTCAGACATGCAGAACAAAGCTCAACAGCAGAAAGAGAAGAACGAACAGATAAAACGGGATGAGCTGGTTTCGTCAATTCCTGGAGCGCCCAGCCGGGAAATTCAAATTGAACAGCGCAAGGAAAAGACAAAGACACGCCCGCCACATTCATCCGTGTATAGTATTGCTCCAACAGCAACTCCCACGACGGAAGCAGAACCTGCAGCGCCCTCCCAAGTATTCAAAGTAAAGCCATCCTCCTTAGAGGTATTCTCGACCCTTTTTTCCAACCCGAGACCACGGAACTCAATCACCTGGGCTGCGTTCCAAGCCGCCATGGCGCACATGAAATTCTCTGTTGTGTCAAAGACTGGGTCGATTTATATCTTCTCTCCTCCTGAAGGTTTCAATGTTCAAAAGCCTATCACACTCCACCGACCACATCAGTCCCGGATCGAGGGTTGGAGGCTTCTTTACCTTGCAAGTCGTCTCAAGAGAAAATATGGATGGGATGAAAAGTCATTCGAGATAGAATAAGGTAGCTATGACTTGCTCTGTTGGGCTAACGCGGTCGTCAGCAAAGCTGCGTAGTGATAGTTCGGGTACACCACGCCTAATCTCCAGATATTTGACCCAAATAAGTCACATCTAGCTCTAAATACCTTCGCGACATAGCATGCGAAAAGATATTTGCCGCAATGAATGATACATGTTGACAAACGTAGACTTGTATAATTTAAGAACACCAACACATTCACCACAATATTTAGTACGAGACCAGGTAACCATTCGCCTATTTTGGATACGACTTCATCGCTCCCGATTCTTCAAATGCATTACCATTTTCAGGGAACCTTGTCCACCTTTGCCCCAATGACAGATGTCGACTGATTACACAAAACACACGAAGAGACATGATATCGTGGAAGTATTTATATTATTTACTATGGTCCATATGTCCAATACCAGCCTAGACTATATCCACATGCAAGTAATGACGTCAAGTCATCGAGTCCCCAAGCCTCCAACTAAACAGAACGCACCAGCCTAGTTGAGATTCTTAACCCAGAGAGTGACCTTGGGAATAGAGGAGTCATTTCCAAGGAAGTAGACCTGCTTCTTGTCCGCAGAAAGACCGAAGGAATTCTGGCCCTGGAATGTGAGGTAGCCGTCTTCGGTGATGCCCCAGGCGTTGAGCACAGCGCCTGTGGGGGTGGCACCGGAGTGAGGGATGGTCAGGCCAAGAGGCTCAGACTTGCCCTCGATGGCAAAGAGGTTCTGCCAGGCAGTGGGGGGAAGGCCTTCTTGAGTGAAGGTGATGGCACCGCCGGCGCTTTGGACTGTATGTTGTTAGGTTGGTTCAGGCAGTGTTAGGTAAAGTGCGTGAGACATACGGCGCAGGATCTCCAGAGTGTTGGCCTGGGAAGCGTCGACGATGGCGTGGGCTGCTGGACGTTAGTTACGTTTTCTGATGAAGGGTTGGGGTAGGGGTGGTACGTACTGTTGTCAGTGAGGACGGTGTTGCCGCCGTCAGCGACAAGCGTGAAAGACTTGGGGAGAGTGGCTGCGAGAGCAGCGGTGAAGAAAGTAGAAGCGGCGGCGAGAGTGAACTTCATGGTGGCGGTTTAGGAGTAGCTTATTTGTTTATTTCGTGGGTTGATGTACTTGAGTGATGGTTGAGGTTGTGGTTGATGATTTTGGTCGAACTTTGGGGGAATTGGAGGGTTTTTATGTTCGAAAGCCAAATAAATGTGGCAATGGGATGCTCAGATGTACTATTTACGAGCTCGTGAGGCTGGAGCGTTACGCTATTGGGGAGGATTATATTGGTGCATCGATCTCTGATGCAATGGCTTCGGTGGTTGGTGTGGAGAATGTCTCACTTCGTTATTCTTGGAGTCGGCTCTCGGACAACCTTTGTATTTCTATTAGCCGAGTGTTGCTTGCATGGTACTCGCATGAGTGATCTAATCTTAGCATCCGATACTGCGACTTGAACGGAATTGGTGGAAGTTTCCAAACAAGCTAACATCTTGTAGAGAAACAATCACAGCCCCGTCGGATCCAGGATGATATCATATCATTATCAACTCTTCTCCCACACTCACACACGACGCTGGAGAGACCCTTTGGAGCAGCCCCATGTCGGTTAGAAAATTACGCGATGATCGGCACAGCTTTTCATCATTCTAAGCTTCCCCATCTTCGCTAGTCAATGAGCTAGTCTCACAACCCCGATGGGTTGGCCCCACAGGTGTCTCTCACGGAGAAGGAAACTCCCGCCTCATCGCCACAAAATCCGGGTGGCTAAATTAGTCTCAATTCAACATGCATGATGACTTTCGATATTCTATGATACGTGAATGACCGATGAGAACCATGATACAATCAATCACGCCATTGCCTTGCACAGGCACCAAGAAATAGTTCAGAGAAGATTGTATGGCGAATAAACTGGCTCAAAAACGCGATCTAAGACCTAAAATTAGGGGATAGCGATCGGCGTCTTCATTGGCACTATTGACATTGCATTGACTACGACCACCTCCCTTCCCTTGCTCAGCGGTTCCAATCGTCCGGAACTCCGCTTTCGAAAGTTGCTTCAAGGGTTTTTTTTTGGAAATACCGTTAGAAATCAGGTGATATCCATTGCCCTTTGAAACACGTGCCGGTTATGACCTATCATCTTAACGTGTCCTTTTCTGGAAGAGCAGTCCAATTTGGGCCGTTTGGCGCGATCAATAAAAGCACTACCTTACAGAGTGCAGTGCTCGGTTTTTACCCATAAAAAAATTATCTTCGGCTTACAATCTCTCTTCGGGGTCTTTTAGGCGACATCTAAGAAGTACCACCTTTGTGTAGTAGGCTCAACACCCAATAGCAGCTAGGTAAAGAGATAGATAGGGACATTTCGGCGTTGTATTCCTCTTATTTGGGACGCTGGCTAGTTAGACTAGGTATATACTAATATCACGGACGGGATGCTTGATCTGTATTTTTAAGGTGAAACCGGTATCGGAAGGAATAGGGAAAGAAAAAGAATAAAGGGATTTGAGACTAACAACGATAATCTCAGATCTCCCGAGCCGGAAATACACCAGAATGAAGCCCACACTTCTGGAAACTTCACACGTGATGTCGACCAAATTCAATTGGTGAGTATTCTGAAAAAGTGGAGTCGTCCGCTCAATCTCTCCCCAACGTTCACCATCTTATCTTCTCACCAGAGTTATTCCCTCAGCTGGCCAGCTACCCCGCTGCGGTTGCTCTACTCGGGAGGACTTCCAACGTGTCCACTTGGTGATGGGTTATTCAGGGAAGCCATCGTCGGCTTGCGGTCCCTGTCGTGCGAGACGGGCCAAGGTATGGATGACCTATGGCTCTACCTCCTCACCGTACTACGTAAGACAACGAATAGCTGAAAAGGTCAGAATAGTGCGATAGAAAACACCCACACTGTACACAATGCGCTCGCAAGTGTATCCCCTGTTCAGGGTATAGAGATCTCAGTGGCCTGGTAATACGGGATGAAACCCAAACCGTGGCTCAAAAAGCCCGGAGACGGCCAAGGACAGGGCCACAGTATAGCTCGCCAGCGTTGATCGGCCCCAATGGTTCCGGGTTGAGGATACGCCATACTCCAGAATACAACTCTTTTAACAATAACGAAAGCTGCATATCAACTGCAGAATTTGTCTCAGTTCCCAGATCCTTAGCCCAGCCACTCGAAGAGGTGGCAAATGCGTTCTTTGTAAACATCTATTTGCCTACCTCAAGGTTTTCTTTCCTACTTGATCACTACTATACCTTTATTAATGCCCAGCCCATACCTCCCGCTATTCAGGCGGTAGCCTTTGCCTACCTACACGTCGAACGTCCGTCCCAAGCGGTAAATCGAGCGGCACACAGGTCCTATTGCACTGCCATTGCTGAAACCAATTCTGCATTATCCAATCCATCGATGGCAAGACTAGATTCAACATTGATCTCAGTTCTCCTTCTGGGCCTTTTCGAATCCCTTATTTTCCGCGATCGCTACTCCGTCTCTTCGTGGGCAGCTCATTCACATGGCGCATGGGCCTTGCTCCGCTTACGGGGATGCCGTCAATTGAACAGCCCAGAAGGACGATCTCTCTTGTCCCATATCTCCACAAATATCCGATCAATATGTTTACTAGGATCCAAGCCAGTGCCATGCGACTTGTTGCGGCTGGAATCTGACAATTGCTTCCCCGAGAGGGATTCGAACCGGGCATTTCATATCAATGACATTCTGATGAACCAGCTACCCCAAATGCTTTCTGCCATGCGGAAGCCAATTACATCAACCACTGCGTGTCTGGGGCTGATCAAAGACGTAAAAGAATTTGAGGAGCAATTGGTTCAGATCTGCCCTGGCCTAGAAAGCTGTATCAGTAGCTACCAGAACGGCTTCACACGCGGGACAAGCAACAGGAAGGCCATCAAAACATGGCTAATTGTACAGATGCTACGGTGGTCCCTAAGCAAAACGCTTAGAATGAAACTGCTCTCGCTCGTTGCCAAGAGTGATACCTTCGGCATTGATGTATCTTATTTTACGCAAGAGTTGGAAATAATACACAAAAAGGTCAAGGATATTACCTCAGACGTCTTAAAGGCCGTGCCACAACTGTTAAATCCTTCTATGGAAGGCGCAGCTATGAGTGGGCGCTATACTCTCTGGCTTCTGGCTGAACTAGCAAATGCCGAGTCTTGCCCGGAAGCCAGGCGCACATATATTCTGCATCAGTTAAGAAATCTTAAGGTGAGATACAATCTACAGCCCGCGGAGGAAGCGGCAAAAATGTCAGAAAGAACAATCTCTTTAGAAAGATGGTCAGTCTGTTTATACCCACATGTGATGATTTTGCAGAAGATCACGGCTTACCTGACATGGTGTAATTGCACAACTAGGCTCCTTCTTTGTCTCTTATCCTGACACGTACGCATCTATATAACCTATTTTCTAATCTAAGTTAAGCAATGCTTCACCGAATATTATTTGGGATATCAGCAGATGGGTGCAGATATTGCCTACGACAACTCGTTTCTACACCCGATAATTCCCATGTGACGTCGGTGTTCTATGTCGACACTGTAAGATACGAGCAACTCAACCTCTGTTTCGAGTTATAAGCGACGCATCAGGCCTCGCAAAATCACTATTCCTGTCTCTTGCGACCACCACGCCGTAGGCGGACTCTAACTATATGCCAGGGCTAGAGCTACAAACAATAGTTTCCGCAACATTATTGCACGCCTTGGTAACTAAGATCCTCTAAATGGCGTCTCTTCCTCCACAGATCACAGTGGGGAAGCGCCCTGCACATCCTTGAGCGGGTTTAGGTACCAGCCATAACTAGCATACATGACAACGATTATGATCTCCTCTATCACCGCCATGCAGACCTTGGCTGATATCGATCCCTTCACAAGATTGAACACAGAACTATTGGCCAACACCGATGATGCTGAATATACAATCCGTATCAGAAGTAAGGGTGACGCGATTCCGACAACGACGACGGCTAGGCGCTCCCGCCTGGGGATATTTTGACAGTGGCGTAACTTGCCCCAGGAGAGAGCGAGAAGCAGAACGCACCCGGCTAAAGCAGCAAGGTACAAGCAAACCCCAACACGGGACGTGGATTTTGGGTGGTTAGGATCGGACGAGGAGGCACTCCCGACAATGCTGAGGATGACGGCCACCGACACGACGATATGTGTCAGACGGGAGAGTTTCGGCTCGAGGGTAACTTCTATTTCCTTTCGAATTAAGTTCGTACTTCACGGGTATGTCAGTGTTGTCCTTTTTCCCTTTTTGGGTGGTTCGTCGCAGGGCGGGGCAGGCAAGGAAAAGGGTTTCCAATCTCTTACAGTCTTGATAGCAATCCCAAAGTGGCAAGCATCAGTGGTGATATGCCAATCGAGTCAAGAACAACGACCGCGATTATGAGATCTTTCGATGGATGGCTGCGTGCGCATAGTTCACAGATGGAGCCGACAATACGAAGGAGACAAAATATCAGAATTAGGACCCAGCCTGCGGAACGACGAAAGCCATGCCTCCAACAGGCGATCCATATGATCACCAGGAAAGGGACGTAGACGATAAGTTGCAGAATTGATATGCCATCTCTCCCGGTCAAATGCATTGTGTGGTATTCGGTTTTCCTCGAGTGCAGTTTAATGATGATGGGAGCAGCAAGAAATAGGAATTTGATCAATGACGAAATCCAGGATCTGCGGTTATATACGACATCCCTTTCTCAGCTACCTACTACGCCTGTTTTACCGGAGACTGCAAAGAAAACCGTGTGCTAGCCAGTACCGATGTTCCAGAGTTTTCTAATTGATTGCCAGTTTTGGCAAGTGTTTCGAAACTTAGCGTTCATCCCCCTTATTAGACCCATAATTCTACCACTGATGTGTTCTGAATGTTCCTGGGAACATGGAACCCACCAAGGCTTGACTGACTGAACCTTTCGTAAATCCCAAGCCATATGGATTAGGGCGCTAGAACGCTATACTTAATGAGGTAGGTGACTCGAAAATTAGCGTGGATATGAAAGAGCTCTTAGTTATGGTTGGCTATGTTGACTAGGTGGGCCATCGGAGCTTCAGATCCACTCGGACACCGCCTGAGATTGCTTTACTGCGTGGTAGGGTATGAAAAGATATTAGCTCTGCTATGTACAGCCACAAAATTCCAGTTAGATGCTAATACGAACAAGCTCATGGGTCGGCAGTGCACACTTATTCCGGAGTATGTAAGCTCTAAACGTTGTTACACTGCATTAAGGAACGACCTCGATCTGCCGCCTTACTCAACAGAATTGTACAGCCCACAGGCCGGTCGCGTGTATGAAATATGTACAAGTAGCATCCAGAGGGGCTGGAACAGCCTATTCTATCCGCTGTGTGATTAGGTTCTTTCCTTGTACCATGCACTGGGTGATTACCGCTGTCACATATTTGCCTTCTTGTCTAGGTACCATTCAATCTAGACTGGTGTGAAATCCGAGATGCTACGGTTTCTGCATAACTCTCATCGCTATAAAATGCACGTAAAGTTCCTCATGAAGAAAATCGTACTGTTAGTATGCGGATGATGATATGATACTAAGACGGTCGAAAGCAGAGACAAACTGCTCGATCCGGCATTCGTAGACAGCGAGCTATCTTTCAACGCTGAAGATTTTCCGGGCATGAATTGTATGATACCGATCCCTCCAGCAGGCTTTTATATCATGGACAAAGTAATCATGCCCGAACATGAACCATTTGCCCTGCTCTTGATTAGATAACGGAGAGTGGTAAATCATGAGATTATCATGCTGTTATAGAAGCAATTGTCTCAGTCCTCCACAATTCTAATTTACACCTGATTTCTTATATTTAGACCGTGTAGCGTTCAACTAACCCCTCTAGTGTGATCCTTCGTGCATCGCGCTGTCAAGAGTTGATTTGCCGAATTGACTCGGAAGTAATATGGATATATGACGTCATTTCGCATCGATGCCGCTCCATGGAGCTATGTTCGTTATTTCAAGCTTGTAATCAAGCAACATGACATGTTTAGCGAATGTATTGGCCGATTAGCTCTGGCGTTTTCATCATTTGGGCTGATACTACATCTTTACCAGTCTACTGTGAGGTGACTCGTTAGGGCTAGTTCAGGCACCCTGCCGTTTCCTTAGCTCAAAACAAAGCCCTGTCTCTCTTCTTGTCCAACAACCCCATAATGTGTCTTTCTGACCTGTCATTCTTGGTACTTATTTATAGTCATTGTATGTTTTGTCTTGTAACTCAGATTCTCAATAAGCCATACAGATATTGATTGAGTCTTTCTCAAATGACCATAACCGAAGAGACCCACACGAACAACGTTGCGAATCTACACAGCATAATATTTAAACCTCAACAGCTGGAAGGGATCTGACCGCCAGTTTACATCGAAGGGACAGAGAGAGAGAGGGAAACTCCTTCAGAATAAGATGATATTATTATTAGCATCAGGCCCTACATACAATATGCATGTTTTTCATGGGGTTAACCAAACATGGGTCAAGATTGGGCGATCTCGGCAGTGTCGGGGATTTTCAACCGTTGGTTACCTCGGATTCTGAGTCCTTCAGGCCAACCACAATCGTGGCTTCGCTCGCCGCTCTGAGACTTGCAGAGACTTAACGAATCACCTTCGTCTAGTCGGTGTGCCCCCTAACATAGGCCTGCATCCCATCTCTCCAGAGTATAAAACCCCTTTCTGCCTCCCTCGACTTCAATCAACATCAATCGACATCAAGAAGAAAGGCCAAAACTAGAATCGCGAGCATCAGCTTAACACCCTTCATTTTCAGTATAATTAGATATCATTGAGTCATATCTTGAACAACATGAAGGCCCCTTACTTTATCGCTGTCCTTGCCGCTGCCGTCTCGGCGCAGAACGCTATCATCGGATTGCCCAAGAAAGACCAGGAGATCACTGCAGGAGAGAATCTAGTCGTGCAGGTTCTGCGCCCGGTAAGTTCGGATCAACATCTCACAGCCTAGCCGAGACTAACTGCCGGATCAGAACTCTCTGACTGGCTCCGAGGAGATGGGAGTCGCAATTGGCGTGGCATCCTGCGCCTCAAACCCCTGTATGGCTCCGAAAGACACACTGGGCACTCTCCTCTATAACGGGCCCTTCAAGCCCGAGTACCACGATAACCTGGGTCCTTATCAAAACTTTACCGTGACGATCCCAGACTCTATAGCTAAGGGAGACGCACAGATCAATGTCGCCCATGTAGCAATTGTCGGCGTAAGTGTTAACCTCCCGCGATCGCATCGATGAGATTAAGGAGCTAATGTGGTTTATTTGCAGGCGAGCGCTTGGCCATACCTGGACCTGCTCAATCAGACTGTTGTTGTTGCTTAGGTCGTGCGTTGAGGCTGTCTGCCTGTTTCCTCCTGTATATTCTCTTTGCGGGAATTGGCGAGTTGTATATTCACTCCTTAATTTTCTCTGGATTTAATTCCGTGGTTTTTATTTTGGGATTGTCGGTCCTTGGTCATTTTGATTCTAAATTTTTATGGAGATCCTTTTAGCTATAAGATCGCCTATTATTAATCTATTTGATTTATTCGACATTTACAGGCCCAGCACCATGGGAAAGTGGTGATAGGACTGAGTATTATTCCTACGACCGCATTATATTAACTCTTAACCCAATATTAGTCTCCATGTATAGAAGTCCCGACAGCGTCACACCGGCAGTCTAGTGGAGAAGCAAGCTGTCAGTCGGATCAACGATCAACCCCCACAATGTGGAGGATTTCGTGAGACGAATCAGACGCCATAATTCTTGAGTTCAATTGAGCTGCAAGACAACTGCCGTAAGACCCTTCTGTATACGTCAACTCATCTATGGTACCGTGTAGTCGTGCTGAACCTGCGTCTTTCAAGTGGCTATTTGTGCTAACCTTTCCGTCGTTGATCTCATTGAGTTCGTCTTGTGGTTTTAAGAAGTTGACTGTATTTCGTTGACTCTAACCATGGGCTAGAGGCGACCTAGGTCAGAAGTCAGGTCGCCAAATGAAACGGACGATTTAATAGCGCCATGCAAAGTTGGTGCGGAAATATCCGTGGTGGATCAATGCGTCTTCTCATAGTTCAAGTACATTTTAACCTAACATTCTCCCTATGGACTATTGACCAATGAGTTCGCGCTCTCAATATGCGGATCAAGACTACTTGTACTTGCAGTCAAGTGAGGTATAAGTTGGTGTTGATAGGGTTTATAAGCGATAAACGTTATTCATACTATTAGTAGTAAAAAGATATAAAACCAAAAGATGTTAGTACTGTGGCAAAGTCCACGTTAACTAGATATCTAGTACTTCATAACCGTGCTTTTTAGAGTTGGGAATTAAGAATATTAATATTTCTATATTATGGAGTCCCAGATAGCCCTTGGTGTTGAACTTAGTGGTAGCTTAGGGGGGGCAGTGGCATGATACTTAGTCGTAGCGTCGCACTGCAGGAGGAACTTTCAATTGGGGACATTAAGTTAACAGGAGACTAACTGATACCGGTAAAGTGGACTACACTCATGTCTCATCTGGCTGCTTTCTGGGCATGGGATCGTCACCGGGGGTTGTTGCCCCACCACATGTAACAAGCCACTTTGTCGGAGATATAATAGTCTGCTGGACCCCGAATAACGCTTGCTTGCAGGACTGGCCTTTTACACCTCTGTCCCACGTTTGAAACAAACTTTGCAGACCAGCATGACTGATTCAACCACTACTCGCCCTACGATCCTTGTCATTCACGGGGCATGGCATCATCCTGAATTTTATGCCCCCTTCTGTAAGGCATTGGAAGACTTGGGCTACGAAGCAGTCTGTCCTCGCCTTCTAACCTGCAACAATGATGTGCCCCCCACGAAGACATTGGGGGATGACGTGGCGCTCATCCGAAAGACGGCACAATCGCTCCTTGATGATGGGAAGACCGTCATCGCGGTGATGCACTCCTATGGTGGAGTTGTTGGCACTGATGCCCTACACGGCCTGGCGATCAAACATCTGGTCTACATGACTGCTTTTATACCCCCTAGTGGCAGCAGCCTCGCGGGGATGTTTGGCGGCCAATTGCCCCCTTTCATAACAGTCGATGTATGTCGTCTCTTACCTGAGCTGACATGTACTCGCTCACAAGTATTTCTAGGATGAGACGGAGATTTTGACTGTCCCTGATCCGGCGCCCTGTTTTTTCAACGACCTCCCCCCAGAGGAAGCCGCTGCATGGGCCAAGAAGCTGGTGGTCCACCCAAAATCTGCCCAATTCGACCCAATTTCACACGAGGCGTATCGTAGCAGTCCCACCACATACATTGTGTGCGAACAGGATGCCGGTCTTATTCCCATGGTTCAAGAGATGATGATCGAAAACGTGCGGAAGGCGGGAGTGGATATAAACGTTGAGAGACTACCAGCGAGTCATAGTCCTTTCCTCAGCATGCCGGAAGAGACTGCCAATCGGGTGCTAAGGATTGCATCCCTATGAACTATGAGGTAGCCTAACTGCATGGGGCGCGGTATGCGAGACGGTTTTGGCGGAATTTACTCCGCAAGATTCGAATCGATCCTGCTTAGTTTGAGACATTTCGTGGCCTGATACAACGGCTTGAGTCGAAGAAACGGGTCCGATGTAACGAACCGCATCCCAGGCCAATCGCGGATCGGGAAAACTTCAATCTTGTTCTTTGCCCGACCCACTCCGTCCGATCCTGCAGGGCCAGGATCGAAGTTTATTTGATTAATGTTGCGTGGATGGTTTGACCGGTTCCAGACTTTGGGAGTAGTCTATTCATTAAGTCTGCTTTCTACCTTTCTCGTGAAGCATTTCACCCAATATCCTGTTCTATTTTCCATTGTTAACATGGGCGACTATCCGCTGCAGAGAGACCCAGGCCGGGGGTCTCAATCTCAGTGTACTTACTGATACTACTTTATATTTTCTAGTCACATATACATAGTATGCTAGGACCAATGCTTTCTTTGCAGATCCCTCGGCTCGAGCTAGATGGACCGTTGCCGCGGAATTGTAGATTAACAATTTCTAAACAATCTCGCACAATCTGCCAAGAGGAATATCACTAGTCTAATGTACAATGTCCACTATAAATCCCAACTTGATGGTTATGCGCGCAGCGAGCCACCAGGATGAGGATCCTTGCGGGCGGGTCTGCCCAAGGCAATCCCTCGGATTTGGGCATTTGCACGCACAAGTATAGGTTCTCTTTTTTCGAGGGCCCCGGTAGTTAAGAGCCCCTTAAAAGGCCCTTTTATACGAATCCCTGTTTATATATGCACATATCCCTGGTGGTACGAGCTCTGTCCTGGATGATAGCGTCACAAAACGCTAAGTGAAACCATTCAAGCTTCAAAAATAGCTACTTCACTCTCAATCTTATCTTTAAAATGTTATCCACATGCAAATTCTAGCGGAGTACGGGTTCCACGTGGGCTTAAATAGTAACGTCAAGCAATCCAGCAAACCTTGGCTCACGTCCGACAAGATTGCGAAATTTTGCCGTCATTTAACCGGCGCGACGAGGGTTATGTATATACAGCGACAACGACAACGACAACAACGCAGTCATCTTCTAGGAAAAGCTTTTTTCGTCGCGCTATGGGTGCTAATGACCGTGGGAAAACCTACATTACGGTCAGTGCGGTGCTCGTCGCGCTGTCCACGGTTGTTGTTGGTTTTCGGATCGTGGCGAGATGGATGAGAACCACTTTGGGGTTAGATGACTATGTCATCTGTGTGTCGATTATTCTTGCTTATAGCATGCTGGGAGAAGCTGTTTTTTGTACGTTTACCAATGTGCGATGAGATCGTGCATGGCTGATTGTGTATAGGGGCCCGGGATGGCGGGCTAGGAAAACACATGGACGAGCTAAGTATTCAGGAGAAGACTACCTTCCAAAAGGCGAGTATTGACAGACATCCAATTGTGGTCTTAGTCTAATAAACAATCGCAGTGTTTCTTCGCCAACGAAATCTCATATACCCTCCTCGTCCCCTCCATCAAAATCTCAATCCTCCTACTCTATCGCCGAATCTTCACCGTTCGCAACTTTCGAATCGCGAGCCTCATCACCGGCGGTCTAGTCATATCATGGTGTCTCGCTGTCTTTATCACCGTCCTTCTTCAATGTCGCCCAATTGCCCTGAACTGGAACAAGACCTTAGAAGGAACGTGCATCGACCCGAAACAGTTCTTTTTCGGCAATGCGATATCCAATCTCCTCATAGATGTGGTTATCCTCGCTTTACCGATTCCGATGGTTCTACAGCTTCAATTACGGTTGTCGCAGAAGCTGACTGTTCTGGGTATATTCCTTCTTGGTGGATTGTACGTCTCATACTTTATTTTCTTTGTGTAGGATGAACGCTTATGGATTACAGTGTCTGTGTCGCGAGTGTTATGCGAGTCGTTACTCTCGATATCTTCGAAACCATGGATACATCATGTATGTTCCCTTTTAATTCCTTCTCAGATTCAATCGCACTCAACTAATATCTCAATCAACATAGACTCCGTGATGGAAGCCGCAACCTGGACCTTCGTCGAACCCTGCGTCGGAATCATCTGCGCTTGTTTACCGACCCTTCGGCCGCTTCTACGGACACTATGCTGCTCCTTCTCGTGGAGTACGGACCATTCCGATGGTCCACCGGCAAATTATAGGATGCATAGAATATCCAGTGCCGCGAAGAATGATTCAGGCGGCAGGAGCGACAGGGAATGGGGCAATAAGCGATTTGGGGACGAGTTAGCGTTAATGGGTGGGGGTACAAAAGTAACTGTCAATGGGGATGATGCTTCCTAGATTTGATTCTGGTATAGGCGTTTGATGTATATCTAAAAATGGGATCTATGATTATGTGTATATACTATAGACGTGTCTGGGGTTAGGATAATGCCTTGCGAGTATTACTGGTGTGTTGAATCCTGATATTTAGGTAAAGGCCTGTCGAGTATTTTCTGGGAGAAGTTAATTGATGAGAATGAAATACCATTTACGAGATCATATGAATGTGAATCTAGACTGAATGGTGCCCTTGGCTGAAGGTTAATCTGTACCAAAGTTGTATTCGGTCTGCTGTGGGTGACACCTCGTATGAAGTTGTATCCTGCGATGGCTTCCGAGCTCAGCGATATCATTATGTCGACAGTCGTCTGGCCAAACAATACTTTATGTTTTGAATTGAACGGGACCTGCAGGTCATTCGATATCTGCGATCCTGGGCTTTTCGCAGGTTATGTCCGCACATGTTGAGGGTATACTCAACATTTATCTGAGAGGGAAAAAAAAAAAAAAAAAAAAAAAAAAAAAAAAAAAAAAAAAAAAAAAAAAAAAAAAAAAAAGAGAGAGAGAGAGAGAGAGAGAAACAGACCAAAAATGGAAAGAAAGAAAAAAAAATAAAAGCGAAAAAGAACCAATGTATAGAGAGAGGGGGGAGGAGAGAGAGTGTGTGTGAGTGTGTGTTTGCGACAATGGCAACTGTGCTCGACATTTGGATATTTGGTCCACCTGTCTCAGGTATCATGTGAGCTTAGACGTGGGATATCAGCAAAGCTACCTAGGATCTCGATCACTGCGGGGCTTGAAGAGGGATTTAACCTTATCGTGGGTTGGCTTCAGTGTACCGTGGGTATCCCAAGCCTAGGAGGGTCTCGTTAGGTCTAGAAGTTCGCTAAGCCAATCCGGTCCTAAGTTTTTCTTATTTATAGCATATGTCAGTTGATCGCCATTCGCAGCTTCTATTACTGAGGGGATATCAATACGAAGCTGATCTATAAATATTGCGTACCTATCCATTAGTAGGGACCTGACATTATGAAGCTAGGACTCACGAGCCTTCTGCACAATATCCTACTCTCGTCAAGCTAATGTTAATTTCAATGATACATCATGTCCAATGCAAATAACACACCTAGTTCGCAACCAGCACACGCAGGTCCATTCACAGAGGAAGCACCGACTTATCAAACATTCACAGACGCAACAGATAAACTGTACAAGAGGTTGGTCCAGGAAGAATCCCATGAATGGTGGCAGTACCGGTTCATTAGCACATTTTTCAACTTACTCGCGATCGTACAAGTCATGGTCGGGGCAAGCATAACTGCTCTTGGGCCATTTGGGGGTCAGCATTTGATTGCTGTAACCGTGCTAGGCGCCATTAACACTGTCATTGCCGGATTTATAGCTCTTCTCAAAGGTAGGGGCCTTCCTCAGCGACCCCGCAAAAATATGCTAGAGCTTAGGAGGGTTCGGGAATATATTGAGCAAAAGAGAACCATGTTGCAGTACAGGAACAGGAGGTTCTCGAGGGATGAGGTTGACTCTCTACTGGAAGATGTGATGAGGAGGTATGATCTTGCTGAAGAGATTATTGAAAGAAATCAGCCGGATACCTATACAGATGGTATGGGGTCAACTGGTAGAGAACGTCAACCGGACGAAGAAAGGGGTCCGGGATAAAGCAGGTATTCTCAAGTACGTTGTATTAGAAATCTACCGTGGCTGATTGAATTCCGTGTAATAGGTACTGTGGATACTTTGACTAATAGCTTACAGGTGCTTTCCTGTTTGACCAGTTCCAGCTCCCCTTGGCATGCATCTCTAGATGCAGATGATTGTTGAAATACCAGCGCCAGTGGTATGACTTCCTTTCTGGTTTTACTCCTGAAGTGGTAAAAGTTCATTCGTCTGGTTAGCACTACTCCAATCAAAGCTGTACAAGGTCAGGAGAAGATTCAGACTTACAAACCAGCAAGCCCACAGCCGTTGCGCCTTTACTTCGGTCATCCAAGATTATTTTCTCCTCTTTCTCAGAAAGCACAGCAGTACCATGCTTGCATCATTTCTTACGATGGGAGACAGTTGCTATACCATGGGTATATTATACTGCTGGAGGGAATCCGTAGTCCCCATTCTTCTCACACAATGTGTCAAATGGCACATGTACCAAGCTATTCATTAGGAAGCTAGACTATCATAATGTCTTATGTTGAGCGTTCTGCCACTCGACCAAAATGCCTTAGGCATTTGGTCGTGCCTCCAACCAAACAATCCGGCCAACATGTTATGTCGAGGGACTCCAAAAGGGAAGGTCCAGGCGAGTAAATCAAGTGTTCTTAGCAACGATATCGTTCAATTAAATGACTTTTGGAGAACCTGCTTCATTGGACGTCCTTAGACCTCGCTACGAGTCGGGTTTTGGTCCAGTGTAAAGCACCATCCGTACCCGACCCGCGGGTTCAGATTCTAAGCCGACCCCGAACCCGTAAACCAGCCGAAAACCTGTTTTTGTTAAAAGGTTATACAAGTCATAACCTAGCTGTATAATTATAATTTCTAATTCTAATTTGCTAAGTAATCTGTATATTTTGTATATTTACTCTGTCCGTTGGCAAACGGGTACCCGTGGGTTTAGTATTTACCCACAACCCAAAACCCGCGGGTACTACCCGCGGGTTCTGGCGAAGTCCAGTCCTATCCTACTCATTCCAATGCATAAAGTACCCCTTATTGCCTAAATTCAGACGGAAGCGACCCTTAATTTTACGATTCAGCCTGATATCCTTGTTCTTTGTCACAGAGCTTCTTTACCTCGGGGTCCTTTATTGATGGAGAATATACTTGGTTACTGGAAGCTACCACCAAAAGAAGTATACTAAACTCAATCGTCACCCCTTATCTTACTGTACTTCTTGTTCTCTCCCCTATTGCGCCTGACAAAAGATTCGGCCTTGTAAGTTGTCACAAAAAAGTTAAAGCCACGATAGGGTATTCTCGCAGCGAGTAGTGCGGTATCAACACGTAGTATATCCACTCTCTATCTATCTTTCAGGCAATAGAAGCTTCAGCTTTCAGGAACTCCACCTCCGTAACAACTGAGAATATATACTAATCACCGAATAATAATCCCGAGGGACGAGACACCGCTGAACTCGCCCCCTGGGCGACTTTCCTATCGAATCCTCGCAATGCTTCGACTTTGATAAACTATCGGAGGGAATTCTTCCAAAACTTGGCGAGCTTTATACCCCTTGTTTCAAGCCAGTGAGCCATGGCTCCTAAATTTGAGCTTTGAGTACGTTTTCATAATACAGAAACCAAAAGACTCTCTGGTCTCGTGTTCATCATTGCTCGTTCTGTAAGATTCCTTTAAGTGAAACAATGCTGTCACTTCGACTTTCCGTCATTTCAGTCTGCCTTGCAGCTGTTAATGTACTTTCGGCTAGCGACGGTCTTCGGAATGACTCCGTGATGAAGGCTAGGCTCCCCAAGAGCTTCGAATGGAGCTCGGGTGGTCCTCTTATTGGCCCAAAAGACGATAGCTACGACCTTGCTGGAATCAAAGACCCATCTATCATCGAAGTCGAAAGCGTTTACCATGTCTTTGCTAGCGCAGCCAGGGAATATGGATATGATCTAGTTTATCTCAGCTTTACCGATTTCACTGAGGCCAATTCGGCAACATTCCATTGTCTTGATCAAACCCCCATTGGGGCAGGCTACCGCGCCGCTCCTCAAGTCTTCTACTTTGAGCCACACAAGCTGTGGTACCCTGTTTACCAAAACGGCAACGCTGCGTACTCCACCAACTCCGATATCAGCAATCCTGCTGGGTGGAACGCACCCAAAAATTTCTTCGACGGCATGCCCAGTATCATTTCGGAGAACATGAGCAACGGAAACTGGGTCGACATGTGGACGATCTGCGATTCGTCCGACTGCTCCTTTTTCCCATCAGATGATAATGGTCATCTCTCAGACCTCGGGAACTTTCCGAACGGCATGGGGAACACCGTCATCGCGCTGCAAGACACAAATATATAAGCCTTATTTGAGGCATCCAATGTATACCGCACCGGTGACGGTGAGTACCTTCTTCTCGTTGAGACCATCGGCAGTGACGATGCAAGATATTATCGTTCCTGGACTTCAACTAATCTCTCTGGTACCTGGACCAGCCTCGCTGACACGGAGGCGCACCCCTTTGCGCGGTCCAAATTGTCAAGTTTAGCACTGAGGCCTGGACTAAGAGTATCAGCCATGGGGAGATGGTGCGCACGAATGTTGACCAGACCATGACCATTACTCCCGGCAATCTACGCTATTTTTACCAGGGCGTGGATCCACATGCGAATGGCGATTACAACGCCATGCCGTGGAAACTTGGGCTCCTCGCCCAGGCCAACTCTGTGCGTTAACGGGCAATTATCGGACAGGCTAACTTAAAGAAGTCTGTCAGCGGGCTGGACTGTGGATACCCCAGTAAGTCAAGACTTCATCTCAGCGTCGGCATGCAAGCTAGCCCGACTCCACTTCCAGCCGTAGTTCAGGGACAAGATAGAAACTACCTTAGTAGAAACTATTCCACATTGAGCACTCGAAGCTCGCTTAGTCTTCTATAATATGTGGCTACCTCTTGCTTTCCACTTTTCAACTCTTCTATTGGTACATTAATAAATCAGTCGTTTCGCTTAATGCGCAATTACTCCAATAGGAAATCGCCCGGTTATACCAAGGCCCACAAGTTCGAAACGTTGAAAGCTCACCGTGCTCAAAGACCCTGATCAAGTGAGCCTAGCCTAAGCTTGTGGACTATCCAATCATCAATGATATCAATACTCCGTAGCTACTTCGTACATTATCCATGAGTCCATGACTACCGAGTTAGTCAAACGCCAAGAGGAGCTCATGTGTCGAAAAGGGACACCAGAGACCAGTACATCTGGTGGGTGTCAGCTATAGACAGGCTTATGTGGTATAGATAGACCGGACCTTTCGTCATACTGTGGGTTTCTAGGCTCCGAGGCCATTTCCAGAGTCTGCGTTCAGACGCCGGGTACAGAGCCATTTCCCGCTCGGAGGAAGCCTAAATCTTGCCATCGCTCGAGGTACTTTGGCTCTGGCCAATAGGATAAAGTCCATTCTGTAAGATATCCTACGGCTAGACGCTGTAGCATGCCATAAGTCGTGGTCACGCTGTTTCGTCCAAATCGCTCCAAAATGGGTAGCTATGGTGTCTTCTCAGGTCCGGATCTATCCGTACGAAGAGGAAGGCCGAATACTGCTGCTAACGATGCACAAACGCGTGAAAGTGCATGCTAGGTTTGCAGCTGCGTCGGTCCTCTTGAGTCAGAACGCAGTGAAGGAGGTTTAATTAAATCCGGGGTCTCAGGGAAAAATCCACAATACGAATCGAATTCTGTGGAATGATCCTCATAAGACAAAGTGGATCCACCTCTTGCCTGTGAAGCTCTCACTGAGCAGACTTCTAGTTATGACTCGGCAGTTGACAAATTAAGAACGATCCGATGGCTGTAGGACGGCGGTTTCATGTTTTCTGACAAGATCACTAATCTTCTTCACTCCACCTATCTAGACCAGATTCGGAAACCCCACTAGCCCTACATAAACTCGCTTCTAACTTTAACTTGCGCCTCAGATCATGGAAGGGGCTGCGACGCTTCGTCCAACGAGGCTCCAATGTGGAAATTACACCGTTCCTCTCTGTCTGGCAGTTTAATACTGGCGAAACCCCTCTGTGTTTCTACTCGTGCATGTGCCTAGTACCTAGTACCTATTCTTGGTAGAAACTGCTAGATGAGCAACGCTTTGCTAGTTTGGGCGGGTAATTGGTTTCCCACCTCGGCGCTCATACTGGAACAGGAGGACCCCACCTTCAATCTACTCGTAATCTGTCCGTGGTTGCTCTTCAAGTCAATCTAGTCTTGTACGCCCAGTGTGAGCCGAGTCGTAGATATATCAAAACTACTAGAGTAGTTGGTGACCTACTCCACTGTACATCCAATACTCACACTTGTTGCACAGCAGGCTGTCTTTAGCCGTGTATACCTATCTCGCTAGGTAACTCCGTGCCTTGAAAGGAAGGTCGTTACCCTTCCACATGTGGGGCAATAGCTACATAGTAGTGGATCTAACCATGTCGTTACGAATCGCAAATTACTCATTGGCAGAGCGCCTCGCACATAGGTCACTGGAGTCTAGACATCATGCTGTACGGGTCTAAGGGTTTAGTCTAGGGATCCAGGGCTTGGCTCTTGATGCCTAGGTAAAGAGCCACTGCACAGTTCGTATAGGATTCTTTCATTCTTTGGTCTGGTGAATGCCACCGGGGCTACATTAATATGAAACGGGAGGTTTAACTTCAATTTCGCTCTTTCGACCCCTCTTCAAGCTGGGAGAACTATTTAAGCCATGGGCTACCAGCAAGATCATGTTGGCGTTTCAATATCAACTGTTTCATTCTTCTCATTACTCTTTTCTTTTATTATTCACTCCCTTTCTTTCTTAACCCACAAACTAGACGTTTGTTTTCCTTTCATTACCTTTTTTTCTTTTGTCCAAGATGAAGCTAAACCTTGCCTCTCTCTGTTTTCTTGCGAGTATTGCCCCGCTGGTTTCGGGTCATTATGTGTTTTCGAAGTTGATTGTCGACGGAAAGACAACCAAGGATTTTGAATACATCCGCGAGAATAGCAATGGGTACCAACCAACACTGGCTTCTGAAATTGTGAGCAACGATTTCCGCTGCAACAAAGGTTCCATGGACTCTGCGGCCAAGACAAAGGTCTACACGGTTGCCCCGGGCGCAGAGATCGGTTTTCAGCTCGCCTATGGTGCTTCGATGAAGCACCCCGGCCCTCTGCAAATTTACATGTCCAAAGCACCCGGCGATGTCAAAACCTACGACGGATCAGGCGATTGGTTCAAAGTTTACCAGGAAGGCGTCTGCAAAGACATTTCCGGCGGGTTGAAAGATACCGACTGGTGCACTTGGGGCAAGGATACCGCGTCCTTCAAGATCCCCGAGAATACTCCGCCTGGTCAGTATCTTGTTCGTATTGAGCACATTGGTCTCCATCGCGGCTTCAGTGGTAATTCCGAGTTTTACTTCACCTGCGCTCAAATCGAAGTCACCGGTTCTGGATCTGGCGTTCCGGCCCCCTTGGTCAAGATCCCCGGAGTGTACAAGCCTGAGGATCCCAACATCCACTTCAACATCTACCACCCGGTCCCAACTTCTTACGACCTCCCCGGCCCCTCTGTCTGGTCTGACAGCGTCTCGGATTCCTCTTCTTCTATTTCTGCCCCTCCAGTCAATAACGCCGCCGCCGTTTCCTCTGTAAACCCCACGACTCTCGTGACTCTCTCTAAGACTTCCAGTACCCCTGCAGCAACGTCCTCCGCTGCCCCTACCTCGTCCGCTCCATCAAATGGTACTATCAAGAAATACTACCAATGCGGTGGCCAGGGTTGGACTGGATCAGGATCGTGTGAAGCTGGTACTACCTGCCGCGAGTGGAACCATTGGTACTTTCAGTGTGTCTAGGTCGAACTAGAGCACTATCTATTGCTGTGATGCGGGTAACCAACTTCATCTTCACATATAATCGCTCATGGCTCATCTATTAAACTATTCAGATATTGTATTTGATTACAGCTCTGCTTCTGAAACAATAATCTGAAACTTTTAATCATTTTTCTTTCCGGTATCATAGGAACAAACCTAGAACTATTAAGGTTATCAATGACCCGTGGTCGCTCATCATCCATGATAGGTTGGAAATTGTAGTCTCGGGGAAGTGGAACGTACATAAACTCTATCTCCTGATGGTCGCCTATGGTTGTTTCTTATAAAATATGGAGGTTTATTCAATGTCCGTTGGAATATTTGCCCTGTCGGGAAACATCATCGTCACGACCGACCGTCCTATTCTACACTTACTTCGTTTCACCAAGCACGCAAAGTCCTGAGAGGCTACATGCGAGCTATTTCACTCCAGCATACCTAGAAAGCCACTACTTGACCTATGGTTCATCAAATACGACTATGATGCGAGCGCCAAATATGTAATTATCACGCATACTACCCAGCATCCTCCTCCCCATAGCGGGGACAACCTACCCCATCCAACCCCAACAAGAAAAGCACCTCGTTCGTCTACCTCTCCCTCCTCCAGACGCCTCGGTCGCGGGTCCGCGCTTATTCCCCGGGAAAGTCATTTAAACTGCCCGCTACCATGCCGACCTCGATGAACACAAGGCCAAAGGCTGGGATGAGTATATTAACCCGGAATGTGAGAAGTTTCATGCGTGTACCTCGACCATATCGTTCAACGGTAAGAGGCCAGATACGTATTAAGAAGTGTCTGAGTTAAGCTTAGAGGTAGCTTAATTCTACCTTAGCAAATAATGTTAGTTCGATGAGTAGTCGTTACTAGTTTGGATATTGTTTTCGGGGAGGCCCTACTGCGTCGGATGATTGTTAGAGATTGGGATTCGAAAACTGAGGTGAGTGTGTATACGATTAGCTTTGAGGAGGATGAGGATGAGTTTCTGAGATTACAGCTGGATATTCTGTAGATATCTACCGAGTTTTACGTGAGTCAGTAGTTCTGTAATTTCTAGAAATAGGTTGGGGACGTCTTTCTGCTTGTTCGTGTTGAAAATCGTTGTCGGTGTCTCAAACTATATATGTATGATCGCTAATACAAAAACCCAGAGGCAAGTAAAGTCTGCTGTGCTAGAATCAACTGATCCCAGATTTTACTTATATACTTCGTTAGGTAATGCGACATGCATTCGCTTTCATCTTTCAATACCACAGCTCGATAACTTCATAACTTAAAGCCGCAATCGCCACAGTTACATACGACTTAAGATCCGTTCCCCTGATGAGCCAGACCAGGTCTCCTTGATAAAATCGGCACACCGTTCCCCAATTCCATATGCTGGCATCTGGGTATGTCCGCCATGTAAAGTGGGCATCACACTACAGTCCGCAACACGCAATCCAGCAATGCCCTTGACCCTGAGCTTATTATCTAGGACAGCAAGGGGGTTGTCGTCCTTGCCCATCGCACACGTTCCGGAGGCGTGATAACCTGATTACGTTAGCATAGCATTCGAACGAGGACTACGGACAAACTTACAGGTGGTGGCATGTTCTTTGACATATGGAATCCACTCCTCCCGAGTCTTATAGGTATGATGAGTCAGGTTGGAAGGCCAGGACCCCTTGACGATATCTTTAGTTCCAGCCCCTTTCATAACAACCTCGTTTCCAAAGCGACATGCCTCGGTCAGCACCAGGAGGTCCATTGGATCAGCCAGGTAGTTGCAGTCAACGATAGGATTTTCCAGGGGATCTTTAGATTTCAAGGTAACAGTGCCACGAGATTTTGGAGCAAAAAGCTCTGCAATCATCGAGAACGCATGTTTGTGGTCGATGGGGAATTGATCGTACTGTTTGGGTCCGCCGTAGCACTCGGTGGTGAAGAACTCGATGTTAGGCTGTTTAGGCGTCAGGCCCATTGGGTCACGGCCAGGTTCGCGGGGAGCGTCTCGCCACAATGGTTCGTCCTTAAGACGCTCGTCCAGGCGGGCGAAGGCAAAGGCGCCGAAAGGAAACGTTGATAGAAAGCCGGTCTTGTGTTCTTTCCATTGTGCGTATGTCTTTTCCATGTTATCATCGTGGTAGACCTGCCAGTCAGTTGTCAGGCCTTGCCTTTCGGTTTCGTAGAACATGAATACGATCTGATTTAATTAGATTAGCAGCCCTCCGGATTATCAGCGAATATGGAGCTCACCAAATGATCCATCAGGTTTTTACCCACACCAGGCAGGTCAACCTTGCAAGGAATGTCGCACTTTTCCAATTCCTCCCGTGCCCCGATTCCAGATCGCATAAGCACGGCAGGGCTGCAGTAGGCACCACTAGAAATGACAACCTCCTTTCTCGCGTGGAAAGTGCGCGTGGTCCCATCGGCCAATCTGGTCACGGCACCGGTCGCCCGGAGCCCAGCTGCATCTTCTTCCAACTCGATGCGGTCGACTGTAGTATCGGTTTGAATCGTAACGTTGGAGCGGTTGTAATCGTTGGTTATGAAATCCGCGCCCGTAGTACGAATACCCTTGTACACGGTCCGAGGCGCATGGCCGCATCCTTGGGCGACGTCGCCGGTGCTAAACATATCATGATGTAGAGGCATTCCTTGTGAAACGAGAGAGTCTATGAGAAGGTTCGAGATTGGGGCGAGATCGTGAGGCTCAGTATGCAGAGGGCCATTGTAACCATGACTCTCGGGGTCGGCTTGGAACCAGTCTTTGGGATGGAATGTTTCCGACTATTATAGCATTCTGTTAGGCATGGTCTGAAGTTCCGTAACCCCGAGAAGAATATACCTTTCTCATTGCGGCGAAGAATTCCTCTCCACTCCATCCTTCTAGTCCCCAATCATCGTAATCTTGCTTGCTACCTCTCACACACAGTGTACCATTACATCCGCTGCAGCCTCCCAAAAAGCGACCTCGGCTCAATTTCACCTGTCGGTTATCGACTCCTTTCATAGGTGGGGTGACGATATTCCAATCTGTTTCCGAGTCAAAGTTATTTGACCATCTGCGACACACTTAGTGAGTGGGATGAGCGGACGTAGATTTGGCGTTCATACCCTCCCGTCATATGTACGTTCTCCAGATCTTTGTTATGTTGACCAGCCTCAAGTACTAGCACTGTAACATCTGGATTTTCGGCGAGACGACCCGCGACAACGCATCCTGCTGTACCCCCTCTATCCACTTGATATATCAGCGCCCACTCACATCTAACCATTTCGTCAATTACTGCAACCCGCACTTACCCGCAAATAATGTAGTCGTACACATCTTCCGAAGTGCTGCCCATGATGGCAACCCGATGTTAGATGAGGGGGGAAGGATGATGAATGCCGTGGAAATTTGTAAAAGGGATTTGGAGTTTTCTCTCAGGCGGCTGCTTGTGTGTCATGTCGATATGCTCCCCTTTTATAAGCACAAATGTAGCTGTGTCTTCTCAAGTGGTGTGAGCGGAATCAGCTCCATGGACACATCCCCACTTTGCGGGCACAGGCCTGTTACCCCTACATTCCGATGCAAGTGGCCAGCCTAAAAAAAAACACCAAAAAAAGAGGGGAGCAAAGTAGCCATACATGTCAGCTAACTCTACTGTGACTAGCTTGGCTCTAAATCCTAGAGGGGATTTCAGCTATTGATAAACAGACCGGTGGCTGAAGGAAGAGTTAGTCTACAAGCCATTGAGCAATGGTATTCGGACATTGCTGGATATGATCCGTGCAGTGCGACTCCACAACCATTTAAGGTAGTGTATCGCCATTCTCTGAAGCCTAGACCAGAATCAAAGCTGTTGTGATTCGCTGTAGGTAAGAACTTATTTAGTGACGTTACAGTCGAGAATTAATTCCACAAGTGAAAGGGTGGGCCAAGACGCCACTAAGCCCGCACCATGGATGATCTGAAGGTAATCCCGACCAGCAGTGCGTAATTTATGCAAGCCGATTCGTGTCGCGTACTGAGATGCTCCCTTCCTTGGATACAGGCTTTTCTGCAGGCTGTTGCTTATCCATGGGTGGCGTACGTGCATACCTCCATTAATGCGATCCGTAAGCCCCCCCGAGGTCTGGGGGAAGAGGTTTTGATCTCTGATATTGTAGACCAGATACCAAGCGATCAACACTAAGAAAATGGGTCTGCGGGCTCCAAAATGGCTCCCTCTTCAGCCCCAACACGGACACGATGTCTACCTCCACTTTTACCCACTATTCTCCCACTAGCAGAGCACACACGGCCTGGTAGAAATTATCTCAAAACTAAATTCGGAAAAAGCCCTGGGAGCGAATCAAAACTATGACTTCAAAAAGTGTGGGGCAGGGATGTGAGAGTTCCTATACTCCGCATCCTCTTGGGTCAAGTGTGTTACCTGTCATACTCCTAATGAGTTTGCCTTAAAATAATAACCCTAACCTCTTTCTAGAACCTATCATCACTCCAGGTCCTTGGCGTATGGGGTAAAGCTCTGTAAAATGGTTCTCAGTACCAGGAGATAATTGGTTACCAGGAGATAATTGGTTTCCAGGAGAACAGGTTCCCTAGCAATTCATCTCGGATTTTGCGAAGCTTTAGAGTTATTCTGGTCCGAAGGCAAATGGTCGTATTCCCTGTCATGCAGGCCGTTGAAGAACCCTTAAAGCCTAACTATCGATTCTGGCGTTACGTATCCTTGTCAGGGGCGCTCGCCACCCTATTCCGAATGGTCTAATAAAACCCGGCATTATGGTACATACTTAGTCAATGTGAATTGGGATCGTCGTGAATCCTGGTAGATTCGCTGACCCTCAAATCCAAACCAGATCCCGATGTCCAGACAAAGTTGACACGGTAGAAGAGTCCACTCGACATCCACAGGGTAAACCCCTATCGGGATCCATACCCTGACAGTTGGGACCCAGTCGAAAACCTGGTTCAAGGTGTGCTGCCTGCTTACCCCATAGACGAGGAATAAGCTAGCCGATCACGTCTCTCTGGGTCACATTTCTTTTTTCGATACTTCAACTGTTGCTCCTCTCCAAAAATCGGTTAGCTATCCTCACTAGATCCTGGAGGAAATAAATAAAACTTTAACTCCTATTCAGACATATCCGCAGAACGAAAGTGGCTGCTGATGATCTGTTCTTAGAAACAGTATATCCATAAACTCCCCATGACTTTAACTATTGACCTTTATCTGGGCCATGCTTCTTTCCATGCATGATTCTTGTGTGGAAATTTGGAAAACTGAATAGTACCTTCCACAGCCTTCCTTCACTCCACCACCCATTTCCTCCACGATGGCCCATGCCACCCCCTTCCAGAAAGAAGCATGGACGGAATACGGCATAGGCGTGATTATCATATTACTCCGTATTTTCGCACGTTTGAGAGTGGTCGGAGTCAAAAACTGGCAAGGAGATGACTACTTCACGTTTGTAGTTCTCGCCTTCTGGACTGTAAAATCTTCCTTTACCCCCGAGTCTCACAGCATGACACTCTAACAGACGCCAGGCGGAACTAACCATGTTGGAACTGATCGGTAGGCTCTTCTAATCTTCTCAAGTTCTAGAAAACACCTAACCTGTTCTCCACAGGCCAATATGGCACCAATATCGGTCTTGATGATGCTCAAAGGGCTTCGCTAACTCCAGAGCAAACCGAGATTCTTGCCCGTGGTTCCAAGTGTCTTCTCGCCGGCTGGACCTGCTATGTGACCCTGATCTGGTCCCTGAAAGCCTGCATGCTGTTTTTCTACAACCGCCTTACGTAAGGGCTCCACGAAGTCCACCCAGTCAGCTGTCCAACTGACCATATTTCTAGGCTGGGCCTTGTCCAACAAAAGCTCGTCAAAATTAATGCCGTGCTTTGCGCAAGCACATACACAGCCGTTATCCTGACTATCTTTCTCCACTGTCGTCCGCTGGAGAAGAACTGGCAGGTTTATCCAGATCCTGGTCGTAGGTACACCCTCACATTGTCCTTTAGACAAAGCACCCACAACTGACGACTATGTCCAGTCAACTGCTCTGCTGACTATGTGAACTATATCGTAATTGCGGTGACCAATGTCTCGTGCGTAACCCCCTACCTACTACCAGATTCCATGCTAATATATCACAGAACAGACGCAATTCTCGTGTGCATTCCCATTCCCTTATTAGCTAAAGTGCGACTCGCATTGCGTCGGTAAGTATATTATAATGCAAACACAATGAGCCAGTTCTAACCAGACAACGCATAGAAAGCTGATTATCGGAGTTCTCCTGTGTGGCGGTGTCTTTGTCATGATCGCAACGCTCCTCCGCTGTATTCTCTCCCTGCAGAGTATCAACAGCATCAACACCAGTACCATCTGGGCTATCCGCGAAACGGTACGTCACACACTTCCACCTCTCTTTGCGACATTACTTTGAGAAGGACGTTGGGTTCGCTAATCGGTAAGCCAGTTCGTCGGTATCATCGCCGTCAACGCTCCCTGCATCAAACCGCTCTTCAGCACCTCAACCTGGCTCGGGTCCTCGGAAGACCAGTACTCATACTCGCGAAAGAAGGGTAGCTACAGTTTATCGGTTTTCGGGAAGTCGAAGCCTAGTCAATTGGAGTCGACGAAGAGTACGAAGGCGGGCGGGCGATCCAGTGATGAGTTCATCCTACATGGCGCGGGAACTCGTACTTTTATCAACGATGGGCAGACAGGGCGGTCTGAGAGCCTGTCAGATGAGGAGGCGGGAAGGCACCCAATCGGGGGCATTCAGGTTACCACGATGTATGAGATCCGGAGGGATGGTTCTCGACATGAGTGATTGAGTTTTGTATTGCTTTAGTGTATGCTTTGGGTGGCTGGCTGGGCGGTCTTTGTGAGCGTGCGTTTTTTTTTTTTTTTGAAAGAAGAATATGTACTACTATACTCCGTAGTTACGATAACATTAAGCGAAATAGAAGCTATACCCGGAACAGTAACAATCATTTGACAAATTCTGGGGATTTAGATAAACGCGTAAGGGATCAGTGCACGAGTCCTTCATTTAGATTTGGATAGGACGGAAGTTAATTCGCAAAGTACGGGGAACAGGAGCCAAGATGACGGTTCATATATGACCCGTCGGAATTTGGAAAAATGAGGTGCCAGCCAAGAATGTCATTTCTTTGACATGACTCGTCGTTGGATGTCAGGTGCAGGGCCACAAAGATGCCTCCATCTAATACGGAGTAGTTGTGCATTTCTTTGTCTCATGTGACTTATCAGCATGTGACTGATAAGAGATTCTGGATCATTGAACCAGAAGCCATGCCGCATGAGGACTAGGGTCGGACACCAACCGACACTAAGCGCAAACAGTCTTTTTCAATCATTTTTGCCATCCAAAGGAGGGGCAAACCTTGCAAAAAAAAAAAAAAAATGGTGACTAGTTCTTGCCCTAAGTGACTACGGCTGAAAGGGGGGCGAATACCGCCATAAGTTCTCCTCAGTTGCCACCGAAGATGTCCTGTTGGTGTTTGCCTTTGTTACCAGTTGGAAGCCCTGCATAAGTTGTTGCAACTCAATTTTATCTAAACTTGAGGGGTCCGAGGTCTTGGCACTGATAGATGCGGTTGAGACCCACCGCGCACGCGATGGCCTCACGGTGGTGATTAAAGTTCTCAATGACATTGCATTGAGGATTCTTGGGGTGAGAGAATACTCCGTACTAAAGAAGGCTTCAATCCATGTCATGAAGGTGAAGATATCGGCATTGGCTTCCGCTAAGCTCGCCGGTCGTGTTGCAATGACACCACTGACGAAGGCCGTTTTCCGCTCTCATCGGCTGGCCGTTCGATTTTACATAATGGCTCGGCACCTTCCGGCCAGTGAAAAGTCTGCGAGTGGATCTCTTTGCGGAGTCTTATTCCAGTTTGGCTCGATGAATTTTTCTAGTCGCAGCCGGAAAAGAAAAAGAAAGAGAAAAAAAAATTGAAAAAGAAAAAAAATAAAATAATAAATCCCAACCGTATGACTACGTAGTATCCGTTCGGAAAAGCTTTCTCTTTCTTTGACTCAGATCATCAAACTCGTGCATGCACGTAACCGCGTCCCAATCCCCTCACTCTCGCTTTCCCTGTGACAAGTCACCTTTTCCTGTCTAATATACAACATAATATACGGCCGGGATGGCCATCGACGAGGTCACCCCTGCGCCGCAGGTGACGGAAACCGCTGCTGGAAACGACGGTGACAAGATTAGCACCAAGACGGGCACGAACCCTCTGAGCAAGTTTGGCAAGAAGAAGGATGGCAACGGAAATGAAGATGTGGAAAAGGATGGAATTGGAGGGGATACGCCGCCGCATGACTTACAGCGCAAGCTGAAGAGCAGACATTTGCAGATGATTGCTATCGGTCAGTCAGGATTTGATATACAAGGTGATCGGAACTGTGGGTTTTAACCATGACGCAGGTGGTACAATTGGAACGGGTTTGTTCATCAGTAGTGGAACAGCCATCGCACACTCCGGTCCGGCGGGTGCCCTCATCGCCTATATCTTCGTTGGTTCTATTGTGTTCTCGGTCATGTCCTCACTTGGTAAGTCTTTGTTGTCTTTGAGATGAGATATGTGCGGGGTACTAATCTATTGCAGGTGAGGTCGCAACATATCTTCCGATCTCCGGTTCTTTCACCTCCTACACCGCACGACTCGTCGATCCCAGTCTGGGTTGCGCGATGGGTTGGGTTTATTGGTTTAACTGGGCTTCGACATACGCTGTGGAACTGACTGCTACCGGTCTGATTGTTCAGTACTGGGACGATAAACTGTCGGTAGCCATCTTCATCGCCATCTTCTGGGTAGTGATCACCCTTCTCAATTTCCTTCCGGTCGGATTCTATGGAGAGATCGAGTTCTGGTTTTCGATGATCAAAGTGCTCACGGTCCTGGGATTCATGATTTTTGCTATCTGCATTGATGCTGGTGTGGGAAAGCAGGGTTACCTTGGATTCCACACGTGGAAGGAACCCGGGGCATTTGCTCCCTATCTAATCGACGCGTCAAACCCGGTTTCCAAGTTCGTCGGTTTCTGGGCCGTGCTGGTACAGGCTGGTTTCTCCTATCAAGGTACCGAGCTGGTTGGTGTCGCGGCTGGTGAGACAGAGAATCCGGAGAAGACCGTTCCCTCGGCCATCCGCAAGACTTTCATCCGTATCCTCGTGTTTTTCGTCCTGACCATCTTCTTCATGGGCTTGCTGGTCCCTTACGACAACCCCAACCTGATCACCGACTCGAGCGACGCCTCCGCCTCCCCCATGGTCATCGCCGCGAAGCTCGCCGGCGTGAAGGTTCTTCCCAGTTTGATCAACGCCGTCCTCCTGACCGTCGTTCTCTCGGCTGCCAACTCCAACGTCTACAGTGGCAGTCGTGTCCTCCTCGGTTTGGCTCAGGAAAAGTTCGCGCCTCCAATCTTCGGTTGGGTCACTCACCGTGGTGTGCCCTATATCAGCGTCGGCTTCACGGCTGCCTTTGGACTTCTCGGGTTCATGAACGTCTCCGAGTCCGGTGGAAAGGTCTTCAACTGGTTGGTCAATATCTCCAGTGTGGCTGGATTCATCTGTTGGACGTCCATCAGTCTGAGTCACTTGGCTTTCATGCGTGCCCTGAAGGCGCGTGACATCTCTCGTGATACCTTACCCTACAAAGCCGCCTTCCAGCCCTACCTGACATGGTACGGACTGTTCTTCAGTGTCCTGATCATCCTGACCCAAGGATTTACAGCCTGGATCCCTACCTTTAACGTCTCCGATTTCTTCGTCGCGTACATCTGCGTGATCATCTTCGTTGTCCTGTACCTCGGCCACAAGATTCTCTACCGCACCAGGTTTGTGCACCCGCTAGAGGCAGACTTGCAATCGGGCCGGCTCCAGAATTACTCTTGGGAAACGGCGAGACCGAAGACGTGGCAGGAGAGGCTTCGCGAGAGTCTATAAATCAGTATAATACCGCGCGGTTTGCGGTGTAATTCACATCAAGAGGCTGGCATGGCAGCTGTGCGTGCATAGAAGAAAGCTGCACTCCGGGCCCACTCGGAGGTACAGATATTTTGTGGAAGCGTCTTTACATTCCCCATTTTACATATAGCAACAGTGGAGTTTCGGGTGTTTGGGTGCATATATTTGATGATTGGTATGTGATCATGTGATCATGTGTATAGTGTTCTTATCCATATATGATAGACAGGAGATAGTTATTGAATAATCATACCTATAACAAGCATCGTGCATAAAATCATTCAGTTTCAGAGAGAAAATCATGCCCGCTACAACGCCCATCTCACTTTTGTTATCCTCACTCTCCCTGCCACGGAGACCAATCTACATACAACCCTCATCTAACACAACCTATGGAGCCATATACCACAGCTATCGAAGAAAGAAATTCAAATCAAATCCAGCTCAAAGCTCTCGCCACAACCGACACCCCACCAAGAAGACCAGTAACTCCAGTAAGCACCACCAAAATCCCATACTCCGTCCCATAAGCGCCCCAAGCCTGACCCTCCCACAACCTCGTCTTTAACAACGCCTCACTCAACGGCCCACTAATTACATTCCCGATGCCTCGACCAGTCTCCATAAAGGCGAAAACCATACTGACATCCGCAGACGGATGACTCTTCGCAACCTCCGACGAAGTCGCAGCCCACGACGACGAAAAGCTACCCCCGGTACAGCCATACACGATACTAAACAGATAAAGCGGCGCGAGATGCACGCTCAGCCCCCATAGCAGGAACGTGGAGAATATGGCGCCCACCGTGGAAATGAGGATACATTTCGTGACGTGGTATCGGTCCGCCAGCCATCCGATTAAGATGCAGCCGAACATGTTGGAGATGTTGAATACTGTTATTGTGGATGATGCTTCGAGACCCTTTGCGCCGAGGAGTCCTGCGTAGCTGGGGAGGAATATCTGGGGCAGGAAGAAGCCTAGCGATTGGATTATGTTGCCGACTTGGTAGATTAGGTAGGTGCGGTTGCGGTGGAAGCTGAGGTCGAGTTGGTGCAGGTTGGTTGTCCTTCGGGGGACGCGCGGTTTGTGGAAGAGCATGAAGGGTGCTGCGAGGAGGAAGATGGCTACTGAGCAGATTCGAAGGGTCGTTTGCCAGCCGTAGGTGTCCAGGAGGGATTGGAGGATCAGGGGGAAGATTATGCCGGTTAAGCCTGAGCCGCTCTGTTTGGTTGTTTAAGTATCAGTGTTGGGGTTATTGGATAAATGGATGGGAGATGGAGAGATGGGGTGGTATGGTTTACCCAGACTATGCCGAAGGCGAGACTTTTCTTTTTGACGAACCAGTCCGGCATGAAGAGAATTGATGGGGCATAGGCGAAGCAGCCCGCTGTGCCGTATGCGATGCCTTGTGATAGGATCAAGTGCGTGACACTTGTGGAGAATGAGCTCAGGGCTAGGGAAAGCGATAGGACTACGAATGCTATCGAGGATGCCCATCGTTGCAGTCTAGGGAGAGCTATTAAAATGGCCATCACAATTGGGGATAGCAGGTACGCCATGCCCTATTGCTTTTAGCAGGTCGTCATATGCCCACGGGATGGGATACTCTTACTGACCATTGCGCAGGTCCCTATCGCAGCTATAGCATGGGATCCTTGGAATGCCGGGTCATTTCGATAGTAATTTTGAAATACACCGAAACAAGCGGCGAACCCTAACCACAGAGCTCATCGTCAGCTGCTATCGTACCATGTCAGACGTGGTTAACTCACCCCATACGGTGCCTTCCACCACAAAGCATGCCGCTAGGAAAAGCCATGCGTGGATTCCTCCATCTACTGGAGGTAACTTGGGGTCGTGGTATTCGCACTCTAAGTCGAAGGTCTGGGAGGATTCCGTTTGGGATGGAATACTCGGCTCTTTGCAGAGAACCTGCGGGGCCTTTTCAGTATGCTTACCCTCCATTTTGTGATACTACCGATGAAAGAGTAGAATTAGGGGTCACCTCAGGTGGGTTGAAAGATAGAGCCAACACAGGATACAGTTGTACAAATAAGAGTGTTCTCCATGGTGAGGCCTCTCCCATGCGAATTCGCTTCTGAATATACCCTGAGCTGTGAGATTAGACAAACAGGTTCATCCCTTGGGGATAGGTAATCCTATAGATGCGTTGGTATGCAGGACGGACATTTATTTACCAAGTCAGTAGCAAAGTTGTCGATCATTGCGATTCTAATGTCCGAGGAATGCTTTTTACCTATTTTGGAAGTGATGACTTTCCAGCATACGATGCTATACGTACAAGCTCGTGTGACAGAATCATATTTCCATAGCTTATTGTTCCATATGTCGTAAGGCAACATACACTTTGCTTCCACTTGAGTCAATACAATCCAGGCTACATGTGGAATAAGTGGTGAGTTGTGGGTGTCACGCGCTGAGCTTGCCCTTGTTGATCTTCGGTATACCTTGCCTCGGAATTCCTATCTGCTAATTTTAGGTGGGGGAAACTACTGCAGGCCCGAGGATATGGACAACAGATGGAGTCTTGAACTACGTCAAAGGCACTTTATAGGCAGCAAAACGCGCGGCCATCTCTTTTGTAGACTTATAAACAGGATATAGTCTTTGCCTGATACATACTTGGATTGATATTTGTAATTGAAACAACATCACCAACTTGAGGAAGTAGGGCAGGAGGTAGACCGACGTCATACGGTTCGAAGCTCCCGGCATGCTGGCTAGAGTATCCCAACGGTGGGCGATGCGAGATCATTCTCGGAATGCTGCCTGACAAATTACCGTGTCTGAGCACTATTCAACCAAGAGATTATGGAGAACTTAGATATATAGCTCCTACTACAACTAGAACGCCAGTATTTGTGGACTAGCCACAGTAGCTATCATTGAGGATAACATCAGACTTGACATCACTATAACAACAATCGACAGCCTTGTTTTGTGCAAGGTAACGCAAGATTTTGAGTGCTTCGTCCCCTTTTCTGTAGTAACTTTGAGCAGACCATGACGGACTTAGCTTATGCGTAGATTTCTCAGCAGTAACCTTGTCACCAGGCAACCCCTTTGGTTGTTTAACATCAGATTTAATTTGTAGAGAGCTGATTAAACGTATGATATTTCTTCAGACTGTGATGTCTGTATCTTCGTAGACTTCTTCCAGCAAAGTCCAGGGACAATCGAGTATTCCTTCTTCGCTTATGTTATCAACCATCTTGAACTTGAGTGAATGCTTGTATATAGTCGTGTGGTTAATATACTTCGACATAAGCTCTTCCTATCTGGCAGTCAGCGGAAGATAATTTGATCCGGCTGCTGCTGTCACTGAGGAACTGTACGATGCAGAAAGTGCTTGAGAGATATATAAAGTAGTGGATGAACAACCAAAGTCCCCCGTAGCGGGCGTACGTTGTTAAGTTGCACTTTCCATAGCTTGATCCCCGATGTAGAGGCATACTGTCGGGAAAGAGTATCAGCCACTGTCTATTAAGATTAAACTACGAGACTACTAATAGTAGTATGAGATGCGCATGCAATATGCCGTACAACAAGACAAAACACTACACATGTCAGGGATAGAACTTGCACAACTGATATCATAACTAAAGCGCAATGTACTGTATCATACCGACTAACGCATCCCGCAGACTGAGCTACAAAGTTCGATGCTATGTCTTCTTCTCCAAGCAGTCGGTATACCGACCAAATTGATGAAAAAGGGGGTTATTCGCGTCTATCGGGGGTAGTGTAAGCCCGATGACACTGTGTGGCAAGGCATGCGCAAGCACAGGGGCCCTGCCACGGAGACCAAAAATAAGATTAATCAATGTTGTGTTCCTATGGAACACTTTCAGAGATTAAACTGAAAAGAACAGATACTACACTTGATCTAAGCCAAAAGGCAAAGAGAGCTGGAGAAGAAAAGAAAAAAATTCTAAAGAGCGGGGGGTCGACGCAGTATTTAAAGGATTGTCTGAGTGGCCCGTGCGGCGCTAGTGGTAAGCGACCAAATATCAACCAATCATATGTCAGTCAGTCGTGCTGCGGTAAGCTTACCGGATCGGGACATCATATTAACGGCCAGGTTGAGGGTGAACACCACCCTAATTCCAGTATCTTGGGGAAGCGAAACTCAAGGCTACGGTCCATTCTGTACGTCCTCAGTGAAGACGTGCTAAATCCGCAATCAAGCTAGAACGGAAAGTTCTCAACGTTTACAAGTTACATGTCTCGTGTCCGATGCTACGACTACGATCGCAAATACGATGTTTTTGTCAACAGGTATACTCTTTCTAATGGACTGACATACGCAGTCCAGGAAGTAATCAATGATGCCGACGGACAATCTTCCAAAACTATATATCAAATATTCTAGATGAAAGGTTGAGTTACTAGTTTCTCCAGGCTTTTTACCGAAGAAAAGTATATGCGGCGAAACAAAAGACTTATAGCTTGATGGCAGTTGCTTCATTGGTGATTTAAATTTTTACTCTCTTGCGACAATATGACCAAGTTAGAGGGGGTGCCTTGTCAGGAGCAAGCCCTAGGGCTATACACTGTCTATTTTCGAGGACAGTACTTCAGATGACCTGTAGTTCACGACTTATGCAAGACAATGACTTAGAAGTATCATTACTCATCCAAAGCAGAGAGGCTGCTTATTTGTAAGAGTCTAACCTTTTCTACCTATGATACCCGAGCGGAAGTTCTAGAGAAAGCTCTATGCGCTCTCGTAGATCATCGCACTTAGGAATCTCCGCTTCAGTATCAGGAGAGCTTAGCTCAAAACATAAAAGTAATGGTCGAGACCGTCCGATGTTTACATGGCCACATGCCGAGGGTATCCGGGGCTCCAACATTAATCAATCTCATATTGACAAAGTACCAAAAGGGGGAAGCCGAGGCTTAAGCCAATATAAGCCCTATAGATCAACAGGAGTAAAACTATACCTTACACGTTCTCCACCTGATTCACAAACGGCCCGGTTGCCATCGGACATTTATGAACTTCTAGACTTTTCTACTCCCCTGTTTGTTCTAGACTAAAAACGCCTGATCAACAGAAATGACATGCATCCGAAAACTCTAACTTCCGCCATGCAGGCCTTGATATGTTCCGTACCTTTCAAGACCCATATATTGAGGAAAATTTAATATAACCGTTTCTTAGCTCCCAATGCATTCCAAGACTACTTTACCATGATACTTTATAAATCGTAGTTCTTCTATTCTCGTGCATCGACAACTTAATATAAAACCGAACATAAAAAGTCTTAGCCGATTCTACCCGCGGTTCGAGAACTCTTCAAGGATCAAAGTATCTACATACATCATTGCCAAAAGAATCATGATACTTTACATGCAAGGGTGTGCATCCGCCACCTGCAGTGTTACTGTGGTATCATAACATAAGAGGTATGCATGAGTCGCCCCAGACACGTCGCTTTTACGTTTCTCAGTTAAAATTAGAATCTTGCCAAGGAATAATGCAAATCATAATGATTTGTTCATGTCGTAAGGCACAGCCTAGAACGACATCACTTGTAGAGAAAACTCTGTTATAGTGCTCTGTACTCCCTGAACCAGGGCCACCATGTAAGAATCAGCGTATTGAGTCTCTTGGGTATGGCAGTCTCTAAGCACGTTCTCTGACGCTTCACTCTCATTGATCCTCAGCAGCATCGCCTTCGCCTTAAGCGTTATGAAATTGCCAGGCGAGCTTCCAAATCGCCCCATGCGATAACGTTTGTGTTGGTTTTGTCGCACACCACATACTCAACATCCCAACATTCCATTTCGTAAAGCTATACTACTCTCGATTTGAATCAGGCATCAGATGCGATGCAAAGCAACGTGCCATTGCATTTCCACTTCCGCTAAGTAATTATCGGCCCCTTGCATACCATATTCATGAAAGAATATGCCACAGCCGCGATATCACCTATCGCCACAGCCTCTGACAGAGTATGTTGTCCTCGTATTCCCGATGGTTGGTATGTTTGCCCATTTCATTGACGATTATGTATTGGTCAATGCTTTTAATCATAGGCACTTATCAAGGTAGTACAAACCGTTCAGCTCCACTAGGCGCCATAGACAACGCACGGCCCGAAGCCCCTGGTGTGTTCAGCTCTTCTTGTCGGGGATACAGGGTCACTATTTTGGAAGGTTCCAGGGTGGATCCACCCGGACACGATCTGGAGAGCAAGGGATGGTCTGACCATCACAGTCAGATTATCGAATTCGGGGTATAAGTACTCGGATATTTCAGCTTGAGTTCAGGTATAATTCATCAACAACATTCTCATATCTGAATACAAAAGCATTCCTCGCACAACAATCTCAATTGTTCTTCTGAACCCTTCTTTGTTCCCCACGTCCGCCAAAATGCTTCGTGTCTCTGCTATCTTCATGGCCTGCCTCCTTCTGGCAACCGCTGCCCCTACCACCCCTGAGAAAAGCAACGCTTGTCTCTCCATGTGTCTGCAGGAGAAGCCTGCTTGCGCTAGTGATGAAGTAAGCTATTCTATATTCACTTTTCACCATGCGCAATTACTGACCCCATTCTAGCATCCAACTGGCTCTGAGGTATATGTTGTTTGCCCATAGGAAAGAGTAACAATGATAACGAATGAGTGTTCAGGGCTGCTGGGGTTGCTGCCAGAAAATCGAAGCAGTAGCTGCCCCTGTCCAGAGCGAGTCATGTCTCTCAATGTGTCAACAGGAGAAGCCTAGTTGTGCTAGCGATGAGGTGCGTAACTGCATATTGCCTTCCCTAGAATAGCATCACTGACTGACTTTCTTTAGAAACCCACTGGCTACGAGGTATGTCTCTTCTAGTTAGCATAGGCAAGTGTAATGGTATTAACTGTGTATTTTTAGGGCTGTTGGGGCTGCTGCCAGAAAGTCAAGCCAACTGCGCCTGTCAAGAAGGAGATGTGTCTCTCCATGTGTCTGAAGGAGAAGCCTGCTTGTGCCAGTGATGAAGTGAGTTCCTCTGTACTTTCTTATCTTGATCGCAGTTAATAACTAACTTTGTTCCAGCACCCAACTGGCTCTGAGGTATGTCTTTTTCACTTGTTGCAGGTTAAGGTAATCAATCATATTAACAGGTCATCATTTAGGGCTGCTGGGGCTGCTGCCAGAAGATCTAAACAGCAAACAACCAACGACTGATCTTGGGATCATCACATCAAAAGTATTAATTTTCTGTCTGAATTTCTGTTCAAAAGCAAAAACAAACACTATCTATCTCCCATTTCTGTCTCTTGATTGGCGGATGTCTTCTATGTATTGCAATGTGGACATCGCTGATGTACGTACTAATAATAAGTCATTCCTTCGTGCATGGGTGATATAATCCAAATCATGCATCTATCTTTATTCGGAATATCATTACCTATGTTATACTAGTAGTGATCTGACATATCACTTACTATTCCTAACCAATATGCACCACCATCCATCTCAAACTCCAAAAAACACATCCAGTCCCAGTGGGTCATTTGCTTCTACAAAACCAATGCAAGGCTACGTAGCAAATAATCCATACTAGCCAATCCCTATTCGATGTCCCTCCATCCCAGATCCACCTAGCATGCAAGGCTGGCGCTTAAGACGCATTCACACTGCGGAACCTTGGAGCTCGCGATGTGGATAAATATCAGCCAGTAGAGGACTGCAGGCCGCATCATAGTAAGAAAGGCTGTGCAGTGAGTTGATAGATATAAGGCAGATATAAGGCTAATAAAAAGCCCCGGAAAATGTTTGTCGTAAAGTACGGGGCCTATCGCCAGCGCAGCACCTGTGGGTTCTACTCCCTCGCATTTATCCGTGGCTTCGTCCCATACTTATACCGACGAACCTAACCATCTACTTTAGTGAATGTAATCCCACAAACACCTATGAGAATCCCTATTTTTACTCGCACCGATTTAATCTCAAGAAGAAATACTTATACAAACTTCCCCCAGAACCCAAAATGGGCGCTGTCAATTCGATAATGCAATGCTTCCCGTCACGACCTACTCAAAACCAAGCACCACCCACCCGCAAGACAGAAGACATCGCCTCCGATATCATCACAATCATTCTAACCACCGACTCGCACTATGCCATCAAAAAACGTCTCGACGAGACCATCAGCACAACCAGTTGGACCGCATCGCTAGCCCAAGCCATCCTCCACGGGCTCGAGACTGCCATCAAAGCCGGCGCGCAGATGGCCGAAGCAGCGTCCAAGGCACTTGCTCGGGCTACAGATGAGGCTTATGAGTTCTCTCGTGAACATCCTATTTTCGCTACTATTCTTGCTTTGAGTGTTTTGGCCATTTTGACTCCGTGGGTTATTGAGATCTTGGGATTTGGGGAATTGGGACCTATTGAGGGGTCGTTTGCTGCTGCTTGGCAGAGGACCTATGCTGGATATGTGCCTAAGGAGTCTCTGTTTTCTTTCTTTCAGCGGTTGGGGATGGTCTGGAAACCTTAGAGTTTTGGTTGGTATGGCTTTGGATTTTGCGTCCGTGTATGTGAGAAACATAAAAGGTTGATACTTGTGTGACTGATGCTGGTAAAGATTTCTTGGGACACAGAAGACTGTGAGGCAACGACATCAGTTACTCCAATGACAGTTCAGTACTGGAACTGGTTTATCGTAAGAAATGGATTTCTGGTACATGACAGTGCTGAAAGAAAGAGGCCCCAGTGCCCATAACATCGCTTAGCCAATGTCGAGGCCCAAGATGTTGCCGCTTGTTGCCCCTGGGAGCCCGAATTGAATGAGCGGCCATCGCATTCCTGGCAGTAGACCCAGAAAAAAGAAACCTAGGGATGGGATTGTCAACGTTGAGTCGTTTGGTAAGACCTCGGTTTACGATCCCTTAGTGGCAATATCAAAATTGACCAACTTTTAGGTCGTAAGTTACCAGGATTTGGAAGTCTTTTTAAACGCGGACTTTCGGGTCCTTGGTGAGCTCTCAACGTTGTATTGTGGTACTTCTCGCCCAGTACGAGATGGCCGTGTAAGTACGCCGAACAAGGATGAGTCGATGTTTATATAGATTTTAACCTTCTAAAATTACGATATTCTAAATAGATTTAGTAAAAATGTATATAAGTACGAGAATAATATGTCTACCCATTATCTCTAGAGTAGAGAATTTTTGTTCGGCATGACACAGTAGAAAGACGCAATCTGCTATGTCACTCTTTGGCTGCGAAGTTCTGTCACTCTGCAGTTTGATGTATTACTTGCATTCCTTTAGAAGTCTTATCACTTCACTCTCCTACTCTTTTCTCACTTTCTCTTCAGCATCAGTAGCTCTGCTCGATATGAATGTCAGAGAAGGATGAAATCAGAAGGTCAAACAGCGCAGCGAACAGCTGTTGAGAACCATATTTTATTCCGAACACGGTGAATGGGAAGTCGCTGCTACAGTTGCGCAACGGAGGACACCAAGGGTAATTAAGAATGTCCGGTGCGCAGGACAAGATTTCCACCTGTATCTGGGCGTCGGCGCATGTTGAAGACACTGAAGCGTTTGACAAGTGGACGACGCGGAAGGCCACCGAAGGGCGGAAATATACGATGGTTATATCGGTGCGTATTAATCTTGGAACTAGTAGACAATTTTGGACTCAAGATTTCAACAGGTGGTCCCGTAACTCAGTCGGTTAGAGTGCTGAGCTAATAACTCAGAAGTCGAGAGTTCGAGCCTCTCCGGGACCATGAATCTTTTTTTTTGGTTTTTCCTCTATTTTCCATACTTTTTTGCACGCATCGATTGTATCTTGCCTACAAATATTGCCCAAACCTAATGTCCCTGGCATACAGACACGTCATAAAATCTATCCCCGATGTAAGAGAGCGGAATATATACCTGTCGCATGACAACTGTATTTCTTACCTATCTCCAAAAGATGTATAAGTCTGAATATGACTTGCCGTGTCCCCGGTTGGTGATAATATATATATATATGTGCTATGAGCACGAAAAATGATCAAACTGGAACGCGATAGCAGAGTGGTCCAGCTACCCTATGGTTCTACGGATCTTAATAATATTTGAGCTTGATTTAACCTTAATTTAAGTAGATGTTATATATATCCTAACCGGTAATCGTTCGAGAACCCAGTCAACTGTCTAGGTAGTATGAACACGGTTACTGCGGCCAATCCCGTAGCCGAGCCTCGGTACCGACTCGAACGGAATCATGCAATTCGGCTTGCCGAAGTACAAGCCGAGTCGACCGATGGTGGACCAAAGCGGGCTGCAGGATCACCCAAGTGGAGCGACCACCCGATGTATACAGCTCTTCAAGCCAATGGTGTTGCAATTCGCTATATTTTCTTTCATTATCTGATCTGTACATGTTATCATTTCACAGATTTTGATCTCATGGCCTCCATGGTCTCCAGCAACAGTATTGCGTATATAATCCTTTCATTTTCGATCATTGTCCATTTCTCTTACTTCTTTCCACCGCACAGTATGCACAATAGTATAATTATATCCACGCAGGTCCCTTGGAATGACTTCCGAAGACTATACTCATGAAGCCACCCGGCCCCAGGGAATTCCGTATTGGCGCCTACTCACCGACCAAGGCGTCGTCACGCCCGAAATAATCAACTATCCATATCGGGGCTCCGGCACAGATGATGATCCCTACATCGTGGAATGGATCCCTAATGATCCCCGCAACCCGATGTTGCTTAACAAATCCCTGAAATGGGCTTACACTATCACCGTTGCATTCGCCACGTTCGGTGTCTCGCTTTCCTCCTCCGCTTATGCAGGAGGCATCCAGGAAGTCATCAAACACTTCGGCATCGGCGAAGAAGTGGCAACGCTCGGTGTGTCACTATTCGTCCTAGGCTTTGCAGTTGGCCCATTAGTATGGGCGCCTCTGAGTGAACTGATCGGCCGCCAGATCGTTTTTTTTATCTCATATGGGGCTCTTGCATTCTTCTGTGCCGGCGCTGCCGGTGCACAAAATAGCTGGACGTTGATCATCCTGCGCTTCTTTGCTGGCTCATTCGGATCCTCGCCATTAACGAACGCTGGCGGCGTCATCGCCGATATCTTCCCAGCAGAAGAACGAGGTCTAGCAACAAGTTTATTCGCCGGCGCACCGTTCCTAGGTACGTACACCACCACACACCATCTTCAACCTAAACTAACAAAAATAAACAAAAAGGTCCAACCCTAGGCCCCGTAATCGGCGGCTTCCTCGGCGAAAACGCCGGCTGGCGCTGGGTACAAGGCTTCCTCGCAACTTTCACCGGTCTAATCTGGATCGTGGAATCGCTCCTTGTGCCCGAAACCTACGCACCACTACTTCTCCGCAAACGTGCCGCCCGCCTCACAGCCCTCACCGGCAAAGCCCACCGGAGCAAGCTCGATCTCGAACGCGGCAAAGTAACCATGGCAAGCGCTTTCGGCGCCGCCCTCCTTCGCCCCTGGATCCTCCTCTTCGCCGAACCTATCGTTCTCCTCCTCTCAACCTACATGGCCATCGTCTACGGTACGCTCTACATGCTCTTCGACGCCTTCCCAATCGTCTTCCAACAGCTCCGCGGCTGGTCCGAAGGCGTCGGCTCCCTCCCATTCCTCGGCGTCATGATCGGCATGATGCTTGCCGTCGCCCTAAACATGCTCGACAATAAACGCTACGTCGCAATCCACAAAGCTCACCACGGCTTCGCTCCCCCCGAAGCTCGTCTCCCGCCCACCATGCTCGGCAGCGTCGCCATCCCCATCGGCCTCTTCTGGTTCGCCTGGACTAACGCGCCCCCCGTCCACTGGATCGTGAGTATCATTGCCGCCGCCCCCTTCGGTTTCGGTATGGTTCTCGTCTTCCTCAATATCATGTCCTACCTTATCGATGCATATACTATCTACGCTGCCAGCGTGCTGGCCGCAAACTCCATTATCAGGTCCTGTTTTGGTGCCGGCTTCCCCCTCTTCACCACCTACATGTATCGCAATCTAGGGGTCCACTGGGCTTCCTGTATTCCTGCTTTTCTGGCCCTTGCTTGTCTGCCTTTTCCGTTTGTTTTCTATAAATATGGTGCTGTTATACGGAGGAAGTGTAAATATGCGGCTGAGGCGGATGATTTTATGAGGAGGTTAGCGGAGAAGACGGTCCCTCCAGAGGAGGAGGAGGAGAAGATCATTGATGAAGAGGTTAGGGCTCAGGCTGAGGGGCGGGGAAGTGCCGATGGTGGAGAAGATTTGGAGAGGTTGGAGTCCGGGGGTAGGAGCTCACTGTCGACTGTGCGTGACGGGACTGCGGGTTACGAGGTTAATCCGTATGATATCGATCGTGTTAATACGAGGCACTCGGCCATTTCGAGACGGTCCAGGTCCAGGTCTGCTAAGAGGAGGAAGAGAGGGTTTTTAGGGGTTTGATACGGGTTTGAGAGGTTGTTTCGTATGTAATGTTTAGATATAGGTAATTATTATTTTAAAACTGAGAGTTTGTTGTCCTTTGATCGACTTTTACGTGTACTTATGGTGAACTGGTGTTCCCTGTGATATTGGTTTTATGCGATTATCTATGTACAAGCTCAATGGAATATTGCGTGGAAATAAGAAATTTAAGATTGTTTCGGTTGACCTCGGTTTGCGTATGTACACTCAACCGGAATTTGATATCCAAAATGTATAGACAAAAGAGCCAGGCCCTCAGGAAACATGAAATGAAGAATAAAATAGTCGGGAAGATTAACTTCACTTAGAAGCTATGGGATTCTCAAATCTCGTGACTCAGTATACGAGATGGTGGCAAGTAGGAATAACACAAGCACACTAGTATACAGGGACTTTGAAGGCTGGGAACTCGTAAGTCCAGCTGTCAATCGACTTCTCGTCGTTTACACAGTCGAAGGTGGAGTTGCCGCGCCAGAGAGGACGCTTGGGCCACTGGCAAAGCATTTGGGTCTCGCCGGCGTAGGTGCCCGAAGAAACGGTGGCATTGAGACGGGATGGCTTGTTGCCGTTCTCAACCCAGTCGATCATGATCTCCATATTGTTCTCGGGGTAAGGTCCAGGCTGGAGCGAGTTGGTTCCGCAGTGGGCGGCACCAGGGATTAGGTAGAACTGGTACCAGTCCTCAAGGGCCTTCAGAGCCTCCTCTTCCGTCTTGTCGCCGTACATGATGGACCGAACCGCCTGCCAGTAGTGGACCGAGGAGGCAGCAGGGATGCTTGGGTCAGATTCACCGTGGTAGTGCAGCAGCTTTCCGCCGGACGATTGGAAGGGAGTCAGATCGGGGAGGGTGGTCTGAAGGCTGTCCATGTAGCGCACCATACCAGTGTTCATCCAGTCCACCAGGGTGTCATAGGTGACGTTGTTCAGGTCCGAAAGGTTGTCGAGGTCTAGGAGCTGAATGAACTTGGTGACGTACTCACCACCGGTCGACGGGATGCTGAGCTCCCACTTGCCAGTGTTAGAGTTGTACTCGGTCTCAGCATCGCTTAGCTCGGAGGCAATCTGCCAGGAGAGGTACGCGCGCTCGCCCTTGCTGTTGTGGAGACCATCATAGATGGCCTGGGCGACAGCTACACCGCGTGCAGTGACCGTGCCGTTCTGGGCGGGTTGGTAGCTGGTGGTGCTGCCCTCGGCCTGACGCTTGACATTGCTGCGCTTACCATTGCTGAAGCCGAAACCAAGTGAAGTGCTCGTCTCCGCATCACAGTGGTAAGGCTCTCCGATGATGGTGGTCAAATTGAAGTGGAGCTTGCAAAGATCCGTCCGGGACACGACACCGTCGGTTCTTCCATCAAGCGGGTCGCAAGCAGCAATGGTGGCGTTCACGATCTTCTTCAACTCACATGGAGGCGGGTAGTAGTCCAGGGTCTGCTCCACTTCGGATGAGAACACATGGTGCACCTGTTGCTGAGCGAAACGGAAGGCCGGGGCACCAGTAATCACGCCATCGTACTCCTTACCCCAGCGCTGGACTTGACTCATACCCTCACGTCCACCATCGGAGCAACCCTCGTAGTAGGTGTAGAGCTTGGACTGGCCATAGAAGGCCTTGGTGATGTACTTTCCAATTTGGGTCATCTCTCCAAGCGCCTGATATGCGAACATGTACGTGGCGTCCCAGTTGATAGTTCCGTTTCCGTAGAGGACAACCTCGTCGTAGCTGTTGTCGAAGGCGTCGTACCCAGCATCGGTGGCACCTCCAACAGCGCCATAGGCGAGACCTCCGGTCGCGTCACTGGAGAGGGAGAAGCCTCCACCACCAGCAACGTAGAAACGGTTCTCGTAGTCGGAGGGCTTGGGGAATGCATACTTGATGACCACCTTGTCACCCTTGCCAGTATGCGTGTAGGCGACAGTCACATTGCAGTAGTCATAGGTCGTCGTGCTACCCATGCCGGCCGACTGGTTGTAGAGAGGGCTGGCCGTGACGGCGGACGGAAGCATGCTGATTCCGAGCAAAGTTCCGTTGGCAGGCAAAGCAGCCTTCACATTGGACACGGTGCAGACATCGGTGAAAGAAGCTGCGTTCGCTCCTGCTGCCAAAGCAGCAACGGCCATGCGCGAGTGTTGGCGCATCTTTCGAACCAAAAGAACGGCAGAGGTCAACGAGTGTTCAAAGGATGTGAAAGGAATAAACGAATGATGAGGTCGTATCTTAGAGTATCCATAGGGGAGAGTATCGTCCTATTTAACGCAGGGCTAGGGCTGACCGAGGCCACTGCCTTCAGCATCATAAGGTTCGGGATTCGTATCAAGCTTGTGGGCCAAACGGCAGATCAACGCTTTGCCATCCTTAAATCTATTCAGGCTGTCGTCACCGGGTTGCGTGGCAATATGCCAAGACAAAAAGGCCTTCCTTGAGGCTGGACTGGTGGAGTTCATAGTCTGTTGTTATGAATTTCCTGTTATCTGATGTTCCGGTTCGGCGGAACTCTGGTCTTATCTGATCTCTCTGTGCAGCCCTTATCCCTGTGCATGCTAAGCTATCCACGATCGAGTTCCTATGTCAGCAACATTCAATGGAGATGCAATTACTGAGATTTGGCTCTCCCCTGGCATTCGTCTTGTCTGACGCGGTCTTCTTCAGTATTTTTGGCACTTTTTTTGGGTCTATTAAATCCGCTAAGAGGGAACGGGTAACTATTCCCGAGCGCTCGGAGTTAACGATCAAAAGATAAGATGCTGAAGAATTTGGTCTCCAATCACCACCAGTACCAATTGCTGATCAGGGGCAAATTGGATTAAGACCTTACCTAACGTGCTGCGTTTATTTATCTTTATTTTTTTTTATCTCCGAGCATCAGATACCAACAACTTCACCTCGTAGCATCTTATACCTACAACAAGACCTATCTCTAGGCGGAAAACGCTGAGCGGCTGCCAAATACTCCACAGGGCAACCGATTATGGACTGGCAACAAAAGCCGTTCTACATTTGAGTAACGGATGTTCAGGACAATTAACAAGTACCAAACATTATATTCTAAGTTGCGGAAGAGTATATACCCGGCCCCCCCCCTGACTAGACCTCAAAGTAGTGGAGGCTGAGCCAACCAACCTTACAAGACCTACTGATGTAATATTCCTAAGAAGGGAATAGAGAATTTTCATAAAGGCAAATTCTTCGTTGTTGCCTGGACTCATTTAATTGAAACGGTTATTGTCATAATTATATCGTCATCATGGTCATATGTTTTTCTAGACATCGGGTCTAGACTGTACAGATTCATCCTTAAAAATCAGCCGGCTCAGGTAGTTTCTCCGGCGTCTCACGGAAATTGTTGGTGATCAGACCTCGGAAGCTGGGAGACCAGTCGACGCGAGGAGTGAGGATGTCCAGGTTCCAGAGCTCAGCCACATACTTGAGGATAGAGGTGTGGGTGAATTCGTTAGGCTGGTCAGTCGGGCTATTCTGAACCAGGCCTTTGCCCACCCATGGAGACATCAAAATGGTAGGCACTCGGATACCCAAACGGTCGAAATGGAAGGTAGCCTCTTGGCCGTCCTTGGCCGTTTCGGTGTACGTCAGGTTATCGCCAGCCGGCACGTTCTCAGGAGGAGACACATGGTCGGCAAAACCACCGTGCTCGTCAAATGTCAGGATGAAAAGCGTCTCATTCCACTGCGGGGAAGAGCGTAACGCCTCGTAGATGCTCTTAATGAAGCCCTCGCCCATATTGATTGGAGAGGGCGGGTGGAAAGACATATACGAGCAGCATTCTGGGTTAATCCAGGTAAACTGAGGTAGCGTACCGGCTTTAGCATCGTTGAAGAACTGGTCAATAGGCTTCACGTTGGTGGTGCCCTTGCCACTATTGGCGGTCCACTGGTAGAACAAAGAATCCGGAAGGAAACCAGTAGTGTTGGAGTAGTTGATCCAGCTAATGCCGGCGGCCGAGAGCTGCTCGAAGATAGACACCTGAGGCAAGTTGGAGACATCGAAGTCGTGGTCATTTTGACCGTGGCCGTGCGAGGTGCCAGAAGTGAGGTACGCACGGTTGGGGTTGGTCGGTCCCGGAACCGATGCGAACCAGCGGTCAAAGAGCACAAAGTTCTCGGCCATAGCATTGAAAACCGGCACGTGTTCCGGCGTGTAGTAGTTAATGACCTCTGCAGCGCGACTCAAATCGGAGCCGAGTCCGTAAGAGACAATCTGCTCTGTTACGAAGCCCTGCATGCCAGGCATGTCATTCTTCGCGCTGGGGTGGTAGGTGCTATACACCTGCTGGTTACCACCAGTAATGCTGTGGTCCGGATCATCGGGAGCCACATTCTTCGCGATCGGTTTGGCGCAAACCTTCTCTGAGAATGGATCTGAAGCATTTGACGGGTTGCAGTACTCGCGGTTGACCAACCCATCGATGTTGGAGTTGTATGTCAAGCCACCGGCAAACACGTCAAAACTCAGGTTCTCCTCGACCAGTACCACCTATAGTGTTACTTAGTACTGAAGGCCGGGAGGGGTAACCATTCAGCAATTGATAGAAATCGAAACATACCACGTTCTTAATCGGAGTGTCCTTAATAGGATTTACCGGCTTGCCGTATGAAGGGCTTGATAAACGGGCATGGGGAAGGCCGTTTATACCCAGACCCAGAGAGAAGAACGCGAGCAACGAAATGATGCTCATGATGGACAGTAGCACCGTGATGAGAGTCGTGCGCACCCAGGGACGACGTGGTCTTTCTGGTGACCAGGTCGCCGCCTTTATATGAGCAAGTCCATCCTCCTGTATGACCCGATCAGGCCTGAGGATCGGCTGCAATTCGGGCTTTGATGGGCCACGTGGGGCCGAAGGTGGTTGCCATTGCATGATGGAATGCAGTGGTGCTATCAGTTAGCTTCCTTGCAGAAGAAAATGAGGGTTGAATGTGAGTCTGTATCACAATAGTCGGTAGTCTACTTCGCAGTAGTTTGTACGTTAGTTCGACCTGACTTGCCGTGGGGTCAACAATCGATAAGGACCCTTTTGCAGGTGGGGCAAGCCTCAAGCCGAAAGGCTCCATTGGTGCTCGGCATGCGGTCTCATGGTTGGATGAGGGCGGTGGATTGGCTGGAGAAAGACTGGGCATCACGGCTACTCCATACCGCAAGGGGCTTAACTCCTCCCCTCTCATTCGGTCAAGGGTCAAGAGACCTTGCAAGCCCTAATCCTCCAACGTGCCAATTATTGATTTCTCTCAGGCATGTGCCATGCAAGGCATCAGGTTCCCGTGTCGATCCCCTGAAAACAATAAAACTTTCCAAATTTTGAGTCTGTGATCGGAATGAATGACCTCGCTTGGGGACGGTCGGATTACCTCGCGCGCCCTATTGGGGTCCTGGATATGCCCACGGATCTGCATCCGTGCGCCATTTTTGCAGACGGATAGATATGTGATGAACTAAGAACGTTGCTCTTGTGCTGTACCCCTGGTTCCTGTCTCCTCGGCTGCTTACCTTCAGTTTCCTGTCACTAGGAAAATTGCTGGCCATTGACGGAAACCTTATCATTTGACCTCCTCAGGTGTTGACTTTCTCCAAGTACTTGTGGAACTTAGCCATCGGGACTAGGCACTGAAACCACATATGCCCTATAGTACCAGAAGATTAGCGGTGAGCGATCAATCATTTCAAAGTATATTCCCTCCAATATAGTCATGGATGCATGCCATACACACGTCCCCTCTCTAAATGGCCCGAAATGGAACTTCTGGTTCAAGGGCCCTGATACCATCGTGGGGCTGGGGCCTCTCCGTCATCTGCGCGGATTCCAGATATGACACGACGAGATCAAACAACCTTTGGAATTATAATTTACTTTATTAGTGATTTCGCTAATAAAGTTTCCATTTCACCTGTGACCAACCCATTAACCGGTCTGGCAGTTGTGGTCCGGTACCTCTATCTACGAGGTGCCCAAGTGTTGCCCCCGCCATCACGTAACATATTCTACCTAGATAGACAGATCCATGTCCACTCGAACCATACCGGGACCCGTTCGTAGTGCTTAGAAATCCCTGCGGACCCTGAGCCATTTCTGATCTCGTCCAACATGGCAGCTCATGTCCGCCTGAGACATACAGGAATATGGCGACACGTATGGCATGGATACTGCTAATTTGTCTTGCTAGACGCAGAATCACCCCGCTACGCATATCTCAAAAGTAGATTATTTACATTTTAATGCCCTTCTAAGTCAGGTCGAGTATAAATTCAGAGAACCCGCCTTCCTGGTCCAACAAATACATACACACATCAACAGCTGCCCGAGGGGTATATGATAAAAACTAAATAAAAGACGCCATGCAAGGAAGGTTGGTACAAAATGAGCAAGGAAAAGGGAGACGGCTACTCTGTTGTAGCAACTGGACGATAGCTTGCGGATGATGATCTTGCGGCGTTCAGGCAACGGGGGATCAACACTCCCCGCACAAAGGCTTGAGTCAAGCCGCATTGACCGTCGTCCACTGGAGCTGAAAAGCGAAGTGATCTATGCCAATCGCAAACCTAATTATTACCTCAGTTGATCCGGTCCTTTTGCTCTAGTTTCCCCACTAGTCGCTTCACTCCAGCCCATTCCTCGGCAGGCACATCTTCAGGAGTGCCACTAAGACCCTTTCCTACCTCAAAGACGGTGACAACCCCATCTAATCCACCCGTGGCAATCCGCCTTCCTTCACGCTCCTCCCAAGCCACCTTGTTGAGACTACTCGTCAAGATGCCACCGCGGCCCTTGGACGGCGTGGTCCGCACAACTGGTACTTCCGTATCCGTGTAGAGGTCCCAAACTTCGAGGTTTCCAGCACCATCGACGAGGGAGAATACTCCAGGGCGGTGGGGAGACCACCGGGCATCATAGACAACGTCTTCACGGTTGATGTCCAGAATTGGAGACACAACCTGTGTCGCGGCGATGGCCGAGGTGGCCGGTGCAGTGGTGGCTGGTGGCCGAACACGCCACAGCTTCACGCTCCAATCCAAACTAGAACTCAACATCAGGTCTCCCAGATCAACGGGGCCCCGAGCCGGGTGGAAGGCAGTAGACATGATAGGGGCTGCATGGCCGCGGTACGCAAGACGGTGGTCAGTCCCGGCCTTAGCACCGGCTCGGTCATAGCGATGACAAGGGTAGATCCCGCCTTCTTCGGTACCAACGATGAAGAATGTCGGATCGGATTGTGGGAATGACATAGTCGTGGGGGCTAGATCTTCGGTTTTGGAAGGCGGGGGAGTAGAAAGTTCGAGATATTCTTGAGGTTGAGACAGCATATCAACAGTCCAGCCACAAACCACGCCATCCGTAGATGCAGTAAGTATGTTATGAGCATTTTGTGTGCCGATGATTGAAATGCTATAAACTGGATGGGTGTGCCCAGAACCAGTCAGAGGCGTCTTCTGTACCGGTGCACCACCACCCGCGCGCGATGACCGGGTGTCCCAAAGCAGAACCTGCCCGGAATACGAACCGCCGACGATGAGGTTAGGGTGAAATGGAGAGAACTTGGCCGCTAAGATATCGGATGTAGAATGAAACACATACTCGGGGCGGGATTGCAGGTGTTGGTTCCAAATTTGAACCAGGCCGTCCGGTTCATGAGGTGCAGATGGGTTTTTGGTGTATGCAGCCAAAACAAGCTCCGGGAACTATAGATGGATAGTCAGCGGTGCATAACAAGGGAAATAAATTTCGATCATGACATACCTTTGGAGAAAAGCTCACGTCACTGATCATGCGCTTCTTACTCCATCGTTCGTCCCAAAACTGGCAAACCTCTCTGATGCCTCTCCTTTTCTTCCCATGCTCGTCATCTTCCTCGACATCGCCATCAAGTCCACCGAGCTCATAGTCCGCTAGTACGTCATATTCCTCATCAAGGGCACGCTCAATAACCTTTGCGGAACGTTCGACGAAGTCCAGGAAATCCTCGGAAGAGGTCACTGCCTTCAGTTCATCATCATCCAATGTGCGCAATGGATACCGTAGTTTGGAAGATTCATCCTCGGCGTCATGTTCTGCCTTCTGCTGGGTAGCTAGTAATTCCTCCTCGATTTCTGCGCGAAGCTTCTTCCGGATCTCTTCGTCGCGCTCGCGCTCCTTCTTGCTTAGGCGTTTACCTGCGCCCGTAGGATCCTGCCCGTCTTCGTCTTCAGATTCAGCCGATGAAGTATCTTGTGGTTGTTTCGAGTCATCCGTCTGGACTCCTTTGCTGTATGTAACAATTTCGGGTTTTGGTTCAGGGGGTGGTGCTGTAGGATATGGCTCTGCACCGACGGTTTGGACGGCAATCGAGTGCGAAACTGGTCGCGCAGCAGGGATGAATGCTTCGGCATGATCTCCGCTCACTTGGCTAGCACTAATCACTGAATTCGGTCTGCTCCCTTTGCGTGAGGGGCCATCTGCGTGGCTGATGGACGCCGACCCGGGACGGTCCACCAGACGAGAGATCAGGTCATCGAGCTCCGCTCTGCTATCGGCACGGCTAGGAACTGGGGACACGACCTATAGTGGGTGGGGGGAGTTAAAAAAGACATGGCTCTCCTTTAGAATATTGGTGGTGTTGGAGAATGTCCCCTACCTCGGAAGCATCACCGCTGTTGGCCCGACTTTGCGAGAACTCCTGCTGGCGCAACTCTCTTTGTCGTTTTAGTTCGGCAAGTTTCGCTCTTTTGGCGAGGATCTCTGCCTTTCGCTGTTGCATAGCTGATGACATGGTGAATTGAGACAGCCGATGGGCTGACGTACCATCCAAACCAAATCCGTTCGGTACTAATAAGTTTATGATTATTTACTCCCGTCTCAAGTTATGCGCGTTAGTTGGACTTCCCCATCCCGCGCCCAGAGTCCGGGTCGGCGGATGACATAAGCACAGGCCCCCGACGGTCCGGAAAAACTCGCGACAGGAACTTCGCCTTGAACAAGCTTCTGAGTATCCTGTCCGATTGCCAGCCATTGCCAATTGATACCCTCCAAACGGTCGCTCGGAATCCGGCCTTGTTACCCTGCGTTTATTTGCCCTTTTTTGAATTCCGCTCCGGAGGCCAGGATCTTAAAGATGGCTACCGCACAAGGTGTCAACGTGAGTGTCCGCAAGGGACCCGTTCTGATAATGGACCCTGGGCAACTGACAACATCATACCCGCATTACAGGTCCTTCGCTACTCGGCTCTCGTAGCTGGTCTCTTCTACGGTGCCTACCACCAATCCTCGATCACTGCCAACGCGAAGCGTGCCGAAGCCGACCGTGAATACGCCCGTCAGGAGCGCCTGATCCAGCAGGCCAAGGCCGAATGGAAGAAGAAGACGGCACCCAAGGACACACAGAACAGCGGAAGTATGTTGCCAGCTTCGTGAGCCCTGAATGAGATGCGACGCCTTCGATTTATTCCACGAAGGCAATGCTATACTTGATCCGACGCTAACGGTTGCCTGCAGTCATCACGGACCCCGAGGACAGCCGGTTCGACCTTGAGGCCTACCTGAAGATGAAGGCCGGGGAGAACTAGAGGAATTGGAAGGTACAAAGTGAGAGGACGAGTGACAGCTGTTCTGGTACAACGGTCGTGCCCCATAGGGTACAAGAAAGGTTGTTCGGGTAACCCCCGATTATGTATTATTGTTTGGTCTAATTTCCCAGAGTCGTGTCATTGCGAGCGAAAGGAATGATTTTTCTTTTACGTTACTAGAGATCCTCTCCGAGTCCTTGTACATACCCTGGGCTGTCGTGCGTCTGTACACTACAGTTGGACCAGAAGAGCAAGAGATTCTGTTCGCTTTGGTGTCACTGCTGATCCCTTGTACTGTGTGCGCCCTTGGGTGGGGTGATACTCTTATCATTGCTCATCAGACGTTTCCGCCATTAAACGGACTTGGAGGTCTATTGTTGCGTAGCCATCTCAGCTCCTCTTCGTTTATTTAGTCGGATCTTCCGGGTTTCTAAAGCGATGTCATGTCCGAATTGTCCACCTTTAGCCCCCATGCTTCCCAATCAACGCCATAATCTGGCTCACTTCATCGTATAACCGAGTGTCCTTTTCTGGTGCTGTGGGGATTGGCTTAGGGTGTAATAATCTTGTGCTTTCATCCCATACCCACCCAACTGCAGTGAATTTCTGTATCACTGCGGGGTCGCCCTGCTCTGCTGCAGCAGTATCGAGACCGAGATAATTTGCAGCCGTCGCAGGCCGTATCGCTTCGTAGGCATGGCTGACTTCTTTCAATGTTTTCTCTTGAAAATATGCTAGGAAAATAGTCAGAGAAAGTCACAGCGACAGAAACAAAGTTGAAGTGTTTCTCTTACTCTCGTAGCTTTCTACCGCCGGGCGCAGGAGCTCTGGCCAGGGTAGCTCTCTTAGGATTTTGTAGATTGACTCATATTTCCTCTGCCAAACAGCCCGTAGGAGAGTCAGACAATTCTGGAGCGATGGATCATTTTGAGACAGCTCTTGTGGCATTCGTTGAGTCATCGCGCGAGCTTCATATCTGTACAACGCCAGGATATGACCATTAGTTGCCTGGCGAGGCGCCTTCTCTGCAGGCTTTGAGCGTGGGTAAAACTCACATTTGATCTGTCAGAAGGTGTGCAAAGAAAAAAATCGAGTAGAATAGACTGAGGAGCTCCGATACATTGCTATCAGTTGTTGACATTAAACAAGCCTCGCCCTCGTACTCCACCAAAGCATCGTAGAGCTCTGTTGGTGAACGACTAGATTTGAGCACTGCGGAAAGTTGTTCCTTGGATAGTGGAGGTAAATCCATCTTAATTAGATGATGTATAAAGGGAAGTGTATTAATCGCAGAGACCGTTAGACGAGAGAAAGACGTAGGCAAAGACCCAAAAAAGCACGCTGAAGCTAATCTCAGTAGTATCGATAGTGACGGTTGATTGATATCAAAGGCGGTGCGGTGTGGGGGCGCGGAGAGTTCAATGTGACGGTATTGTATGTATGTAAAGTATAAACGTGCCTAGTGCCAAGCCTCGGAAGTGACCACCTTGCGAAGCTGTCCCCATTCGATCAACGAAACATCCAACTACTCCTCTCTTCAGCTCCAGGGCAGGACGAGGGCCAACTCTCTTTTTGCTTTCCCCATTGATTTTTTCTCTTACGTTATTCTCTGGCCGTTATGGCCGAAACACCTGTTGATGCCTTGTTGAAAGGCAACACCGGCAGGAATACGCGCGGCCTGCTGCGCATTATCATTCTAGTTACAATCGCCGCTGCTGCAGTGTCGAGTCGACTGTTCAGTGTGATTCGTATGTCATCCGACAGATAACCTACTCGTAATTACTCATTGAGTCAATTGGTACTGACTTGAATTGCGCTAGGGTTTGAAAGCATTATCCATGAATGTACGTTCAACAACAACCAACCTATACTCCGACAAGTTGCCCACAACCCCGGACTTCGACCAATATACAATACTGTTATCTCTCTTCGTTAAGATCGCCGGGCATCCGCTGACTTCATACCCTACAGTCGATCCTTGGTTTAATTTTCGCGCAACAAAATACTTGGTACAACATGGCTTCGAAAGCTTCTGGGACTGGTTTGATGACCGTAAGTGATTCTTCGGCAGGCGATACCAACTATACTGAGAAGCAAAGCGGCCAGTCATCTGCTTATGGTACTAACTGGCTAATTCTGTACAGGAACATGGCATCCTCTGGGACGTGTCACTGGTGGCACATTATACCCAGGTCTCATGGTGACCAGCGGCGTGATTTACCACATCCTCCGTTTCCTGACCATTCCCGTCGACATTCGCAACATATGTGTCTTGCTCGCACCGGCATTTTCTGGTCTCACGGCCTTTGCAATGTATCTGTTGACCTGTGAGATGTCCATCTCACCTTCCGCTGGCCTCCTTGCTGCTGCTTTCATGGGCATTACCCCGGGATACATATCTCGATCGGTTGCGGGTAGCTATGATAACGAAGCCATTGCAATCTTCCTTCTCGTATTCACCTTCTTTTTGTGGATCAAGGCTGTTAAAAATGGTTCGATCATGTGGGGAGCGCTGACCGCTCTCTTCTACGGTTACATGGTGTCGGCTTGGGGTGGTTATGTCTTCATCACCAATCTTATTCCCTTGCATGTTTTTGTGCTTCTCTGTATGGGAAGGTATAGCTCCCGTCTGTACATCAGCTACACCACCTGGTATGCGCTGGGGACTTTGGCAAGCATGCAGATTCCATTCGTCGGCTTCCTCCCCATTCGGAACAGTGACCATATGTCTGCCTTGGGTAAGCGTGTTCTCAATTGGTTAACGGGAGTTATACTAACGACTACCTAGGTGTATTTGGTCTGATTCAACTCGTGGCATTTGCTGACTTTGTCCGCGGCTTCATCCCCGGTAAACAGTTCCAAAGACTTCTCACTGCCATGGTCATCGTCGTATTCGGCGTTGCCTTTGCCGGGCTTGTTCTTTTGACCGTGTCCGGAGTAATTGCTCCGTGGAGCGGTCGCTTTTACTCCCTGTGGGATACTGGCTACGCCAAAATCCATATCCCCATCATTGCGTCAGTGTCGGAGCACCAGCCGACTGCTTGGCCAGCTTTCTTCTTTGACCTGAACCTCCTCATTTGGCTTTTCCCCGCCGGAGTCTACATGTGTTTCCGCGATCTCAAAGATGAGCACGTCTTCGTCATTATCTATGCCGTCCTAGCAAGCTACTTCGCCGGTGTCATGGTTCGTCTCATGCTGACACTGACCCCGATTGTCTGCGTGGCGGCTGCGCTGGCGTTGTCGACCATCATTGATACGTATGTATTTGCATCTCGTGGGCCGAGTCCCCAAAGCAAGGCCCAAGATGAGACATCCGCAGAAGGCCTTCGTTCCACAAGGAACCCAGTTGTTGGAATTTCCTCTTATCTTTCCAAGGCCGTTGTGACATCCTCTGTCGTCATTTATCTGCTTTTGTTCGTTGCGCACTGCACTTGGGTCACATCCAATGCCTACTCTTCCCCTTCGGTCGTTCTGGCTAGTCGGATGCCGGACGGCAGCCAATTCATCATCGACGACTACCGTGAAGCCTACTACTGGCTTCGCCAGAACACCCCCGATAACGCCAAGATCATGTCCTGGTGGGATTATGGATACCAGATTGGTGGTATGGCGGATCGCCCCACTCTTGTCGACAACAACACCTGGAATAACACCCATATCGCCACGGTTGGAAAGGCGATGAGCTCTCGCGAGGAGGTCAGCTATCCTATCCTCCGCCAGCATGATGTTGATTATGTGCTGGTAGTGTTCGGCGGATTGCTGGGCTACTCCGGTGATGATATCAATAAGTTCCTCTGGATGGTTAGAATTGCCGAAGGCATCTGGCCCGATGAGGTCAAGGAGCGGGACTACTTCACGGCCCGGGGCGAATACCGTGTGGATGATGAGGCTACCCCCACGATGCGCAACAGCTTAATGTAAGGCCGCCCGAATCTTGCAAATAACACCTCTTAAAGCATGTGCTAATAATACCTTGCAGGTACAAAATGTCCTACTACAACTTTAACGCCCTTTTCCAGCAGGGTCAGGCCATGGACCGCGTCCGAGGCTCCCGGCTGCCCGCTGAAGGGCCACAGCTTTCCACCCTCGAAGAAGCGTTTACCAGCGAGAACTGGATCATCCGTATTTACAAGGTCAAGGACCTCGACAACTTGGGCCGTGACCATAACAGCGCCACAGCCTTTGAGCGGGGCCACAAGCGGAAGCGCGCTACCAAGAGGAAAGGACCCCGTGTTCTGAGAACCGAGTAAAGGTGGAATCTGTGATTCCGCCCACCTTTGGTTTGTGGCCTCGTCAGGGACAGATGGACCCCTTCTCTCGGTTTAGCATGTTTCTCAATTCCATGTTTTTGTATTTGAACACCGTTTAAAACGGCAATGTAGACGATTAGAAAATGCATGTGATTTAAACATAAGCCACCACGTTGTAATAGCTTTGCGTCGTGCATTGTAATTGACCCCAGCCTCCTGAAAACTTGGGCTCCGACGGTACTGCATCACGTCTGCAATCAATAAGAGGGTGGTATCTTGACAGTTCAAACTGATAATATACAGATATAAATGCTAATAAGGACAGGAAAAAACAACAGAATGAGCCGAGAGGTATTTTTCATGCGGGCACCCAACCGACTTGCTTTTTCACACCACCCCAACTGCGCAGCGATGCCGCGGTGCTGGGCACTGCGCAAGTCCTGTTCACCATCACTTCACACTTCGCCAACTCCCAATAGGAACCCTACATTTCCCACCTTTTTCGCACATTGAAAAAGCTCTCCCCATTCAAAGCCCACAGGCAGGTGATGCCAAGCAAAGGAAACACAATTCGCCACGTTACTCCGGTACCCGATACATTATCTGACCAACGATCGAATCGAACCATTGTCCTCGACCGTCAGTGTACATTTCCAACCTAGACCAGCCGAGAGTCCAGCATAACCACATCGTGAGCGGAGTTTGCACACCAACGCGTCCAACAAAACGGTCAATTCGCACTCATTGCTTCTGCTGGGGCTTCGCGGGTGTCTCGGGGACCTTCACATCGGAGAATTCATCCTGACCGACTGCGCGGATGGTGTAGGCGTCTTTTGTAGAGTTAGTTTGTCAGTATGTTATTCCTTGGATCTAGGATGATTCCTAATTTGTGATTCCGGGGAGAAGATAAGATCGGAGTCAAACGTACAGACGCCGATAGTGAACGCGACGAGGCCGAGTCCGGTCAAGGCATTCTTGACAAGGTAGGGACGACGGGCGCGCAGGAGGGCCGCTCCAGCGCGGTAGTCTTTGCCGTAGTAGGTGGAGTTGAAACTGGGATTCTAGGGTTAGTATGGGCAGAGTTGTATTGCGGGTATTAACGAGGGGAGTGTATTGTGTGCGTGACGGGAAGGACGTACATTCCGGAGGCCATCTTTTGAGATCTTCCTGTGAGTGTCAAGGAGGTAGCGACTTGTGTATTGTTTTCAGGGAATTGAGGAAGTGGTGAGGGGCTGTACAGCGAGCAAGTGAGGACTGATTCGACACCGTCGGAAGATTATCGCGAGTCTTTCGATCCAAAGTTCTTGGCGGATTTGATCCGGAGTTAAGGCGGGCGCCGGATTTAGAGCGTCTTTGGCAGACTTAGAGAATCCCATATATTAACTACAAACCTGGGGTCAGAGATAAACTAGTGGTAGGCAGTGTCTGTCTTGCGCGTTATCATCTGGGTGGTTTACTTGACAGCAGAATGATAATGCTTGCGAAATCTGGTGTCTTGCATATTGACGAATAGTATATTAAGTCGGACAGAAGTCAATGGCCTAGCAACTTTACAGTATAACCTGGATCAGACAGCTTTCCTACTTTTATTTTCAAAGACAATGACCAAGACTGATGGATATATGGGATAGTGAAACGTGACACAATTGTTGATTTTTAATCTTTATTTTTACTTTATATGAATACCCCCGAAGAACATTGAATTTGTTGTTGTTGTTGTTGATGTCCCAAGATCATGGGATTTAATTTATTAACGAATGATCGGCCGAATTGCCGGCCCGCTGCAGGTGACTTTACTTCCCCAATCGAGTCCATCGGCGTCATCTTGAAATCTCCCGAATTGTCCAACTTCCCTCTCAACAATCGTTATCCACTGCACTATTCTTTCCTGTCGCTCCTCATCCCGGAGCCGACCTTTCGACTCCGGCATTGACGCACCATATCCACCGGTGATCCTGTTTTCCGGCCCGGCGGTATCGTGGCCAGGCTTGCTCGTCGCGTCATTTAACCCGAACCCTTCTGTCCATTTTCGTGGTACTATAGATTTTATTTATCGTAGAAGATTCGCTTAACCGCCGAAACCTCTCTTCAATCTTCCCTCCGGGCCGGTTGAACAGAGCCGTCATGGCTCAGTCGACTGGTAATCTTGTCGACCAGATCGCCCAGCTCAACGCTGCCCGAACTCTCGTTCTGGGTGATTCTGCATTCTACCCACAGATTGTGAATGGTGTTCTTCCTATAATTGGTGCGCGATCGCGATTGGAATTACGACGATGGGGTGCAGAATTCTTAGCGGAGACCTTCTCCAGCCCGGCGTTGGCTCAGGCTCAGAAGGAGCAGCTAGCTGCGACTGCATTGCAGACACTACGAGAGACGTTGGAGTTACCGGAAAAAGATACTGTGACTTTGAAACATATAGTGGAAGCTGCGGCCAGTTTATATCCCCTGGTGTTTAGGCATATGTAGGTGACCACTACTCTCCCTTCTGTTTCGCCCCGGGGAGAGGTCTCGTAGATGTGCCCAGGGAGCCAAATTAAGCCAGTCACTGGGGACTCGTGGGAACTGACAATCTTGATAATTGCAGCATCAACCACCCTGAAGACTCCACAGTTTGGGAGAATATGACCGCTATTAAGGATGATATACTCCGGAGGTGGGATACGTCCCCATTCTCGGTCAAAGTATGCTGTATCAAATTTGTACAGCGGGTGGTTCAAGTCCAGACCCACGGTCTAACGGACCCTAGAGTATGTACAGGAAAGAAAGAATTACTTACCATGCAAAAAAGGAAAGACTACTAATGACTCTCAGCGGCCGGAGCAAAATGAAACGTCCTTGGCCATTGTTCCTAGAAATCATTCCCTCCTCTCCCTCCCATACCTAGAAGCCGAGGCGTCGGGCCTCTTGGATAGATTGCTATCAGTCTTTCAGGAAGATGCAAGGTACGAATGATACCGTCTCCGAGCTAATTGTGCCATGTCCCACTAATGGATCCGTCGTCGTTAGCGACCCCCTCCTAGTGAATGCGACGTTGAACAGCCTAGCGATCCTGATTCGAACCCGACAGTCCATCGGTAACAAGATTATCAATGCGATTCTAAGCTTCGTTCCCGCAAGACAAGCACGCACCCCGGTGACGCCTGCGGTTCGTGTTGGCGTCAAGTCGATGGAGCGTACAGCTAGGGCCTTGATGATCAATATAATGAAGAGGTGAGAAGGATGGGTCGTTCCAAGTTGGGAGTAAGAAGCTGATAGGCAGTCTAGAAACCCCAGTCATCCCCTCGCAGGCAAAATGCAGCAGCATATCGAGCGCTTGATGCAGTCGCGCATAGAACCCGTTGACGATAGCTCGAAAAAGCGTGGCCTGCCGACCGAGCCAACGGATGGTTTGGATAATTCCAAGCGGGCAAAACTGGACGCCGAATCTCCTCCACTGATCAAGGTGACACCGCTTCCTCCAGGCCCTGTCAGTTATTCGCAGCTCTATACGTTAACCGAAGACGCTGGACTTTCCTCCTTTGATGTGAAGCAGCTACCGGTTGACCTTCTCGTCAAGATTGTGGTTCCTGTTTTAGCTCGGGTAGACCAGTCTGCCCTGCAGCAGGCCGTTGATGTAAGTTGGAAACATTTTATATCGGAGAGAGAACCAGTCCTAATCTCAAAGTAGGGTGTACGAATGCGGTATCAGACACTCCAGAAGCAACAAGTAGCTGCGCAGCCCCCTCCACCAGCCACAGGTGAAGACGAAGATGATGACTATGAGCCCGAATACCAGCCTATGGACGTTGCCGAACCGGCGGCAGAGCAGGAAGATGCTCTGTCGACTGAACCGGCCGATCTTCAGCCCGATCTAGTGTCACTCGGTCCGTTTGTGCTCCCGCAACCTCCCCCGCTATCGGAAAACGAGGCAGCAGAGATTGGCCGAAGTGCCGTGGGGCGAGTGTTTGACATGCTGGCATCGAGCGGTGTGGCACCAAATACTGGAAAAGGAAAGGGCCAGCAACACTTAGGCTTCTCGAGGCTGGCTGGCAGCACCTTTGATCGGGACGCCTGGGTAACGTTGCTCACCCGACTCGCGACGCGGGCGCCTGCTGGATTAGAGGTAGACCACAAGAAGAACGATCAAGACCCGTCGTCGAAGAGGTCGACAATATCTGATTCTATACGCGAAACATTGTATCGATATATACTCGAAGATTTCAGGGGCCGAGTAAATGTTGGAATCATGTGGCTGAACGAGGAATGGTACAATGACCGAATTCAAATGAAATTTACCGCGTCCCAACGAGCCGAGGAAGATGAGGAGTCGTCGGTGTCATTGCACTACGACCAGTGGTCACTGCGGCTTCTGGACGGATTTCTGCCATATTTGGATTCTCGGGACACCAAGATCTTTATCCGGTTTCTCAGCGAGATTCCAGAAGTAACTATTCCCATCACAAAACGGGTAGCCAGTCTCTCAAAAGACCCCGAGAGAGTGAATCTCTGCATTCAATCATTACTGTGCGTACTTCATTTACCAATAAAATCTGAGAACTATATGAACTGACATTGATTAGGTATCTGATTATGTTCCGCCCCCCGGCGCGAGAAATGTGTCTCAATGCCGTAGAGGATGTTTACCAGACATGTAAGCTACTGACACCAATCCCCATAGACGTATCTCCGCTAACTTGTTCACCCTAGACGAGGAATCACGACCCGCCGCTGGTAAAGTCCTAGCCAGATGGCGTCCGCAGAGTACAGCCGTACAGCAAGCACAGCCCGAACAACAATCTACCTTGGTGAACCGCACAGTTGACTCAGAGAACAACACTCCCGTCGCAAACGGTGCTTAGGCACTAAATCCCAGCCAACGCTCCCGGCCAGCAACCACAGTCAATACCTCGTCCCCGGCACCCCTACACCCAAAGGCCTGTCATATTGCCATTGAGAATAAACCAAAGCGAGCGAGAAGTCTCGACCGTACTTTTATTAGGATTGATAGATGATGTCACGTCTAGTTTGGGCAGAGATCCAATTCTGTTTCGCATACACAGCTAGCAATTAGTCATCGCTTTATTAAATGATTGGGCATACTTACAGCAGAAATGCAATGCACCTGCTATGGTTCCATTTATGTACTGAATATCAATCTAGTATAGGTTGTCTGGTTCTGTGTTTTCTTTCGCCATTTAAGACTACCATTTATCCCGATAGATTGCTTATTTAACCGTGTGTCATACCTTGAATGCTATATGGATATCTAGCCAGGTTCTATTAGATTATGTGGTAGTGTTGTATAGCCATGTTGAGAGTGCATGGTCATGATTCCAGTCAATTAAATTTTAACCCTTATATCATTATGCATATCCGAGGAACAAGCACTCAAATGAAGTAGAATCAACAAGGCTCAAGGCCAATATGTGTATCATAGAGGCATGTATAGTTAGTTAGATAGGTAGGTATTGTGCAAATACAAAGGTAACATAACACATAGGCAAGCCCAAGCAATGCAACCATTCAATCCCATATTCACAATGCGCCAAGACCAAAGCAATAAGATAAATAAGCAAAAGGGGTACTGTAAGTTGATCTCATCCGTGCTTCGATTCCAGTCATACATGCTAACCCGTACATACATTATAAAGAAAAAGAATAATAGAGCAACTCTACAACACCGTGGAACCCTATACACTATCCAAACCGTTATGGAGACAATAAGTGAGACGTTATGAGGTGGGGTAGAGAGGAGGATGGGGGGGTTATCATGGCGAGGTCTTTTGGGTATTTTGGGTTCTAACGGGCTGTCATTTGGTTCGAACCGGAGCCGCCCAGGACTCCAGTTGACCCGTGATGATGTATGGAGTTTGCTGGTTTGGAGGAGGGCAGCGGTGGTGATGAGTCACGTTTCGACTGGAAAAGCCCTAATCGGGCAGGAGGCGGTGAGTAACCGGCATTCCGGTGCGGCGGTGATCGGTTGTCGAGGGTGTTATACGAGGATGGATGGGGTTTCCGTACATCTAGCGGGGAGGAGCTTAATGATCGGAACCCGGATCGTCGGTCTGCGTCGTATTCGGGATTTCCATACGGCCCGAGAACCTGGGTGGGCTGCTCGTGATCATAGGGTGTGTTGTTTGCCGAAGAATTTTCGGCAATGGTGGACGCCGACCCGTTGGGAGCATGAATGTCCACAACTCGTTTTTGGGCTGCTGGTGTAGTGTAAGTCGGGGCTCGCGGGTTTTCAAATACCCGACTCTGGGGCCTTGGCGGAATCTGCTGTTGGTGATGGATTGGATGCTGTGGGTTGGCCCAAGGGGTCTGTTCTAAGAACGCTTCCTCTGCCGCGGCGCGGAAGACGTTCGACGACATAGACGACATGGCGCCTCGCGGTAACGTTGAGTGATGGTGGGAGACAGGAGCTCTCGTTTCAATTGAGATCTGCCCGCAAATTAGGTCAGCATTAGAGCATGATGATTGAAGAGTCTCCAGAACAAACTTACGCCCATCTTTTCCATGTCCTCTTCAAGCTCCGCCGGCCGTGCAGCAGACAATGAAGGTGCGGCTGGGAAACCGACATACTTTGCAACACCAGCCAGAATGGATACTTCTTGATTGTAGGCAGTCTGGTTGGCAATCTGTTGCGAACGACGTGTGGGAAACGGAATATAATGCTGCGGACTAACTTCATCCGTCTTGAAGCGATCGTGCTGAATGGCATAGAACTGCTTGCTGATGGCACTCGAATGCTTTTCACGAACGTCCCGGACCCGCTGGAAGTAAGTACTATGCGCTTGTGCACGCTCGGCAAGGCTCTTGTTCAACAGGGCCTTGATTCTGTACTGATACAGTGTATGTTCGTATTTGATCTTGGCGTCCCGATACCCCTGTATACACTCCAACTGCCGCAGAAATTCGGGATGTGTGGGGTTCGGCCCATTGAGCATTTCGAGTTCGCGATTAAGTTTAGAAACTCGTTCATCATAGATCCTATTGGCCTAGTCAGTAACTAATGCATGTCTGACCAAGAGACGCAGGGATCCTTACTTGTCTCGCAGGGCGGCAAACTCCCGCTCTAAAACTGCCAGCGATTCCATCGCAGATACCCGTTTTGCTGCTACACTCGAATATTAGCACGAAGAAAAAAGTGACATGGCTGGGGAGAACATAGTAACTTACATTCTTCTTCAAGTTTGGCGGCTGCCTCACCATCATCTGCTTCTTCGCGTTCGGCAGCCTCCTCATCCCCAAGTGTATCATCCCCACCGCCTTCCGCGCCAGTTTCGAGAGCCATATCTGCATCCTCATCGACATCTCTCACTTTCCGCCCCTTTCGCTTGCCTTTCCTACTCCTTCTTCCCTTAGCAGGAGCCGCTGGCAAGTCGGACTCGGGAATATCATCGACTGGGGTATCTTCTTCGTTGGGTTTGGAAGGTTCCTCGATGGGGTCCTCCTCAATGGGCTCAGGTGTCAGTACAATATCCTCCGCGGGAGGATCACTCAGTTCGCTTTTGAGAGAGCCGCGGCGTTTTTGAGGAGGCTCGTCCTCTTCGTCAAGTTCGGTGCCCAGCTCATCAGCAGAGCCGTGCCGTTTACGTTTCTTTCCGATACCTTCTGAAAGTGCTGAGTCGTCAAGCCCTGGCGTCTCTTCACCAAGGTCAGGTATCTGGTTATTTTTTGAGCGGGGCTTGCTGGGCGAATCGTCTGGCACATGCTCCTCGTCTTCAACTTCATCGTATGTCGTTGACTGAGCTAGCTTGCTGGGACTTGGACCATGATTAGTTGCGCTCACAACAATGTCTCTTCTCAAACGAATATTATTCGGAGAATCTTCAATGCGCTCGGTTTCCGCCTCTGAATCGTTCTCCGTCATGGCCTTCTCAGGCTTAGGCGACTCAAGGTCGAACGCCATATTCTCGGAGACATCGTCAATTTCACTTAGACTACTAGATCGACCGTCATCATCATCATCTATAAGCGCGTCGGCAAGGAGAAGGTGGTGTTCGCCATTGGTGATGGTAGACTCCGCCCCGGCGGGCGGACCGACCGAGGCGGATTCTCTGCTTTCAGCCACCTCCATTAATTATGGAGGGTGGTGCACAGACTTCGGTGGCTTCAGAAGTTGAAAGGAGGCAGGTAAAAGGAGAGGTCCACGTAAGTTGATTTTCAGTATGCTTGTGGGGAGGCCAGCGGTCAAGAGGGTGTAGTCGGACCAAGAGCTAAATGGATCGAAGAGAAAATGTTAGAATGACTCGGAAAATGCATTATAGATGTGCCAAGGAAACCGTTCACACTACATCAACATGAATGACCAAAATCAACAGGAAGGAGAATGGGAAAAAGTATGTTGAGGGCAGAGTGTCTGAAGGCGGTGCGGAGATTTGATCACACACCCCAGACTCACGGGCAATCATTCGTTCCCGGCTTTGAGCGCAGGGAAAGTGCGCCAGAAGCAACAGTAATATTCGATTTCCACAGTATGCCAAAAACCATAATGACATCGTATCGAGGATAGATCAAGCCATCAATGAGGTTGTAGGCCAGCAACAAACGTACCGTTCAATAATGCGCCAATCGCGAAACCTGTGGTAACCCCAGCTGCCGCGACCGAGCACGATTCCCTAAGACCGCAGTTGCAGAAGGAGGTTCAAGGCCACAGGTTCTCGCCAATATAACCAGGTAATGTTCTATGTATGTCACCAAGGGTGTAATATACTGCAGGATCGGCGCAAACCAGCACTTGGTGGGGGGAGGGCGAAGGACGACGAAGAGGAGGGAGGTGGAGGTCGACTTCACGAAGCGGGCAATACGACAGTAAAGCGCTGCGGGAGAATGAACGGCATAGAAGAAAGGTGGGTTAATGTCGAGGTTTTGAAGAAAAAAAGAGCAATTCCCTAGCGAGCGATTATGACAACGATTGAGTATGGGAGCCACCAGAGCGTTAGCGCAGAGAAAAGTGGCTGCTGCTGGTGGAGGGAGAAAGAATGATTGATCATGACCGAGAGCGAGGGAGCGAGAGACTGAGAGAGCGTCACGCTGCCGTATGCCGCCCGTATCGTCCGGTCCTTTTCTGCCCGTCTTTTCGCTTTTCCTTCACTCGGATCATTACTCACCGCTTTTGGGGGGTATGATGATATGCTTCTGGCTATCTCATGCGCCGCGACGTGCGAACCGACTAATAGGGAATCAAAACAAAAAAAAGAAGCAAGTAAAAGTTCCACATGATCAGTACCACACTGACAGATGTGAGCGAAGTGGCTGATAAGGATGAATTTTTCAAAAAATGATTTATTACTGCCTGGGTGAGGAACTACCACGATTTATCAGATTCTTCACGTGATATATCAGCTTCCGTTGCCAAGATCCAAAAAGAGTAAAACAGAAAAAAAAAGTTATGCGGAGTACGGACAGCAACAGAGGGAAAATACGCTCCCCGCCATTACACTCCCTCTTTTTCTAATTTTTCTTTTTCTTTAGCCAGAAACAAGCCGTATGTCTTGAGAGGCGGGATACTCTCACAGTTAATTTCACAATGGGAAAGAAATCAAAACTCCAGTCGGACAGCGCTCCGCAGACCGAAAAGGCAGAGACAACTCTTCCTTTCTTAGCTGGAAGTGCCGCAGTTGACCCAACGTTGGCGTCCTTGTTTGATACGAGTGTAAGTGGGTTGCTTTCGATTGTTGAAAATCTGGCTAAAGTCTGTCACATGTTTTTAGTCGGGCCCAGTAAAAGCACCGTCGTTGCCCACAACTAGCACCGTTGAAAAACCTGCCGCAGGTAACGATACTAGTGAAGATGTGTCGGAGCCCGAAGATGAAGATCAGGTTATGCAGGAAGTATCTGAAGCCTCGAGCGACGCTGATGGTGAGCCTGCTCAGGCAACTTCAGAGCCCCCCAGTCGGAAACGAAAGAGGGCTGCGGGAGAAGATCTCGAAGAATCTTACATGCGTCGCATAGCGAAAGAAGAACAGAAGGAAGAACAGAAGCGCCGTGCTGAAAAAGCAAAGCGGCAAAAAGCCGAGGGTGAAGAGGAGGATGAAGCAACATCTACCGACAAATCCGACGGTGAGGATGAGGATGATAGTTCCGACAAAGATGGAGAGATTGCGATTCCCAAACACGAAACTCTGACTGGCGACGCTCAGTTGTCTAATATTGACAAGTCCAATCGCACGGTGTTCTTAAGCAATGTCTCCAATGAGGCCATCAAGTCCAAGTCTGCCAAGAAAACCCTTTTGAAACACTTTGAGTCGTTTCTTTCTACACTTCCTGAATCTACAGGACCGCACAAAGTGGAATCGATACGTTTCCGTTCTACAGCCTTCGCGAGTGGCGGAAAGATCCCGAAGCGTGCTGCCTTTGCAAAGCGCGAGGTTCTGGATGAAACCACTCCTAGTACCAACGCCTATATCGTTTATAGTACTGTCCAGGCCGCTCGGAAGGCTCCTGCTGTCCTGAACGGGACTGTCGTCTTGGATAGACACGTGCGTGTTGACAGCGTCGCACATCCCGCCCCGGTCGATAATAAACGGTGCGTTTTCGTCGGCAATCTTAACTTCGTGGACCAGGAAGGCAATGCCGATGATGAGGAAAAGCCGAAGAAGAAGAAGGCTCCGGCCGATGTTGAAGAAGGACTTTGGCGGACCTTTAATGCCCACACCAGCAAACCCAAAGACCAGACTATCCGCCGAGGCAATGTCGAGTCCGTTCGGGTCGTTCGCGACAGCGTCACCCGTGTTTCGAAGGGGTTTGCCTATGTTCAATTCTACGATCAGAATTGCGTGGAGGAGGCCCTTCTGCTGGATGGAAAGCAGTATCCGCCTATGCTCCCCCGGAAGCTACGTGTCATGCGAGCCAAGAAACAGCCGAAGAAACGTGAAGCCGGCAGTAGCACTCAAGGCAAATCGCTACGGGAGGCGGACAAGACGCTTCAAGGTCGAGCTGGTAAGCTTTTCGGCAGAGCGGGTGCGGCCAAGGTCAGGGCAGATGCAACGAAATCCATTTCCAACAACTCGTTGGTGTTTGAAGGCCACCGGGCGACAGATGATGGGTCATCGCGCATTCGCGTGAAGACGAAGAGTCGTGGCAGCAAAGGTAAGCCGAAAAACCGCAGTAGCAAACGAGCGGCCGCGTACAAGGCAGCGGGAGGGAAAAAGAGGAAGACTGAATAGACTGAGAGTATGAAGTAGATTACATGTTCTTTGTCCCTCATATATGTATTTTACAAAAGAAATGAACCTTAAAAGAAAGACCTACGGTATTATACCTGTAATGATTAAGTAGAGGATAGTTGTCGTGCTTGAAGCCTCACTAGTATGTAGTATAAATGTGCCGGGTCGTGCAGCCCAGGGTTCTGACGTCATCCAGTAATCCAGTCATGGGCTTTTGGGCTAAACCCAATCGGTCAAAGAAGGCAACGACCTATTTTTCTAGTACCAGGTACTTATACGTGAGAATACTACTTCATCTTGTATTTACTGCTGTGTTTTACCATAATCGATCTTTCTCTCTTGTCTGTTGACACTAGGATCATATCGTCTCACAGGACGGGTCATTGTACAGCTGTCGACCACCACGCAACCCAGATTCCCCCACCCGACGCGGGGTGTAAATACAGAGGAAGGCAGCGTGTCTGAGTGAGCGCAAGAGCCACAAAAGGACTGTGTCGAATCTGTATGCACGGCTTGAGTCAGTAGACTTGTACTTTGACCCATCTTTCGTTATTGTCTTCAGCTTGACTTCATCGAGGCTGTGTGGAACTCTTCACTTTCAGCTCGGTGCCTAGAGGGTGGATCATTACCTAGCGCAATCATCAAACCAACCGTCCAGTCCTTTCGCTGATAACGATAGATAATTTATCTAGAACGTGCTTTCCCAGTGACTTTGATTTTGTCACCCTTTACGATATACTCTTCATTATCGCACCATTCCTAACACGGGATCTAGACCCACTTGCTTTCTAGATGATGCTCCCCATGGTTCCACGCTTCCGTGGGCTCAGACGCAGACAGTCGAATTCCTCTAACGACGAGCCCGAGCCCCAATCTAATATGGGCAACCAAAATAGCACCGCTGACGACAACCATGGACCGACTGACTCGGAGATCTTCTACCCCGAACTCTACGATGTGCTTAAAGTTCGGTATCTGCTGCGGTGGAAGATAATCCCTGAAGGGTTACCCGTTGAGATTGTGGATTTGATCGTGGATGCGGCTGAATATTGGCCCTCCATTGAGGCTACCTTGGATCAAAAGAGAATTATTCACCAGGACAAAGATCAGGTGTTGGTCAGGACAGCACCACTGTGCTATGATGAAAATGTATACTGCATACTCTCCAGGACTTTTCACCCGGCATATCTCTCCACAAGCTCTGATCGCTGACATCTCGTAGACATTGGACAGTGACTCGCCTAAAGTGCTCCCTCACCGGACTATTCATCCTTGTCGGAAGATTGTCTTCTCCATCGCCTCGCATGACCAAGGCTTTGCTAACAGCGGGCATGGCACGTTTGACGGATCTTATACTTGGTTTGACACCGAAGTTGTCCCCTTCGAGAATTCGCCAACGTCTGGAAATTCATCTATTCCCGAGCGAGATGCGAACGGGGTCCGGTTTGGGCAAGATCATCCTCTTCTCCTGCCCAGCTCCCACAAACTCCAAGCGAATCGAGCGGCGGTGAGGGGTACCCAGCATTATCATATCGCCTGGCATCATCTCGACAACATCAGCGCCGATTCAGCGGAAGCGGAGGAAATCCAGCATAACCAAGGTCGAGGACGAGCCACGCTCGATGGCAGTCAAGTGCGTAATCTGCAGATTGGCGATACGATCGCCGTCTGGGGTCGAGCACGGTTTGGGGCGTGGTCGAACCATGTGGAACGGTTGTCAGTGCGGGTATTTTGGGCTGTGTAAAGTTGGTGGCTCTTTGTTGTCCCCTGCGTCTCCCGGCTGGACGGGTGCATATATGCATAGCAACAGTGAGAGGGAATGCTAGGTATACGATAGTAAATAGATATCAAGGCTGGACCTGTGAGATATTGTTGGATCATTGGGTGAATGGGGGGGGGTTACTCATGAATGATATGTAGTTCCCAACATTTTATTATTTTATTATTTATTTATTTTATTTCCTATGATGAATGTATGTATGGATGAATAACTGAAATACTTGAGTTACTTGATCATAGGACAAGACCCCTATTCAGGAATAGGGTGAAAGCCTTTCGAATCAGGCCGCCAGCAATAACCTCATTCCTTTGAGAAATCACGCAATTGCGCCAAGCCTGCGACGATCCACCACTAACTCATCTGAATATAAGGTCCTCGCTTCCTCCATCATCAGACGCCTTAAAAGGATCCTCTGTTTTTCGCGATCGAAGAGACAACTTGACCAGTCGCTCGGTCTCTGGAACTGAGATTTGGATCTCTTCTTTCGACCTTCACCCCTTGACTCTTTCTTCGTCTTCGCCTCTTCACCAGCCAAGACATGAACACGACCAGCATGTGACCTCCGACGGAAAGCGCTCAAGGATTTACCTGCGAGTGGGGCTGATGCGTCAGTTCGCGCAACAATTGGCTTATTTGAGGGAGGTAATCGGCGATTGCCAGACGACGGGCTACGAGGGTATCACCGCCTGATACGGGGACTGCGTCAACTGAGGATGAGGAGTGGTACATCTCGCCCGAGAGCGCCTTTCTTTCGGCCTTGAAGCCGCATTTCCGCACAAAACGACCCCCAAAGTGCTCGTTACGAATGACTGGCTCTTGCTGCTGTCATTCGCTCTGTCCCATCCGCTTGGTCGTTTCGCCATGTGCCTTCCCCTCTCGTCTAGACCAAGGCACAATGACGACGCTCCCTAGCTTGTTTTGCCGAGAATTACACCGGTGTTTCCATACATTCCACCCCTGGGCATTCTCCCCATAAATTTCGGCGTTCTTTCCCAGCGTTCTCCCACCTACCTTTCTCTGGATTCTGCCATCGCAAGCCGTGCACTATTTGTATGCCACAAAACGCTCTGTCTCGTTCCTGATACCCTTCAAAAACTCAAAACTCACACCACCTATACGGCCTCGGAAATGAATTCACAGAGATGTGCCGCGGTCGTCGTGGGAGCCGGCCCCGCCGGTCTTGCCGTCATGGGGAATCTGTTGGAGAAGCAACTAGGAGGGAAGATCGCCTGGATTGATCCATCCTTCCAGGCTGGTCGAGTGAATCGCAAGTACCGTGAAGTGCCTAGGTGAGTGTTTCTGTCTGGCAGCCTGACTTCATCGAAGGCGTCGGATGAGGAGCGCTCGACTGACTTGTCTCGGTGCCGATTCAGCAACACCAAAGTCGCCCTGTTCCAAGCGTATGCCACAGCTGTCCAGCCTTTCCGCTCCGTAATCATGGGCACCCGTATCCCTAGTCCATTCTCAACGATGGCCAAACTCGATCAGGAGAAGACCTGTCACCTGCATCATGCGGCAGATATGGTCCGTGCCTTGACAGATGGCATCACCAAGATGGATCAGGTTTATGCGTGTCGGGGGTATGTCACGGCTGCCAACCTGGTAGAGAAAGTCAGTATAAAGTCCAGTATAGGGGGGCCGTCCCAGGAGATTTCATGCCCTGTGTAGCTAATCGTTGTCCTTGTCGCCCCTAGACTTCGTCTTGGACCGTTCGGATCCAACGCGCGGACCACCTCGACGAAGTTGAGGTCATTACCCCTAGACTCATCTTGTGTACGGGATCATCGCCGACAGAGGTGCCGATCCCTGTGTGCGGACAGCACATCGAGAGGTTGGATCTAGATGTAGTGCTCAAACCTAGTGACCTCGTCTCGTATCTTCCCCGCAGTGAGTCCCAGACTGTGGGGGTTGTCGGAGCTTCCCATAGTGCCATTCTGGCACTCCTCAACCTGGTAGATCTGGCCCGCAGTACCCACCCCCAGCTCCGCATTAAGTGGTTCACTCGGCATCCACTGAGGTATGCCGAGTACATGGATGGCTGGATTCTGCGGGACAACACCGGTTTGAAGGGTTCCGCCGCCGACTTTGCCCGGCAACAGCTGGAGGAGGACAAGCTCCCTCAGTCCGAAGCCGGCCGGTTCATCACCAAGGTGGACTGCGGAGGCGGCCAGGAAGCGACGCAATATGAGCGGCATCTGCCGTCGTGCACCCACCTGGCGCAAGCTGTAGGATTTACTCGGGATCCCCTTCCTGAGTTGTCAGTGAATGGTCATCTCCTCGACCCTGAATTTGACTCGGCGTCCGGTGGCTTCCGTGATCCGTCTGGCCGTGTCATTCCGGGTTTGCATGGAGCAGGAATTGCATTCCCGGAACGAGTGGTCGATCCCTACGGCAATGTCGAACATGCCGTTGGGTTCTGGAAGTTTATGAAATTTATCAAGAGAGTCAGTCCCCAGTGGGCAGCATGATGGTGGTTTTCTTTACCCAATGATTCCCCTTTGCTTTGTCTTGATTTCTTGGTATTATTAGCGTCATCAGTTGTGAATAGAATTTCCATTCTAATATGCAAGGTATTTTTATACTGGACACTTCTACGTTGTTTCTGATATGATACATCCAAGCTACAACGTCTTATAACTTCGTCCTAATTTTACCCATTAAGCTTTCAGCATAATCACCTACTACACCGTCCTGGCAACAACATTTCCAAGGGACTATATCAAATTCTCTAGCAACCACAGCGTCCTACCTCCCACAAAGGCATAGTTCATTATACGTACGTTACAGATATCCCTGGGAGACAAATCAGGGCGCCGCCCGACGTAGAGACCAATAATTTACTTTAGTTACCCACTTCCCTGTAATCGCCGTGCTTTTTTTCTACCACGAACAGCCCTGGGAAAGCAACTTGTGACTATTCGTGAACTTCTCAAAGCTCCATGATCAAACCAGCAGTCAAGATTAAATGCATCTATGAGAAGCTATGGCTACACAAGTTTCGCAAAACAAGCCATTCAAAGACAGTCCAACGAAGGAAGGCAGTGTATATCAAACTTAGTCCTCATCCACGGGACCACAGCCATAGTTACAACAATATTCAAGACCCAGCCCATCACCTGAAATCTCAATGTCTATACTTCTCAATCTCAACCTGCGCACCAGACAGCAACTGCCACAAACCCCACCTGAAGAAACTCTTCTCCGTCCACGGTCACTACCTATCATGGCGCCAACGCCGCGACTTCTGCGATGCACCTGGCCTCTCCCTCTTCCAAATGCACCGTAAACGGAACCGGTACGACCTGGTTCGTCCAGTTATCCAGTAGCAGTGGTAGCTCTAATCCCATCGTTACATTCGCGCCTCAATGGAGCACCAGGGAGGACAAATTAGGTATGGATTTCACAAATGCCGTTGGCTGCGGAGAAGAGAGATCGCCCTCGACGTGTGGAATCAGGAGTTCTGGAAGAATGAAAAACGCTTGTCTAGTCTACTATCATAGCGAAATCATCATGACGGTGCGGTTTACGAGATCCATGCAGTGCAGTATGAGGGGCAAAAAGCCCGAAATGGGAGATTGAGATTACCGAAGGCATTGATCTGGCGTTGGTAGGTTGCTATCTGGGTTCACGTGTACGTGTGTTTTGTATATGGTGGTGGTTACTGACCTTGTTTTGATATCAGGCGTCAGTAATTATGGTGCTACTGACGGGGAGGTTTGGGGGCCGTCTTGCGCCTTCGTCGTCGTATTCTCCTTCTTTCTGTTCTGGGTCTGGTGTTGATCGTGGAGGGAAGAAGTCGGCGCTGAATGCATTGTCTACGATGTAGATGATTAGTACAGGGTCTATACTCTAGAGTAACTTAATCATCGTCTATATACTTTCCCATGCTTTCGGTACCCTCTGAGCCACGTTTCTGGCCATGACATCGCAGGTGGAACCAATGGAAAGCCGAGTATGGCTTAGGCTTGCACGCATCGCGAAAATCCACTTCCCATGCGTAGGCCAATAGGAGGCTGATCGCGATGACTCGCCCCAGTAACTCGACGCGTTCTGGGGTGGATGCCTGGGATCGGATATCGTCGGCCTTAGGTTGTCGGAAGGCCTTATGTTGTCAACATAGCTATGGAGGCTTTCGACTGACGCGTATGATTCTTATGTTGCTAAATCTCCTCGTGGGGCTAATGTTAAGGTGATTAAGCTGGTGAGGTATTGGGAACTTTAGTACTTTCAATAAAAGCGATGTTTATGAGAGCACCAATAGGAATGAATGTGTTTGCATGTCCAGGATAGAGGCATTGCATGTAAGATATTTTCTAGTCTGAGGCTGTGAGACACTGGAAAGGACATTGAGGATTGAATGTAGCTTTTGATGACTATATACTCTGTTGGCCTGAGATTTGCATTGAAGACGAAAATAGCATTGCGATGAATGCCCAGTAAAGTATATGGTAACAAGCGTGAACTGATCATTTGGGCTGTTAAACAGTTTATGAATCCTTCAGTTCCTCTAACATAGCATCAATGAACTCTCTCTCCTCGAACAGAAACTTGCGTGCTGAGGCAACGTCAAAGTCCCGATCTGCCTTCTTATGCTGCCGCATCACCTTCAGCTGATGGCGCACCCGCTCCTCCAAGTTCTTTAGCCGATACTCCGCATACTGATAGTAAAGAGTACTCTTGGAAGTTATTGGCAACAGAGGTCTGATGATGGTCTCATCGCGAACAAAGGGCGATTTAGGCCTTAACGATGTGACCATGCTGATACGTTCCCGGCCACCAAAGGCCTTGAGAGCTTGATGCTCAATATAGCGACCTTGCATAATGACGGCCGTGCCCTTGATTACGCCATTAGCTATGGGACCTTCCAAATCAAAATAGAATCCCTTACCATGGCAGGCCCACGGAATTTTAAAACTTCGCCGGTGCCTGTCCGAATAGCTGTCTCGCCACCGATCATTCCGGCACAATCTGATAGCATGGTGACGCAGACGAATGCGTAGCTGTCAGAGTGCCACTCAAAAGCAGGCTTATCATCTGCATCCTTGCCCGGTATGCTGGCGGTTGCAGCGTCATCACGAACTGAGATATTGACATGTCCAATATCTACATCCATAGCAGGAACCAGCTCGATTCCAGCTATTTGAGAGAGTGCTCCCAGAACTGCAGGGCTGTTCCACGCGTCGTAGATAAATGAGGACTGCCTAGATGTGCATAAGTATATCCTGTGAAGAGAGAACGAAGGTAACAACGTACTCTGGGCAGTAACCTCGAATCATATTGGTTGCCAGGTCTGAGCCAACTTGACACTTCTCCAGCACTTGTCGGCTGAATATCTCGGCTCTCATCTGCCTAATTGCCTCTTCGGTGAAAAGTGTGAATGGCTCCGAGATGGCCGTGGACGTGATGCCCGCGCCTTCCAGTCCGATTTCCTTCATCGTGATTATCCCTTTGGGAAACTTAAAATTGACATGCTTTTCTGCATAAAATGGTGACCGGTCCGATATCTGAGCACCTTCAATGAGAGACTGTGGGAGAGGTTTCCGGGGGCTCATGGACTTGTCCTGTTGAGGGCTTGGAGCCACAGCTGGCGCAATTGCAACATCCGTCATGCTTGAATTTTGGGAAGTGATGAGACAGGGTAGGTAGAACAAGCAATGTCGATCAGATCAATAAATTTGCTGGTCTTCTCGGGGTGGCATCATGGCTTCTTATCTTTCTCGGAGCGCTCAACCCCACATAGTAGCACATACGCTAAAGCACAGCTTCAACTCCGTTTACGAAGTTTTCACCTGAACATAAACCCACTCGTGTCTCCCTTAACCACAATATAATTGTGTCCTGCTCAGAACCAATGCTTTCCCACGCAGAAAACCAATCCATTCTGGGAACGGGCGAGATGTATGGATAGGTGATATAGAAAGCCTAAGGCATTCATCAGCACCTAATAACGATCTCATTCGGCTTGCCTCTTTGCGTATGAATTCACTGAGCGTATGTTCCACCAGCTCATATAGAGACGCAGCGAAGACTTTTATTCGTTCGGTGGACCGGATTTCAGCGACGCGTGAGCTTACCACACTTATCTTACCAGTCTCTAGCATTATAATCCCTCGCTTTTTTAAGGATGAGTGCTAGGAAGCGGGCGTACCTTTGGATTGTTCCATCTAAGAAAATGATACATACACTGGGTCCCGGTTCTGAACCTGTCCCGTGTATCCCCACTCACTGTGTCAATAGTCAATAGCGGTATGGCACCGCACAGTACCAGGTTAGGATGTTCCAGGGTCCCACTCATACCCTTTTTTTCTGTCTTGTACTTAGCGCGGCGAAGGTAGTGCCAGAGAGGCTTCGGGGTATATGCGATGATCAGAAGCAAGCTCTGCTTGGGTAGTTGTGTGAAGAATAACTAACCCAGTGTTTTCTCTCGCTACCTGAGGCACGGGCCTGGTTAATGTTGAAAACAACTCCAATGGAGCGTTCTTTGCTTGGGACACGGAATCAATTGCAGTTTGCTTGACGGCTTGACGGCTTGACAGTTGCAGTGAAGAAGGCGTGTAAGAGACGGTGAACTATACACAGGTGGCGGTTTGTTATGGATAGTCTCTAGCTCAGATCTCACTTACGACTGTAAACCCGCTCTTGTTTTGTTGTCAGTTAACTGGAACATCGCATTGGTGGTCTTGTATGTATAACTTATAATCCGGAAATCCATTCGCAGAGGGCCTTGATCGTACAATGCTGTTTTTGTCTATAATAGAATTGCTACATAATAAACACTCGTGGTTCTGGGAGAAGTGTGGGCCAATTTGTATAACTGCCTCTCGTCCATATCTTTTCAAGAAGCTTGAGAGCTTGCTGCAGATTAAGGAACCCATTACGGTGAAATTGCTTTTCCAAGAACTGCTTGAAATATAGCCGATGCTCATCCTTCAAGCTCTCTGATGCAGCAATGAACGTGGGCCACACAAGGGAATGTTCCCCTAATGATCCCTCCGGGAACAACCCTAGTGTTTCCTTGAATCGCTCTATCTTATCAGGGTCTAATGTACCGTGAGGCCCTATTAGTGCGCGCTCGAGATATATGTCATATGCTTGCTGTCGAAGATGTGCATGCAGATAAAAGGTGACTGCATGGTCGGGGTGGAGGTTGCCGTTGTAGTGCAGGCAGTCAAAGCTCTCTTGGGCATGGGCAACAATGCTACGTACACCAGCCTCCTCACTCAGCAGTGGTGCAGCATAGACACGAAACCTGGCAGGGTTAATGATGGTACTCAGCAACCCCTGGAGGCTTTGGACACTCACTTGCGTATTTGCCGCAGCAGAAAATTGGCCATGTCACCGTTCCCAAGCCCGCCGTCTCCCCCGACCGCATCGAGAGCAGATTGCAACATGTGAAACAGGATAGGGAAATCCGAAGATCCGTTGACCATGACCCCTACCAGCAGTGTAATGATTGCAACGAATATAGACTGCCTCGTGAGCATGTCGTACTCATCCAAAGAGCTTCTATTTTGTAGGCCTAAGATTGCCTTTGCATAGAGCTTATCCGGTCTGACAGGGAGCGTCCCTCCGGTCTTGTGAGAGAGATGGAAAGCTGATACAGCCAACACCGCATCCATAACCATTTTGTCGGAGAACGCAAAGGGCAGAATCAAGTACCGCCATCCATTGTACTTGTCATCCATAACCACCATTTGAGGTGCAATATTGTGGGAGACTTGAAGGGTTATTATCCTATATAAACTTCAATCGGGTCTATCGATGAGGCTTACAGTAAGTCAACAGAAATTCATTGCTTGGATCCACTAGATCGACTCTTAGAGGGAGTGTGGTCATTGCTTCAGGGCTACCAGCAGATGTTTCTGGTGAATCAGGGCCCAGCCTCGTTAGTGCATTGGGTTCTGCGGGGTCACTTGTGACATTGCTAGTCCAGTCGAATTGCTCCTCGAAAGAGCCTCCACGTACAAAAGACGGTGAGCGTTCATGTTGCGGGAGATCACCCGGCCATTTGCTGCAAGCCTAGTTAGTATGCTCACCTTCGGCGAAACCATCATTAAGGAAAAACATACCCACCCTGAGGTGAATTTTCCTCCTCCCAGGTTATCTTACCTTGGTTTCCCCCGTCACGGAACCGATAGCGGACCCCAAGCCCACTGCACGGTATACCTCTGGACGCACATTTCCCACAGCATGGCTGTACGCGGTCGCAATGGATTCGGCGCTGGGAGCATTCATAGCAGCCTGCACACATATCCGGTCAGAGAACCCACAATATATTTGGCACGTCTGATTCCATCGATGCGCACCTTTTACCTTCGGAACGTACCGACGTTTTTGACGGGGCATATTGACAGTTGGGTTTGAACGGTTTGATTGAACAATAAGAACATTAAATCAAAGCATCATTGACAATAAGCCAGGTTAGATAGGCTGGTAAAAGCTACTAGTAGGTCTAAAATGCACCAAGAGAAGCAGGGCGACCTTATTGAGAATGGCGGGGTAACTGCCGATATTCTTGAATCGTGATTGATTACTCAAGTCCAAGTCTGGTTCATTCGTTAGATAACTCGCACTCGACCAAAGGTTTGCACGTTCATGAGGGTCCTCAAATGGGGAGGGAACTTGCCTGTAAGATGTCCCTGCTGCTAGATAATGTCATTCTTTTCTCTAGATTTGATAGTAATTGATTTCCCTTCGCATCTGGCGCGGTTGTTGGTCGTAAAGACGGCGACTTTGATCCAAGGTCCACTACCATTTCGGGCTTAGTTGGGCAGATGTGCTCTCATTTAACTTGCCTATTCTGGTTAGATCTTCCCCCCGCATATCAAGTGACACTCCCCAGGATTCGATCCGAAGATTAGGGCTATGGGTAAGTATATCTAAACGAATAACCCCCATGAGAAGATCATGCTCTGAAACCATCCACTCATGCCCGATCACAGTTTGTTTGGGCATCACGTTCCGTATTCATTATAACCATAATTATTCTTTATCAACTCGATACCCACAATGAAAATGGCAATCTTTTAGTGTTCTCATTCAACTTTTAAGAGAGAGCCACTGGTAGAACGTACATAATTGGACTAATAACAGCGAGCTCCAGTCAAATTCGCCAAATCAAAACAATGATTGCGCTAATCCCTGGTCCATTTCTTCTTGCTATAGACATGGTTTCTAATAGGCCTTTAAACGCCGCATCCCCGCACACCCTATTGTATCATCGACCCTACGATTCTCCTCGCCCCGACATCAGTTCGCCGCTCGCCTTACTCAACAGATACTCCCGCAAAGACAACACGTCAAATTGATGCAGAGCTCGGTCCAAAATCCAGAAGTACTGCTAATCATAGCACCATGGGATCTCTTTGTACCCTTCCTCAAGAGTCTACCAACAATCAGTCCCGGCATCCAGGTAATCTCTTCTAAAAGGGACATGCAGGACATCGAGATGCCCCGGGATATATCACAGGAGACTTGGAACTCGATTACAATTCTTCTCACGTGGAACTATGTCCCAGTAAAAGAACATGTCCCTAATCTGCGATACGTACAACTTCACACCACCGGTTGCAACCACATCGCAGACACGCCCCTCTTCAAAGACAGCGATGTATCATTCTGTACGGCGAACGGTGTACACCCGTAGATGGTTGTTTGGCTTTATTCCCGCACACAAGCTGACTACATGCAGTCCACAAATCGCCGAATGGGTCATTGCTACTTTCCTCGGTTTCCAACATCATTGTAATCGCTTCGTGGATTCCTCTGTATTCGGTGCGAACTAATCTCTGAGTATTACTAGTGCTCGAGCACTGAGACGACCAAAAGCGCGAAACGTGGGCTATACCTGAGTCAGATGAAGACACGGGGGATGCTGTCGGTTTACGGATGTGTGTATACCACTCATCAATGCGAATGAGAGAGAAGGTTCTCTTATCGTGTCCAGGGGCATTCTTGGATACGGGTGCACTGGGCGTCAGTGCGCACGCTTAGCGACTGCGCTTGGAGTGGACGTTCATGCGTTTACGCTGCACGAACGACCGACTCCAGAGTCTAAGCGTGATAACTCGTACTATGGCTGCGATCAGCTAAACGAGTTCCTTGCCGGTCCTGATCTACTCGTTATTACTCTACCCCTTACCTCGCTAACCCGAGGCATGATTGCTCGTGAACAGTTCCAAGCTCTTGGGAAGCGGAACGCCTTTGTCAGCAATGTTGGACGGGGTCCAGTCGAAAATACCGATGATCTCGTCGCTGCTTTGAATAACGGGACAATCAGAGGAGCTGCAGTTGATGTCACGAACCCTGAACCATTGCCTGCAGGACATCCACTGTGGAAAGCGAAGAATGTCGTTATTACACCCCATGTTGGGGGAAACTCGACTCACTACAATGAGCGAGTCCTCAAGGTTTTGGTTCGCAATCTTAAGAATATTGCGGACGGGAAGGGGCTTATTAACTGGATCAATAAATCGCTAGGCTACTAGGTAAATCTGAATGGATATCATTCGTGCCCTTCACAGTTCCTGGTCGCAGTGTCTGCAATGCGTCCAGTTCCAATACAGAGGTCAAGTGTCAAATATAGCCGAAATTGTCTGATCATGCCAGCCTTCAAGTGGCCGCGTCAATTCGGGTACCTGCCGTACAGCTGTTGTTATCTACTAGTAGTACTCCAAAGCAGACTTGGTATTTATCCAACGAACCGTCACTAACCCAGCCAATAATACCACTAGAAATCAACCCCCGTTTCCATCCTGTCGACAAACCACATGCATGTTATGTCAAATCACATTTTCCTTTTTCTTTTCCCCCTTAACCATATCTCTTCCTAGTTTACCAGCGCTAATAAAAAAACAAAAAATACCAGCTAAGAAAAAGAAATAAAATAAAATAGAACCATCCTCCACATTCAGCCTCAAAAATAAAAATAGTACCTAGGGACCAACGAGATAAAACCGGACCTCGGTTCCGGAGAAACATCCCCGCCAAGGGCCAGACAAGAACTCGGTCATAAAATTTCATCCAACAAATGCCCTCCTCAGGCAACCACGGGTCCCCAAGCCTAGTGTGAAAGTAGTAATCGAACAAGACACTATTGAACTATATTCATGGTCCATCTCAAACCAAAGCTTGTTCGCCTCCACTCTCACTTTTTCACGTTCGTTCTGGTTGCATTAGTATTTTTCTTCGAAGTGGCCACTGGGAGGGGGCCCTATATTTATCTTTGATTTTATTTTATTTTGTTCTATTTTATTTTTCAATACTTACTCCGTTAATACTAATTTTACGATTAAAATTGTTTGAGATAGGCAGGGAAGCTTGTTGCCTGTGGTTAATTAATTGGTTAGATCAACGTTTTGATCCGGGTCGTTGATAGGGTGAATGCTCAATTTGAATAGATATCGAATTAATTACTCTGTACATCCTGGTCAATAAAGGATTGGAGCTGAGATGAGCCCTTTCATTATTTATGCTAGTTGGTGCTAACTTTCGCGTTCTTCGTCTTTCGGTACAATGTCATGAATCCCTGTCCACCTCCACAGCAGGAATAGCTCTGGACATGTAGTACGATGGTATGTACTTGTATGTATGGCGGAAGCCACCGGATAAACACTCAGGAGACTGACTTCCTACATACGGAATACATGCATATGTCAAAAATGTCAGCACTGTACAATCCGTAATCAATCAAGTATTCCCAAAGTGTTCACGACTCTTTGAATCAAGTAAACCAGACGACCAAGTGCTGATGGTTCCTAGTGGTAAGATACCATCCTCTTTAATTATACTGTAATTCCACTAATGCACCAATCACTCTCGAAGTTTTCGCCCCCGCGATAGCAAAACAAAACGAGATGGACGGCAGCCCCATAAAAGGCAAGTCGACAAGTGTCGGTCTACTCGTACTCCGTACCTGGTCAGGAGACGAGACCTGTTCGTATGCCATCGATGCTACTCGGGAGCGGAGTCCTCCGTAGTAGGTAACTTCGAAATAAAGCCTTAAAGCCAACTGGTAAACAAGTGCTGATCCCCCTCTAACTGACAGTTTATCGTAATAATAACCAGGGCTCCGCTCCGTCTTAGTATCGGTTCTTATCAGCCAATCTGCATGGCGAGTGATAATCTATCACAATCAGGACGGACGATCGTGATCCCCTTGCTTTCCCGATGCCGGAGGTTGAAACTGCACTTCAAGTTTGTCGCGGCCATGTCTCAGGGTTCCTACGTGGATTGTCTGACACTCTCGTCCCTCTTGAGGCAAAACCAAAAAAAAAAAAAAAAAAACAGCTGATAGGAATCATAGTCAACATGGTGGTGGACTGTAGCCGAAAAAAAAAAAAAAAAAAAAAAAAAAAAAAAAAAAAGGGCGTCGGATAAGTATACCTACGGGGCTGTAGCGTATTTTATTTTACGTTATTTTCTTTTCAGTAAGGGGGATTTAGTAACACGGTGTCATCGGTGTTTTCTCGACAGGATCCTGTGGTGTTGCGTCAGGGTTAATTTCCCGGGACAGGATATCTCATTGGTGTAAGGCGGGTGGGCCCGTTGGGTTCCTTTTCAACGGTCCACTACTGCTAGTATCAAGTAGTTGGATTGTCAACCTACCGATAGGACCCACTGTTGACTTGGTACCTGGCTCAAAATTCGGTACTAGTCCAAGGCCCAATTTTATGGAACCCCCCCCCCAAAATAATTGCTCCGTGGTTATCACCGAAATTGGGTTCTGACCTATCTCCGAAATTGAGCCATGATACACTTAAGTAGATACCCAAATCAAAACGAATCGGATAATATCCATGAAAGGAAAACTTGATGCGATTGCTCGCATGTTGGACTGGTCATTCATTACAGGATACACATATCTACATACTAGTACATACCGTACAAGGCCCCGGGGGCTCAATCCATCCGGGTAATCACGACGTAATAACAATATTTAGGCCAAAACATTGCCCAGGCAAAGAAGAGATAAGAAGCGTGACTTTACTCACGTCCGAGACAAACAACTTCAATACCCAAGGGTATAAAACACGTCCGCTCAGTTAACGAAAAAAAAAAAAGAGAAAAGAAGACGAGAAGGAAAATCGAAGAAAAACGATAGAAGAGTAGTTAAGAACTATCTGATTAATAAAGTATGGTCAGATCGCCGGCTGGAGTCCGGAGGAAGCTCACAGGACGGCAATGGCACCTAGGACGATCGCCAGCATGCCGCCAGAGACGCGGTTAACCATACCGCCATTGACGTTGGGAACGCTGGTAGTCGAGGTCGATGCACTGGCGGAGGTGGTGCTGGAAGCCTCGGTGGAGGTCGAGGCAGAGCCGGTAGAAGTGCCGGTCGAGGTGCCAGTGGCGCTCGCGGAGGCACTAGTGGACTCGGTGCTGGTGCCAGTGGCAGTAGCCGAAGTGTTGGAGGCAGTGCTGGCAGTCGCCTTAGTCAAGGTGGTATGAGTCTCGGTGGCGGACTTGGTGTTGGTGGTGGTCTCAGTCGCGGAAGACTCGGTGGCAGAGGTAGTCTCAGCGGTAGTGGTGGAAGACGCGGTGGTAGACGCGGCGGCAGTAGCACCAGCCACAGTGAACCGCGGGAGATAGTTGACCTCGCTGGTGTCATCGTCGTTGAAGATCTCAATGGTGTAGTCAGGCTTAGCGGCGAGGTTGGCAGGAGGCGTCCATGTGAAGCTGCCCGAGTTGGCAATGTTCTCTGAAGACACCGTCAGCATACATGCGCATGGAAGATCACTAGTACTCATGGGGAATCAAGGGGAACTCACTGGCAATGGTAGTACCCGAGTTTGCAGTCATCACAGCACCCCACTGAAGCTTCAGGGTGACGGTGCCGCTGGTGGTAGGCTCCCAGGTGAGCGTGGTCGGCTCACCAGTCTCGAACGAGTAACCCTCGGAGGGGATGTTGAATGGGTTGGCACCGGTAGCAGCCGCAGCGAGGGACGCCAGGGCGCTGAGAGTCAAGTAGAAGACAGAACGCATTTTGATGAAATTGTTAAAAGGCGATTTGGTAATCCGAAAAAGGTAGTTGAAGATGTCGAGGTAAGGTCGATGCTGGTATGATATGCAATACAAGATACAGCGAGACGGGAAAGCCTTCGACGGAAGTTTGATGGTTAAAGGAGTGAACTTAGTAGGATAGTAAAAAAGAAGGACGATGCGTAGATATATACGCAGGAACAAGAGTACCCAGAAAAGGAAGGAATGAAGGCTGTCCGATTCGAAAAAAAAAAAGGGAAAGAGAAGAGGCAAAAGGAGGGACCGCAAGACGGCGTGACTTCCTTATGTACTAGTAAACTAGTAGCATCTTGGGGTCGATGACAGGAAACCACGAGGTCTGGAGCCCAGTGCAGGTCATAATAATAATCATAATAATACCTCATGGAAGGGGCAAATTAAACCAAGCGCTAAGACCGGCACTAATTCAGTGTCACCCCAATTGAGAGGCTAAGCCGATAAAAGGCCGGTCCGGATCCCCTTCTCTTAACTTCATTAGCCCTGAACTAGCAATGGGCTTGGAGCAGGACTCTTCATCCCCATTGGGGGGGAAAATTGGTCGAGGGATCACCTGCCATCGGACCTTCGTAAGAAATAAGTTAGTACTGTTGGCTATATACAATACCTAGGGTCCTAGGGTCCAGGAAAAGGGTTGGACTGAAGTTGTTGTGTGGTGTTCTAATAATAATTATGGCAAAAAAGAATCCGAGTTCTATCGCTTGATCAGGGAACCAGTTTCCAGAATTTTTCTCGAGATTTGAATTTTAAATTGTATCATCCAATTTCAACCAACGCTCCACCGAGCAGAGTTGTTCTGCGGATACCTCCGATTCCGTCGGTCCCTAGCGTTCGTTCTGCATGGTATTTTTTTCTTGTACGAGAAATTTCTGGAGATGTACCTGACTAGTCCCGAGTAGGCAATCCAGCAGTTGAGCCTGCCGAGTGACATCCATAGTAAGTCACAATTTGACCTGTTCTACTCCGTACGAGGTACTCGTTAACGATGTCCCAATCGAATATGTACCGTACAGGAATGTTATATGTCATGGTACTAATAACTTAGGTTCTTCCTCACGGTTAATCAGTCGATCCGGAGAGAGCTACCTATTATCTTTCGGCATTTGATTGGTTCCCGCTTAGTCAAAGTGTGGTATTGATTGACTGTCACTAAGCCGAGAAAGGCTAACTTGGCGAACGTCGGAATTAACAATTCTCCTTGGAAAAGCAATATCCAAAAGTTACTCCTGACCAATTTTTGGACTAGGGCTCGAACCTTGTAGGCTACATCTGGTATGGACTCGGTTGATATCCGACCGACAAGTGTGGTGATATCTAGATCGTAGTCTATATACATACATAGTACCCTTGGAACCCTCATCTTTGCCACAGATGAGTCTGTGGATGATGACCTCATACTCCATACATCTGAGTCTTCAACGGTTCTACCAGCTTCAAAGATCTTTTTTCCACACCCACTCGGCATACCGATCAGTTAGTGATCTTCCACAGCTACCACTCAATTGGGTCATAGTTCCCAGACGGATGTCTCACTCTCATCCTTTCCCTCGGATTCGTCCAATAGAGTAGTATTTTTTTTTTTTTGGAACACGAAACGGCAATGGCTGTGCATCTTCCCCATGAAAATCGACTATTAATATATTCTCAAGTTTTCACCTTAGTTTCAGGGGTCCTGAAAAACGGAAACGAAAAAGAAAACTTAAGCTTCACTTGACAGCCAACGGTTTCTCCCTTTCCAGAATGTCAGACATACTTTAATCTACCTTAATATCGGTCTCATTTGTTCCCGGTCATGGAATGGATCCCATCCGATCTAACGGGTGCGTCCTGCATGGACCCATTCGTGGTTTTCCAATCCTTCAACAACCTGGCCACGTGCTTTAGCATCTTTGGTGTCCCCGAACATACGGACAGCACGGGGCCTACTTTGACAGCGAAAGAAGGTCACCGTCTGAACGTGAATAGCACTTTTGGAACTCTCGTCGGAGATTGTCTCAGGCAGTACTGCGAAGTACCAGATCCAGAACTGGAAGGGTGTGATTTGGAGGGTTACACTCCGAGCGATTATTATCGCATATTCACTCTCCCCAGACAGGAATTTGAGACCACAACCTGTAGGAGTGTCGATAATGACGTGAATCAAGATATCGGTGGTGTGGGGGTACATCTACCTGGAACATACGGTCTCATGCCTTTCCACAAGACTTGCTAACAGCTATTATCCCGCGTAAATCACAGGTCTTGCTCTCATTCACGATGCAGTCCGCCATCCTGCTATACGTCCATTTCGCTGTTCTCATACTGAAAGTCATCCCCGCAGTCACACGATGTATCCGTCGGTGTACCAAGGGGGCACGATCCATGGCCAAGATCCAGTTTGGCCAGCACCATTTCTCGGTTCTCAAATCCATGCTGGTGGAGTTTCAAGAGGCACAATGCTTCTTCATGCTTTCCTTCCAGTGCGCTGCTCTGATTGCTCTTGCGGCGGGCCCGCAGGTTTTCGAGGCAACCAGCTTGTTGCAGCTACAGTCGAACATTTCCATGGCCAAAGCTGTTGCATTCATGGGTATCCTTCCTATTACGTACGGCTTATGGATACTCCATAGGATTGGCTTGCATTCATGGTATATCTCCGTGTGGTCCGCTATCACAATTGTGACGTCTAGCGTCACGCTGCATCTGTGCAAGGTGGAGCCTCGAGCGGACAATCTACAGGAGATCGCGACAGCAGATCGTCTCGACAAATGTGGTTTTTCCCCTCCTCCTCTCATATACTGCGGCTCGGATTCCGAGATGGGGTCAAACTATGACATTGTCAATAATTTGATCTTCGGACTGTCCGATAATTCCGTGAACTTCGTCTGCATTGCGATCTACGGACTCCTCCTTTTGAAACGCCTCGCCCCTTATCCCCAGCGATGGCTCGGCCAGATGCCCTGGTTTCAGGCAACTTACCACCGCGTCCACCCGTGGCTAAAATCCAGAGGAGTCAGGATCCTTTCGAGGACCTTGAATGTGATCATTGAAACCCTTCTCCTACTCGCCAACTTCTTCTATCCTTTCATGGTTATAACACGAAGCCTTCCGATGATCTCACTTGACTCGTGGAGTTTCGGTCAAATCATCGCCGTGACTATCTGGTCTCCCATCATCAGCAAATATCTCTACTGGCTTTTGTGTGCGTATCTCTCTTTTCTCTCTACTCCCATACCCTTCTTTTACGATATGCTCATAACCAAAACAGTCGGCACGGACTCCTACTCCGCCATCCGATTCCCATCCCCTTACAAAATCATCCGAGTCAAAACAGTCAGCGAAGAAGACAATCCCGACGACGAAGATCGTCTTTTCATTCACCTCCCCTCCACAAGTGACCTGAACATCAACCCGAACTCGAAAAAGTTCATAGTCACCGACGTAGAATTGACCCCGGTTAACGACTCAAAGACATCGTCGGTTAGTACGCGGCATTCCTGATCTCATATCTAGGTATGTCCACTTTTGTACTACTATCATAGAAACCATGCTCCGTGTTTCGGGGGTGTTCTGGGGGGGTACATTGGCTGGTTGGGTTTGGCGTCTAGGTTATGTGAACCATGTGTGTGTACTGTATATACTTGTTAGATTCGGGATGTTTGATTAGTTAGAATAGATATGCAGGGGATATAAATAGATACATAGGTATGTTAGCTGTATTGTATATTACAGATTCCATTCCAGTCCGATCTGCAGTTGCGTGATCTGTCTCAGCCTTATCGATCGATGAGGATGGTCTTGTAGATCCTGTGTAAGCTTATTTTGAGTGTTGGGGCGCATGGGCCATTAGATTAATCCAATGTCAGTCCCACTTGAATGTCTAGGCGTGTTTTGGGTATGCATTCAGAAATCAGGAGGAATAATGCCACCTAGATCGGATTATCCTAAGGCTCGAGATGCGGCCATTAATTGAAGCTCTAGAACTGAACTCATTACGCCTCAGATTCGGGTTGGACAACTAGGTCTTGTTCTGGCTCATTTTAGTAGTATAGCAAAGTCGGCCATGATTCAATTATAGATTGCTTGAATGGATGACGGGGTACCCCCATGGAGATGTGCATGGTTAATATGAGAGACGGGAATAACACCTATTGTACAAGGGTACATCAACCTGGAAACAGACTGATCGATCAATCTATCTTGTCCTTGAGACTAGGCAGTCAAGGTTTGATTAATATTGATTGCTGATAAGTATATATACATGCTAATATTAACAAGCGGGTGCTAAGCAGTGGCCGGGGCACTATCACTTGTCTGCACCGACACAATGCCTTCTGATGATAATAGTAGGTCTCCTGGGAGCCCTTTGGATGATTTTACCTCATCCGTTGCAGAGTTCTCATTCGCACCTTCCAGGGGCTCTTTGTGGGACTTTGTTTCGTCAAGAAAGCCGTTTTCACCGAGCCATACAATAGCCTCCATAACTTTTCGATCATCTTCGCCTTTTTGACGGTCGAGAAGCTGATTTTGTATGTTAGTCCAGTTCTAGCTAGAATTTTGGAAGCAAGAAAGAAAGAGGTCTAACTTACTGCTTGTAAAAGGCCTTTGCGCCCCTTCTTCTCTACAGACTTCGCCTTAGCCCCACGATCCAGCGTCTCGTGCAGGAACTTGCACTTATCTCCACGCTGACAACGACCGGTTCGGGCAAAGTGTCGGCATAGCTTCTTCTTTGCTTCGCGTGGGGGCGGAGCCACCCGTTCAGGGCCCTCACGGCGAGAGGTTGTCTCCTCAGGGGCGGAATCACTGTCGCTGTCCTCCGAGTCTGAAGAGGAGAGGTCCGATCCACTAGATGACGTCCAGTCGCTACTGTCGGAAATATCCGAAGACACAGCAGCATCGGCCTTGACATCATCCATGACATCCTCCCCGTTCGGTTTGGCTTCAGAAGCTGATGCTGGCCCATCATTGTTGGGTTCGGAAACATGGCCCGGAGTATGTCCTGAAGCGAGCAGCTCACCTTCAGTCTCTGAAGCTCTCGTCTCCTGACCAAGAGCAGTATTCGATTTATCTTCAGGGCCTGGCTGGGCTTGAGCGTCTTGTGTGGATGCAGAAGTAATGTCTCTGTTAACGTCCGTCGATCCTCGCTGCAGTTCCTCGACTCTCATCCGAGCCCGCTCCGCATCTGCTTCCGCCTTTTCGACCTTTTTCTGCTCTTTCATGAGCTTCCGTCGTAGCTTATCAGCCTTCCGCTTCGCTTTCTCAGCTGCGTCTATTGGATCTGCAGGAGCTTGCTGATGGTCTTTCTGCGAGTTCTTCGTCTCTTGCTTTCGCGATTCTTTTAGCCGCTGAGTTTCTTCCTTAGCTTTCTTCGCCTCCTCCATAGCCTTCTTTTTCTCCTCGATTTTCTCCTTAGTTGGGAACCGTTTCTTACGCTCCTCGATCCATGCTGCAATTTCAGCGGGAGACTGCAATGTGGTTGTGCGTCCTTTGAATGTAAACTGCACGGCTGCTGCTGCACCAGCACCACCCTGTGCTAGCCTCGATTCTTCGTCTACATCATCATCTTCTTCGCTAGACTCGTGTTCCTCCGTCTTCGGTGTCAAACCAAGTTGATTGTGCTTTCGTTTCTTCTTCTTCGGTTTTCTCGTAGCGTCAGCCGGCGGAGGTGGCTTGGACGGTAAAGGATTCCCGAAGCTAGGAACCGGAGGAGGTGCAGGAACCCGTGGGGTAATGTTCTGTGGCTTTCCAAATGCTGAGGCATGGTCGCGCTTCATATGTGGCATGGTGCCACCCCCTCTGGAGGCCTGGTTGCCGTAAGCATTGTACGGGCGGGGACCTCGCTGATTCCCGTGTGGAGGACCAGTATACCCTCCCCCAGAGCCGGTATTATTGTATCCCCAATGCATGGGCGGGCCCATCATTGACGGTTGCACAGATGGGGGGGCATTTTGGTGGCTTGGAGTAATGGAGTGATACGTCGGAGCCTGCTGAGCAGTAGATGGACCGTAAGCTGAGTAGCCAGGTTGATGCTGGTATGGAGGTCCATGTGTTGGTGTAGACTGTGGAAATGGTCGTGAAGAAGGGAAGGAAGTCGTACTTTGGGGAACTTGGTAATTGGCGGTCCGCGAAGGTGGGAATTGCGGTGTCGGGATACTTTGTTGAGGGTTAGCCATGGGCTGACCTGCATAGCCAGGATAATTCATCGGAGCGTAGCCCATATTTGAAGAATTCGCCGTATGGGGCATGTATGACCCTCCCCGACCTCCTCGATTTCCATATCCCCTACCCCGGCCTCTATGATGGCCACCACGTCCACCTCGCTGGCCATGATGGCCTGAACCGTACTGTGAGGGGAAAGTCGCAGGTTGGTTTTGGTTATACTGCGACTGCTGAGTGGGAGGAGGAGGGGGCGGAGGGGGAAAAGAGAAGCCCTGGGAGTTCATCGTGAGAGGACCTCAGTAGACCTCCAAAGAAAATTAGCATCAACGCCATCCTCACAGCATCCTAGACATCTGGAAAAAGTGCCGAGCTCATCAGATCAAACAACTGATGCGCTGTTGTTCCGTTCCGAGCACAAAAAGGGAAAGCGCAATAGTCACGTGTGTCATGATCTGGTCGGGTAAAAAATATCAAAAGTGATCCGCCGTCTGCGATTGGCCGGAATCGATTTGTGGTTTTTCAAAGGACTATTTTTATTATAAGAAGTTCTCTGCTATCATAAATATGGAAGCATGAGTTATGATGCCTGCGTGACGGAATATTGATGCTTGGTCTGATAATGGATTTTACTCTTCGTGCTCTATTTTTCCGCCGTGGGACCAAATCGTATTGAAATAGAAGATTTTTTTTATCTACCGCCGAGTACCTACTAATTGAATTCACCATGTTCATTCTTGTCAGTCGCTTAGGACCTTGCTCTTACTTTGCAATAAAGTCACTTCACTACCAAGGCAAAAGCTAACTAGTCCATACAGACTACCCTCTCTGATCTGATCCAGATCTCCCCAGAAGACTTCTCGAAGTATAGTTCTATCGCTATTGAGGACAATATCAATGAGAAGTATGCAAATAAAGTACGCACGGCTTCCTATCTGAAATGGCATGTTCGCTTGCGCAGCATGTACTAACAGTAATTGTCTAAAGGTTATTCAGAAAGTTGGCCTGTGCATTGGATTCTACGACTTGTTAGAGTCCTCAGACGGCCTCATCGGCCATGGCACTGGTTTAGTCAACGTGAACGGTACATCCAGAATGTTGAATCCCTTTCAAGAGAGTCTATGCACTGATTGAAAGACAGTCAAGTTCCGCCTCATTGTGTTCCGTCCATTCAAAGGAGAGATTATGTTGGGCAAGATCTCCAGCGCTACTGAACATGGTATAAAGAGTACGGCAATTTTAAACTGACCCTTATGGTACTAGTACTGATTGATCATAGTTGGAGTAGAGTTTTTCAACGATATCCTCGTACCTCCAAATCTTCTCTTGGACGGTGCCAGATTGTGAGCTGCCTTGATATGTCCGGTGTCCTTAGTCATCTATGCTAACATGCTACAGTGACTATGCCGATCAAGTTTGGATCTGGGAAAACGAGGACGGCTCCACATTCTACTTTGATATCGGAGAAGTTGTCCGATTCCGCGTTGAGATAGAGGAGTGGCATGACCAAATACCAAACGCCCCAGATCTAGGAGATGCCGCCGCTATCGAACGGAAGCCACCATATTCCATTATAGTATGAATTCTCTCTCCCGTGTCCCTTGACCTGATTACTAACGTTACCCTAGGGATCAATGCAAATGGCTGGTCTGGGACCTGTATCGTGGTGGTAATGTTTCGGATGGGTCATGTGCATGCTTCTTGACGTGAATAAGCAGGAATAACTTCTTGGCTCCCTTACTTCCCGTGCTTATGTGATGAGATACCTTGCTGATGGAATGGCTGGACTATGTATATTTCCATGGTTACACGAATAACGAAATAATCTTGACATAGAGATTTTAGTGATTGCTCACAAATCAGCCAAATGACGACATTTGGCCGGAAATGGGAGAGTGTTGAGGCAACATCGAGAAAATTCTTGAGTATGGAAGAATAAAAGATCTGACCATGTAGGATGATTTCCCCGCCAAATAGATCGTCATAATCAATTAAACCTTGTAGCTAATTGTATGCAGAGTACAGTCTCCGTACATTAAGGCTACGATCATTATCAATCGAATTCGGCTAGTGGCGGAGATAAAGAAAATTGCATTGACACCGCCACGGAGGGGACAATCAACGGTTCACGGTGGAGTTGCACTCGGCGCTATGCCGGAAATCCTCACGGGGCCCGATCAGTCCCTGCCCTATCGTTCTTCAGCATGCTTGATGTGCAACGTAAAAAAAACCCATGTCCAAGAAACAGAAATTTTTTCCCTCGGGTTTCAGGAGGGAAGGGGGGTAAACTTGGTTCTAGAGTCATCGTTAATAAATCCTAATTAATTTTTAAGACCGGCTTCACCGATCTTACTCAGTTTGCCCTCGTATCAATTATAAATCAGTGCTTTGTCACTACGACGGTACAAAGACCGCGTAACTATTTATTAGATCTTCCTTCTCGCAGCTTGTGACCTCATAGGTGTTTCTATCAGGCTTCCAGAAGAAGAAAAGAAAAAACAAGAGTGAAGACTTATCTCCCCGTCTTCCTTTACGAGTCGACTTTGTCCGATTCTTTTTGAGCTTGAATCTTTTTTTTTTTTTTGCGATTTCATATAGAGATACACCACGCGACCACTTTCGCAGTCCCGTGACAATGACCAACTCGACCAACGGAGCCCCTGCTCAGGACAAGCGTTTCGGCACTTTGGCTGTCCATTCCGGCGCTCACCATGATCCTACGACCGGCGCTGTTATTGCTCCTGTAGGCCTCACATCTTGCATGAATTACGCGATTGAATTGTTTCGGTGATGCTGACCGGTTGTGTAGATCTCCCTCTCCACCACTTTCGCTCAGACCAGTGTTGGTAGCCCTGTAGGTCTCTACGAGTACACACGTAGCTCCAACCCCAACCGGTGAGTACCCGACTCAGAACGGATCTTGGTTTATGATTGATCTCCAGGCTAATTACACACCAGCGATAACTTTGAAGAAGCCATTGCAGCTCTTGAGCACGCTAAATATGCCCTCGCATTCTCCTCTGGTTCCGCAACCACCGCGGTAATCCTTCAGTCCCTCGCGCCCGGCTCGCACGTCGTCTCGGTTTCCGATGTCTATGGTGGAACTCATAGGTACTTCACAAAGGTCGCCAACGCCCATGGCGTGGATGTGACGTTCACCCCCACCATCGAGTCGGATGTGGAGAAGTTGATCCGTCCGGAGACCAAGCTCGTGTGGATTGAAACCCCGTCAAACCCGACTTTGGGATTGGTCGATATTGAGAAGGTTGCTGCCATTGCGCATCGCCATGGGATCCTTGTGGTGGTTGACAACACATTCATGAGCCCCTACGTCCAGAACCCTCTGGATCACGGTGCAGACATCGTCGTGCACTCCGTTACGAAGTATATCAACGGCCATTCGGTATGTTTCTAGCCCTTTTGCTTTCAACGTAGGATTGTTTTTCTTGGATAGCCTGTTAGCTAACCGTGAGACAGGACGTTCTGATGGGTGTCGCCGCATTCAACTCCGATAACTTGAAAGAGCGCCTTGGGTTTCTTCAGAACGCCATTGGTGCTGTTCCTTCTCCCTTCGACTGCTGGCTCGCTCACCGTGGTCTTAAGACTCTCCACTTGCGTGCCCGCGAGGCCACCACTAACGCCACGACTATCGCCAAGGCCCTCGAGGCTTCCCCCCATGTTCTCTCCGTCAACTACCCCGGCATCGATTCTCACCCCCAGCGTGCGATTGCTGTCAAGCAGCACCGCCAGGGTATGGGCGGTGGTATGCTCAGCTTCCGCATCCAGGGTGGCGAGAAGGCTGCTCACCTTTTCTGCAAGTACACCAAGGTCTTCACCTTGGCCGAGAGTTTGGGTGGTGTAGAGAGTCTTTGCGAGGTTCCCGCTAGCATGACTCACGCTGGTATTCCTAAGGACCAGCGTGAGGCTGCTGGTGTCTTCGATGACCTGGTCCGCATGAGCTGTGGTATTGAGGATGCGGAGGATCTCCTGGCCGACGTTCTCCAGGCTCTTAAGAAGGCTGTCGCCTCCAGCGAACAAAACGGCTCCGCTTAATTAAGTTAATATAATAGAGAATTAGAACCTTTCATAGATCAAGTTAACGATGACACGGATTACTCTTCAGACGAACTTGCTTTTCTGTATGGCAATTTAGCTCCCTTTTCTGATCCTTCTCAGAAGACCGCTATCTCACAGACTATGTAAATGCACCAATTGGTCCATGTAATATAAAAGATCCATTAAACGTGCAACAAAGTGGTCAAATGAACGACTTGTGCCACAGCATCACCAACACATGCTTAGTCATCTAAGGCAATACCGCAAAAAATTTAGAGCAAAATTGAAGGTTGAAGAAGAAGCTTCCAAGACTATAGCTGCTAAACATTCAAATTCGGAGTGAAAGTCCCTAGAATATACGTGCGGATCATACTGTGGCTCCCGGAAAATCTTGTGTCCCCCAATTCTAGCTCGCACCCTGAATCTTTATCAAACTATAAACCACTTCGACATTATCTACACGTGCCCCGCGTCTGTATTCTATATCGGCATATCACCCAATAGCTTTTGGTGACATTTCAGCGGGATCTGGCCGTGATAATTAACGTGGTCTTTTATAATGGCGTCTGCATTCAGCTTCGGCTTCGCTGGGGATGATATTGACATGGACGACTCGGAGTTGAACACTGTTGATGAGGGGCATACATCCGTTGTGCAAGATAGTAGCAGCACACTCCCTGAACTAGTTGCGGCCCAGAGGCACGAACTGAGTGACTTGGTAGGTTCACCTTAACGCGGATGTGCCCTAATTGCCATTGAAGTTTAGCTCCTTCTCTAGGTGCCAAGAAGCTTTCTAGCTCTTGCCCTTTTACAGATGGAAAAAGAATACGATTTGTTATATAATGCTTTGGATTAGGCAAAAGACTGACCATGCTGTAGCTCTCAAGTCTCCCGTCTCAGGTTTCATTCAACAAACTCAACATAAATATACCTCAGAATGACCAAGCCTCCGAAACGACACTCGCACTCGCTCGTCGCGAAGTGTTTGATATCCGGACGCAATTGATGGCAGAGGATACTGCCGATTATGCGAACGAAGAGCTGATCTCCGGACTCGAGAAAGGAGATATCACGCCCAACATCTACGAAGGCGGTTTCAAGACGTGGGAATGCTCAGTAGATCTCGCGAAGTTGGTTGCTAATGAAAACATACTATCTAACGCTGGTGCGGGGGATCGACATATCATCGAGGTTGGTGTTACATCTTGCGTTTAATCTTAGCCCCATCTATTAGACCGGTTACTGATAAAAGATCTCTAGCTTGGAGCCGGAACGGCAGTGCCATCGCTTGCTCTATTCGCGCAATTGCTGTCCAACCCCACGGGGTCGTCACAAACTACTCGTTTCACGTTTGCAGACTACAACTCTGTTGTTCTTCGGCTGGTGACTTTGCCTAACCTGCTTCTGACTTGGAATTATATTGTTACGCGTCAGAAGTCGGTGTCAGTTGCTGGGACAGAAGATCACGTTGAGGAGCTAGAGTTGGATATCACTCCGGAACTTCTTGAGTCTTTCCAGAAGGATCTTGCGGAACGGAGAATATCCGTCGAATTCATCTCTGGTGCCTGGTCTTCCGCCTTCGTTGACCTAGTGTTCTCGTCGAGTGATAAAGCCAAGAATGGAGTGTTGGTTCTTGCTAGTGAAACGATATACTCCCCGGCGTCTTTGAGGGCGTTTTCAGAAACGTTGCTGGCTTTGATCCGTCGTCCTGTCCGGGCAGGCGGGAGAAGTAGAGCTTTGTTGGCAGCGAAGAAAGTCTATTTTGGAGTCGGTGGTGGTGTGGACGAATTTTTGGAAGTATTTAATACTGTCGGTGGTGATGAACTGGATGTGAAGGAGCGGTTGGACGTTAAGTCAGAAGGGGTGGGCAGAATAGTACTGGAGATTGCGCCCAAAGGTCGCCAATAATAGTAGATAGAAAGATATCGCATTGAAAGGTCAACCTTGTCCGGGAATATTGTGGATTATGGGCTTTTCTTTCCCCGGTAGAGCCAGAAATACAAGACGATCAGCGACTGAATCTGTCAACGAAACCTTGAACTGTCCTGTTATATGTACATTATGCTTGGCCCTGTCATGCCTACTACCGGCGTCTTGGAACGTGAAAACGAAATCAATTTTGTCTAATCATAGATAGAGACAACCTTGCCATCCTGCATACGGGCAACACGGGCCTCTTCCAGCTCCCTGTTTTGGCGCTCATAGTGTGCGGTAACATGGCTCATATCCATAGCCGAGCCGGCAGGAACGTTGAAAGGAGGGGCGGAGTTGAAGCTGACCCTGGTGAGAGGAAGAAACAGGTTATGTTAGCTTGCGGTCTGCAAGAGTAGGTGCGGTTATATGAGACATACTCGGGCTGCTTCAATTCGAAAACGGCTCTAGGGCCCTGACTCTGGAACAAGTGGCGGTCATGGGCAGCCTTCTCCATTATGACAGTGCGAATGGCATTTCTCTCTTCAAAAACCTTCTCCGAAGGGGTCCACTTTTGGATGAGGCTGGAAATCCACGATTGCGATCCAGACTCCTCGGTGGACTTGCTCAGTCGGTAAAGGACGTAGGCAGAGGCGAAGGAGCCGACGGTGACGTAGAAGCTACGCTGTACGGGTCACAAAGATCCAGGTTAGTCACAGCTACCAATTGACGGGTAGCAGGCTACTGCCACCAGTGAAGATATCGAATTGTAGAGGGGTCCAAGAAACGTACACCAAAGCTCTCGTTCACGGGCTCGGCATGGTGGTGAGCCGCGTGCGAGTCGAATCGCCGCTGGGGTTGATTGCGCAGCAGTAGCCGCGCGGAAGTGGCCGATCGCCTAGCGAAAAACATAGTGTGGAGGAAGACAATTGGCAGGGCCAAACGAATATGATGCCGTCCATTTGGAGGAGGAACGCAAGCTGGTGAGCGGTTCGAGGCGGGTGTCACGTGATAATTACTAAATGCGGTTTAGGGCCCTCACGGGACTTGGCACCGGGACACTGGTCGCCTACCAATGAGAAGCACGATTATTTTCCTTTCTCTAGTTTACATCCTCTTAGTCGGTGACAACGAATATGCCGCTCAAACAGCCCAAAACGCTGCGGACTCCGGACAGAATGTGAGTCTCGCCACGCTCGGATACTTTACAGGGAATCCCGGAGCATGGAACGAAATCTATTCGAAACCAGCGTTGGGGAGAAAAGGCCTTAGTAGCATGGGTCTACACTACTATGTTGCCTCCTGCAACAAGTCGGCGGGTCGCTGCGTTGTCTCGACAGTAATGGTGGTTTTTCTTTACACCGCATTTGGAGGTGGTGCTGATGCACGACTAACTGCCTCATTCTGAGATGGCGCTCCCCACTGTTCCCCAGTCGCATGGTGTCAATTGGGCTGCGGTCCCTCCCAAATTATGCAGGCGTCTGAACGTTTGGCTATCAGAGGCGACATGTCATCGATCTGATTTTAGCGCTTTCGACCCACTCGTTACCTGCCTCCTCCACCGACTTTGACTGAATCCTCCGTCCTGTCATAGATGATAGAATACTTTTTTTACCTTGTCGTTTTTTTTTCCCTCCCTCATCTGCACGCTATGATTCATCCTGCCACCCAGAAAAAACCAGTGCTATTGATGCCCAATGCTTACTCATTGGGTGATACTCTCTCCTCATCTTGAAATGATCGGTCCACTTCTGTCCCCGTTTCGCGCGAGAAATGTATGCTCTTGCCTTTCCTGCCCTGGTGATCCATATTGAATGGGTATCAATTACTGTTTCAAGGTTCGGTCCGTTTGTTCGCCTTGCCAGCCCCCTTGAGGCTGGATGCAAATGCGTCCAGTGTGCAGCGAGTTTCTTTTTTTGGGCGTGTTTTAGGATAGATTCTTCGCTGCGTAATTTTTACTGCCTCGCCTAATGTTTTAATTAATTCCGATTCCTAAGAAATCCAAAATATTTATTTGACGAGTTGCGATCTGTCCTGTCTTGCCAGAATTGTCTGCTTGCCTTCAACGCAGGTCTTTACCATCGGGCGTCTTGACTTCGTGGATTGCAACCATTTGCGCCCACTTCCAGGCTTCCCTGCTCTAGGGCGAATTTTCTTCCTCACATTACTTTTTTCGTCCTGACATTCTTCCCTGTATCTGTCGTGTGATCGTTTGACCTTCGGAACCCCCTCCCCCGTGCAAGTTGTCATTTGTTTTCTCCATATCAGATCGGAATATATCTTTGGCGCCGGTGAGCGCGTTTCCATGTATTGCTTCACACCCCAACCACCACCCAATTGCGTTTTTGCTAACAGGTTTTTTTAGCCCACTGGTAACACGTCTTTTTCCTTTTCTTGAACTTGGGCACGCATTATTTTTACGACCATGGCCCCAACCAAAAAAAAGAACAAGTCTAGTAACAAAAAAAGTAATAAGAAGTCAAAGGCCCAAGAGGAGCCAGAGAATCAAACACCTCCACCTGCTACGGCTGATGTTACTATTCCTGAACCACAGTCAGAGGAACAACAACAGCAGGAACAACAACTTCAGGAGCCACAGCTAGCTGAATCGCAGCTGCAAGAACAACAACAACAACAAGCCGAACAGCCATCTGATCATGCAGTGGAGCAAGCAACTGACCAACAACTTGATCAACCCACAGAGCAGACCTCAGAGCAACAGCCTGAGCAACCAATAGACCAACCATTCGACCAACCCCAAGATCAGCCCCAAGACCAACAGGCAGATCAACCCCTAGACCAACCCCCAGCAGAGCAAGCAGATCAACAGCTCCCAGACCAGCAAGCGGAGCCCTTGCAAGAGGAACTACTTGAGCAAGAGCTACAAGACCAACCACCTCTTGACCAACAGCTGCAAGAGGAACCACCCCTGGAACAACAGCTGCAAGAGGAACCACCCCTAGAACAACAGCTGCAAGAGGAACCACCCCTAGAACAACAGCTGCGAGAGGAACCACCCCTGGAGCAACAGCTGCAAGATCAACAATCTGATCTACAGTTACAAGAGGAACAGCCAGAGCAACAACTGCAACCACAACCAGAAGCAATCGAAGCCGAGCGCCAACAATCAGAGGCTTCAGTAGAAGCCCCAGTGGAGCCCGAGTCACTGTCGGCACCTGAAGTTGCACCTGAAGTCGCATCGGAAGTCGTACCAGAAGTTGCCGCAGAGCCAATCCCTGAGACGGAGCTGGCGCCAGCGCAAGGAGTGGAGCAGGAACAACTACAGCCCACTGCTGAGGAAGTTTCAACAGCCCTTGAACCTGAGCAACAACCTCAACCACCGACCAATCCTGAAGAGGATGGTTCTGCCCAAGTGAATGCCCCCGACCTCTCCTCAAGTCAGCAGCTGGACGCGAGTGATGTCCAGCGGGACCCCGAAGTGCCTCAAGAACTGCACCAAGAGGAACTAGGAGTACCGGAACATCCAGTTGAGGAGGCCGCTGAAACGACTCCGGAGAATATCGACGTATCGAAGGAGCAAGTTGTCGAACCACCAGAGCCGACCCCAGTGACAGCACCACAGACCCCATTGTTCTCGACGGACCCAACCACGGCTTCCGTAGAGACCCCATCTGCTACGGAGACTCAATTCGCTGAGTCTGCATCTCCCACAAAGACCGACGCACCAGAGATTGAGTCACACGCAGCCCCCGTATCTGACCCCTCCTCTGAGGCAGTTGAGGCAGCACCTACTTCCCCCGCCCGCCAAACTACCCCACCTGTGTCCAAGCCGGCTTCGCCTGTGCCAAAGCACGCTTGTCCCACACCTAGGGCTGTTTCGCCTGTGCTTAGGGACGCTGCACCTACACCCAAGGCCGCTTCTCCAGCTCCTAACCCTGCTTCACCTGTACCTCAGGCAGCCCCACCTATGGCTGAAACTGTTTTGTCGATGCAGGAAGCCGAGCTTCCTGCGGAAGTCATCCCACCCGCACCAACACCCCCGCCGGTCGCTTCTGTATATCAAGAACCTCCGGCCATGCTACAGAATCCTCCACCAGCCCAGAAGATGGCCTCTCCTGTATCAAAGGCTGCATCGCCATTCCAGAAGGTCGCATCCCCTGTTCAGAAATCCGCATCGCCAAAAGTTACCAGCCCCCTCGCCCGCCACGCTTATATGTCACCGATGATATCTCCCCACGCTACGCCACACGCTACGCCGCCAGTACAGCCGGCAATGGCTCCTATGCCCCCTATGCCTCCTCCGAGTACTGCTCCCAGCGTAGCTAGCTATGCTACAGCTTATTCCCCCGTCATGACCGCTGCTGGGTTTATGCCCCAGTATGCCTTCTACCCCCCGGGCATGCAACCCACCCCCCGGAGCTCTATGGAGCCCAGCACCGCGACAGCCTTCCAGCATTTGCGCGATCTGACTTATGCCAACGGGAATGGATTCTTCGCCCCTCAGAACGGACATCACAATGGACATAACGGTCACCACAAGGGAATGATGTCGCCTCCAGAGCACCCTGTTGAAGAACCAATTGAACTTCTGCAGAGAATTCAAGATGCCATCCCAGACATCAACCGCTTGTTGAGTAGTTACAGGAATACGAAGAGCAAGCTGCAAGCCCGCGAAGCTGAGTTTCAACAGATGAAGACCCAGCATGAGCAGGATTTGATGCACAAGGACTTCTACATTGAAGCTCTTCAGACGCAAATGAGGAAAACTGCCAATGAGGCGGCGGAAGAGTCCACCAAACTCAAAAACACCATCAACGAGCTCCGCATGGAACTTGGAAATCTTGACGAGAAGCGGAAGGACCTCGAAGAGAAGCTGGAGGACTCCGAGAAGTCGAACAAGGAGCTGACACAGAACAAACATGACCTCGAAGAGGAAGTCAGGACGCTTAGCACCAACATGAAAGATGCCCAAGAGGCTCATGAGAAGGAATGTGAGAGGCGCGAACAAGAGAAGGTGGACGCTCTTGCGACTCAGAAACGGGAAATGACCGAATCTTTCGAAGAGATCAAGGCCGAGGATGAAAAAGCAGCAGCGGAAGCTTTGGCTGCTCGCGAGAAAGAGTTGCTTGACCAGCAAGAAGCAATGAAGAATGATTACGAAGATCAGAAGCGACAGATGCAAGAAGCACACGACACATTACAGTCGAACTTCGACGACAAGGTGAACGAATTAGAGTCCACCAAGACCGATCTCGAGAACAAGCACAAGGAACTCGAGGAGACTCGTATGCAACATGCCAATGAAATTGAACTCCTCAACAACACCCATGCGGACCATGTGGCCGACATGGAGAGGCGCTGGGCCGATGAGAGGGGCGAATTGGAGCAGCGCATCACGGACAAGTGCGATGAACTCTCCCACTGTGAGCGCGAAAAGCAGAAGGTGGAAGAGGATAATGTTGTCAAGGAGCAGCAACTACAGGCAGCATCTGACGGCATGCGCCTCACCATTGATAATTTGGGAAAAGACTGCGATAGGTTGAGAAAGACCCTTCACAGCCTTGGAGAAGCCACTGACCTCAAGAGCACGAAGGGTGATCCATTCTTGTAAGTGTGACCTAGTGCATTGAGAATGTGTTTTAGTACTTGACTGTCTTTCAAAAATTTCCTTTTGTCTTAACCTTCCAGACTGTCTTCTGTGATAACTTTTTTTTACCGTTCTGGCCAGAATTGTGCCACGTTCATTTGTTTTCTTTTGTCCTTTTCAATTTTCCCTATAGAATTATGATCACGATGGTGACGAAGATTATGAGATGTCAATAATGCTATCAATTGTACCTGCTCTGATAAGAATTCTATAATCTAGTTTGGACTGCTTCGGCCAGCTTTCTCGTCTTATTGTTTCCTTATCTAAGGAGCACTTTGCGTACCTTCCAATCGATCCTCCCAAGGATGTACTGTCCAAAATACCTCAGGAGCTACCATCCTTCCTTGATAATACCCCGGCATCGCGTGAGCTGCGCTCCGCATACGTTCAACATATCATCTCGAAGACTTTGACTTACCGAATCTTCCATCCGTTCCTTTTCACCTTGGGCAAGAGGTACGGTAAAGCGGACACCTTCTTCCAGATGCTCTCGATGGACATTCGACGCAAGTCTGTGAGACGTGAAGCCTTCTGGAGGCAGCAGACGCTGAAAGCCGCGTACACGACTTCCGATGCCAAGCAGTCGATCAACGTTGTGGCCGCTGTGATCGTCGACGAGATCATCGACCACCTCAAACACTTCGCCGACCCTAAACACATGGACACCCTTCATACAAGCGTACGGAAGATTGTCAAGTTGGCCGCCGAAACGTGGAGACTTGCTCGTGTCGAAAGGGAACTCATCATGGCCTCTTTCCCAGCGCCCGACTCGGAGGGCACGTCGAATGAGATCTGGGAGGAATATGGAACCCCGAAAGAAGGCTGTGTCGGCTCCAAGGAGGATCCTACTCGTCACGTCATTCTGCGGACTTTCCCTCGCATCATTCGGGAGGCAGCGCATGAAGATTTCGCAGAAGACGAGGAGAAAGCCCTCTCCTGTACTTATACTCCAGGCAGTGTTTTATACTCCGACTCCCCTGTGGTTATGGCTCGACGCCAAGAGCTGGCAAGGCGGTCCACGGACTCCCTAGTGGGTGGAGAAGAAAGGCCTCGAAGCGAGTCGAGAGGCTCTACACGTTCCGACGGAAAGCCCAGCTCACCCAGGCGAGGTAAAGCAAGCTTCGATACCCTGTAGAGTGAGTAGGGTACATTGGAAGACGTGAGAGCTGCTAAGGGTATCAAGGCTAAGCATCATAGACCGGTCAGCTGTTAGCTGTACATGAAAAGCTTGAGTTACATTTCTGGGAAAGGGTTGTATCGATTATGATCTGAGCGCGGTGTTTTTGGTTTGTTCACTCATTTGCGACAATATGCTTCTGTTCCATTATAGGGCAGCTAAGCTCGAGAACAGAAGCACCCTTGTCATTCTTTTAAATTTCTCTTTGTTCGCCCTCTTTCTGTTTTACGCTGTTATCTTTCTATCTATCCGTATAGCATTTGGTGGGAGTTTGAGCGTGTCATTTTCTTCATTTCTTTAGTATTGTACTCCTTTCCTTTCTCCTTTCTTTCCTTCTCTTTTACTTTTACGCCTTCGTTCCACTTACGCTCTGCGTGGTGCAGTGTTACGGTTTTTCATGGTGTGTATTATTTGTTATGATGTATGCTCATCCGGATGATGACACATTTCTAATGTATGTGATGTCAGTTGACGAAAATGATCTGCAGTCCCTTCCTTCAGTTCCGATTACCTTTGTATCTATTTTTAATCGAGACTATAGTATATTGCCGTGATGCCAATGGTCAGCGATATCGGACTGACTGTGCATTTAGTTCCCTACCGTCCGGCGTCGAGATCGCCCTAACCGCTATGGACTACAATCAGAGGGGGAGGAGGAAGGGAGAGGAAGAGGGGGGGAAGAGAGAGCACAGCCACGCATGACTAGGCCAGGATGGAGAGCAGAAAATATCCGACTTAGTTTTCAAAGCTTGTTCCGACCTCCCAAGTCACATTCTCGCGCAGCAGTCTGGACTGGACCGAAACATCGTGCACAGCCTCAGGCAGGTCTGACTAACCCAAACCAATACGATGCGCCGAGCATAATTGGTCTATATGGATCGAGGATCAGTGATCGATGTACTGAGTACCCTTCAAACTCAGGGCTACTCTGGTTAAGATGCTTCTAGTAGGCATCTGGCATTCAGGTAAGTCAATCGTGGCGCAGTCGTTTCGCAACCAGAAATGCCTGCAACAATAATCATCACTCTATTCAGGTTAACCTTACAGAGGGCCATTCACTGAACAAGGGTTCTTCAATCGGTGTCCGGTTCCTGTCCGCCCGTGTTGTGGGGGAGAAACAGAGCAACATGAGTGGAGATTTAGCCTTTTTTTTAGTGGACCAAAAAGATACCTTTAGAGCCATAACTGACCGGTCTGTGGTTCATGATATCCAACACACATTTAAACGGACTAACTGGTTATTTTTTTTTATAAAAAAAAAAAAAAAATTTCCCTTCTCTCCTTTCATAGAGAGAAGGGTAAATTGATTGTGAGATGCAAACGCATCAGACATAGATGTAAATGGGTAGGGGTACATATATCGGGTCCGCCCCGATGAAGATTCCCTTTTTGATTCCCTTTTTCCTTCGTCTCTTGATTGTGGAATGACCATTCTCAAGGATCAGCATCCTACGGGTACTGAATATAGAACACTAAACGGGACCAGGGGCTTGACCCTCTCTTTTCCTCGCATCGGACCACAGCACCAAGATTTCATGCTCATTTTAATTACTGATGATCCATTGCTAGTGGTGGCATCCTGTTTGTTGATTCGTGGTGAAAACCGAAAGGTTACGTTCTTTATTTTATTTAATTTTTTTTTTCTTTTCTTCCCCCCTCCCTCTTCTCTTCTCTCTCTTTATTTTTTCCCCTAAAATTCCAAGGTGAAAAGGACGAGAAAAGCCGTGCAGATAAGGATAATCCTCCCTCTTCCTGAATGGACATAATCCGCCTAATGAGAACCCCACTTCCTTCTCACTGGCCAGCCACGCGCCCACACTTTCTTAACACTGGCGCCTGTTGAACATGCAGTGAATGACTCCATCCTGTAAAATTAATTTCTTGAGAAATGAAATGGCTTGAGATGGATGTCTCCGTCTCTCTCTTCTTGAACAGCCGAAAAAATGGGATCTTTCCTGCTCTAATAGCAAAATGAGTTATTATATGTAGATCAATTCTGCTTGTTATGTTTTATGTGTATGAGCCTCATTAAACAAAACAGCCTTGCAATCACGTTACAATCTCTCAAGAGGCTCTTCGATAATAGAACACATGACGTGCCCTCTTCTCTCTTCTTACTATTTGTTTCCTTGTTCATTTGTGGCTCAGTCCTCATTTCAGCCGCAAGGCATCTTTTCCCAATTCTTCTTCTTCTTTTTCTTCTTCTTCTTCCTCTTCGTTCCTCCATCCTTTTCTTCTTCGGATTAAATCTTGCGCAATACCACGGGGAATTTCCCACTCTATTTCTCCTTGATTTGGCTCGTGCTTACCCCTCCTTCTGTGTCGTATCTGTACAGGTAGCCAAGACTCTTTTACCATTATCCTCAACCAACCTTTGCGTCAACCTGCCCTACAAGGCGCCGTTACGCTTAAAACCTTCCCCCCTCTCCCCCCCTCCCCTTTTTTTTTTTCCCTTAATTTCTGCTCCTCATTGCCATTAGCTCATCCCAAACTTTGAATCCACGGTTATTTTTGTTCCTCCCGTCGATATTCTTCTCAACCCCATTCATCTTTACTTTTCCCCCTCGCCCGTTGTCAGTAAAGGCCATTTTGAAAGTCTGTCTACGTCATTGGTTGAAAACAAGCTGAATTGCGATCAAGAACGCCCGCAGAATGATTCCTGCGGTGGCCTAATCTAAATTGGCTGCTGTTTACGGATTCTATTTCTGTTACTTCTATATTCTCAATATATCTTATTGGCTTACCTGTTTTATGATTGCATAAACCGCCGCTTTGCTCATCGATGGCTTTCTAGACATGCGTCCTCAACTCTGCTTCCCATCTCAGTGAGTCCTACTGTACTAGCCAGAGGAAGCGCGCGCACGTTAGCAAAGCAATCCGGAAGAAAGGACAAGACTGCAACGTCCCTTACACCTTTGATTTTGTGTCGGTTCACGCGAAAAAGAGGCATCGGATATTTGGCTTACCCACAACCATGTCGACACTATCACCTCAGTTCGTCCCAAACGACTCGCCCAACCCCACAAAACTAAATGACGCTTCCTTTCCCGATCCTTATCTCTCGACCCAGCTAGACCCCGAGGTAGCATCTTTCAGATCATCTGCAATCAGACTAACCCCTGTGAGCGGCGAAGATCTTGGCACACGCGATGCTTCATCTTCCCCTATAGGTTCCCATGTGCACAGTGACTCGCCCCGAGATGAGGCACACCCAGCTTCTTATTCTGAATATCTCAGCCCCGCGGACGACCTCTCCAGTGAAATGAGCGTCCATACGTCGCCAACCGCCGATTACCTGTCGGCAGCCTTCAGTACAGACCTATCCCCAGACTCGAATAGTTGGCAGCATGACGGAGGTTTGCATCCAGGCATGCGCAGCACTGCATTAGACCCGAACAAGTTGAACTCTGCACAGATGAACATGGATCCCTCTCAACTAATTACTCCGAATCTAACCAACAAGTCAAGTCTCTCTTCTGAGACGACCAGTATCAAGAGTCAGCCTGGTTCTGTTACCTTGCAGAACCAACCGCAGGCACTCGCTTTGATTACTTGCCCCCCGGATGAACGTCTGGATGTGCCCGGGGACTTTGGCTCTCCCAGGGCCAGAAGCCCAATTGTCAAAATTGAAAGTTTTTCCCGGGGTGATTCGCCGGTCAGAGATATGCGGCGACCGAGTCATTCTTCAACACACCTTTCCCCCGGCGGGCCATCTAGCGAATCCGACGAGGATGCCGGGGTGGACAATGGCGGATATCTTGGATCTGTCCAATCTGTCTCGCGAAAACATGATGGATCCTGGATTCCAAACGCGGCTACTGGCCATGCTGGTGTGGATCCCACGTCTCGGGAAAATGTTTACGTGCCAAGCCCGAATGAGCTCGAGCTGCGGCGACAGTTGGACGAGAAGAATGAAGATATTCGATCTTGGTCGGCCTCAGTCAGTGTGGCGAATAGTGAGAATGGCGATGACCCAACCCCACACAGGGGCCGCAAGCACACAGGTAACCGACGCAGAGCGAAGAGTGCTGGCGACCCTTCGCTCCAACAAGATTACTTCAACTTGAAAGTTGCTCTCATCCCTGGACCAGGCGTACTCGTCACTGAGAACAGCGAAGAGGAATACAGTGATCATGAATCAGAAATCGAGGGAACCGGCTCGGAAACCCCGGCTGCCAGTGTGAACGAGGCGAGATGGGCTCTGGGAGAACAGGAAATGCCGCATAGTCGGGAACAATCTAGTCCTGAAGGTGAAGAACCATCACCTCATCAGTTCCTGGGACGACCTCCCTGGCGAGATCTCGTTCCGGTCCCTTCCCCGGACATGGCCCGTACGCAGCCTGCAAGCTCAACTGCGGCCATGGTCGAGTATGAGAGACGTGTGAGGGACTTGGATAATGTTTCGCGCGCGGCGACTTGGGGCACCCGTGACGCCGATATCAACAGTCTCGTCGGTGCGGGGGGTTCCTTCGAAAATTTGTCTATCAGCAACGACAAAAGCAGGAAACACGAGAGGCGGAGCAGTCTCCGCAAGTTGTTGCACAGGAAACCGTCCAACAATCTCAAACCACCTAACAATCTCAAGCGGCATCTGTCTGATCTCTCTATCTCGCTACCTGGCTCTGATGACCAGAGCAAGGGTGACGAAAATAAAAGCTCCCATCAACGGAAGAACAGTTTCCCGCATCGCAAATTGAGCCTTGGTCTTTCACCTAGGTCGCCTAGTTTGAGCACTGGAGGTGCTGTTATTGCTATAGCCGGGCAAATGGCCGCCATTGGTGGGAAGGATACCCTTCGGGCGGCATCCCCAAGCTCCACAAGCAACCCTTGGCCTTCGCTCAAGGTCCGTGGACGAAGCAGAAGTGAAATACCGAGGCCGTCAACACCTGGACTCATCGACCTAATGACAAGCCATGGTGGGCCACCGGTTGCCAATATCGCATATTCACACTTACAGCCAGAACCTCGCAGCGCCCCACCAAACCAAACTCGACTAGGGCTTGGCACCGGTGACAGTGATGAGAACGACGATAATATACCCGATGAGAGAGGATTAGTAATGGATCTTTCGGTTCAATCACGCCTCCCCGTCCCTACATTGGAAGGGTTCAGGACTCAGATCGCTCAATTAAATCCCCGACTTCAGCCGGCACTACTTGAACGCTTTGCCAACGAGCAACTCCGCCGCTACAAAAAGTTGGTAGAAAACAAATTCACACATACCTGTGCGGTTACCCAGAAGGGCTGTGCTTCGGGCAAATTTTGCTTTGCGCAGGGCGGCGGAGCCCTGTTGTTGACGCCTCGTGCAGGCCCGCAGGACTCAGAAGCCCCCCATACTCAATTCCAAATCCCTGGGCATGGTGAGGCAAGCGATGATTCCGCAGCCCTCGGAGAAAGTGCTGTCACTGCGGCACAGTTCCCTCCAGGGGTCCCTTTGCCGCCAGTCAAACGGCTCCCAGCGGAGTTTGAATGCCCGATATGCTTCCAGGTGAAGAAGTTTCAAAAGCCATCGGATTGGACCAAGCATGTCCATGAAGATGTGCAGCCATTCACCTGTACTTTTGCCCATTGTAGCGAACCCAAATCATTCAAACGAAAGGCTGATTGGGTCCGACATGAGAGCGAACGGCATAGACAACTAGAGTGGTGGACCTGTTCGGAGCCCGATTGCAACCATACTTGTTTCCGAAAGGATAATTTTGTACAGCATCTCGTCCGCGAGCACAAGATGCCAGAGCCCAAGGTAAAGAAAACGAAAGCCAAGGGACCATCCCAACATCCGGTAGATCCGAATTCACCCGAAATGATGGCGGAGATCCAGCGCGAGCGCAAGATCGAGCAGCTCTGGAACCTTGTGGAGCAATGTCGACATGACAATCCGAAGGGGCCCAAGGATGAGCCGTGCCGGTTCTGTGGTAACGTCTGCAGCAGTTGGAAAAAGCTTACGGTGCATTTGGCCAAACACATGGAGCAGATCGCGATGCCCGTGTTAGCTCTCGTCAACGAACGGGATCTGTCGTCCAACCTGGGACCAGGTTCTCCTGGCAAGGGCGATCTCGGCTCCGAGCCAGAGTCGATCTCGCGTGAAACCACCAATTTTGCGCCCAATCTGAACGGGGTCCAAGCTAGGGCAGGCATGCCCATAGGCTACACGCAGGCACCATACCCAGATCATGACGTTGGGCAATCCGACGGGCTTGAGGTCCCTCTCAGCTCCACCGGCGTTCCCCACTTTACCACCATGTCAGGCGCGTTCATATCCGCCGAGCCTGAGCCGATGGACGCGTACGACGAGTATAGTGTGCAGGTGGGACTGCAGCCAGGGGGGGTCATGGACCAGTCGCGGCTCATGTCTATGCACCAGAACTCAGTGACATATCCTCCCCCTTTCAATGCCGGGCCGCGTCCTCGGGTCTCCAATCAGCACATGAGCGTATTACAAGAATCGTATAATTTCTCCATGTCTCCCACGGAGATGCAGCCGACCTATGACCCCCAGTACATGTCATCCACAGGGGAGAATAGCTATGTCTGCCAAGGAGCCGTGGCACCCACCATGCCATTCACTGCGCCCGGGGCCTACCCAAACCAACTGTAGTAAACCGGTTTACCACTCGATCTATACTGGACCGGGCCGTAACCGTCTGCCCCATCACATTTATTTAATTCTTTTTGTATATGATACCCTAGCGCACTAGCCTGGCAGATCGTGAAGGAAATTTTCTATAAACTGATCTGAAACGGTTTTATTTCTTGAGGATTCCATCACTTTTTTCTTTCTTTTCCTTCCAGCACTCCTGGGTATTGGCCACACTATATGGGTGATGATTTTCTTTTTGGATCTCTGGAGACAATTGATCTGCATTAATATACCCATAGGCAATACTAGATGATTTACTCGATGGTCATGTCTTGGCCTTGTATAGCATGCGCGTCAAGTGACAATTACTTTTTTCTTTTTTGCTTTTGTTTTTTAAATTTCCTTTCTCTCTTTCTTTTCCCTTGGCGAATATTTTTTAAGTTTTATGACTTTTTTGTGGTGCTTACAGACATTTTGGGCCCACGAATGATTGACGTTAAATTACTGACGCGGTGGAAGTGACTAACGAGTTCTTCGACGCGATATGTAGGAAAGAGGGACCTCGTATGAGAATTTGAGGATCTCTCTACGTATATGTACACCCTACCTCAGGACTAGGAGTAGGAGGAAGTAGTCCACTCGCTCGATGGAAATCCCGAAAGGGACAGTTGCTCAACGGATGATGATTGGACAAGGAGGCCATGCACCTGGCCCAGAGAGAGAAGCACGAAGAACGGGGAATCTTGCAACTAGGCCACTAGATGCAGAGTTCGAGGGAGGTTGACCAGCGAGGGAATCTCAACCGGCAATCTGTCAGCCTGAAAAGGGAAAAAAAGAAATGAGACATCACACGGCCGGATGCACTCACAAGTTCCCGGTGAGCGGCACATCCCCTGTTATTTTATTTTATTTTGGTTATAAATAGTAAATGAGTAACGGTACTATTGCAGAACTGGGAGACCACGATGGATGATTTTGGCTGCCGCGGAAGACCCCGCCCCCCCCAAAAAAAGGAAAAGAAAAGAAAATAATAAAAAAGCGGATAAGAAGCCAAACGACAAAAGGAATTCAGGAGGAGAGAGTGGAACTTAAAAATAAGATAAACACGAGTTTGAAGGGGATCGACAAAATGGGATGGGGGTTGACTTTTCAGTTGACGGAATACTTTGGGGGTGTTCGTC